ACTAGATCAATATACTCTCCCTTCTTATATAATTTGCACTTAATATAGTTACTATTACACGACCTTGGCAAAACCAGAGAATACATCATTTGGGAAATAAAAAGCGGTACTCTAGGCATATTAGCATTAACATCAGTTATCGTTTCCTTTAGATTAGAGGGATATAAAAACTGTATAAAGCAGAGCTCAGTTTTGTATATGTCTTCTTTTATGTAATAGAAAACTACATTACAATTTTCTTCTTCTATCATTTTTACTGTTTTGCTTAGATCTGATTCATTAGTCATCATGGTCCATGTTTTATCTTTTATGCAATATTTGAAAGGATATACATCACCAACCTTCACGCAATCGTTGGATTGGCCTATTTTAAACATTAGTTTAAGATAACTTACTATTTCTTTAATTCTAAAAAGCTGGTGCTTTATAACTTCGCCATTTTCTTGTTTATCTAGGTAGTATGGAAGATGAATTATTTGGATTGTATGCGATTCATTGTCTACAAATTGCACATGATAGTGGTCTTTAATGCTTATAGGTGTGTCTGCTTTAGAAATATGCGCATTTTTATTTTTTAGTATGTGAATCTCTAGAATAAAAGCCTTTTCTTTCATTTTATATACCTTTTTAAAATTTACAGTAAACTCTAAATACTTTTGAGATGCAACTGCAGCAGCTCCTAATGTTTTATAAAATAGCCTGTTTGAACAAATATTTATGTGCACACGCGCAATTCTATTTTTAATTTCCTGTTTGTCAACTTTCCTTAGCTTATATACCACTGGAAAATAGTTATAAAATGCCTGAACCACGTTATATACCAAATAATACACCGCCTTTGTATTACACTCTTGTATATTTTTGTTACAATTCTCGGTAACTATGATCTCTTTAACTTTTTTATATGATTCTTCTATTTCTACTTCATTCTTCTGGACCGTGCTTATAAGGTATATTATAATGTACCTTAAGTATATTAATATTTTCATATTCTTTTTCTTTAAAGTAAATGTATGATATTTCGTTATGCAGTTGTAAAATTCATAATTAATTTCTGTGAAAAACTTATTAATTACATTCAGTGGTATTTTATAGAAGTCTTCATACACCTCTGGTATTAAAAGAATAGCATTCAACTTTTTCTTAAGTTGTATATCATTGTCTCTTTTCTCTGTAACTATTTGACTATCTATTCCACTACAGCAACAGTACAGGCTTACTTCTTTATTTGCTAAAATGGATCCAAGAGTTTCTTGTATTGGCATAATACAATTACTAGAACATTTTTCCGGATTATTATATATATACTTCATATGAAAATTAATGTATTTGATTATATCTTCTAGAATTCCTTTATAGAATGAAGGGTTACGCATATTATTAATTTGTTTTCTATAGTTTTCTAGTATATATAAAAAGATTTCTTTTTTCATTAAGAAATTTTCGTGTATAGACCGAATAAGAATCCAAAAATTTGTTTCCTTATCTTTTTCCCAATCAGAAATTGTTTTTAATGTTTTTTTTCTTATTATATGGTCTGAAAAGTTGTTGCTCAGCACTATATTTTCGACTTCTTCTATGAAGCTAGTATAATTTCGTATAACAAACGGGTTTTTATCTATATAAGAATCCATTATATATTTGTTTTCACTAAATTTAGCCACAGTAACTGGGATTTCATTAAAATTAATATTACTTGTTGTAGTATGACTTTCGCTATTTATGGCAAGATTTGAATCTGGAGCTTCATTTTTTATCGAACCATCTTGCTTATTGTTCTGGTTCTATACCGTATGGTTTTTTTATTCTAGTAGAAGAAAATACATCAACATCAATAGATCTCCGCTTTGCTGGTTTAATATATAAGGAGCCAGGGTTTAAAGGCATTTTATCCCCTAACTCTAGTTTTTTGTTTATAATCTGGCCATTATTATCTTTTGTAGCTGATTCTAGTTCAGAAGTAGACAACTCTAAAGCCATTACGTGTATTGTGCTAGGCCGGGAATCCTCTTCCAAATTGCCACTTTGACTGCTAACGTATACTAAATGGCTATCCACATACCAAGGGTTTTTAATTGAAAAAACAACTTTATGCTTATTACTAGTTTCTAGCTCAAGACTATTGGTTTGAGAAGATAATTTAGAGTTATGTAGAGGAATATCTTCTTCTACTTGTATATTTTGCACATTTGTGTCAGAGCTAGTGATTGCACTACACAATACTATGCATATATTCAATGTATATATTAGTCCAAGTGCAAAGCCTTTCTTCTTTAACTGTTCCATGTCAATTTAAATTTTTAAAAGTTAAATTATTGTATATCCTAGATATATCGCAGTTTAAAAATATTCTAGAAAGAAACAATAGGCTTTAAAAATCAAGAATTTTTATTTGAACTTTCTGAATTCTCCATTCAATTGAGTTAATTGTATTTAGAAAAACTTGTTTATTGTATTACAAGACTAGTGTAGGTATAGATGCAAATAACCCGATAATCAGCATAAATACTGCATAAATGCCATATGAATGCAAACTTGAAGTTAAATGTTAGCAGAATAAATTAAACAAAAGAAATAAGCATAGGCGTCTGTAAACATATAAACTGTGCATTTCATAAACATTAAACTTTACTAACAACCAATTCTAAGAAATCAGCACATAATGCAAAGAGCATGCATTTATATTAGAAAGCATCAAACAAATACCATCCTTCTAATAATTTAGAATAGAATTGCCGTTAAATATTCTATTGTTTTTGGCTTGTATTAATATCTATTATCATTAGTATATATAGTGACATAATGGTGTGGTGGGGTTGATGTTGTATTATTGAATTTTATAATTGGATTGTAGGTTCTTTGTCTACCCAGTGTATTTGGATAGGTACTCATTTCATATAAATCACTATCTAAAATACTCGGGCTTCTATCCTGACTACTTCGGATATTATAAGTACGTGGTCTTCCACCCAGACCACTTCGAATACTATAAGCACTTGGCCTTCTACCTAGTGTATTTCGGCCACTATTCGAGTTTCTACTAAAAATGTTTGGTATTCTGCTCAGTCTACTTCGGGTACTATGAGTACTTGGTCTTCTGCCTAGTATATTTAGACTTCTACTCTGTGAAGTTGAGCTAGTATTATTGGGTTTACAATTTTTATTAATTATTTTAGCATATTCAGAACAACAATTGAAAGTCCATTTAATAATTTGAAAGAATAAAACAATAAGACTAGGATTACATATACAACAAATAGTCAAAACCCAAAATGCTGCCATTGGTAGGAAATATTTACCAAAAATAAGAGTAGTTAGTGAGTAGTCTTCTGTAAAGGGTATTCCAAGCAGCTTTTCTGTCTCAGGAACATACTCAGTTGAATTCATTCGTTTTAAAACATTATGCTATATATAACCGGAATTTAAATCATCCTGATTATATCTTGAACATATTGATAAATAGACAGAAATTAAATTATTATTACTATTTGAACTGTATAATGTGTTATTTAAAAATAAATAGTAAATGTGAATTTTCTGGGATAATATGCTTATTATTTGTATTGTGCTGTTTAATTCTTTAGGAATTGTCAATAGTTCAACAGTAATGCCATTAACGTCGGCGTATTAAAAAAATTGCCAGATGTTTTCATTTTTACTATTGGATATACAATATGCACAGGTTTATATGAAATGTAAACCATTAATTTTGGTAATTTAAGTATATCTTGTTAATGGGATTAAAAGAAACAAAAAAGCAATTCTAATTGGATTTTTACTGTGTATAAGGAATACCATAATACTATGTTCCATAACATGCTATAATTTACTTCGGGTTATATAGCATTTAATTGAAAGTATGTTTTATAGTGCTAGTTGGGGTAGAGTAGATTATTTGTTTATATTCTCTATGTAATACCACCAGATGATTTTGTACTGTGCTATTGTGTATGTGCAATTTACCTCTGATCATATTACTACACTCGGACGATATCAAGTTATATTATAGAGTATGCCATAACGATAAAATAACTAAATATTCTGAAATTGGCCATATGCGCCAACTGCTGCATATTATTGATAGCAAATTACTTATTATAACTATACTTTATATTATGTGTTCTATTCCAAGCCTTTCTTGGCTATATAATCTTCTACTGCTGCTTTTATTGCCTCCTCTGCTAGTAGAGAGCAGTGCAGCTTAACAGGAGGAAGAGAGAGCTCTTTTGCTATTTCGGTATTTTTAATATTCATAGCATCATATATGGACTTTCCCTTTATCATTTCAGATGCCAAACTGCTTGAAGCAATTGCAGACCCACATCCAAATGTTTTAATCTTTACATCTTCAATTATGTCATCTTTTACTTTAATCTGCAGTCTCATTACATCTCCACATGCAGGGGCTCCTACTAGTCCTGTTCCCACGCCAGCAACTGTTTTTGCAAATGTTCCCACGTTTCTTGGGTTTGAATAGTGCTCTAGTACGTTCTTGTGGTAGTTTCTCGTTATTTCTCCAATAAGCGCCAGCATAAATTATGTCTAATAAAAATATTTCTGCTTTTCTTTTATTCCACTAGTCTAGGAATTCTCTAGGACATATTTCGTTTTGCACTCTAATAGAGAGAAATTCTTTCTCTTTTTTATTTTCTTACTGATGGCAATTAATGCACCAAGCATCGATAAAATTATAGAACAGCTGCTTAAGGTAAGGCATTCCAAAGCACCAACGCCCAGGGTGAATTTGTCAGAGTCGGAAATAAAGTTTCTGTGCAGTAAGGCAAGAGAAGTGTTCTTGTCACAGCCAATGCTTTTAGAAATGGAGGCACCCATCAAGATATGTGGGGACATACACGGACAGTATTCTGACCTTCTGAGAATATTTGAATACGGGGGCCCTCCACCAGAAAGCAACTATTTATTTCTGGGAGATTATGTGGACAGAGGGAGGCAGAGCCTAGAAACAATTTGTCTTCTGTTAGCGTATAAGGTGAAGTACCCAGACAACTTCTTCCTGCTTAGAGGAAACCACGAGTGTGCCAGCATAAACAGAATATACGGGTTTTATGAGGAGTGCAAGGACAGGTATACCTACAAAATATGGAAGAAGTTTACAGAGACATTTAACTGCATGCCGGTGGCTGCTCTTGTAGATGAGAAAATATTCTGTATGCACGGTGGACTATCCCCGGACTTACAGTCTTTCAACCAGATTCGGTCTATCCACAGGCCAACAGACATTCCTGACAGCGGGCTGCTGTGCGATCTTCTGTGGAGTGATCCAGACAAAGAAATCCACAAGTGGGGAGACAATGACAGAGGAATAAGCTTTACTTTTGGAACAAGAATTGTAGAAGAGTTTCTTAACAAACACAATTTAGATCTTATATGCAGGGCACACCAGGTAGTTGAGGATGGGTACGAATTCTTTGCAGATAAAAGGCTTGTTACTATATTTTCTGCCCCAAATTACTGCGGAGAATTCGATAACTCTGGTGCTATTATGGAGGTAGATGAGAATCTAGTATGCAGTTTTAGGGTTTTAAAGCCCCTTAACGGATAGACTTATATTAGGTCTTTCTTTGCCTCAGCCCCAAATAAAATTCTGGCGCGCATGGCTATTTAAGAATCTTTCTGCTTACTCAGTCTCTTTTGGACATGTGATTCGGGGGGTTTCACACCAATCTTTAGTAGTGTTGTTGAGCTCTCTTTTCTTATATCCTATGCAAATTAACTGCCATACAAGATATGCTGAAATATATGCCAGAAATGCCGAATGTCACCGTATTATGACTTATTCCTGTGCTCCTGGCTATCTGTGTGTAATAAAATAGAAATTATACAAACAAAAATTAACTGATAATTTATTCATGATATCTTTTTATTATATTATTAATAAAATAAACTACTTAAAGCATAAATAGAATAAGATATTTTAAACCCACAGGCCGTAGAGCTTAGGAAGAACTCTTCTTTTTTCGGTTAAGTTTTTTTAAGAGGGCATCCTTCTTTTGGATTTTCATAATGCCGCCGGGAACTACTTGACCCATTGCCATTTGTTCTTCTATCCTTTCAATCTCTTCTAGCTCCTTTTTAATTGCAGCTATACGATTTTCCTTTGCTTTGGCTGTGTCCTTTATTATATGAGGTGCTACCCACTCAGCTGTTTCTTTTTGGCCTACTTTCCTTAGACAGGGTGGGATGTACTCTTCTGATTTCTTTATTCTAATCTTATCAGGAAGATTTTCAAGCGAGCTGAATGGAAGGTCTTTTCCTGCGAAGATACAGCTCTTTAGTTCTTTAAACAGCACCTCAGAACTTTTCTGAGAATAGTAATCGTAAAGAATTACTTTATTATCTATTGACATTTTGTTGGTTATCCCCACTAGATAATACCGTCCTTCTGGTGACCAGTCAATCACAGAGCACCCCAACTCTTCATTTATAGATAAAACAGCTTCTGATGGGTACTCAGCCAACTCCATATTTCCTGGAAGGTTGTTCATTCCGGCCAAGCACACAATGTTCTCCTGTCGGTTAAAGAACATTTTGTTTCTAACGCCTTCCTTTAGGTTTTTTATTTTTTCTCCTTTGGAATTAAATATGCCTATTTTGCTAGGACTGTTGTCGTAGCATACAGCAAATTCATTCTTTTTTAAGAAAGCTGTGTCTGTAATTGGATTGCATATACTAGAAATCAACTTCAGGCTCTCCTGCTTTGTGTCTATATAGTAAAGCACCTTTGCGTCATAGTATGTGCCATTAGAACTTCCTAGAGAACAAAGGCAAAGCATTCTCTCCTCTCTATGTTTAAGATCTGGAATAAGCACTGCAGATATCATATCTATAACCGGCTGCTTTTTTACTCTCTCTCCATTTTGCAATCGAATTAGCTCAATTTCACCTGGGGATGATTTATACACACGCACAGTGACCAAAAACTTTCCTGTCATAGAGAATGTCAGTGGTGCTGGGATTGATATGTTTTCTATTTCTTTCTTCTCTATAATAGAGTAGACCTTTAGGAATCTAGGTTTTGCTTTGTTTACAATAGCTGTTCGCATTCCCTCTTTCTTCTGTATTCTGAAAGTCACTGGCTCTTTCTTCTTACCTGCCGCTGCTTTTGATGCTTTTGTCTTTTTTTGTGCCTCTTTTTCTGCTGGCGGTACACTTGAAGCATCAGACGAAGTAGGCGGTACAACTTGGTTGGCTGGTTCACCTTTACCGGTGCTTTGCTCACTTGGTGCTGCCTCTGCAGATTCTGGGATCTTTGGAGGCTCTGCCGCGGGATGTGGCACATATAAAGTATCAACCGCACTTGTCTGCACGTCTGCCTTTTTATCACTTGCAACGGCCTCTCCTGTTTTGGGCAGTGGCTCTTTTTTCTCTGGTGCTTCTTCTACTTCCTGTGAATAGACAAGAAACTCTTTCCCATGCATGGCGGATTTTACTCTTTCTGCCGTGTGCATAACTTTGTCTTTCTGTATAAAATACATCTTGTCGCTCTTTGTTATTACACATGCTGTACAGTCTACTAAACACTCTATACTTTTAATATCTGGAATAGAGTGCGCATATTTTTCTTCAGTAATTGTGCTCTGAATAATTAACTCGCTGGAAGTTGTGTAAGCCACCCATTCTTTTCCAAGCTTGCAGCACACGCATGGAATTGTTTCTGACTTTTCATTGAATGTATCAAAGCATACTCCTTTGTCACTAAAGGATAAAACTTGGCCAATTGGCTTGGGCATATAAAAAAATATTTGAGCGAGTTTTATCCATGCGCTTTGCGCGGACTGAGATTTAATTAATTATTTGTCTATCTGTAATAAAACCAGCTTGCAAGAAAAAGAAACGATGTATAGTTTTGGTATACAAAAGACGTTGCCTGATAAGTAAGACAGATAAGATATACAATATACTAAACTTACGATTTCAAGATTTATTTTACTACTGGCATACTTCCTGAAGTAAACTAAACAGAATAGGATTTCAGTTTAGTATGATCTCCCGAAAAGTCCTATGCAGGTGGCCTCATTTGTGCAAACACTGCATGCGCCAGTTGGTTTGTTCTCTGTAAATGGAATGCAGAGTGACTTGGCTCCTGTGGCTGTTACAACGTTGTTCTTATCTCTTTCTTCGGTTATTTTTTTGATCTTTTCTTCACACTCTACCGCGCCACACCAAACCATAGTGCACATCTTGCCGCTTCGCAGTGCTGTGTTTAAATCATCCATTGTGGATCCTTTTAGAATGCACGAGTCCTGGAGAAGCTTTGCATTCTGGTACATAGTCTCGTGAATAGATTCCAGTTCTTCTTTAACAGACTCAGCAATGTTTACTAAAGAAACACTTTTTTTTGTCTTATCCATACGCCATGCAAAGCATGCTTGGTTGTTTTTCATGTCCTTAGGTCCTATTTCAATTCTTAGGGGCACACCGCGCACCTCCCAGTGGTTGAATTTGTGACCAGGCGTAACATTCAGTGCAAGGTCTGCCTGTGCACGAATGCCATGCGACTTTAATGTTTTCTCTATTCGTTCAGCCTCTGCCAGAATGTTCTGTTTCTCCTCATCTGAGGTGTTCTTAGAAAGTCCGCAGGGAACAATAACAACCTGGACTGATGCAACCTTTGGGGGAAGAACTACTCCTCGGTTGTCAGAGTGCACTAGAATAGCCACACCAATACTTCTTGTACTAAGTCCCCACGAGTTCTGGAAAACTGGCATAAAGCTTCCTGGCGCGCTGGGGTCCTCCACTGTTACATTGAACATATTGGAGAAGTTTGTTCCTAGTGAGTGTGAAGTAGCAGCCTGTATTCCCTTTCCAGTGGATGGGATAAATACCTCAACTGTTGTGGTAAAGTCTGCACCAGCAAAGGTCTCCTTTTTACTCTTTGTGCCCTTTACAACAGGAACTGCCAGAAGCTCTCTGTATACATCTGCATATAGATCCAGAACTTCAAATACCTCCTTGTCTGCCTCTTTTCTGGTCAGATGTGCAGTGTGCCCTTCCTGCCATAGAAACTCTCTTCCTCGAACAAACGGCATGGTTTGTGTGGTCTCCCAGCGCAGAACATTGCACCACTGGTTAAGCTTTAGTGGCAGATCTCTATAGCTCTGTATCCATTTTGAATAGTATGGGTACATAATTGTCTCTGATGTTGGCCTAATTGCCACAGGATTCTCTAATGGCTTGCCTCCGCACTCTGTAATCCACGCCACCTCTGGTGCAAAATCGTCTAGGTGCTCCTTTTCTTTTTCCAGTGCTGCTTTTGAAACCAGCATGGGGAAGTACGCCTCTTTAACCCCCATTGATTCTATTTTTTCAGTGAAGTACTGCTTGATCATACTCCAGATAAAAAATCCATTGGGCCTAAGAACATAGCACCCATTAATGTCATGGTAGTCTAGTATTTCGCTTTTTACCACGGTTTCTTTGTACCATCTTGGGAAGTCGCTTTCCCGGGTTGCCTCAATCGAAAACTTCTGCGCTTTAGACATGGGATGCACAATTTTTTATAGCTAAATAAGAGGAAGTGCTCTTTACTGTATACAGAAATATATATTAGTAAATTTTAGTTATAATTAACTTAGAGTGTACATGGTGCTAGAGGATGGAGAAATTGTAATAACTCCATTTGAGGTTGTTATAAACAAAGACACAGGCTATGCGGAGATCACTCTCCGAAATATTACAAAAAGCGACTATGCTTTTAAGATAAAAACAACGCACCCACTAAACTATAAAGTAAAGCCATCGATTGGCATGCTTGCTGGCTGTAAATCTCAAACCATTGCAATTGAGATGATTGGCACCGATAAAGTGCTTAACCTATGCAGCCACATGTTTTTGTTTCAATTTATAAAGAGCGGGCACATGCTTACAGCAGAAAGCCTTAAGCAGATATTTTTGCTAAAGGGGGTAAAAGTATTAGAGCAGAGAATTGGCATCAGGTACTCTGGCCCACTTGTTAATGAAGAGACCGAATTATTGGCTCCAGAGAAACCCGAACTCATTTTTATATCTGCCAGTGTGTTTATTATATATAATGCACTTCTTCTGTTCAGGCAACTTCTGTTTGGGATTTAATTTTAACCTGTTTAACTATCAAAGAATAAAAACCCTTCAGTGCTCATTTTCAAAGGTACGGGTTATATTCTAAAGCAAGCCTATAAAATAAAATAAAGAAAATAATTGGTATGTACTTGCTAAAGCATTAATTTATTGTATTACAGCAGAAAAATGGAAATAGAACTACGGGCTGGCACCCAATCGGCAGGACTGCCCACTGTCCAATGATTATGTGTATTGAATTAAAAGAGATCGACAAATGCACGGAGATGGACAACTCACAGAAAGAAGAAGAACTCTTTGGAATACCTCTTAGTGAATACATTAATACAAAAACAGATGACTTGTCTGATAACAGCCCAAAAAAAGAGTACTCAATAGAAGACAACATACAGAACATTCAGACCGAGCAGGCATCTGTTGAAAGAAAGATACGAGAAATTCTAGAGAAGGTGGGAAAGAAGTTCTCCAGCCTAGCAATAGACGTACAGCGATGCACCAAATTAGACATAGAAGGAATAGACATGGTAGATGAAGTAAAAAGCTTGAGAGAGTATTGGAAGGTAAAAGAAACCAATGCAATAGCACTTCTTAGACTGAAGACTAGCAAAATATCTGAAGATCTCTTGAAAATTCTTACAAAAGTGGATAAAACGTGTGCTTTATTACATACATGGACAGAAAGAGCACGAGAAGCAATGAAAGAAGTAGAAAAAACTATTATAGAGCGAAAAACAATTAGCGAAGTGTATACAGGCGACCACATAGCCCAGAGATATAAATCGTTTGTGGAGAAGGCTCATCCACTCTTAAGCGTTCTGGAAGAGGGAGAAAGACTTGTAGAGGAGAATTCGCATATATACACAGAAAAGGAAAAAGAAGAGCTTCTTTTATCAGAGAGCTTTATTAAAGTGTCAACGCAGGAGGAAAAGACCATAAAGCACTTGGTTTCTAGAATTCCATGACTAATTAAAATATAAGTTTAACCGATGATCATTTTTTAAAATTTTTATGAGCGTGCTTGTAAAGAATAGTATAAAGGCCATTTCAAATGGCTCTCTGTTAGAATCAACATTATGGGGGATATTCTTGCCTCTTAGCATTATTGTTGAGATGTTTATATTACCGTTCACTTTAACACTATTCAGTGCACTGAGGAAAGCCAGGAAGTTCGGCCGAGTTAGAGAAGTTATAGTGTGCACCAATGAGACATACAACAGCCCAGACAAAGCAGTCAAAAATCTTAAGGATGCATTTGATAATATTTTAGCAAGAATAACTGATTTTATTCAACTGCATATACTGCGTCAGAAGCCCAAGGCTGCTAAAGCAGCAGGAAAGTCCTCTTCTGAAAAGGATGAGAAAAAGAAAGTGGTTAAAACCTACAAAAAGCCAGGAAAACGAGGAGATTATATTAAAAGCTGGGTTGTAACTATTTGCGATATAATTGAAAAGGGGTATGAGTTTATATTTGAACATATACTGCGCCATCTGGTTATGATGCTAGAGTATGCAGTGTTTTCCGTGTTTGTTATATCTATTGTTACAATTAACGTGATCTGCTACTTAGCACAGTGTGTCCTTAATATTATAAAAGGAGGAGCAAAGAAGATTCCAATAATAGGAGACTTGATTAAAGAAATCCCAGACGTATCGATCCTACTCAGCAATATTTCCAAGGATGTTATAAATATCATAAACCCAGAACTGAAGAAAGAACAAATTGCAATCCGAACAAAACAATTCGAAGAGTACAAAAATGTAGTTGAGCCAATAGGTAAAATACTATCATCATATATTAGTTTGTGCATATTTATTCTGTCAAATTTAATTTGCATTTTCATTAGGGCATTCATGGAATTTGGTAAAAAAATATCTGACAAAAATAATTACACAGTATTTACAGTGGGTATTTTATCAATTATAGCGGTGATATTCACCATTATATCTCCAAAATTCATAAACCCCCAGGACTTCTCTATAATTGCACTGTCTAAGCCGCTGTGGTTTATTTCTGGAGGGATCTGTATATGGGTTTCCCTATTCTTTGTAGCAGCTGCATGCATTGCGGGATTGCACTTCAAGTCTTCTATGGGCGGAAAGAAGTACACAAAGAAGGAATTAACAAACATTGCAGTATATGAGAGAGAAAGATTTGGATTTGCAATTGCCAAGGTTCTTATAGGATCTGCAGTGTTCTTTGGGCTTGGTGCACTCGGGAATGTTCTTGTAGGAGGGCCAGAAGCCATGTTCATAACTATCCCAGTGATTTTATTCTATACTACAATAATATCTGTAATGTATGACATGCGAAGTATTCTGTACAAAATAACAGTGAGCCAGATTGAGCAGCTTAAGAGTATTTTAGTGCTAATACTGACTATATCAGTGTACTTCTCAACACGAGTACAGAGACTGCCGTACTTACCCCACTCTCTGCTGGCTGTAACTCTAGCTGTGGTTTTCCTGCCGACTCCTGCACATAAGGATACTTTATTGGCAATAAACAACAAAGTATTACGGACCGAGCAAATAATATACTTCAGCATACGCCTGGCTATTATAGCAGGAATACTAATTGCAATAACACCAAGTGCGCCTACAATTATATTTAGGCCCTTTATATATGTTAGACTAGTGCTTAATCTGATTATGGAGTATTTTGCATCAACTGGCAGAGCATACGTCTTTGATACTGTGTAGAGCCGCACTTTGCTATATGGCAGGGATTGTTCAAGATTAATAATAAAAACAGCACAATGCATCTATTTTCAGTTATAACGCCCTAAAATAAAATTTGTTTATTGCTTATATCTTCTGGTAATAACTATTAATATTCTGGGATAGACTACAGCATTCAAAACGTGAACTCCTGCAGGGACAGGGCAGTAGCAGCAAAGTGCAGTTCTGTGGCTTAGCGATTATTTATAGAGGATCTATTGGGCTAAATCTTCTTCCAGGACTCCAGCCTCATTTGCACCGAGATGCACATAGCCATCATTTCCTGGACAAGAAGTTTAAAGGCATACGGCATATACACCATACTTACACTGGTTCTTGTTCCACATAGCTGGCAGAGGTACAGGCCTCTTTCTTTGTTTCCAGCGCAGAACACCCCGCAGTCATTGCAAATAAAGACTTCAAACTTATCACTGACATCGCATAGTCTCTCTTTCAGGAATGTAGCTGCACCATGTGATATCATGCAGTCTCTCTCCATTTCTCCAAATCGAAGGCCACCATCCCTACTTCTTCCCTCCACAGGCTGCCTTGTAAGAATTTGCACTGGTCCATGGGCACGTGCGTGTATTTTATCCGCCACCATGTGCTTCAGCCGCTGGTAGTATGTGGGGCCTATGAATATTTGACTGCGCATTTTTCTTCCCGTGAATCCAGAATACATAACTTCAAATCCTCGCTTCTGGTACCCGTGCTTTTGCAGCTCCTCACTGATCTCCTCTACGCTTAGCCCAGTGAATGGGGTGGCATCGCCCTCCTTCCCTGACATGCAGCTTACCTTTCCAAGCAGGCACTCAACCAAGTGCCCGATCGTCATTCTACTCGGGATGGCGTGCGGATTAATGATGATATCGGGTGTAATTCCATCTGCTGTGAATGGCATGTCCTCTGGAGAAAGCATAATACCAATTGTTCCCTTCTGCCCGTGCCGCGATGCAAACTTATCCCCCATCTGCGGAGTTCTTGCTGACCGAACGCGAATCCGTGCATATCTGTACCCATCCTTTGTGGTGAGGATGACTCTATCAACTACCCCACTTTCTGTGCCACGCATAGTAGTACTAGCGTCTTTATACCCGTCTGGCGTGCTTACTGTTTTGCCAATTAGCACGTCTTCACCAGAGACTCTAGTTCCAGGGGGCACCAGCCCGTCCATATCAAGCTTTTCATAGTTTGCGTTCTTCATTCTCTGGACAGACCTTCTATCTGGCTTCATAAAGCACTCCTGCTCCTCTGGCTTGGTTCTGCTTTCCATATCGCTGTAGGTTCGGTAGAAAAAGCTTCTAAAAAGCCCTCTATCCACCGCTCCTCTGTTCATCACCACACTGTCTTCTTGGTTGTACCCGCTGTAGCAGGCAATTGCCACCATGGCATTCTGGCCAGAAGGAAGCTCTCTAAACCGCAGGAAGTTCATGCTCTGTGTTATAACAAGTGGCTTCTGCGGATAGCACAGCACATTTGAGAGGGAGTCCATCCGCATAAGGAAATTTGTGGCATACATCCCCATGGCCTGCTTACCCATAGCACTCTGATATGTGTTTCTTGGTGACTGGTTGTGGTCTGGGAAAGGCACCACTGATGCACATACACCAAGCATAGTAGCAGGCTGTATTTCACAGTGGGTGTACATAACATCCGTGTTCTTCAGGTCGCCTGGCTTAACTGCAATCATTGCTGTCTCCTCCTCTTCAACATCCAAAAACTCAACGCACCCATCTGCCATCAGCTCGTCCCATGTGAATTTCCTGTGCCGATTGGCCTCTAGGAACCGCTCTATCCGAAGCACGCCTTTGTCTACAATAAAGAGCGGCCGGCACGCCCTTCCACCATCGGTATTGATTCGAATCTCCTTTTCCCTCAAGTCTCGCACAATTGCTATCTCAGAAGAAAGCTCTCCAGACCTTCTAAGATACTTCAGCGTGCCCATTAGGTCGTCTGGCGATCGGTGCACACCAACCCATGACCCATTCACAAGCACCTTTGTTGCTCCCACGATTGCAGATGGGCTGACTTCTTCTAGACCTTCAAGCCCGCATTCTTCAAGCAGCTCCACCACAACGGAAGAGCTAGTCCCCACTGAGACATGCGACATAAGCGCAAAGTTCTTTACCAGCCCACAAGCCTGCCCTTCTGGAGTCTCTGCCGGGCACACCATCCCCCAGTGGCTTGAGTGCAGCTGTCTCGGCTTGGCTAGCTTTCCATCCCTTCCAATTGGGGTGTTTACTCTCCTAAGATGTGAGAGCGTAGATATATAGTTGTATCTGTTCAGCACCTGTGCAACACCAGCTCGTGCCTGCATGCTCTTTGATTGCTCTCCCCAGTTACCTGTTGCTAGAGAATATCTCAGCCCATTGGTAAGTGTGGATGTACGCAGGCCCACAATCAGATTCAGATCTTTATTTCCATCTATGCACCGCTGCATGTACTTCGCCAGCTCATTGCTCATCTTTTTGAAAAGCATCCTGAACAGTCCTGTCATAAGGGGCCCCGCCAGATCCAGCCGCTTTCTTCCATAGTGGTCTCTGTCTTCCTCGCTTCTTCTTCCCAGTGCCACCATAAGTAGCTTGTTTATGGTGTATCCGAATAAATATGCCTTTTTTGTTTCGCAGAACTCCTTTGTTCCTACATGCGGAAGAAACTCTTTCTGGAAGAGGTCCTTGGCAAATTTAATTCTTTTCTCTTTGCTGAACCCTGCTGGTGCAACTCTTTTTCCTATGTAGTCTAGTGCCACGCCCTGGTCCTGTATAACAAACGCCTCCTCGATACTTGGCCTAAGCATACTCAGCATCTCTGTATCAGAGAAGTCATAGCAGATGTGCTCGAGGATTTCCTTATCTGAGACAAATCCAAGGGCCCGGAAAATCACAACAACAGGCACGTCCAACTTTGCATGCGGCAGAAGTGCCCGCAGCAAATACCCTCCGCCTGACGCGCTATCTGATGCTCTGGAGACCAGCCTAATTGTAAGAGAGGATGGAAGTCTAAGGCCATGATCCGGCACAGACCGCATCTCTGCAGTGTAAAGATACGGGGACGGCGGCGACTTCTTAAAAATATACACCAGGTTTGATGCCATCCTTTCATGTGCAATCAGCACCTTCTCCGACCCATTCACAATAAAATATCCTCCTTGGTCGTATGTACACTCCTCTATCCTGTTCATGTCCCGGTCGTCTGTATTGCTATAAACGCAGTACAGAGACCGCAGCATTATCGGAATAGATCCTATTGGCATTTTCTTGTACGACCGTGACTCCACCTCTTCATCTCCTATGTGCTCTGTCTTTACAATGTCTATGTACAACGAGGCAGAGTATGTAAGACTTCTTACCCTGGCATCATTTGGAAACATAGAAGATGTTCTTCCATCTGGCTCAGTTATTGTGGGCGGCTTGCTCACATATATCTGCTTGAACTCTATCGTATACTTCCTTGCCTGCTCTTCTTCCCCCGTAGGACTGTGCGCCAGCAGAACAATCTTAGAATTCTCATCAACCACCTCCTGCATTGTACTTTGTATAAATTCATTGAACGAGTCCAGCTGCTGCCGTACCAGCCCCTTTTCCTTGAAAAACGCAGAGACAACCTTCCAGCAATCCTCCTGTGACAATTTGCTCATTCTTAAAAATTAATTTGCAATATTCTTACATATACCCGAATTTAACTCCAATTATACTAAGATCCACCAGAAAGCACCCACGCACAAACATCACAGAAAGAAGAAACCCCGATTCACCCCTAGAAGCACCAAATATTCCATCTATAAATAGACACAAAAAATATTTCTGAAAATGTCTGAGCACACTCTCTTCCACGTCTTCAACGTACCAAGAGAGGCATTCACACAAGACCTTCTCAAAAGTAGCTACTACACTCTGATAAAGCAAGTGCACCCAGACAAACTGGGCACCGCCAGCACACCAGCAGATGCAGCACAGTTCATCAATAAAGCATACAAAGTTCTAAGTAACGACTATATTCGCAGTATATACGAATACTCACTAGATAATAAAAGAAATCTAGTAGAGCGAGAAATCCCGAAGGAGCTCAATGCAGGGTTTACAACCGTCCTAGACTTAGAGAAGGAAAGAATAGGGTGCAATAAAGGCCTTGTCACCCCAGAATTTTTAGATGAAATACTTAGTCTAGAAGATAGAATAGAAAATAGTGCAGGAGATGCCCTCAGTGAAACAGAAGAATATATTCTAAAAGAAATTGAAAATTGCAAGAATAATAAAAAAGATGTAAAGGCACTTGCCAGGTGGAGATACTACAACAGAGTGCTAGACATAATTATGCAAAAAAAAATGATTGAATAGAAATATTTAGAAGTACTCAGAAATATTAATAAATTAGTCTTTTGTATAATAAGCATTTGTACTCACACAGAAATAGAGGAATAATTTCGGGGTATAATACATAATGGCATAAATATTTTAATTTTAATTTTTATTATATTTTAAAATTATATTAGTACAGTAGCAGGCATATTAAATAGAACTGTTCTGTGTATAAATAGGCGTATTCTAGTGGTATGTGTATAGATACGGGGATATCCGTAATTTATAATTAGACAGCACTGTGGCGCAATGGCAGCGCGCTGGGCTCATAACCCAGAGGTTGTAAGTTCGAGCCTTACCGGTGCTATTTTTTTTTGAGTTTGTTTCTACCCATGCACATATTTGTTTCATTTCCTGTTGATGAAGAGGTCAGTGACGAGCTAATTCTGTCAAATGTTCGAAAGGGCCTTGGGTCTTTAGGGAAAGACTGCGATCTGCTTTCTTTTCCTAAAATAGAAAGTGACTCCATTGACTGTCTCTTTGATTCGGAAGAGCGAATCCTCACAATAGAGAATCTTTTGGAGGACATCATTAGAAAGTACAACACAACTTATCATGCACTTACGCAGAAGGTTTTAGTTGACACTGATGTTCTTGGGAGGGGCTTTGACTACTTTCTTAAGTCTTTTTCGTGGGATTCTATAAAATACCCTCTGACGCTGAAAATGCCAGAGCTTCTTTCAATTATAGAGAATGAAATAATGGAGGCGATAGAGGCGTTGAAAGAGAAGGAGAAGACGTACACAGATGAAAAAAAGCACCGGGCAGAGACGGCATCTACAGTTTGCCGGATGTATGATGCAGATATAGACGAGATAGAGCACATGGCTGTGGATGATGATGAGGCTTGCGGGCCTTTTTTCAAGAGATACTACATTGGTGTATATGATAAGCTAAGGGATAAAGACATAGAAACACTTTCAAGCATAAATGGCTTATTTATAGAGTCTGGGAAGATGGTCAAAAAGTGCGATGATGGTGAGATATACCAGTCACTCGGCAGGAATGACTGCGAGGAGGATATCATAAAAAGCCTGGAAGAGCACGGCTTCATTGCTGCACAGCCCAAGCACACAAAGGAAGAGTACTTGCGCCAGAAGGAAGAAGAAAAAGAAAGTGCTGCACATCTCATGGAAACAGAGTGCGAGTACGAACGGCTTATTCTGGGACGGCTTCCTTCTTTGTATACTCTTCTGCTGCATGTCAAGCACCTTGGGCTTTATATAGAGTCTGTGCTGCGGTACGGCCTTCCTGCAACCTTCTGTTTTTTCACACTTGAGAGTAAGCACGGGAATAAGGTAATACATAAGTGGAAAAAACTGGCAGCCTCCTGGAAATATTCTAATAGAATAGCAGCGGTGGAAAAGACAACCATCTCAGAAGACAATGCGGCTCTGCATGATTTTGTATACAAAATGATCGGAGACTTCAATTTGGAAGAGATTAAAGAATAAAGATCTTACAGGATATGTTTGCAGGTGATATAGCTCATCTAGTTTACAGTGCATTAATTTGCAGGTGCTTGTTTTTATTTAGCATGTCATTGGTGCACAGCGGGTGTACTGATTGGCCTATCTTAAAAGTTCATAAAATATACTTGTCCGTTGTGAAACAATCTTAAGCCAATTCCCAGGGATTGAATAAATAGAAAATGAAACACATTTCAGATAATGGATGAAGTACAGCGCATAAAACCCATACTTCAGTTGGAGAAATATAAAACACTTGAAAATACGTTAAAAAAAAGAGAGACTAATACGCCCGAAGATTATGAAACAGAAAACATAAGCGCGAATAGAATAGCCCTGCCCACGCATGTGTCACAGGACGAAGAGATATTTTGTCGCATATGCTACTCATACGAGAGTCCGCTTGGGCTATTAAATGATCTGGTAAGTCCGTGTGGGTGCAAGGGAACCATAAAGTACGTGCACAGGTACTGCCTGCGCATATGGAGGTTTAAAGGAAAGATGGTCAAGGACATAAAAGTGTGTGAGCAGTGCTTCTGCGAGTACGTTGTTGATGATGAAAAACAAGTCGGGAAATTTATAGTGGCAGTGTCGACAGCTGCCATTATGATTTCTCTCTTGGTTCTCACGAGTATATTTATCTCTTCATCTGCAGACACTGCTAAGTTTATTCTTAATGATATTTACACGTATATGTACGGAAATTCAAAAATGGTCTCATTTGATGACCCAATCCTTGTGTGCAATATGGACAGTATTATTGCAAGAAAGAACAGTGAAAATCCTCTGCGGAGTACATTTGTGCTTAAAAAGATAGAAGGCACTGCATCTGGTGAGCACGAGCACTTTGCAAGTATCAAGAAAAAGTATATATACAGCCTAAAGAACATACACCTGCTGGATGTAGAAAAGAGCGACTTGTTTTTAACATGCACCACACTTGGTGTCACATATACAATTCTTTGTGAGGACAACCCTATTCTATTCATTAACTTTATGCTCTCGTTCTGGAGGATTATCTCATTTGATACGCTCTTTGACTGGGCTTTATACGGAATGATAAATCTGTACATATACACTCAAATGTTTGAAAAAATATATAAGTGCATAGACAACTATTGCATGTATGCAATTAATGTCTATTAGTCAGTATACTTGGTCAGATATAATAAAGCATACTTAAATCTCAGATTGTTTATTTTCTGATTATTTCGTGTGTTAATTCTGCATTGTTTAAGAATTCATGCAGTGCTTTACGCCATTTTTCATTATTTTGGGCTATTTTCTCTATGCGCTCTATATTATTTAAAATGTGTCTGTGGAGACTTTTATTTATTTATTGTAGGCTGCTAAATAAAAAAATAAAGAAATTTCAATTTATTCTGATAGTACTCAAAGAAGAATGTCCGTATACAGATCGGCTGCTGTGCACCTGGGAGAGTCAATGGAGATGGCTTTGATTTTACTCATTTCACTTTTAGCTGATTCATTAAGTTCATCTACTATTTTATCTGCATCTGGGCCAATGTACTGCTTAATCCATTCAATTGAGTCATTCTTGCTCTTTTCATCTACCTCTGTTGAACTTCTATATCCTGTGAATGCATCTGTCATAGAGTGATTGTTATACCTGTATGTAGAGCATTCTATAATGATGGGTCCTTTTGTCAGGGCGTGTTCTTTTGCATACTTAAATGCGCCTGCAACAGTAAATACATCAGTGCTGTCCAAAAGAATTCCTGGCACAAAAGAGAATCTGTCGTATATGGTTGTTGATGCACTTGCTCTGCACACGGGAGTACCCATTCCGTACTGGTTATTCTCACACAGGAAGATAATTGGCAGCTTCCACAGTGCTGCCATATTAAGAGACTCGTACACCTGGCCTTGGTTTGATGCACCATCACCAAATGCAGCAATTGTTACGTTCTTGCACTCAAACACATTCCAAATATTATTTGTCCACTCACCAACTACTTTTTCATTAGCTGTTTGTTTTTTAGAGAGCGGATTGTTTCTTACTGCGCGATACTTCTCTGCAAAAGCAATGCCCAGACCAAGAGGTACCTGCGCACCAACAATCCCATGCCCGCCAAAGAACCTGTCCCCATAGAGATGCATTGATCCTCCCTTTCCGCGCGCGCATCCGTCTATAGACCCAACTTGTTCGCAGACTATTTCTTTTGCATCTATTCCTGAGATAAGTGCAAACGGGTGACACCTATAACTCGTGATTAAAACATCTTTAGGATCAAGAATCAGCTCAATCCCTGCAGAGATAGCTTCCTGCCCCATTGCGAGATGACAAAATCCTCGGATCTTTTTATCCTTATACAAATCGTGCAGTATAAGTTCCATATGCCGAATTCTGGTCATTGTCTTACACGCAGAAATCGCCTGCTCCTTTGTGTGCGGCAGTACTTCTGGCTGGTCCTTTAAAAGATGCAATTTATACATATTTTAAAATAAACAATAGGATATTTAATATGAAAATAGAATTTGATTATTAATAATCATAAACCTAAAATGCACGCACTGATAATTACAATAATACTGATAATTAATAGTAATTTCACAGTACACTGCACGTATTAAAATGAATTCTATTCCCTGCTCTATAACTGTACAGTATTTATATTAGAAGAGTCTTTTGCTTGAATAGTCATATAAATTAGTACTCAATTTATTTTATATCTTTGGGTTAATTACTCTCTGGTTTTCCCCCAAATTTTGCAATCATATTATAGCATGCATTGTATCCTCTGCATATATACATGTCCTTCATACTGATACTCATTTTTTTCAGTTGTTTTTTCTCTTTTTTACTGATCTTGGATTTCATTGCTTTTTTAATTTCACTCTTCTGTGATATGTATACTCGCATACCATCAAACACAACCAGTGTAAATATAACACTAAAAATCAATACACCAATAGATGGCATGACAATGGGTACGCGTGCTTTCTTGTGCGTTCTAGACTTGTAATTCTCCATGAACTGTGGGTGTGCTTCATCTAGTATCCAATCGTACGCCTTTCTTAATTTTGGCTGTGTGAGTATTTGGTACCCATTGACTATTATTGATTTTGCTTCCATTTCAGACAAGTTCTTTCCGACTGGCATGGACCTTCCCTTTATTTTGGATATGTAACACTCCTTTATAAGCTTTGATTGGCTTTTGGTAATTTCTTGCCTGCTTGCGTTTCTGTCTATATTAAATAGCGAGAATATAGTTGTGTGTCCGGCATCTTGTAATGCCTTTATGTACAGCGCAACTTGCTCTATTTCCTTGTATGACATGCACTGGCACATTCCCAGGATAAACAGTAGAAGTATTCCCAATCTCATATTTATTCCAGGATAAAAAATTGCTGAATTTAAATAATTTCAGCTAATTAATAAATTAAATGACTTGCTCGTGCGTATAAGTTTATTCAAATATGAAAAAATAATTTGCATGGATACGCTACAGACGCATAAAGTAGTAATTACTGAAGACAAGCTGTCCAACTCCATAGAAATCAGCATAAGAGATGAAGATCATACAATTGGAAATGCGCTAGCATCTGAACTGCAAAAAGAAAAGGATGTTTCTTTTTCTGCGTATAAAATACCGCATCCACTGCAGAATATTCTAAAGGTGAAGGTGGTTGTTGAGAAGTCAGAAGATCGGCCTATTGAATTTGTTAAGGCATCTTTAGACCATCTTATTAGTGACTGTGATTCTATGCTATCCCAAATATATAAATAACTACTCTTCCAGAATTGGAATGCTTGTTCCTTTCTCTATTTTGCCTGCTCCAATGAGCCTCCAGTGCCCGCTAAGTTTTCGTGAGATGCTTAGTGTGGCGCCTATTTCTGCGCATATTGGGGTGGCTAAAATGAATGAGGCGGTATCTTTTGATGCCGCAGTTATTTGAATACGGCTAGAACTGCTGCCTATGTTTATTAAGAGCTGTTCCTTTATTGCGAGCGGCTTGCCCAGTGCGGGCATCTGTGCAGTGAGTTTTTCAAATAAATGGTAAGTTATGCTTAGCTCTCTGTATACCTCAGGGAGGGTTCCGGGCCTTCCCAGAACTTGCCCAACTAATTTATCTCCTCTACAGAAGAATGGGTCTAATTCAGTTCCAATTCCCACGAGCCCTCCTGGAACGGCTACTTTAAGGACATTTGACTCTGCAAAAAGAGAGACAATTTTTGTTCTGACTGGCTTACATACTAGCTTTCCCTTGACTTTCTCTAGTACACCTGGTCTTATTTCTAATTCTTCTCCAGCCTGTATGTACCCGCTGGTTAGACACCCTCCAATAACACCTCCTTTATAATCTGATGGCTTGCATCCTGGCTTGTTTATATCAAATGATCTAATTACTTGCACTTGTGGTGGTCTATCATACTCTCTCTGCGGCACTGGGATGTAGTTAACAATGTAGTCCAGAATTGCATCAAGATTGCAGCCAATCTGGGCTGATGTGGGTATAATGGGTGCCTGGCTCACTGTTGAATCTTTTATGAAGTCTTCAATTTGGTCGTGATTTTCTAATGCCTGCTCTCTTGATAGAAGATCTATTTTATTCTGGAGTATTATTACTCTGTTAAGATCTACTACATCTATTGCGTTAAGGTGCTCTATAGTCTGTGGCTGTGGACATTGCTCGTTTGCTGCTATAATCAGTATGGCAGCATCCATAATTGCTGCCCCGGTGAGCATTGTGTCCATAAGCACTTCGTGCCCAGGACAGTCTACAAATGAAACGTGCCTTTCCAGTGTAATGGTTCCTGTACAGCTCTTTGTTTTGCAGGACTTTGGCGGTTTCTGGGTGCTAGATGTGGAGATGTAACACTCTGGCCTTTTACATATTCCTCCAGTGCATTTATATATCTTTGCATTTGCATATCCCAGCTTAATGGTTATGTTTCTTTCTAATTCACTTTTAAATCTTACTGTTTTCACACCACTGATTGCTCTGACAATGGTTGACTTTCCGTGGGCCACATGCCCAATCATTCCTATGTTGACTGTTGCCTGGTTTTTCATGATATCCTGGCTAATCGGTCCTAGCTCTATTCCTTCAATGACTGTTGTCTGCATAAAATAAAAAAGCCACGGTATAATTAAATACACACAAACAGCTTAAATAAAAAATACCAGAAAACAAAGAAATTCCAAAAAATACATAAATACCGTTTACACACCAAAATATCAGACAAACCCATTATACAAATACAATAAATCGTATATTAATGGACTGTTCTGTGCACTTCTTCTGTATATTCATAAAATAGGTTATTATTATATAATAAATTGGTTTATTATACGTATGAATATATCTAGAGTAATTTCCTAGTCGTCTGTATATTTATTAGATTGCTTCAAGCCATGTAAGTATACGTTAAAATACCAGTATACACTTTCTAAAAATTCTTATTTCTATTTATGCATATAAAATATGCTGTAATGCTCCTTCAAATGAAAATATAGAGACAGATTTTGCATCTATAATAGGATACTCCTGTGGTGCAACAGATTGCAACTTTCCAATGACCTGTAGCTGTAGATTTTCTCTGTCTTCTTTTTTTATTATTCTGTTAACTACTTCATTCGGAATACTTTCTAAATTTAGAATACCCTTCCCAGATATATCCTCTACTAAGTATTTAGTTCTTGTTATTCTTCTTTCTATTACTACTCTAAAAAGTCCCTCTTCAGTCCTTCTTCCATGGATGAATTCAATTGACTTGCGACAGAATATTCCACTCTCACTAATTCTGCTTATACTTCCGTATGTCTCTCCCTCCATTCTTATGATGTACCCAGCGTAGTTAACTTTCGTTTTACTTTTAAATTAAAATATGCTTATTCTTGCAAATATTACCAAAGCAGCCATTGGTGCACTGAAAGAGTACATCACATTTATGGGTGCAATGACCACAACTGAAGCAATGAACATTTTGAACATTCCAGTCGAACAAGAACTGTCCCACAGCATAATTAAACAGAATGCAGAAAGACTAACAAAAAAGAATAAAAATGCATTGCCAGCTTCTCTCTATATACTAAAGAAAATAAAAAGTGCAGAGGCAGTTCTTCTCAGAGAGATAGAATAAGTGTAATAAATAATATTTAATTAATTATACAATTTAAAATCATTTTTGTTGTATGCTAAGATTAGCATTTGTGTAGCACAAATTAAATCAGAAATATTTGTTGACACAATATGTCAACATAAATTAAATTGATTATACGGTCTACAAATGCGTATACAAATTCAATAAAAGTCAAAGTTTAAGAATGCCTTTCCTAAGAAAAAAACTATTTTTATATAATTTCTTATTATATTCTCTTATTATGGTGCATCTGATGAAAATAAAAATAGTTTATTCTTGCGTATTTATGCATTATAAAAATATAAAAGCATTTGCTATCTTGGGTTGCTTGGATACATGTTTTCTCTAAAGAAATAATTTTTATAAAAATAATACATTTCTTATCTATAACGAATTACTTAATTTAACAGTAAATTCTTGGTGTGCCCTGCTTCAAAGTCTTCCCTAGTATTTACCTCTTTTATTTCAAAGTAGTTTATCATTATGGTTAGGACTGCTCCAACATATACAATATCTGAGTCTGGGAGCAGATTATGTGGCATGTAAGAAGAGAAATAATTTGGGAACAAGGCCAATCTATACCCTCTATCAGCACATTCATCAGACATACTTTCTTCCGATGTAGATATAATACTTCTCTTATTGAGTTCTTCAAGCATTTTATCTACCAATGGTTTTGTTCCTTTAATAAAAATGGTTGGTGTAGAACTTTTGTACACAGAAGAGTGCAGCGTCTCCAAAATTTTATCAAGAGCCACATCGTATGTAGATGTTCTAGTAATGGAGTGTGCGCAGTTTAGACTGGACTTGGCCACTAGATCTACAGACCACAGAATAGAGTCATTTGATGCATTTTCAACAGAGACCACGCATAGATTCTGAACACCCAAAGCAAGAGAGGTTGAAACAGAAGAGTACATGACAGACATAGACTCTATACTGGACTCTTTAAAGAAGTATTTTGATATCTTGTAAATATCTATCTTATCAATGTTGCTACTAACAAGAATAAACACGTGCAGCTTTCCTTCTAAGTGACCAATAACCTCTTCCTTCGTGCACTCTTTAAACGAAATACCAGTAGAAAACACTCTATAAACACCAATTCCATTGATCTCAATTATAATAACTTCTGGTTCCATGCTAATAGCAAATAAAAAGAAAAAAATTTAGGGGAACAAATATGAAAAATAGCTCTGCGTATGAAGGCGAACAAAGCAAGAATTTCTTAAATAATGCGCACATAGAGAACAGCGAAGTATTATTAAGAAGCATGGAGGAGAGAAGGACCAAAAGCACAAATCTTACAAATACAAAAGAAGAAAACAAAAGCATTATAGACATGCAACGGGCAGTTATAGATAATGCAGACGTGGCGGATGGAGGGGATAAAGACGCGAATAAGAATGAAGATCTGAAGAAAGATGAAAATGAAAATGAAGACGAGGAGAATAAAAAAAATAAAGAAAACAAAGAACAGGAAGCAGACGAACCATCTACAGGAAGAAATTTTATTCCCAACAGAAATAATGCGCAACAGACACCGCCAATGTTTGCACAAAGAGGTATGCCTGCTCAAAACAGAAGGCCTCCAGTCTATCCAAACATGCCTCCTAAGGCGCCTCTGAAAAGTCCAATTAGTTTGCAAACAATAGCCACAATTATTATGATTATATTCTTTTCGGCGAGTTTGTACTTTTTGTTCAAGACCCATGGAGGGCAGGGCGGCATGACTAATGGTGCGTCTAAGAAGGACTCATACTTCATGAAAAACTTTGACGAGTTGGCAGATAGGTATAGAAGGCTAAAGCCAAGTCAGTGTAAGCAGAGCGCGTATTATGGGCTAGATGAACAATTCAATAGTTACATTAAGTTAATTTTGCCCTACATAGAAGGTGGAGAAAATTCAGCCAGTTTATGCGGTGATAGAATGCTTACAAAGAATTTAATGGTTTATGGTATGCCTGGTACGGGAAAGTCATTTTTTGCTAGAAAGCTGTTCTTGTTGACAGCACTTAACATAAAAGCAGAGAAGCTTAAGAAGAAGTACCTAGTAAAGAATCTGAACATCAAGAACAAGAAAAATGCACACAGCATTATCAGAGAACTATACGACTGCGATGACACAATCGAGTTGTACCAAATAGATTCTGGAATGTTTTTGAACAAGCTAGTTGGTGAGTCCGAGGAAGCATTTAGAGTATTTAAGGAGTTTATTGAGTGGAGACAGAAAACAATTCCTGTGTTTGTATTTATAGATGAAGCCGAGTCGGTTTTCAGCACTAGAAAGTCATCAGATACTGGCGGTGGCGGGCAAATCGCGCTAAACTTAAAGACAATGTGGCTTACTTGGCTAGACGGAATACAGGCAAAAGAAGAAAGTCGAAAATTTCTTATAGCAGCAACGAATTTCTACGAATCAATTGATGATGCTTTAAAGAGAAGATTTGAATCAAAGCTTGGTATCCCTCTGTCAGTTAAATCAGACAGAAAGACTCTTTTGGAAAAGGAGCTGTTTAAAACAAAAGTAGTTGATGTAAGGGATCGCGTGGATAAGAATAAAATTTTAGCTGAAACTGAAGGAATTCAAGGGAATGACATGATGAAAATAGTTTATGACTTGAAAAAGAAAAAGAACAGCACTAAAACTCCGGTTTCTTTGAAAAAAGCACTAAACCACATACAAAAGCACAAAAAAATATTAAATCAAGCAGATGCAGAGAAAAAGGAAAAAGATAAAATGTATAAAAAGCATCAAATCCACGATGATACGAAAATGTCAAATCCTGATTCAATAATAACTACCCTTCATTGGGAGAAAACTGATTCAATCCCAGTTACCAAGCAAGAAATGATGAGTATTGAGGAGGAACTGGCTATGCAAACAGAGATAGATATTAAAGAGAATGAGGATCAACAAGAAATCATGGCTGGCCTAGGCATATCTTTGAACCATGATGATAGATCTTCTGATGAATTAAAAGGAAGCAGCCAAGACTCAGACAGCAGTTTAGAACAAGACGAGCCATTCAACGAGGGCATGCTTACAAGTGCAGGAAACTGGCTAGCAGGCGTTCTTGCAAAAATATCTTCCTAGTACAGCTATGTTTATGTATTAGAGAACCCGTGTCAATAAAACCAGCTATTTTATATACGTCAGGATTAAATCTTACCAATTCCCTACTTATACCATAATTTAACTGTTTAAATAATACCCATCAAATTAGACAAATTTATTAATTCCCGGATTAAACCGTGTGATAGTGTAATTATAGCCTTCTTTGGGCAATCTTTCAATTAAATCTAATTTTAATTATAGAATAAAAATAAAGGCGTATGTCGTAATTGGTTTCATGTACATATTTATTTTTGGTATACAATGTGTAAATTTATACTAAATTGTATGTATATGGCACAGCAGGAAATAGATGAATATGCTGTATTTATTAGTTATACTGGAGTATTATAGAAACTTCTGTATATGGCCTAAATAGTAATTTAAACAGAGTTTCTGAAGTGTTTCAGATTTCTATTTAATATTAATACGGATAACACATACACAATAATGAATTCTAAAGCCAATGAAGGAGAGTTTAAAATAGCCACCACGCCATCACAGAATCCATTCACTATTGATATCACAGAGTCGTCAGCACAGGAATCTCCCAGAGAGCAAAAAAGACAGCGAATAAAGAAGACAATTAAGGGAAAGAGGGAAAACACGATTAAAGCAGTATTTGGAGTTATTTTAGTCATAGTAGGAATAACCATCTACTTTATGCTAACAAATGTGTATACAGGTGTGTTTCCAAGCAAGTCTGCTGCAGTCTGCTGTATTATCTCTTTCTTGGCAAGTGCGTTCTGGTCTCTTCATATACTGCCACTGGAAATTACTTCAGTTGCTCTTATCCCAATAGTAATTATATCCAATATAATGGTGCCAGATAAAACTGGTGTACAGGGATGGATCAGTGGGTTTGTAATAGTCACGAAAATACTAGTATCTCCTGTTGTATTGCTACTAATGGGGAGCTGTCTTTTGTCTGTATACTTTCAGTGCAATGGCGGAGAGAAGATGGTTCTGCCGTATCTGATTGATGGGGGCAATATATATTCTAGTCTGTTCAGAAGTATGTTTCTATCCATAGTTCTTTCATCAATCATGTCAAACATCACTGCACCAATTATTATAATATCAATTCTTCAGAGCAGGCCACGGCCACCAAGCCCAGCAATTATTATGGGAGTAGCCATGGGCTCAAACATTGGGGGAATGGTTTTGCCCATAAGCAGTCCGCAGTCCATTCTTGGATCTGGTATTATAAGTGTCTCCTGGAGCAGGTGGATGTGGGTATCCCTTCCCACAGTTGCTGTATGCTTTTTATTTGTGTTCTCCTTAATAATCGCGTATTTCCCAAAACAGCCGCAGAGTGAGAACAATATCGTTATTGCAGGTGAACCGCAGAACTCTTCTCTTTTAATAATTGTGACGACTCTTTGCATTATTTGCTGGTCGCTCCCATCTATTTATTCAGGGCTAAAGTGGATATATGCACTGCCAGTGTGTGCACTTCTCATAACCAAAAGTGCCCGGAAAGTGTTTAACAGAAAGACTCTTGAAATTATTTCCATTGCTGTAGCAGGAACTGCAATTGGAAGGGGAATAAAAACCACTAAAATGCTAGAGAGTATGATCTCTGGATTAATCATAAGCAGCAAGGAAAGAAGTCTTCTATTTCTTCTAATTTCCTTGTCTTTTGTTATGCTCTGCCTCTCCTGCATAGTTTGCCACACTGTGAGTGCTGTGGTACTTCTACCTATTTATGAGAAGATAGGTATGTTTGTGGGAAGGCCAAAACTCATTGTTGCGATATCTGCCCTGGCTTGTTCTTGCGGTATGGCCTTCCCAGCAAGCGGATTCCCGAATATTTTAGCAAGCTCATTTAAATCACCAAATGGAAAAAGGTTAGTGAGCTCAAAAGATTTTATTTTAATTGGAACAATTTCAACCATTGTCTGCTGGATTTCCATTTTAACTGTTTCTCTGTTTTTTATGGTCATAGCAAAGTTTTAAATTTTTACATGGCAACTGCAAATTGCTTAGCTCAGAACAAAGAGAAAAAAGAAAGGAGAGAAAAAAGAGATGTCCCAGACGACATTCAAAATTACAAGCCAGAGCCATTCACTGAGAAAGGGCTCAAACAGTTTCTAGAGACAAGCTCATTTGAAGTTATGTTCCCAAAGCACAGAGAGAAGTACATCAGAGAGACAGAGGAGTACATAAGAAAGGCACTTGCCCAGAGAAGGCTTGCACTGATCGTGGACTATCACGAGCTAATACTTAAAGTAGAGACCACACCGCACACAAGAGACCCATACGTGATTATGGAGGGGAGGGATGCTTTGAAGTTAGTGAGCCGAGGTGTACCTCTGGAGAAGGCAATAAGAGTATTTGAGGATGGAATAACCCATGATATCATTCCCATAAATGTATTTACCAGAAACAAAGAAATATTTTTAAAAAGAAGAGAGCGTCTTATAGGCCCACGCGGGAATACCATAAAATCACTAGAGCTACTGACAGACTGTTACATTCTTTCATTTGGAAACACCGTGAGTGCAATAGGCAACTACAAGAGTTTAAAAGAGGTAAGAAATGTTGTTACAAAGTGCATGGAGAACATACATCCGATCTATGAGATAAAGAAGTTAATGATACGGCGAGAGCTTGAAAAAGATCCAGCACTTAAAACAGAAAACTGGGAGAGGTACATGCCGCAGTACAAGAAGACACACAGTAAAAAGAGAAAGGTCACGATAGTAGAAAAAACCTACAGAAACACTTTCCCAGAGCCAGAGCAGAGAAAGCAAGACAAAGAGATGATGAGTGGCACGTATGTTCATAAAGACAGGCCAAAAAAGAATTCCAGCCCAAACACAAAGAAAGAATCCACAGAGGATATCTAAAAGTGAATATTAACAGACAAATAATAGAAATAAAATTAAAATAGGTAATTATATACTGATTTAGTAATTAAAAGAAGTACGAGGGCCGGGATATGTTAATACCGCACTCTTTCAGGGCATTCTCCACATCGGACAGAGTGAGAGTGAGCTTTTTCTCTTTTGGTGTTTTTTTTTCTTTCAGCGATGCCCTCTTTGCGATTTTGTGGTATTGGTAGGCGCATGTGGCCACGTCAGTAATTAGCTTTTGTGCTATAAGAGAGACCAGTTTTTTAATCTTTGGATCATCTGTTGCCAGTCCTGCTTTAGTGAAGCAGTGGTCTAGCACGACATCTGGGATTAAAGGAATAAAAGAGTCAAGCCCCTCATTTATTTTGTTGAATGTGCTGTCGTCCATAAAAGAAAAAAACTATCCAATTCTTGTACCAATGGATGGGGCAAGGGCAGTGGCCATATCTATTGTATCTCCCCATTTAAGAACATTTTCTTTTCTTACTTCTTGTTTCTCTGTTTCTTCGGTTATTTTCTGTGAGAGTTCATCTATGGACACTCTTTGCAATATAAACATGCATGTTCTAGTTTTTTTATGCCTTTAATGGAGAAAGAGAATGACATCTTTGAGGAGCAGTCAGGAGAAATGATGCAGTCGTATCACACTCCGATTGAAATACTTAAGGAAGGAGGAATATCTGCAGCAGATATAGGAAAGCTAGTGGAATGCGGGTTCAGGAGTGTAGAGAGTGTGGCATTCTCCCCCAGGAAGAAGCTATTAAGCATTCGAGGGTTTGCAGAGGCGAAGGTTGACAAGATAGTAAAAGAGGCAACGAAGCATGTTGAGCTAGGGTTTCAGACAGCCGAGGTAGTGCACCAGAAGAGGCTGCAGATGAAGATGATCACCACAGGATCGAGTGAGCTGGACAAGTTACTTGGTGGGGGCATTGAGACGGGATCTATTACAGAGCTATTTGGGGAATTCCGTACGGGAAAGACTCAGCTGTGCCACATGCTTGCTGTTACGTGCCAGCTACCAACAGAGCTTGGTGGGTGCAATGGGAAGGCGGTGTACATAGACACTGAAGCTACATTTAGATCAGAAAGGCTGATTGAGATAGCCAAAAGATATCAGCTAGATCCAAATGTAGTACTTTCAAACGTATGTGTTGCCAGAGCGTATAATGTAGACCATCAGATTGAACTGGTCAAGCAGGCAGGAAGTCTAATGGCATCTGGCGAGTATCGTCTATGCATTGTTGACTCTATTATAGCCCACTACAGAACAGACTTTTCTGGCAGAGGTGAGTTGAGTGCCCGGCAGATGCACTTGGGAGTATACTTAAGATCACTAATGCAGCTAGCAGATGAGTACAATGTTGCCATTGTAATAACCAACCAGGTTGTTGCACAGGTAGATGGAGCCGCATCTATGTTTGGAGGTGATACAAAGAAGCCAACAGGTGGGCATGTCTTAGCACACGCCAGTGCCACCAGGCTGTACTTAAGAAAGGGAAGAGGTGATTTAAGAATATGCAAGGTGTACGACTCACCTTCTCTTCCAGAATCTGAAGCCACTTTCAGGATTATTAAGGAAGGTATCACAGATGGAGAAGAATAATAAACTAATTTATCCAATTTCATATTTTATAAGACCGTAATAAGCCGTACACCTTATAAATAAAATCAGAAAGGGTTTAAATAAATTTGAGTCCAAAATAAATATTCACAATGCATTTTATATACGCCCATAATATAATGGACAGTAAAGCAAAGTATACGTAAAGGAGTACACCATGGAATTAATAAGAGTATAGACGTATTTTCAGTGTATTATCAATATAAATAGAGTAGTGCGTACGTATTAGATTATATAAAGTATACGTTATAAATTGGATTATTATGGTTATAGTATACGGATATTTATGGATAAGTGGTGAAATTAGTTATCTTTATGATTTATTTGGTATTTCAGAAGAAACAGTTGCAGTATGCATTATACTAAGAGTATTCCATTCACGCATCCGTCATTTTCTGGATTATTTGTTATCTGCGCGTACTTACCCCAAATAATTCTTCCAGACTCAGAGACCATTCCAATTGCACTTGTATTAACTTCTATAATAGTACCTTTTGTAAGGAGTCCGAGTGTTGTCATTAAGTGAGAGTTTGGGTTCTGCTTGACTCCCATTATAGGGAGAAGGAATGTAGACTTCATTTCTGGGTGTGTGATATTAGCAGATTTCATTCGAAGACCAGTTGGTCTGATGAATCTTTCAAACTTTGGAGGCTTTCTTGTGTAGTTGTCCCCAACAAAGCACGGCTTAGTGACAACTCTCTTCCACTCGTTTTTCTGTCTCTTTCCAGTCTTCATGACTTTGAAAGCTTCTGCTTCAGATACTCCCCTTACCTGTGGAACCGGCACAGTGTACTTCCCTGCTTTATTCTGTCTCTGCTCCTTTAGCTGTGTGGTTATGGCCTGTATAGCCGCCTGCTTTTCTCTATCAAGCAAGTATGCAGGGATTGCACCATCTGCTATTTCTTCCTGTGCAACCTTCTTCTGCTTCCTCTCCGTCTGCATCTTCTCTTTCTTTAGCTGTATCTTCTCCTTTCTTCTCTTTTCATGGAATATTATGGCCTTTCTTCCATACAGCTCCTTTGAGATCTTTGAAAGCCTCTTCCCAGCTCGAGATTCATACTTCTCTTTTCGTACGAGGTAGTCTTCACGTCTTCCAGCTAATTTGATAGCCTCTTCAACGTAATTATGTTGCGACATAAAAAATTTACGCATGAATTCCACCAGACTATATTTCTGCGAAAAAGAAGAAGACCCGTCCCTCCTTAATAGATTCTACCAGGACATGCAGGAAAGAATCACCAATAACACCCTAACACTAAAAGAAATAGAAAATACGCTGGAAATTGACACATTCTATCTTGAGCAGAAATTAGGCGAGGTTACTGTATATGGCATAAACCACCTACGAGCAGCACTATCCAAGATCATAGAAGAAGAAACAGGCGTGGCACAGAAAGTATACGTTAAAATAGTGCCATTCCCTGCACCAGTACCATTCTCTACGCTGAGGCACGATGCCGTAGGAAAGTTATTTTCTATTGCAGGTGTTGTATCCCGCATAGAGAGTGCCAAGCCCATCCCCACACTAATTATGTTTATGTGTGGGAAGTGCAAGGAAGAGGTAGAGGTTACACCTAAAATGGGTGTGTACACTAAGCCAAGCAGGTGTACACTCCCGTGTAAATCAACTAATTTCATTCTTATAAAGGACTCGCATAAAAATAAGTTCAGAGATGCACAGAGAATAAAAGTACAAGAACTGTTCTTAACAGAAATAGAAAGAAGAAAGGCAGGTTCTATAAATTGCATTGTACACAGGGATTTAGTAAACACTCTTCTACCAGGAGATGCCGTGCACATTCTTGGCACTGGTATTGCTGAGGAGAGTGGTGAGGATGGGTATACAGTCGGGATCAAAGCGAATAACATATCCTTTCTAAAGCAGAAAGATGTACATAATCAATTCGTATTCCTTCCCGATGATTTAGAGAGAATCAAAAACCTTTCATCCCAGGAGAGTATTATTGATGTACTGGGAGAGTCTTTATTCTCAGAGATAGTTGGGAATAAAGTTCTGAAGAAAGGGCTTCTTCTTTCGTTAGTGGGTGGTTCACACAAAAAGCATAAAAGAAAAGAAATACATTTAGTGGTGATGGGTGACCCCGGCATGGGAAAGAGTAAAATAATCCGGCGGGCATCTGAAATACTTCCCAGGAGTAATTATGTATGCGGAACCACAACTACAGCAGGAGGACTGGGTCTTTCAATGCAATCCAGTGGTGGGGGGGAGTACGTACTCTCAGCGGGTGCACTAGTTCTGAGTGATTTAGGGCACTGTTTTATAGACGAGTTAGACAAGCTGGAGAGTCCCCAGACACTATTTGAAGCAATGGAGAGTCAAGAAATAACCATTGCCAAAGCCGGGATGGTCTGTGCCATGCCCACAAGAACAGCCGTGATTGCAGCTGCGAATCCTTTATTCGGCAGGTACAGAAGGGATAAGTCCCTCCAGGAGAACATTAATCTTTCAGGAGAGTTTCTTTCTAGGTTTGACCTGATTTTCGTTATGATAGATGAGCTAAACACAAAAGAGCACTGTTCCATTGCCAGGCGTATTCTAGGGACTGGGCATGCATTAGAATCCAGTGACTGTACTCTATCCATTGATCTAGCCCAGAAGTATATACAGTATGCCAGAGAGCAAGTCCATCCTGTACTATCATCAGGTGCCAAGGAAAGGATTGTAGAGTTCTTTAAAACCATCAGGACACAGAAGGTTTATAACAACCGTATACTGGCACAGCCAATTACACCAAGAGTGATTGATTCATTAATACGTATTTCTGAGTCTGTGGCTAAGTTACACCTAAGGGAGATATCCACTCGATCGGATGTAGACCAAGCAATAGAGATAATAACAATGGAGAACATTCCGGTCACAGAAAAAAAGAAGAAAGATCCACCGCATACGGCATTTATTAATGCAATCCAGCAGACGGGACTAAAAGAGATATCTGAGAGTGATTTAGTAAGGCTGGGTCATTCAATAGGCCTAGATGCAAGCACTGTAGACAAGTTAATTTACAGGCTTAACAGCCAAGGCATTATTATTAAAAAGGCCTCGAATATATTCAGAGTAAAAATATAAATTATTATTTATTACACAATGTACAGTTAATCATTTTGTTAGTTCATTATATATAACACAATATATAATATATTCCCCTACTAATACAATTATAATTATAATTATAAAGCATATGCATTATAAGTAATAAGTAATAACAGCACCATTATTTATAAGCAATTATATTATAATTATTATAAGTATACTAATTATACAGCGAGTATAACAGAACATATAACGCGTACAGTAATAAGTTATACAAAATCATCATTACATGACTAAGTATACATTATATTATAAGTACTATTATTTATTCCTGTGTGTACTATTATTTATTGTACAGTGTGTAATAAATAATGTGAAAGTTCTCCACTGCATATAACTAGAAATTCTTTTATGAATTAATTAATGTCTGATTTGCCGTACTACTGTCACATATGCGACAGGGTGGTTTACATTGAGGACAGAGTACAGTGCCCACAGTGCAGGGAGTCCTTTTTAGAGCTACACACAGAAGACCTTGATGATGAGGAGGAGAGAATATCCATTCCAGCCACAAATTGCATGGGAGGGTTTCTAGGCCTAAGCTTTTTCGGGTGTACACGGCAGAGGGCCATGCGGCCAGAAAGGAAAAGAACAATCACATCTGACAGGAGGAATTATGCGATTGGTCCTGAGATAGATGATATAATATCCAGGCTAAGGGACGAAAGGGGCATTGATGAGAATCCTGCGACAGAAGAGCAGAGATCCAGACTAATCCTATCAGAGATAGCAGGGACTGACGAAGTATGCACGATTTGTTTCTGTCCATTTGAGGGTTCTCAGCAGGGGTACAAGTACCCGTGCAGTCACGGCTTCCATGTGGAGTGTTCAGATGCCTGGCTTAAGTTACAGTCGGACTGTCCAATGTGTAGAAAATCCTTATAATTAATTTCTGGTTATTGTATAATAAATACAGTCAGTGTATCAGTATATTTTACAGTATATGTAATAAGTAGTATTTAAAGTACATAAGCCAATAAGTCATATTTAAACAATCAAAATAATTTTATATACTATATGTAATAAGTAGTATAGTACTTTATATACTATATGTAATAAGTAGTATTTTATAGGCTATATATAATAAATTATACAATGTAAAATATTTATACATGGGAGAGGACCAAGACCAAGTATTTTCAATAGAGTCATATTCATCCCTCCTTATTAAACAGATTCATATCAGTAAATATCCATTAAAACCAAAGGATCTGCATAAAATAGACAAAGTGCAGAATATAATGATCATTGATGCATATTTAAATTTACAACGGGTACGGCACGAATTATACGGCAGTACATTTAAATATTTTATACTCCCGGACAGGGCCAGGATTACTTTAGAGTCATTGTGTAAAAAGAAGTATAAGAGAAATAGCATGCATTTGGATAAAAAAATAAGCATACCAAATAAGGAAATTTCTTTATTAAAAATAACGGATTTTCCTAATATAGAAGAAATAATTAATTCCACTGTAAAAATCAAAAATCCCCATGCGGGTGCGCATACATCAGAAATAACCCGAAATTCATGGATATTCAAAATATTAGACGAGAATAATTTATTCTGTGATGACTCCTTGGTCTTATTCTTATCACAGGATAATTTACTCCTCCCAATAACCCGACATAACCCGAAATAATTTCATAAATAATAATTTGTTTTATTTATTATGGAAGAAGCAATAAGAGCCGTAGAGGAGAAAGAAGGCGTCCGCTTGACATGGAATACACTGTCTAATAATAAAGCAGAAACAGCCAAGAATATCATCCCGTTAGTGTGTTTATATAAGCCCATGCACGGGTATAACGATAATTCATTATTACAAGTAGGGTATTCAGCCATTAGATGCTCTAAGCCAGAGTGTGCCAGTGTACTGTGCCCATACTCATCATTGGATTTTGGTGCCAAGCACTGGGGATGCATTTTCTGTGGGCGCATGAATATGCTGCCACCCCATTACAGGGACATAACCCCAGAGAACTTACCGTATGAATTATTCGGTGACAGCACGACTGTATTCTATAAGGGCAATCAGACAGCTGGGTATAAGAGGACGTACTGGTTTGTAATAGATGTATGCAGTTTTGATGAGGAGAGGCATCTTTTATTAAAGGAGGGTCTTATTACTGCACTAGACGGGATGAATGATGATGACCATATAGGTATAATACGGTACAGTGCTAATATAGAGATAATAAGCCTGGAGAACTTAGATGTACGCAAGGTGCACGTATTCCCTGCTGTAGAGTATACGTCAGCCATTCTTCAGAAGACATTTTCCAGTGGGAGTAATGGGTCATCACCATTATTTAAATTCACCAGGCGGAAGGGTGACTGTGTAGAGTATATCCAGCAAGTATTCAAGAACCTACAGATAAATACGTTCCCAGTCCCTGCTGTTGAGAGGCCCAAGCGGTGCACTGGGAGTGCGATAGAATTAGCCAGTAGTATAATTCAGAGTACGTGCTCAGAGGGAACTGGCCACATGATATTATTTACACAGGGACCGTGCACGTACGGTCCTGGTGCCATATCATCACTTAGCCTTAAACAATCATTAAGAACAACGGGGAAGGACTTAACCAAGTTATTCTCTAAAGAGTCCATATACGACAGTATAGCCAACAGCATGGGCAGTAAAGGGCATGTGATTGATATTATAGCAGCAGGGATTGATGATTTCGGGTTTGCAGAGATGCGCAGTCTTATTGAGAAGACATCCGGTGTATCTGTGTTTGCCAGGGACTTCAACCCGTACATATACAAGGAGTCCATAAAGAGGATATTCATGAAGGGTGAGAATAATTCTGCCATGAGGAGAGTGTTTGATGCACGTACAACTGCAAAAGTATCTAAAGCGTACAGGATAAAGCACACGATCGGCCATGGGTTCGAGCACAGCACAGATAAGAAGCAGAATTACGTATGGAAGCAGGGCACACTGTTTGACAGGACCACAAGTGCACTTGTATTTGAGCAGACAGAAGATGCCCCGGCTGGATCATCAGTGTACATCCAGATATGTACACGGTTTATTGACAGTACGGGCAATGCGTATGAGAGGGTAACCACCCTGGCACGGTCATTCGGGAACTCTTCCAGCATAAGCCAGCTTGCACTTGGGTTTGACCAGGAAGCAGCCTGTGTGTATAAAGCCAAAGAACTTTCAATTAATGCAGATAATGGCGATGGGATAGATGTGATCAGGCAAGCTGACAGGTGCTTGATCCGGTTTATGCAGAGGTTCTGTACGTTTGTGAAGGACAGTGCCAGTTCAATTAGGGTTCCACCGACTGTTTCATTCTTCCCTGAGTTTATGTTCTTCTTAAGGAGACTCCCTGCACTGCACACGGACGGACTGAGTTTAGATGAGGTGGCTTATCAGCGGGCCATCCTTATGTGTGAAGATTCTCCATCTACTATGTGTATTATAAGGCCGTCCCTGGTTGCCTTCCATTACACTGGGGAGAGATCGCCTGTTGAATTAGACTCACGTTCATTAAAGCCTGATGTAGCCCTGCTTGTGGATACTTTCCATGATGTAGTCATATGGTATGGCGAGAACATTGCTGCCTGGATTAAGGCCGGTATAAAGGACACTCCTGAGTACTGGTTCTTTAAGGACATGTTAGAGTCCTTGGATAAGGAAGCCAAGGAGATTGTTGATAAGAGACTGCCTGTACCCAAACTCACCGTATGCGACCAGTACAGCTCACAGGAAAGGATCCTTCTGTGTAAAGTAAACCCTGCCTCATCTGTTGCTAATAGTGCGACCGGTGAGGGCCAAACAATTGTAACAGAAGATATTGACTTTGGCAGGTTTTATGAGTACCTGATAAAATTAGTGGTGGCTTCATAATAAATGTGATTGATTAAATTTGTGTATAAACAGGTTTTTATGAATATTTATTAAATTTCCACATTAGGAAATATCCGTTATTTTTATGGCATGCAAATATTCTTACGCGCACAGAGTTCATGCGCTAAATTATTATAAGAAATGTATAAGTTCTGATATTCTAGTTTCTTCTTGAACAGTGCCTGCCGTATATCAATAATACTGTTGCTGACCACATAAGTAGAACTATCAGCAACTTCTGATGGGATTAGGATGGTGGTTGTGCTCGTGCCAAGGGTCCTTTTTAGTTCATTAATTATACCTTTAATATTCTTAAGTACATCATTAATGTACTCCTCTGGGTTATTTCTGGCTGTTTTATATGCTTGTTCTACTTCCTGTGCTGATTTACTTATGAATAGTTGTGGGATCGTATACTCTGTAGAAGTATTCGTTATATTCGGGTTAGTTCGGGTTATTGGTATTTTTATATTAAGTAATTTTCCATTTAATGGCCGTATTTGATTTGAAATTATTTCAGTTTCTGAATTATCCTGGATATTATTAATAATTGAACCTACCACACCAGTGCCAGTATTACCAGGATTAGTAGGACCAGTAGGACCAGGGTTAGTAGGATTAGTAGGGTTAGTATTAGTAGTGCCAGTATTACCATTAGTGCCAGTATTAGTATTACCATTACCACCATTACCATTAGTGCCAGTATTAGTATTACCAGGATTAGTATTACCAGTACCACCATTACCATTAGTACCATTAGCACCACCATTACCATTAGCATTACCAGTATTACCAGTATTACCATTAGTGCCAGTATTACTTGGACTATTGATGGTTTCATTTATAGTGTGCTTTGAAGTGCTTTGTCCATTTGTGTCCTCATAAAATAGGTCCATGAAGTATTGGTCTATCTCATCGAATTCTGTGACTATTTTCTGGATTAGCTCATACTCAGTGAATAATTGCAGTACGGCAATTTTAAATAATTCTTCTTTCTGGAGTATCTGAGGATTCTTTGAGAATAAATATAAAAAATGGTAATATCTGCTGTACACCCAGGAAAGTGTATTAATCATATGGTTCCTTAATAAGTCCCTGGTCATTCCACCAACAAGCACATTACACCTGACCCTTTTATTTTTAGGTGATTCATTCATTACATTGGCCAGGCAGTACGTATCAGCAAGGGTTTCTAGCATATTGTAAAATTTGGCTGTTTCTAAATGTGTATCTGCAATTTGAAGGAATGCCTTGTATATGTACTGCTTTGGTAAGTAGTTCATTATAAGGGGTATTTCTGGTGTTAGTACTTTATCATCACTAGAGAGCTTAATGGGGTTTCTTGGGATAATGCTTGCAATAACATCAATTAAATCTTCCTCTGTCATCTGGCAGTATAATTGTTCTAGTTGTGTATTTTTCATGTATAATTTATGCTCACTGGGACCTTGTGGTTTAAGGCATAGTGGAGAAGACTCTTCTTTCCTAAGGAAATTTCTGAGTTTATACCCATTTGATACTTTATATGAGAATTCCTGGACGGTTTTATTATTATTTAATGGGTGCTTCTTTATGCTCTTCTTAATGTCTATGAAAATCCCTTCTGAGAAGCTCTTTGTATTTGCCATTATACACATATGCGTGCCAAGGGTACTTCCTGGGTTAAATTCTGTACTGTCAACTCTTTCATAGCAATTATATATTGAACCCACTGATTGTGATCCATTTAACAGGAGTGTACTCACCAGAGTGGTAAGTGCCAATATCTTCTCAAATATATTCATGGGGTTATATACTTTGTATTATATAAGACTATGATTTGATCGCAGATCTTATGCGTGATTTGGATTTATTGGATGTCTTACGGTGTGCATGAGAATTATTGTAAGTTATTGAAGATTTGGGTTATTACTTATTTATTCATATTTCCTTTCCACTGGGTTCCTTTGCACTTAAACTGTGTAACAAGTATAAGATGGTCTGACGGATAATGGTGCGTAGGTAATCCTACTATTTTAGATACATATTCTTCATCCACCGGACCAAGAGAGCAAATAGGTTTTAGTCTATCGTTATACCATATATAATCAATCACACCAGCGAATCCTGGGGTGTAATTAGTGAATCCCATATTCACGAAAGAGTAACTCTCAGAAAGAGAAAGGGAGTGTGCATACCCTTTATTGCTGTATGGCTCATAGGAGAGGCCTAGTAAATCTCTGCTGTTTGGTTTAAGCATGCCGTGTGAGTACATTTCGTACAGGGAGGAGTTAGGGAGAGAGTTGAAGTCGCCGCATATGATTAGCTCTGCATTTGGGTACCTCTGCATGATTGCATCTACTTCTTTAAGAAGCATAATCCCCTGGAGTGTTTTTACGTCTGGGTACTCTGGGTCCCAGTGCATGTGCGTATTTACTACAACTGTATGTCTTCCCCCTTCTCTCTCCAGCACTATTGCTAGTCCTATATTATCCCTGCTGAGTACTCTATTCGCAATATGCTCGTGCTCTGAAATAGCTTTCTGTGAGAACAGCTGGGATAAGTATATGCACCTTTGCTCTATCATCTGAAAGAATGAACCCTTCCAGAATATGGCGCATCCATCCACTAGCCGCTTTTCACCCTCAACCATGGTCCGTGCCCTGGATTTTTGGTAGAAGACCGAGTCGTAATCTGCTCTAATTTTAAACTGCTCTCTAAAGTAGTCTGAGTAACTGCCCGTATCCATCTCTTGGATGCAAAGAATGTCTGCCCCATACGAAGTGGCTTCTTGAAGAATTGTTGCCTTCCTGGTCTCCCACTGCAGTGCCCATGCGGGTACGTATGAGAAGCTCTGACTATTCGCATACGTTGGGCATAGAATATTATACGTTGCCACTGTAATGGTCTCTGTATAATCAATATTATTATCCTGTGGTGCAAATACCCAGCCCCTCTCCCAGTGCGGGTAGTTCATTGCGACATTATCTCTGCAGTACCTAATCACACCAAGCCCACCAGAGGTGTTGTAAACTATTTGAATCTGCCCAATTAATGGATTATCATCCAAGTCTAGCTTCTCCATCTGATAAAGCATGCCAAATTCCAGAGGAATTGAAGAAAGAAGATTACTCCCCAGCCGAAGCTCCTTTAAGTTATACAATTTCCCCAATTCTCTGGGAACTCGCTTTATTCTGTTATGTGACAGGTCTAATACGCTCAGTCCTGCCAGCCTGGATATTTCAGGCGGTATCTCTGATATACTGTTATACGACAGAGATAGAGTGCTCAGTGCCTCCCAATGCATTATTTTCGGTGATATTAGTGTTAGTCCTTGCATAGACATATCAAGCCCAGCAGTTTCATCAACAGCCTTCTCAACAACTGTCTTCCTGCTTTGGTACGGCTTGTAGTGCCTGAAAGGCCTAGCCACCAACACTCCGCCGCTCTTTTCCTTGTGCGCTGTGCTAAAGTTGTCACCATCCATAGAAGAAAACAAAAAGAAAGAAAACAAAAACCCAAAGAAAGTGAAATCGTAAAATAGTTGGTTTAATAGTAATTGGCCATGAAAAGAGCCTTCTTTCCAAACATCTCTTCAAAGACTACCCCCATTGGCTCAAATCTGTTTGAAAACTCATCCTTGTGCTTAGCTTCGATGATCATCTTCTCAAGTCTTGACCCATCCTCTCTTATAACGGTTCTTCTATCTACGATGTGAGAAGGAGCAACTAAATCATTGACTACTCTCTCTTGGTATCCAGCATGTGTGATTGGTGACTGTATAACTTGCTTTCCCCCCTTTCCTTCTACCATCTGTACCTTTCTATCTCTAATTATGAACACTGTCCCATTTAGAACACTTTCTAACTTCTCAATAAGTGCAGCTTTCTGTTTTTTCATTGCTCCCATGATCCCCTCTGAAACAGCAACTGTTGTAGTAAGAATTCCTTCCTTTTGAATTGGAGTTACTTTTACGGTGGAATATTCTTCCTCTGGGATGCTTGCATTATTTACTGCAGCACGAATCAGATCCACTACTTGTTTATTCTGCGTTGTATTTGAATCTTCTCTCTTAAATGACATGACAGGGTGTAAAAAATAAAAGAAATAAAAATGGGATAAAATTGAAAGAATCCCAATTATAAAGATACTTTGATTATTTACGGTGTAATATGCCGTAAACCACACTCAGTGCACTAATTCTGTTAAAAAATCCAAGATTATGATTATATTTTACTCTTTGAATTTCTTACTTTAATTTAATTTTTCATCCCCTGGTAAGAAGAATGGCCAAGTCAAAGAACCACACAAATCAGAACCAGAATAGAAAAGCACACAGAAATGGAATCTACAAGCCAAAGGACTGGCAGAAACTTCCAACCAGAGGTGTACCAGCAGCAGCACTGAAGGAGACCAGAGATGAACTGAAGCAGTTATACCCAGTGGGCAAGAAGAAGCTGATGTCCTTTGAGGAGAGGTACGCAAAGGAAATGGAAGATTCAGCAATTAAGAGAAGAAGAATGATAAAATCCATTGGAATCAGAAAGATGGCCCTCAACGGAATTTACTTATAAGAATTCCTGGTTAAATAAATAACTATAACGGTATTTTATAAATTGCAAATTTATGCACTCTCTGAAAATAATTTATGCAATTTTTCTTAAATATTCAAAGTATAAAAATATTAATTTTAGCAGGGCATAAGCTTATCCTCAGAATATGAGAAAGTATTATTACAGTGTATATATGAAAGTGACTGGAATATTCTATTAAATATTATAAAATTATTATTTTAGGTGTATGCATATTTGATAAATATTGAAATATTATATCTGATGGGGAATAATGGTATTGTAGTGATATTTATACTAATAGGAGTAATTAACTGTAATAAGTACGTTAATTAGTTCAATTTGGAATATTTCTTACTTCTGATTTTGGCGGGCACTTTACTATAAATTATTTCTAATTTACCTCCCCATGGGAATTGCAGGTTTATTGCCTATGCTCAAGCCCCACATGGAATATGTGGAAGTGTCTGATTTGAAGGGGCTTAAGATTGGGGTGGATGGGTACTCTTGGCTGTATAAAGCCATTACAGTGCATGCTGCTGATATTTATCTTAAGCCAAATGATCCTGCTGTAATAAACAAGTACGTAAGTGTCTGTGTTAAAAAGTGCAAGGCACTACTTGCGCACGGGATAGAGTTGTTTTTTGTGTTTGATGGGGAGGAGCACCCAATGAAGAAGAACACAAATCAGAAGAGGCGTGCACAGAAGGCGGAAGTACAGAAGAAAGTAGAGTACTTCCTTAAAAGAGGAAACTTACGCGAGGCCAAATCCTTAATGAGCAGATGCATGAAAGTGGATGTGGATATGGTAAATAATCTTGCAATTGCTTTGAAGAAAATGAACATTCCGTATATGACTGCACCATATGAAGCAGATCCACAACTTGTATACTTGGAGAGGAACGGACACATTGACTGTATCACCACTGAGGATAGTGACTTAATTGTGTATGGAGCTAATAAAGTACTGTTCAAGCTAAATGAGCTACAGGGTGGAGAAATGTTTGACAGAGAAAGAATCCTTTCCAGATGCTCCATCCCCACTAAATGCTTACTCACACAGCTAAAGGAAATTGTTTCCTTGTGCGGATGTGACTACACAAACGGAATTAGTAAAGTCGGCCTAATAACCGCGCATAAACTAATGATGATGCATAAAACAGTGGAGGGATGTATCCAATACTTAGCACAAAAGCAAAGTGGTGTCATTGATCACATTGACATCTGCTCAAAAGTAATATGTACTTTTAATATGCATGTGGTAAAAGACCCTTCATGCGGTCAAAGAGTCTACTTAAAAGGTACATCAGAAAAAGAAGCAGATGACATTTCATTATTTGAAGATGTTTCATTTTTAGGATTACTTGAGCCAGTGTAATTCCTGGACTCCTCTACTGAGAATTTCAAATTCTGTTTTATTGCAGTATAATACTTGCATAGAAATAAATCGTATTGTATGAAATTTCATTTTGGATGCTTTTAATTTTTATTACATTTTTTCTATGCTGTAAAAATATATTTTATAGCTGATCACAGAATATCTGCAGAAATTCCAAATACTTCTCTGATTTTCTGTGATATGAGTCTGTTCTGCTTGTATATTCCCAGGAGGCCAGTTCCGAAAAGTTTGTCTTTCTTTTCTAAATACGGCAGAATATAAAATACGTGTACTGGTAAGTACTTTGCATCTCTAAGGCCGTTTTTTACTTCTTTTCTTTCTAGGCTGTGCTGTATGCTGAGAACTGCCTGCTTAAATGTAGATGTTCTTGTGTATATCGCAAATTTATCAATGTGAAGTATAAAATACGTTGTAATATACTCTATCATGATATTTCGGGTTTTCTGTATGAAGTAGATATCCAGTAGTAAAAAGTGCTCTAACTTTCTGTCTAGTATGTCTCCCTTTATCAAAAGCTGGTCAAGAGATGTTTTTACTAAAGAAAGAAGGTGGACAGTAAAACATCCAAATATTTCACCAGACACCTGTGTGAATTCCCTTTGTAAGATTTCAATTTTACTTTTTATGGTTTTTCTGGGGTTGACTTCTCTTCCGACTTCTCTTCTGACTTTCCTTCTGATTTTATTTCTTTTTCTTTTATTGCAGGTATTTGACTAATTAGCACAAGAACTTCTTCTGGTAAGTGAATAAATTCAGAAATTGCAATGAATTTTCTACTTGTACAGTTTGTGAAGATAGACTGACCAAATGCACTTTCTTTGTTCAGAGGATGATTCCATCTTTCTATCTCCACAGAAATTGAAGATTCTTTGTGGTAGCTAATATTATTAATGCCTACATCAGGTACTTTAGATATGGTTTTAAACACTCTTTTCATGGACTGGAGAAGTTTTTCCAGTACATCTTCTGCAATTTCTTCTACTTTTATTTCCAGTCCTGTAATGGATATTTTTATGAACTTGCAAAGTGTCATTATAACTCTTTGCACGCTTCTTTGATACTTTTGCAGGAATGGCGTAGTGTGGTCTGCGGTATTTTCAAGCTCTGTCACTCGAGTAACTAAATCCATTAGGATCTTCTTTCTGTTTTTAAAGCAGTTAGATGGTTCAATTCCTCTGATCTTTTCGGATATATTAATATGTGTTGGGAGTACATCTGCGAGTACATCTCTAACCACAGCAGCAATCTGCAGCGCACATCCGTGCACGATAAGTATTGATTCTTCTGATCTAACCAAATGCACATTCATAAGCAAAAGATCGCCACCGGCTTGTTTTTCTTTATTGGCAAGAAATCCGTACTTATTTTGAAAGAGTTCATTATACATAAGATTTGCAGAGTCTAGCCTGGTTATCCGCTGTATATTGTACGACATGGCATCTTCTGCTGTATTTACAGCTTCCTTTGTTAGCTCTACTAAGAACCTTCTGATCCAGTCTACAATCTTATCAAATAAATCTTTCTCAGTTACCGATGAGTCGTACAGTGGAAGTGTTATTTGTGCCATTCTTTTTGGTGAACTCCTATTCAATTTTATTTCTTCATATAAGTCTGTGTTATACCTGTACTTTTTATTCCCTGCACAATCCTCCTGTCTTTTATGCAAGATACTCTGTACATTGTGCAGTAAAGCAGTCACTTCAGATGTAAACTGCGCCAATCCCCTGGAAAGTATTTGTGACTCATCCTCTCCATTGATTACCTTCTTTTTATGCATTGCCACATGCATTTCCTTTGATACACCATTAATTATTTTTACCATATGCTCATTAACAGAATTATATACAGCAACAAGTGCACACCCAGCAATCTTCTCTAGCACCCGAATGTCCATAGATGATATACGAATTATACCATGTAAACTGTCTTTAATCCGTGTTTCTATCTCTTTCTTTGCCTTCCAAAGACTGTTCTCTGTGTAATACTTAATCTCTGACTGCACTGCTTTCTCTTCTACATACTGGATATTGTTCATTATTTCATTCAATCTTCCCGCGTGTATGTCACTTATTGAAATTATGTCAACAGCAAGTGCCTGCTTTATTTCTGACTCTTCAAGATCTCTTTTATACTGCACCTGTTCCTCTTTCAAACTGTCTATGTACTTCCCTATGTTATTGCTCTTAACAGTGCTAATAAGTGTGCTTAAATGTGCCTTGACCTCTGAAATATTCTCTGCTGCTGTATTTACTTCCTTGTGTACTTGGTGATACTTTATCGCTGAATTCTTCAGTGGCCCAGTATTCTCTGTTATTAAAGACTCAATCCCTGCGAATAGCATCTGATACGCATCCTCAAACTCCTCGCTCTTCTTCTCTGACATGGATATTTTCTGTATAACTGGCCCTGGAATGTATCCCTCCTGTAATATTTCAGGAAAATCCACTCGTATTTTCTTCAGTGCATTCTCAAGCTGTCGGTGGTTCCCTGGCATTCAAAACAAAATTATTATTCGATTAATTAAATGCGTCTTTAAATAAATTCCATCATATTTTTATTCTGTTGCTTCGGGCGAATTTGAATTATTTCTATTAATTTGAAAATATCTAATTCTGCACTGTCTATCAGTTCTCCCGGCTAGCTCTTTTGCTACTTTACTCCACACGGGCTTCTTTGAGTCGTTTATGGCTTTAAGAAGCTTTTCATCTTCCTCAGGCGTCCATGGACTGTTGTTCCTTGCTGGGTCTAAATAATATACAAACCTTTCTCTGCACTGGAATTGTGTCCTTGATGGAACGTATTTACACACTTCTTTCCAGTTACCTTTTTTATGCATTCTCACACCTTCTAAAAGAGCTTCGTCCTCTTTCTTTGACCATTTCCCGTGTTTTATAATTGGGTTTAGCACTCTTTTGTACCTGTACATACACTGCTTTGCTGTTTTATTCTCAAAATCTGTGGCTATTTCTGTCCAGCTCTTCTTCCCCTCTGATTGAACTAATTGTGTGAGTTTTAAGTCTTCTTCCTCTGTCCACTGGGAAGTAGGCTTACTCCCTTCTAATTCTAAATACCTGGAGTATACAGATATAGGCGCTCTCCTCACGGTTTTACAGGTTTCTTCCCAGTTCTCCTTGTTCTTTTTTATTTCTTTGTCTTCCTCTGGCTGGAATTTATCCTGCCTATACGCTGGATTGCGCGGGTGGTACCATAATTCCATACATTCTATAACTGGTCGCCCTATGTGCTTAGATACAATGGGCCATACAGAATGCTTTACATCCGGCAAGAACACTTTCTCTGCAATAAAATATGCATTTATTTGGGAAAGAATGTTATCTCCTTCTGTTGGCCGGTTTGTTTCTAGATCGGCGTGCCCTGTTAGGTGTTGATGCACTGGTTTTTTTAAGCCAGAAGGAAGCCTCTTCTTTTTTGTTTTCTTTTTGTGCTCTGCTAATTGCTTTCTTAAGATTACCAGCACATCCAGTTTGCTCATAATGTCTAAGTACTCTTCATGCAGTTTATTCTGCATTTCTCTGTTCATTTTTAGAATTGCAGTTTCTTCTAGCCCGCTGGATGTTCCATCTGAAAAACTTAACAGCAAATCTTCATCCATAGAAAAAATTTACGAATGGGTGCACAGAGAAACATAGCTGGAATATTCGCCAGAGCAACTGGTCAGACAGAAAATTCACATATTATCAGTGCATGCAATATTCTACAGACAATTCTTACGGGTGGTGAAATATCCCGTGGATACGTTGAAAAGGTTCTTGGCATAGACTTGGGAACAACTAACTCATGTGCTGCTGTGCTAGTAGATGGGAAAAATCCGAAAATCATAGAGAATATGCGGGGAAAGCGGACTACCCCATCTGCCGTTGCATTCAATAAAGGGCATGTTTTAGTGGGAGAAGATGCAAAAAAGGCTGCTCTTAATAATCCACTTGGTCTTATTACTTCATCTAAACGGCTTATGGGAAGAAAGTATACGGATCCAGAGACTATTGAGCACATGGAGACTGTCCCGTACAAGATTGTACCCCACACAAACGGGGATGCATGGATTGAGGTGGATGGCAAGGCGCACTCTCCACAGCAAATAGGCGCAGCGGTTCTCAAGTATTTAAAGGATTCAGTTGAGCATGTTTTGAAAGAAAAGATAGACAAGGCTGTTATAACTGTGCCTGCATACTTCACAGACTCACAGAGGCAGGCCACAAAAGTATCTGGTGAGATTGCTGGGCTAAATGTGCTAAGAGTGATAAACGAACCTACTGCTGCAGCTCTTTCATATGGCATAGATACTTCACAGGATGGAACTGTTGCAGTATACGATTTAGGTGGGGGGACTTTTGACGTATCAATACTTGAGATAAAGGACGGGATATTTGAGGTGAAAGCCACGAACGGAAACAGCCACCTGGGAGGAGAGGATTTTGATGCAGCACTTACAAATTACTTATTGGACAAAGTAGAGAAGGAGAATAAAATACAAATTAGAAATAGTCCTGTTGCTGTACAAAAGGTTAGAGAAATTTCTGAGCAAATCAAGTGTACACTCTCTGAAAAAGAGAATGCCACTGTATCTCTAGACTTACCTGGCATTTCATCAGAGGAGAATAAATCTGCTGGCTCTATTCCTCTGTGTGTTACTAGAAGAGAGTTTGAAGAGTTGATTTCTCCACTAATTGAAAAAACACTATCGCCCTGCAAAGAAGCTCTTTTAGATGCAGATATTAAGAAAGGAGCAATTGGTAATGTAATTGTTGTTGGTGGAATGACAAAAATACCTGCAATCAGAAAAGCCGTTGAAAAGGTCTTTGGAAAATCAATCACGCCGGGTGTAAATCCAGATGAAGCAGTAGCCGCAGGTGCTGCTGTGCAGGGAGGCATACTTGCAGGACAGATGCAGGACTATTTACTTATTGATGTGGCGCCACTCAGTCTTGGAATAGAAACTCTTGGTGGTATTTTCAGTAAAGTAGTTGAAAAGAACACTTCCATACCCACCAAGAAAACCCAAACCTTTACAACCTCTGAAGATGGCCAGTCCTCTGTCACAGTAAAAATATATGAGGGAGAAAGGCCACTAGTCGCGCATAATAAATATCTAGGGGAGTTAGTCCTTTCAGGCATACCTCCTCTTCCCAAAGGAGTGCCAAAAATAGAGGTCACTTTTGAAGCAGATGCAAATGGAATGTTTACAGTAACAGCAAAAGACAAAGAAACACAAAAGCGCCAAAATATTACAATTAAACCGTCCGGCGGTCTTTCAAAAGAAGAAATTGCGTCTCTTATCAAAGAAGCAGAAGATTCACGGCTTCTCGATGAAAAAGAAAAACTTCTAATAGAAACAAAACAGAAAGTGTCAGAGTATATCAAACAACACCATGAAATACGGAAAGGTCTTAAAAGCCCGATTTCTGCAGAAGATTCCCACAGATTAGACAATAAAATATCTGATCTTTTAAGTCTTATAAAGAAATCCTCTACCACAAAGGAAGAAATAGAATATCATTTGTCGGATCTGAGAAAGGATGCAGGAAGTGTCTGGAGAAACCATAAATAAATAAACTAATTTAAAAACAAAAAAATAGCCATCTGGGACAGAGACCATGAGCTTAAAAGAAATAATTGCCAGTACAGACGAGAATAAAAAATGTGTTGACTGCAATATGACCAGACCCCAATGGGCCTCAATTACGTATGGAGTATTTTTATGCCTAAACTGTGCTGGTGTACACCGATCATACGGAGTAAAAGTGAGCATGGTAAAGAGTCTAAGCATGGACATGTGGAATGACTCAGAGAAGAAAACAATGGAGCTGGGCGGTAATAAGCGATTTCTAGAGTATGTGGAAGAGAGCCAGCTGGAAAGTCTTTCTAAAGAAGAATTGTATACTTCAAAGAAAATGGCAAAGTATGCTGCAGAGTTAAAGAAGAGTGTTAGAAAGATATTCCCAGAAGCAGCTGCAAGCAACATGCCTTCACCAAAGGAAAGAAGAAAGAAGCCACAGTCCACTCCTTCTCCTCCTGTGGTAGATGTACATTCAGCCAAACACACAGCATCCAGCAGCACTGAAAGTACTCAGAGCAGTTATATAAATATGTATAACCAAGCATCTTTCATGGCAATGCCTGCTCTGGAGAATGTACAGTCAGGAATAACAGACATGCTTGGCAGGGCAGCAGAGTATTTTAGTTATGCAACAAGCACACTTTCTGGCCACATATCAGAAAAAGTTCTTACACCAGCCTCAAGTATCATTAAAGAAAAAGGTGAGCAACTCTCTGAATACATTAAAGGCAAAGAGACAAATAGACATACACAGGATAAAGACACAAGTAAAGAAACAAAGAAATCTTCACAAGAAAAACCTTCCAAGCCTGGTCATTCAAAGCCTTCATTTGATAAATGGGATTAGATTGAATAAAGTGATGCATATAACCTATTTTTAATAATTTTCTTAAATTTTGCTTTGTCCGTGCTTTAACTTATTTCTGTGTAAGGATCTATTTCTATCTGTAAAATATTCTATAATTTAATTAGTACTTCTGCTGTTCATTAAATCGGAAGATTCTACATTTGATGATTTCTGTTGTATTAATATACTAAATTTTCATAAATATTGAATAAACAATTCAGTAGAATAGTACTGTAATTATTACGCATTCAAGTATTGAGTATTTAGGTGCTTTTTATGAATTTTTAGTGGATTTTAAAGATCTTTCATTTATCTTTATAATCTATCTAATTGATTTAATTCTCATAATTAGAATATCGTGTGGTATGCGAGCTAAGCTAAAATTAAAAAGAACCGAGTTCATGAACTGTTATGGCACCACCACTCAAGCACACAGGCCCAAGACTAATCCTTCAATAAGCCTACGCGCGCGGTGATCCCGGCCTTTGCTGAGGCGGGATCTAATAATCACAAATCAACTCTGGACTATATAAGTAGCACGCACTCAAACAATAATAGGAGGACCACGGGAAACATTTACCATGGGGTTCAGCACTAATAGTGCCACGAGGACTCTGCGTTCTCACATATCCCGATATTCTAATAATCATAATAAAGAGCATCTATCAAAACTATCTCTATCTATCTTGGACTGTGTTATCCGGGCGGCGACGGTGTCTCTCGCGAGCATGTCAAGAACATTTTTATATATGGCACGATTACTTATTCTGTTGAATAGTTCTTTATTGCAGAGAACATTAATGATCTTTTTGATTCTTTTTGCTTTAAGAGTGGTCATAGAAACGAATGTCTCATTTTACGTGGATTTTTTTTATAAGATAAGAAATAATGGATAATGAAGGTAACACTAAAAAGCAAAAGATAAGCATGCTTCTTACACTGAAGAATATACAGGAGCTAAAGGACTATCTTTCTCGGGGATTGTTTCCTGTGTTTAATACTCGGTTCCAAAAGCGCGATTTTAAGAAGAAAGCAAAGATGTTCATTACCACAAATAAGGGCATGCTTATGCGGGAGGTGAATGGAGTGCTTCTAATGGCGGTTGCAAACAATGATTTAGAAAGAATCCATGGCATATGCAGGTATGCGCATGATGACTCAGAGCACTGCAAGTCTGAAGACAGCTGGAAAAAAATACGCTCTCACTGGATGGGCTTCAGAAAACAGCACATAATTGACTGGGTTGCAAAATGCCGTGTGTGCGCAATAACAAATCAGATAAATGAAACTACTATCTTAAAGGCCACTAAACCACTGCATAGAATGGCATTTACAAGCTTTTCTATGGAGCGATTACAGATTGACTGTATAAACATGAGCAGCCACTCTCTGCATAATAATGGATTCTCTTATATTATCCACTGTATGGACCTTCATACATCATACCACTTTGCCTTCCCTCTCCAAAAAAAAGAGAGCCATGAACTTTCTGAGTGCTTAGTTTCTTTACTAGGAAAAGAAGGGTGGCCTCACATTATCCAAACAGATTTTGATTCTGTATTTCTTTCCGATGAGCTGTCCGTGCTTATTTGCTACTAATAAAGTTATTCATGTATATTCAAATAATGACTGTTCCCCATCCATTAATATAATCAAGAAAACCAGAAGTGTTTTTAAAAAAAAGCTTGTATCTCGAATGAAACTGAAAAATTGTCTTTACAACTGGACTTCTGTACTCTCCGATGTTCTCTCCGAATGGAATTCAGAATTCTCATCGAGTGTCATGAATAAACCCATTAATATTTTCAGAACACATCCTCCAAATATAGAGAAGTACATGTACCCTCCATCCGATGATGATCTGCTGCCTTCTTAATATTTATGCTGTAATAAGCTGGTTACTGCTTCTGAGTAATAAATGATAAATCTTTACACTTCCTATTATGAATAAAAATATAAAATATGTCTGTCTGTTCTTATAGAAGCACTCACATCGAATAACCAGCAATAACCCAAAAAATATTAAAAAGCACACATTCTCAGCTTATTATGCAATATATCCCCTCTTATATAGACTAAATCCTGTTATATTACTAATTATTCTACTAATCCTTATTATACCCCTGAAAATCTCAACTGTACACTTTCATTAGATACATAACCAGGGATAGTTTACTATTCTTTATACTACTACAGTGCATACTGCACTATAAAATATAATTATTAATTTTGGTTATATCTCTATTCGGTCTATCCCTATTTCTAAAGTATTTTATATAAATTCTCTCTTCTTTACTCTTCTATTTCTGTGCTCACCTTTTTTATTTTATTTTTTGTGAGTATTTATATTAACATTGTGATATTTATTATAATAGATTGTAATAACCCGATGTAACCCGAATTATAAAATATAAATATTTCTATTTTTCATTTATATTCTTAATAATGAACATATTCTCACAGGGAAAGGAGAAACCAGGACTATCACAGAAAGAGAAAGCAGAAGTAGGCAGGTCGACTTGGAATTTATTACATGCAATTGCCAGGAGATATCCAGACACTCCATCAAAAAAAGAACAAAAAGCTGTTTATGATTTATTTGAGTCTCTTCACATTCTTTATCCGTGTAAGCCGTGTGCTTCTTCTATTTCTGCGTTTAAGAAGAGTAATTTATTACGCGCACAGAACAGATCCTCTCTTATTTTTTCATTTTGTGAATTTCATAACTGGATTAATATTAAGCTGAATAAACCAAGGATTGACTGCACTGCATTCACAGAAGCAGAATTAAACCCAGGAATAACTCATTCACACAGTAAATTTATTAGTACAATAAAAACAAGAATTATTTCTATTATACATCAAATAAAAAGTATTTTATAAATGAAGTGTTCTGGAGTATTCTTCTGCTATTCATGATTTATTAATAATATTACTATTCCTGTATATCTGTACATTTATGTCTAATTATGGTTTATAAATTTAAATTTCTAAACTCTTCATTTATTTTATATTTTAAATTTATTTTCTGAAGGGATTTTAGAAATAGAAATACAATTTATAGATGATTTAGGTTTATTAATAAGAATAAATTTATAAAAATCGGATATTCGGGATATTACTTGGCGTAATGAGCTAATCACGCCATATAACATCAACAGTATCTGTTCTGTACCTCTGTGATACGTGACAGGAATTATCTGTACATTTATATCCAGCGGAGATCATTTTATATGCTGTATGTGCTATCATTAGGCCATTATCAATGCAGTACCGTTCATCTGCGCTGTATCCAGTGCCTCCTCTTTGCTCTGCCATATCACTTGCCATTTTTTGCAGTCTTTTATTACACCCAACACCTCCTACAACTAATATTTCATTAGAGTCCGCACATGCCATTGCCCTCTCGGATACTTCAACTAGCATAGCAAATGCCGTCTCCTGCACGGAATAACATATATTTGCTTTTAATTCATCAGTTAATTCTTTTCCCTGTAAGTATTTCTGCACGTAAGACAGTAACCCAGAAAATGAAACATCCATTCCCTTTATGATGTATGGTAGTTTTATGTACTCAGTCCCTTTCTTTGCGAGTTGTTCAATATTATACCCAGGAGAGGGATAATTTGAAATATTCAAAGTACGTGCAAGTCTATCCAAACAGTTTCCTATTGCTATATCCAGGGTTTCTCCATATACTTTATACTTTCTGTTGTGGTATACTATAATTTGTGTATTCCCACCACTGACGTATAAAATAGTTGGATTATTTGATTGTGTAATAAATCTGCCCATTTCTATATGAGCAACGCAGTGATTAACAGGCACCACAGGAATATTATACATTACAGATAACACTTTAGCAAAAACAGCAACTGCCTGTAAGCAAGGACCAATTCCTGGTCCTGCAGTGTATGCAATGTATTCAATATCTGCCACTTTAATATTTGCTTTTTCAACTGCACGTTTAAACACTTCCATAATATTCGTCTGGTGGTGCATTGCAGCTTCTGTTATTTTAAACCCTTCTCCCTGTGGTGGTACGTAAGTATTCCTTTCATTTGCTAAAATGCACTGGCCATTAACAATCCCCACACCAAGCTTATTTGCACTGCCTTCTAATCCAACAATAAGCATAAAATCTTTCTTAATTTCTCATATTCATTTATTTCAGATTATTTAACACCAGCGTACTATTTATAGAGCAAGAGCACCTGCCATGCATCCCATAAGAACAAGAGGAGAGAATGCGCTGTTTTTTCTGTCAGTTCCTGTTCTTTCTGTTCTATCACCAGCATCCCCTGAGGATCCAGCTGGTCCGTTCATATCCACACCAGAGAGACAGTCATCAATGTTAACAAATGAATAACCTGCTGCACCTCCCATATCAACCACATCAGGGACTATTCCCAGCTCAGACTCTCTTTGGTCATGTTGCAGTACAATGTATGAGGATGACTGTGGTCTTACAGACTTTAACTTCAATTTCCATCTGTTAATCATATCATCTGGATCATCGTCTGTTCCGTACATATCATAGTTGTAATTAATCAGAACCAAGTCTAAATCATCAATCACTTCAAGAACTGTCTGGTTGGTTACATCTGGCTGATTAATAGCAATGTATTTAGTCTTCTGACCTGCTAATTCATCAAGTACGTTCAGCTCACCTACAATTGCTTCTTTTATTTCTTCACTATCCATTTCACTAAAGTCATATATTGGGTTAGTTCTGAGACCAACTGTGTGCCCATCATCTACAGCCTGTTTGATTATATCTGCCACACCAGAGTGGTCAATATTAACAGTAGAGAACATAAATGTTGCTGTAATAGATTCATCAGATAAGGTTTGCAGAAGTTCCGGACTGCTTTGCACAGGCCCATCACTGAATACCAATGCAATCTGTCCTGGTTTAGCACACTGACTTGGTGCCCTTAAACAATTCACCACTCCCATCATCATAGTAAATAATGAAACTTTCATCTTCCCAAAATATTCTGATCATCTATTAATACCAATGCATTATTCTCACATAAGAAATATTAAGTTAATTAACAAATAGACCTATTCTATTTTTATACTTTCTCAATTAAGCACTCAATTAATGAACATACATTAAATTCAAATTAAATGAAAATAAATTAAAATCAGAGATAATTAAAATTATGCAAGGCATAAGTAATATATCACTTTTAATAGATCATGCTAGTTCACAAATTATAAAATTATAAAGCGGGTTAATTCGGGTTATAATATTTATATATAAAATCAATCGTACATAGTCAGGCAGATAATAAATTATTCAGTGAGTGAGTCAATAAGTCACTTAGTCACTTGTGCATTTATACGCACAGTCAACTATTCACTGACTCCATCAAATACTTGCTATTCACATACTCATTTATTTGTTTACTGAATCACTGAATTATTCAGGGTTATTCACATGTTTATTCAGGAAGGTCCATTGAGAATGGTCTATCACAGTCATTAATTCCCACTTTCCTTTCCTTTCTAAATGTGTATCCATCTTGTTTTCTGAATATACCACGCGGTCCATTTTCATCTAAAAGAAGTCCTTCATACGCATAAATCTTCTTTTCTATAGAATGCAACTCCATCTCTAATTTCTTCTTTTTACTTATGTATACTTCTAATTTCCTGTGCAAGTCATCTGTTGTCTGCGATGAGAGACTTTCCAAAGACATTCAAATTTTTTTATGCGAGTCCGCCATATGACTGTTAAAGACGTATATTACGTCAAAGAATGCAACAGAAGAAACCTTCCAGAGAACTATCATATTCTATTTCTGTTGTATATGCTTGTCATGTATGCCGATTCATGCTTTGTGGCAGAGAACAAGAAAGGTGAAATTATAGGATATTCCATAGGGAAATTAAAGGATTCTTTAGAAAAAGACGAAACCACAAAAACAGAAGACACTTCTGGTTATATTTTATCATTGGCCGTGGACAAGTCGTACAGGGGTGTAGGACTGGGTAAGATTTTATTCAGTTTATCATTATACAGTCTAATAAACAGATTAAAAAAGCAAGCAAGAATATTTAAAGTGTACTTGAATGTAAGAGAAACAAACACAGCCGCAATTACTATGTATGAAAGAGTATTTCACTTTTCAAAGGAAAGTGAAGAGAAGAATTATTATGCAGATGGAGAGAGTTCTTTTCTAATGAGCAGAGTTTTTAATATAAATGAGAGTGAGTGAACTACAAAAAGGAAACATCCTCATAACTCACATAAAGAGAGTCCCCATTGAGTATAAATATACAGTATTTGATTATGAACCCGGCGAGTATTTCGGTGTACTGCACATTACATTACACCTACACATTAGCTCACCACAGTATATATTCAACAGGATAGAGCGGATTAAAGATACAAAGAGTACAAGAGTACCAATTATTCTACTACTGATTAATCAAGATATAACCACACTTTCTACATCATCCGTATTTACTAAATTACAGATTGACTGTATCTCATTAAACATACGCATAATACCAGCATATACTCCTGTAGAGTGTGCTAAGTATATAGAGAATATGCATTTGTATAAGAATGAATTAGTACACTTAAGAAATTATCAGAGAACATTAAACCAAGCAAAGAGAGAATTATCAGATAAATTATCAACAGAGGGAAGTGTCCGTAAATTATTATTTATACGTTCTATTCCTAAAATAACCAAATCTGATGGGATACTTCTTCTGAGCACTCGTACAATTTCTGGTGTACTGAATGATTCTATTATGCATAAATTATCTCATGAGAATGGCATTGGTAAATTAAAAGAATCTTCAGTGAGGGATTTCTTTATGCAGAAATTCAACTAGTCATTCTTTTTTATTTTGATGGATTGTGAGGGAAGGGGTCTTGAGCCAGAACCAAAGATACCAAGAGCATCTGTAGAGAAGATAATTTCAGAGACTATAAAGCCTCCTATGATGTGCAGTAAAGAGGTAAAGCAAGTTCTTTTAAACAGCTGTGCTGAGTTTGTACACATAATTGCCACAGAAGCCAATGACGTGTGCGAGAAAGAGCAGAAAAAGACACTTACGCATGAGCACGTATACAAAGCATTAAAGCATTTAGGGTTTGAGGAGTACATTGAGGAGTGCAATGAGTCGTATAAGGATCATATAGAGCAGGCCAAATTAAGACCATCAAAGCAGAACAAGTTAAAGGAATCAGGACTAACTCAAGCAGAGCTAGAAAGAGAGCAGGAAGAGTTATTTAGGAAAGCAAAAGTACTTGCACAGGATGAGGAGAGGTATCAGAAAGAACAGTAATAAATTCCATTTATATTTAATTTTTTACTTCCCCTGCAATGCATTCAGAAAAAGACTATGAAAAAGAAGTAGAGCAAAACAATGAGCAGGAAGTACAAACACTGCGAGTAACAATGATCAGCAGGAACAAGAGTGAGATAGAGCGGGTTGCGTATGCTATATACCAAATGGCAAAAGCAGACAATCCATCAAACAAAGGGCCAGTATCTTCCAAGAACAACAAGTTACAGGTGACTGTTAGAAAAGCACCCGGTGGTAATGGTACTAACACATACGACAAGTTCGCTATGACAATTAGAAAGAAGTACATTGACATAACCGTACCATATGAGTCATTCAAGGCAATTACTTCAACTGTGCTAAGCCCAGAAGTATTTATTCAAGTGGTTATAAAGGCATAAAATAAATAACACGTTTAATTCTTCTTATAACTTATGAGTGATTGTACATAAATATTTAAAGAGTGTCCATAATATATTACACATTGTATTATAATAACACACAATATAAAATATACACTACAGTGTATAATAAATAATAGTCAGTTACAGTTATATGTGTAATAAATAATAGTCAGTTACAAAATATATGTGTAATAAGTCATAGAATATGTGTAATAAGTCATAGTACATGTATAATAAATTATAGAATATATGGTTATATGTATAATAAATAATAGTCGGTTACAGAATATATGATTGTATGTGTAATAAGTTATAGTATACATGTAATAAGTCACAGTTATATGTATAATAAATAATAGTCAGTTATAATATATACTACTATATGTGTAATAAGTCATAGTCAGTTATATAATATATACTAGAATATATGTAATAAGTTATAAAATATATTAGAATATATGTAATAGGTTATAGAATATACTACTATGTGTATAATAAGTCATAGTCAGTTATATAATATATTAGAATATATGTAATAAGTTATAGAATATGTATAATAAGTCATAGTCAGTTATATAATATATACTACTATATGTATAATAAGTTATAGAATATGTATAATAAGTCATAGTCAGTTATATAATATATACTACTATGTGTAATAAATATCTGTAAAATATTCTTTTTATGTTTAGAGCAGAGAGAATAACAAAATTAATCACAGAAAAGTTCCCTTCAGCAAAGGTAAGCATAACAGACAGAACAAAAGAGCACAGCACCCATAGAGAAATGATAAGCAAAGATGACCCACAAGAAACCCACTTAGACATATCAGTGTGTGAAGGATCCTTTGAAGGGAAGCCACTTATAAACTCAATAAGAGAAATAAACAGACTAATAAAAAATGAATTCACACAGGGCCTACACGCAGTCACAATTTCATGCACATACACTGATAAATAATAAATATTACACATACACCATTATATACTATAACTTATTACACATACACTATTATATACTATAACTTATTACACATACTCCACTAATTATCTATTATTTATTATACTGTGTGTATTAATCTGTATACGCATGATCATTTATTACACAATATATAATAAATATTTTATATTACACATTGTGTAATATGAAAGAGTATGAGACAGCAGAACCCTTTATAATACAATCAGATACTTACTTATTACACATTGTAGCATTAGTTCAGCACACCATAAAAATATTAAACAAACAAATTGAATTAATTAATAATTTATATATTACACATTGTGTAATAAGTAATGTATCAGATATAATCACAAGAATATCTCTAGAGATAGAAAGCCTAGAAGTATTCATAACCACATTCATACCGTATATAACTGACATAATAAGCACACACAAGCAGAATATCACAGTAGTAAAGCAAACAGAAGACCACATAAACCAGAAGAGAGCAGAACTTATTACCAATATGAACATATTATTCTTAGAGATAATCAAAGCAATAGAACTTATAAGCAATAGTATAATAAATAACAATAATAACACAATAAGTAATAATAGTACAGGATATAATAAGCATAGTATAATAAGTAATGATAATAGTACAGGATATAATAAGCATAGTATAATAAGTAATGAAGAGTTAAGGAATTTATGTAATGTATTAATAGAGGATACGTTTAATAATTTAGAATCAATACAGAAGTTCTATTATACAGAAGATATTAATGTTAAGTTAAGTAACCCAGTGAGTGATAAGGTTAATAAAGTATCTATTATAAGTACGCTTGTATCTGGGTATTTAAAATCAGGTGTACCGTATATAATACTAATAATAGGGATAATAATGGGGATAATTCATGTGAATGAGTTACTTACAGTAAGAAGTACTATTATAAAAATAATGGTAGAATATATTATACAATTACCAATAATTATTATCACTAGTACAATATTTATTACGCATATGGTAAATAATAATATAGAATATTATACACACTGTGGAATAATTAATAGTATTATATTAAGTAGTATACAAATAATATTTACGGTGTGTACAGGGATACAATTATTAATAGTACTGTCAAAATTTATGATACATTATGTAAATAATAATACTTATTGCATAATGTGTATATATTTCTTTATATCATTATTTATTATATATACGGGGATAAGTTATGAGCGGGACGTGTTTAAATATAAAAACACAATGTGTAAAATATTTTATAAATATTTATATTTTATGTACAAGTATTATTGTACATTGTACACTATATTATTAACACACATATTTATTATACAATGTGTAAATAATAATAACATACTTGTATATAAAATAACAAAGAGATTTATAAACATAACAAAATATATTATATAATAAGTAATAAGTAATAATCTGTGTGTAATAAGTTATGTATAATAAGTAATAAGTAATAATCTGTGTGTAATAAGTTATGTATAATGTGTAATAAATAATAAGTTAATGTGTGATAAGTTATGTATAAGTGTGTAATAAGTAATAATCTGTGTGTAATAAATAATAAGTTAGTGTGTAATAAATAATAATCTATGTGTAATAAATAATAATAAGTGTTATAATATGTTATGTTGTGTGTAATAAATAATAAGTTAGTGTGTAATAAGTAATAATTTGTGTGTAATAAGTAATGTAGTAAATGATAGTATATGTTATGCTATGTGTAATAAATAATGTATAATGTGTGATAAGTTATGTTATAAATAATACTGTATTGTGTAATAAGTAATAATCTGTGTGTAATAAATAATGCATATTGTGTAATAAATAATGTATAAGTGTGTAATAAGTAATGTATAGTGTGTAATAAATAATAAGTTAATGTGTAATAAATAATAAGTTAGTGTGTAATAAGTAATAATCTGTGTGTAATAAGTAATGTATAATGTGTGATAAGTTATGTTATAAATAATACTGTATTGTGTAATAAGTAATAATCTGTGTGTAATAAATAATAAGTTAATGTGTTATAAATAATGTATATTGTGTAATAAGTGATAGTATATGTTATGTTGTGTGTAATAAGTAATAATCTGTGTGTAATAAGTAATGTATATTGTGTAATAAGTTATTCAATAGTTATTTATTAAATAAGTCTTTAACTGTATTTATACTTGATAAATCAGGAATAATTATTGTTCTTTATCTATCCCTAAACAAGCAGCAAGGAACGCAATAAAACACGGCCTGGGCTCGGTCGGTTTCGAAAGGAATTCTGGGTGGAATTGTACACCGCAATAAAAGGGATTCTCTGGTATCTCAAGTGCATCTATGTAGTTCTTGTGACGAGCAGCAATTTTCAGACCGTGCTTCTCGAACGCCTGGATATATTTCACATTTACGCCGTACCGGTGCCTGAACCTCTCGGATATAATTGAACCCCCAGGATTCCCATAGAAAGTGGCCATACGCGACCCAGGAATGGTTTCTGTCTCATGCCGGCCAATCCGCATTTTATTTGAGTGCTTGGATACGATCAGTGCGTACCCAATAACCCCATCAGAAGTATGCGGCTGGTCATTGATTTTATCATCAATTATCGTGTGAATGTCCTCCTCAGTGACAAGTTCCTCACTCGTTGCATTTTGTATTTTTAATACGTTCCTGGCGTACTCGATCGCAATTATTTGCATGCCCAGGCAGATCCCTAATAAAGGTATTCTGTTAGTCCTGGCATACTCTGCCACAAGGACCATCTGCTCAACCCCCCTTTTACCAAACCCACCGGGTATGATTATACCATCAAATACGTCCAGGGATGAAAGGTTCTCTGGCTTCATGAATGAGGATGTGTCAAAGTACGTCGTGTCCACTTCTGTGTTTAAGTCATCAACTGCACCTGCAAATTTCAGTGACTCTTTAATGGACAGGTACGCATCCTCATGGTTACTGTACTTACCAACAATGGCGATCCTGCACAGGTGCTTCTTCTGGGCTGTTATTTTTAAGAAGTACTCACCCTTCCCTGGTACTTCTGTCTTACACACGGGGATGTGCAGTCTCCTCTGTAAGTACTCCAGGATACCACTCTTCTGAGAGAGTTGTGTAGGGACTGATAATACGTCACAGTCGGGCATTTGTACGATCTTCTCTACACCCGTAAATAAAGCGATCTTATCTAAGGGCTCTTTATCAATGGGTCTCTCTGATCGGCATACTACAACATCGTATGGGATGCCAAGTTCCCGTGCCCTTTTAGCTGATGCCTGTATTGGCTTGGTCTTATGCTCATTATTTAACTCTAAGGCATAATCTACACCCACAATCACGAAATTATCCCTGCCCTCTTCTACATGCATCTGTCTGAGTGCTTCAATAAAAGTGATCGATTCGATATCTCCCACTACACCTCCTAATTCAATCACACAAATAGTTGGTGGTGTCGTATGGTTCTCAATCGGGACACAGGCTGCATTCCTGATACTGTTCTTAATATGGTCAGTCACATGAGGGACTACCTGGACGGTCTTCCCTAAATACTCTCCCTCTCTCTCTCGCTTGATCACTTCACTGTACATCCTCCCACTGGTTATGCTGTTAAACCTAGTGAGGTTTGACCCTAAGAACCTCTCATAATTTCCTAAATCTAAGTCCGTTTCTGTCCCATCGTCCAGTACAAATACTTCTCCATGGTCTTTTGGTCCTAGCGTGCCTGCATTGAAGTTCAAGTACGGATCAATCTTTACAATTGTTATGTGATGCCCTTCTTCCTTTAAGATTCTTCCTATACTGCTTGATACAACTCCTTTCCCTACTCCGGAAATAACTCCTCCGCATACTAAAATGTACTTCATAAATTTAAAAATTTTTTTTGTATTTATAGATTGGGTTTATCTACGTTATTAATTTTTATGTGTAATAATCAGTGCATCATAAATTATTACACATACAGTAATAAATACTATTAATTATACATACAGTAATAAATACTACTAATTATACTGCATTGTGTAAAATATTCAGTACTTATTTATTTATTTATTATACATACTGTAATAATTATTATTTATTATACTGCATTGTGTAAAATATTCAGTACGTGTAATAATTTATGACACATACTGTAATAAATATTACTTATATAATTAAATACACACGTATATTACTTAATATTTTTATTACTATATATGGTAGTATTAATTAATTACCGTATACAGTAATATTAATTACCATTTTATAGGATCCTTCCCACAGGACACTAAATAATCATTGGACTTCTTGAAATGGTCACACCCAAAGAACCCAGTCCGTGCACTAAATGGACTCGGATGAGGTGCACATAATATAAAGTGCCTGCCCCCATCAATTAATAACTTCTTCTTCTGGGCATCCTTCCCCCACAGCATAAATACGACACCCTCTGACGTATCATTAATTATCCTTATAATTTCATCGGTAAACCGTACCCAGCCGATCGAGGAGTGCGACCGTGGCTTATTCCGGGTCACAGTTAAGATCGTGTTAAGTAAAAGTACGCCCTGCTCAGCCCATTTAATAAGCGACCCTTTACTACACACAGAATTTACACCGATCGAATTGAATATCTCCTTCTTTATATTAGCCAGACTCGGAGGTACCCGGACCCCATCACCAACAGAGAATGATAAACCTTCTGCTTGATTATGTCCATGATAAGGATCCTGCCCTAATATGACCACTTTTATATCTGTACACTCCGTATACGTAAGACATCTTAATATATGCTCTGGCTTGGGATAGAATTGTACAGTGTGCAAGTGGTCTAAGATACGCTTAAAGTACTCCTTCGAAAATTCTTGGTTTATGTGGGTCATCCACCCAGGGAGGACTTCTTCATGCAATTTGCATATCGCACATGTACTGGTGCACATTTAATAGGGCCCCATTCAGAAAATTAAATTTATTTATGCAGGAGAGGGGCACGGGGCAGGTACCGGATGAGGAATCGGTCTCAATTCGTAAAGTATTACGTGAGAATAAAGCAGAGGAATGGACTGAATTATTAGAGGGTCATGGTGTATGCAGTGTAACTGATTTACGCCGGGTAAAGTATGCGGATCTTGTACAGTTCGGGATAAGTGAATTTGAGCCCAGGAAGAGGATATTTGAGGTTATTAAGCAATTAAACACGGAGTATCCGTATGATAAAGACAGGCGGGCATCACTCCATCAGAGAATGCAAGCACTCGCCAGGTCTAGTATAGGGTTTACGCATGTACACCCAGAGAGCAGTACGTATAATAATATGAATAGCGTACAGGACCAGGAGAGTATCCCCATAAATATAAGCAGTAAGGATGGGGTGAGTAGGGACACTTCATATGTAAAGTATTCAGGTGGTGTACAGGACACTTCTAAAGATGACAGTTTTACGTACTATACCTGTAATAACACGGGGAGGGACTCACTCGGTATAATTGACACACAGAGCACACCCACAGAAAGTGTCCACAGGAGGGATTCTATTATGAGGGAGGGGTACGCCATGAGAAGTACTTGGAAGAGGAAGAAGGATTTAGTTAATGAAATAATGAAAGAGGCAGAGGACAGTATAATATTAGAGGGTGATTCAATACAGGACAGTTCCACCGCAGGGAGTACGTCGGAGTATTCGTGCATATCTGACGTACACACAGAATCCGTCGAATTATCGGGGTGTAAGGATCCGTTAGAGGACAACAGGATAACTGTAATTGTAAGGAAGCGACCAATTAAACCGAATGGGAAGAGGGACACTGTAAGCATATCAGGAGCACAAGTCATCCTCACTGAGAGTAAGCAGAAAGTAGATCTAACCCCGTATATGGAACCACATACGTATACATTTGACAGGGCGTACGGTGAGTGTAATACGACCATGGATATATACAGGGAGTGTGTTAAGCAAATGGTGAACTATTCCATGGCCGGTGGTAGTTCTACGTGTATAGCGTACGGCCAGACAGGGAGTGGTAAGACGTACACCATGCTAAATGAGCATACGGGTATGATCGTACTGGCACTTAAGGATTTATTACGTGAGGGTGTCCGTGTGTCATTCTATGAGATATACTCTAATAGTATATACGACTTATTAGAGGACCGTAAGAAGATATTTGCACGGGAGAAGGACGGGGTTGTTTCTATTATGGGTGTAAAGGAGGTTTATGTGGGCAGTGTAACCGATGCTATATCATTAATAAAGCAGGGGTTACAGTGCAGGATGACTGGGAAGACAGGTGCAAATAATAATTCATCCCGATCGCATGCACTCGTTCGGGTTCGCACTGCACGTGGCATATTTACGTTTGTGGATTTAGCCGGGAGTGAGCGAGGGACTGAGCGCGGGATGGAGAGTCAGCAATCTTTAATAAAAAGGGAGGGTGCTGAGATTAATAAAAGCCTGCTGGCACTGAAGGAGTGCATACGTGCCATGGACAAGTCAGCTGTACACCTTCCATTTAGGCACAGTAAATTAACACAGGTTTTGAAGGAGTCGCTGGTCGGTGAGTCAAAGTGCTGCATAATTGCGACGATTTCTCCTGAGGAGGCATCGACTGAGCACTCGCTTAACACGCTAAGGTATGCGCACAGGATACGCGGTCTGGGGAGTAAAAAGAGGGAGGACAGTGCCGGGACAAGCCTACAAAGTACGGGGAGTATCCATAGACAGCATAAGCAGGCACTGTGCACAAACACTCCGAGTGCGTATACGGTGCATGTAAAGGGTGCACCTGTCCCGGGCACTGTGCTTAATGCGGTGCAGTCGACTCCTGTCCGGGAGAGGGTCGATCGGGAGAAGGTTTCTGTGTCTAAGCAGGGATCACCTGTGGCTCAGAGAGTACTTGTACAGCAGGCATTAGCATCAGTTGCCAGTAGAGTGGCCCGTGAGAGTGATCCTGAGACTCTTGAAGTATTAAAGGAGGCCCTGCTTGATATTGCGAAGTATCAGAAGATATCTTAAGCAGGGACAGCAAGCAGTTTAATAAATACATGAATATTGATAATAAGTCTTGGAGGGGTGTGCAGATATAATATACAAGTGAGATGTTCATTATTTATTACGTATTGTGCACTATTTATTATGGATAACCCGACATAACCCGGATTTATGTAGGTATCTGATAGAAGCACAGCTCTGTCTTTACCACATCCGCAGATGCCCGGCCCGTGTCAGCCACGATCCGATCCGACTGGACCGTGCACATGTTGAAGAATTCTTCCATAAGACCAGTCTGTAGGATTTCCTTCAGGGTGATGTCCTTCATCTCAGCCGATCGCTCAGTCACCCAGTGCGACCGTGGATTAGTCCCCAGGGTCATCCAGTGCGCTGACTCCACGGCATGCTGTAGGTCTAAAAGCGCAATGTACTTGGTCTGCACAACTGTTTTATGCGAGTACACATACCCATGCTTCGTATACAGCGCAGTCCTGTAGACACCCTTCTTCTCAATCAGGAACGACCCAGCAATATCATCAGGTAGCTTACACTCACCACGGGATATCAGCCGACTCCCATCCTGTGACAGAATATGCTGTGGTGAGTACGTGTATATACACACGGTCTTTAAGGAGTCGTATGAAATAAGGCTCAGTGCAGTATCATGCAGGGTCATCCCGATCCCTTTAAGGAGGTATACGCCACCACTGCTCTGTGATAGCATGTGCAGGAGTGGTGGATCGCTCTGATAAAACAGTAAGAAAGTCCCTTTATAAGCATCACCGCACACGATAATGTTCCGCATGACCATGCATGACGTAAGGAACACGTGTATGTCATGGAATGCGACTGCCCTGAGTCCCTCATTCCTGTCGAACATGTATATCATAAGCTTAGTACCAACGCACACTACAATATTCCCCTTTACGATATCACAGCATGTCGTGGCACCTTTTGTTTTCTCTGCTGCAAGTGCCTTTAACTTATGCCGTGTCTCGATCCTGTCCCTCTGCGGTACCACTGATGCAATTTCCAGGACGATCAGTCTGCCGCGTGCCATGAGGTCTTCATCCGTGATGTACGTAGTGCATACGATCACGAACTCAGAGAATCCTTCTGTGTTCTGCTTATCAGGGAGTGTTACGATCTTATGATACGCAATGTACTCATTGTTCTCCAGTCGGTACTCATCCACTGCCATAAGGACACCCTCTGTCCTACTGCACACTTTCATCTCCTCATGCGAGTATATCTTTAAGGAGTACGCCCTAGTCAGTGGATTAACAGATATTTTAGGGATAACAGGGGCAGGTACCAGTTCTGCATCTAATTCAGTTGTGGCCTGCACTGTAAATGGTATCATATCCTCCGTATACGGATTATTCTTATACGTAGCAGCAACAATCACTTTCTTAGCCTTAGAGTACGATATTTTCTCGCATATACTGTCCACCTTCGTCTTCCTGTACAGGACAGACTTATCGTACGAGTACACGGGAAGGTTCCCCTTGGCTATACTCCCCTTTGCCATAACAATAAATGAGCGTGTACTGTTGCTGTTCTCCGTTATTTCTTCAATTGAATCTATCCTTATGTTAGTCGTATGTATACAGTGCGTATACTCAGTGAATATAAGTATCCGTGTCTTATAATGACCAGGTATAAATACTAAATTATCGCACATACGGATACGGCCGAAGTTCTGTACATGCCCCGGATCCGATCGTTCATAATAAAATGCATTATTAGTGACCGGTTCCTTATAAAGGACTCGATCACGCACTGTGTACAGGATTATTTCATTATTCTTTGTCTGTACGAGCAAGTATATCTTAGAGAACTGCTCCATAACCAGGATGTTCAGGACTTTCTGTCTGTGCTTAGGGTTTACATCCACTGACTCTTTCTCCTCCCTGACGACTGAAGGGAACACCGAGAATATCTTACACTCTAAATAGACCGACTTATCCGGGATTGAGTACATGAGGAGACTTCCACCGTCCGTGCAGATGTACAGGACACTCGCATGCACAGAAATTGCACATGCCCCGGTTACGGATAATTTCAACTTTCTGCCTCCTGTGTACTGGTAGATTAACCCGGTCTCTGTGAGTACAAAGACTTTCTCAGTGGATGCGTACACTGCCTGGGTTATTCGCTCTGGGAGGGTGAACTCTTTCTTCTTCTTGAACTCTTTCGTTATGTAAACTATCTCGTGCGTGGTTACCTGGATGTATCCCGTGGTGGACATTAACGGCTTGAACAGGATGGTTTTATTATTGGATAATTCCGAGTCCACCTGGTTTATATCCGTGTCCCATTTAACGATCGTACTCTCCGCATGGTTTGTTACTAAGTATAACTGACTCGCTGTGTCCACCACGAACAGGTCGGAGTATCCGGTTATTTTAGCTGTCTGTGAGCACAGGATGTCCACTCCATCCTTGCACACTATAAGAAGCGGCTGGCCAAATGACCCTGCTGATATTAAGTACTTGTACGTCTTATTCATCAGAGGGAGTGGTTCTATGCTGAATATCTCACCCAGGGACGGGATCGTCTGTAGAATAACTATTTTATTGGTGATCGTGGCTTCTCTGATTATTTCACTCTTCTTTTCTGTTTCCCCTGCCATTTTGAACATGTTCTCGTACTCCCGTTCAAATTCTGATTCGTACTTCCTGTCCTTCTCGGGTTCTGGCGTACTCCGGGTGCTCCGATTGTGCTTTCTGTCCCGGACGGCAGTGCTCCTGGGGTGAGTGGCCGTACTTAATAAGTCCGACTCTTTCTCATCTGAGTCGGAGTGTGGTGGTGTCTGACTCGCCATCTCCGTGCTGCCCAGGAAAATATCTGCATACTCCTGCGTGGCAGTGCTTCTTTCAGGCTTTACTTGTTTCTCCTCTACCACGGCATCAGGCGTGAATGTCACCAGGAATAAGCCTTCTGCTGTACTTATGCATGCATGGTTCTTATACACAGCAGTAGAGTACGGCCGGTTGTACCCTATCGGAAGCTCTATTTTCTCTGCCACTACACTCGATATCCTTGAATTACCCCCAAGTATCGTAAACCGCAGGAATATCCCATCTGAGAACAGGAATACGTCCCTGTCCTTTACGATACACATCCCATTCTCAACCATAAAGTTCTGCTCCTTTAAGAACTTCTCCTCTATCCCAAGCACCTCAAATGACCAGAACTCATTAAACCGCACGCCGAGCATCTCCCACTGCGTATAAAACAAAGCACCGCACGCACCAAGCACCATAAATGCCATCTCATGCGTGGCTGCGAGCAAGTAGCACCCGTGTGGGACTGATTCCACCTCAAAGAAAAAGGAGAGTTCACTCTCCTCATTCAGAATGTACACAAGAATCCTCGACCGATCAGCGACCGTGTCCTCAAATAAAAAGCACAGTGTCGGTGAGGAGTACCCCCGTAGGAATATGGCATCTTTTATTGCACAGTGCCTTGGCCGAATATTCTGCATCTCAAACACCTTGCTCCTCCCGACTTCCTTTGATGAGAATATCGCAAAGTGCGTGTTCGAAATCTGCAGGAATGAGACCCCGTGCTCTTCATCCACTCGAATAAACGAGGTGTGCTTCTCAGACCCAGAGAAGAACCCGTACTGCTGCTTCTCATAAAATCGCAGTGCACGGCACACAAACTCATTCTGGTCCACATCAAAAATAACCGCGGACACCCTCGCATGCTCAAAATGCACGAGAACGGAATCTGCCTCCTCTCCCTGTGAAGGAATCCCTGCCAGCCCAAGAATGCACCCGAACACTCTTTTCTCTTTTATCTTCACAAGAACCCCTCCTGCAACCTCATATAAAATTATCCGGTCACACCCAGCAGAAATAACACACTCCCTCCCTTTAATAAACTCTCCCATTACAACGTGCTGATTAGCACTCCCCACATACCTCTCCAGTAAAAGATGGTTCATTCAAAATAAATTTATTCACAGTATATATGCTTTAATAGCTAATGCACTCCTTGTGTGATTGTTGTTCTCTAAGTGTGTGCGAGCTTGGCGCAGTCGGTAGCGCGTTAGTCTCATAATCTAAAGGCCATGGGTTCGAATCCCATAGTTCGCATTTTTAATCCATAAATACATACACGCACACCCTACACACGCAGTGGCACCCTCTCTATCCGATACTTCTCCAGCACGGTAATACTGCTCCACGCAGCCTTCCCTATAAGATTGAATATCTTATACATAAGATACCCAGCCAGTACCACAGAAACACAGAACATCCCCAGTACGACCGACCACCCAATCACGCCTATCTCCCCATGGCTAAGGAACACGATCAGGGCACCGCATACACAGACACCCCCACTGACCAGTACAGCAGACACTGCACTGTACTTGTACTTCATAAGGAATACCAGGGCGTACGCTGAAACAGGCACTATCCGTAGATACGGTGACGTGCCCGTAAGTAGCAGCCCAGATATAGCCACACGGTTCATGACACACAGGATATAAAGCAGTGACAGTACGCTATCACACGTCCTTCTACATATAAATAACCACGAGTTTATGCTCATGTACTGATAGGTCTTCAATACTTCTGATGCGATGTACCCTGCCTCTGTGCATGCACCCGTATATATAATACACTGCGTACTGATTAGTCCATCTATATACAGGGCACTAACCACGCACTGCACTAGAATGAGTGCAGTAACCACTGTGTGACTGATTACCCTGTGCTTTACATCTGGTGAGCACACTGTGTACACTATGCTTATAATAAGCGTATACAGCAGTACGTGCGGGATAAGTGTCAGTGTGAAGTAGGGGAGTACGTGTACACCCGCTAGTAGGATCATATACGGATAGAATACAGTGCATAATAAGAGCAGTGTAAGGGACACTATAAATACGCTCATGAACCGCTTTGTTATGATTAAGTCTATATAATCAGAGTACCTCTTCTCTGTTAATAGTGGCAGGATATTATCACCGAACATATTATAAAGGATCCTCTGCTTCTTGTTTGCCAGTATGCTGTACGCCATGTTTACTTCCTCAAATTTCCCTGGGACTGAAAAATGTGCATCTGGATGGGTCTTCTTTGCTGCTTTTTTATATGCCATTCTTACTTCTTCATTACTTGCTGTTTTGGATATTTCCAGTAGTGTGTAGAGACTGTCGCCATTTGTTTGTACTTCTGTTCTGTCCATAAAAAATTCTATTACATGGCTAGTATATAAACACAGAAAGAGTCTAGAATAAGAAATAGTAAGGGAAATAGAGCATAACCAGAATATGCAAATAAATGAATAAGTGAAGGAATAAGTAAGTGGATGAGTGAATGTGTGAATAAGTGGATGAGTGAAGGAATGAAGGAATAAGTGAAGGAATAGGTGGATGACTGAGTATGATAATATGACTGACTGGCTGAGTATGATAATATAAGTGACTAAGCAAATCAGAGACTGACTGTATAATAATATAAATGAATGACTAAGTGACTGACTAAGTGACTGACTAAGTGACCGACTGAATAATAATATGAATGAATAATAATATAAATGAATAAATAAATAACTGACTGAATGACTGTATAATACTAACTAATTGACTGACTGAATAATAATATAAGTGAATGACCGACTGTATAATAGGAATAAGTGAATGAGTATTATACTATGAATAAGCGAATGAATGAATGAATGATTGAATGACTGACTGGCTCTATAATATGACTGACTGTATAATATGACTGACTGGCTGTATAATATAAGTAAATAACTGACTGACTGACTGACTGTATAATAATATGACTGGCTGGCTGGCTGAGTAATACTATTTATTCATTAAGTATTTATTATATTTACTACTGAATCACCCTTATTATTAAGATATATCCTGTATGCCCGCGTATTATACTGCATGGAGTTGTTCCATAAATAGTTTCTGTATTATTCTGTATAAGTGCTGGCTTGTGTGATACTTCTACATTCTCAAATACTCTCTCTACGCATAAATTTGAAATACTCTCTGCCTTCTGGATAACCCGCTGGACTTGCTCTATGCACGGAATGAAGCAAGATATTTTACCTCCTGAGTGTAAAATACTTGCTGCTCCTGGGAGGACACTTTCTGGTTCTGGTACGTCTAAGAATATCCCACTGACTTTCTCTTTTTTATGCACTACAGTACTAATATACTCTTCTATTGTGCTGTGGTGTACCCTTACATTCACCATGCCTGCTGTGATTATATCACTCTGTGCTGCTGTGAACCTTTCATTATTGCACTCTACAGTATCTATAACCCCATGCATGAAATAATTACTCAGTGCGTATGTTAAACCAAGTGTGCCTGTCCCTGATTCTATAACACGTGAATTATTTGGTAGTGCCATGTGGTACAATATTGATGATGCATCTGATCTGTATATTATCTGAGTCCTTTTCTGGCTGGTTTTTATCCAACGGTCACAATTAATTTCTAATAAAACCCCTTTTTTATGAGTATTTCTGTGCGTGTCTCTTTTTTCTGTGCTGTATAATTCTGGTTCTTTGTTTTTTTCTTTTGTCTCTTTCTTATGAATGACTCTGCTTAAATTTCTGTTCAAGTATTCAATGTGCATGTGCATTTTTTTATGCAAGGGAATGAAAAAGAAAATCTGCTAAGAATATACTACCAGTCATTATTTCCTGTATACGATATTATGAGGTGGCTTCGGTATGTTAAAACCAGAGAATTCTCATTTACTCTGATGAATGAGATATACATACGGTACATAACAGTAAATACAGCAGAAGAATTGGGTATACGGCTGGTCACAGATACACCACAGAAATTAGACATAGGGGGTGTTTATGTGCATAAACCAGCTGCTGTTACAAGTAATAATGCGTGTATGATTAAAGAACTTGTTTTTGACATAGATCTGACCGATTACAGCAGGAAGTGTTGTACAGATAAGGATATGTGTGAGTTATGCTTTCCCTTGATAAAGTGTGCTGTGGAAGTACTTGAGAATATACTTAAGAATGTGTTTGGGTTTAAGCATATACTATTCGTGTTTTCTGGTGGGCGGGGTGTACACTGCTGGGTGAGTGATGCAGTTGCACTGACTCTCTCAGATAAAGACAGAGTTAATGTGACTGAGTATATTAACTCCATACAAAAAAGAGCACATCCTGGGATTGAAGAAATACTTAAAAAGTATCGGGATATCATGAGTATGGATAAGGATACATCTATTACTGACTTATATTCAGAACTATTCCCTAAATTAGATGTGAATGTGACCAAGCAGACTAAACACCTTCTTAAATCTCCATTCTGTATTCATCCTAGGTCTGGACGGGTGTGTATACCCATTGACATTACAGAAATTGATAAATTATCCTTAGAAAGTGTACCTACAGCAGAGAGTGTAGTAAGGAATAAGAGTCATTTAATGCCGTACATAAAATACTTCCAGAGTTACATATCACAAATACAGTGAAATATACAATTGGTATATTAAGGTATAATATAGTAATAAATTCGGGTTATAATGACTGACTAAGTGACTGACTTGTTCATGGAATGGATTGGATTCTGCCATCTTCATATTTTATATTGTGTAATAAGTCTTAGTATATGTGTAATAAGTTTTGGTGTATGTGTAATAAGTCTTAGTATATGTGTAATAAGTTTTGGTAATAATTAATTTTATGCATTATTTGCTGTTTGCCTGTGTACTGTGCAATAACTCACTTATACGAGTGGATATTTTATACACTTAAATTCATAAATCATCTGAATAACTAGTGTCTGCGTATTAATAAAATGCATAGTATTAATAAATAGTAACAGCACTACTCAAATAAACAATTTACTATTCATGAATTGATTATATTTGATGGTTTCCACGCGTTTTATCTCTTATTTATACAAATTATACTCAGAATTTATAAAAGTGTACATTTAATTTTCTAAAATTTAAATATTTTCTAAATGTACAAATATAAAATAATACAAAATAGTTAATATTTGTTATTTATTAGCTCTTAGCATATACACCTGGTCACTCAGAGGGTTGCTGATGTATTACCCGATGCAATGTTGGATATTATATCAAATAGAATATTCTTCCGGGTTTGGAAGTACTGGCCCTTCCCTGTGGACTCTTTAGCAAGCTTTTCTCCACTTTGCATGTGACCACTGTGCACTAGAATGTACGAGAGTTCAAGCAAAAAGGATCCAACTAAACTAGCTGTCTGCTCGTTTGTAGATGCCTGAGCATATATTTTCTCAACCCATTTTGAATCACTCTGTACTTTTGCAGCAACTGATTCAATTCCTTCTTTTATGTGCAAGTACTTCTGCAGAAGTGAATACGCACTGCTTAGTTTTACTTGTGATACAAAATACTTAACTGCTAAATATGCAAGAAGAATATTCTGCGGATTTGTTGCTATGGCTCTAGTAAAACAATATTCTGCACTTTCCTTCTTTCCTATTTTTTCGTATATTAAACCGCACCCGGCTATTCCACTGTAATTCTCTGATTTAATTTTCATTGATTCAATAAAGCACTTGAGACTCTCTGTAAGATTGCTGTTCATAAATTGCTCATGCCCTAATAAACATAAGACATAAGGATCCTTACTAATGGCCAAACTCCTCTCAAAACACTCTAGGGCTTTTTCAGTTTCTTTTTTCAAGCTGAAGTGATTCCCAAGGACAGCCCAGGAAATATTTGATGCAGGATTAACACCGAATATATCCCTGCTAAGAGAAGTAAGCAGACCTTTATCTCTATTATGCCATAAAATACTGGAGTAGTAGTGCATTGTATCAATGTAGTAAGAATCACGCACTCTGATGTACTCAAAGACAGTGCCTGCTTTCTGCATATATCCGCACTCAAATATATGCACAGCTACACTTGCTATGCTGTATATGGGCATCTGGTTAAACAGTGAAATATATGAAGAGACAGAAGAAAGAATCCCCATAGATATATTCTTTAACAGTGAGCACTCCTGTGCAATGTTTCTTATAATACATTCTGTGCTTTTACCTGTCTCCTTTTCTAGTCTTGCCATAATCTTCCTCTCAATTTTTGTACTTTCCTCTAACGAACTTTTTTTACTGTCTGTAGTCTCCTCATTCGACCGATTTTCATCTACTCTCTCCTGCCTTCTGGCCACTTTAGTACTCTCCTCTAGCATGGGCCTGTACACAGAGTATAAAAGACTCCCGGCTGCCGCTGATTCAACACATCTTTTTAGCCCCATATCTGGACACCCCGTCTCTGTCTCTGCTTCAGCCAGTAGAGCTAGCACAAATGTTCTGTCCATTTCTAAAACATACATATTCTCTAAAGGCGTGCACCTTCTTGAAGGCTCTCTCGTCTTTATCTTTTCTAGTAGCTCAACTGCTATGTACTTCACTTTCGTATGCTCCTTTAAGTGCCTGTGACAAAGTGCTTGGTAGTAAAGAGACGTACACGTGTCATCTTTGCATAAGTACTGAAGGGCCCTCCGGTACTCAGAATTGCGCATAAACAAATACCCCAACAGAAGAGGCCTGTCCTTTTGCTGGTCTATCGACAGACACTCTACTATATATACAGCGTCTTTAAACCTTTCATATTGTATACACTTACAAAGGAACTCTTCCACTCGATGCATAACAAAATAAAACTCTTTCATTCAATTTATTTGTGGGTATAAATAATGGATACTTAATAAGATATTTACTACCTTTTCTATAATAAACCAAGCTATTTGCTTGGTGTAAGTAATCCCTTGATATATTCGGTTGTTTCGGCTAGTACACTCTGCACCAGATACTCATCTTCAATCTCCTGCACTGCCCTGCCAATTATTTCATAAATAGGATTTCCTTCAGCAGACTCTCTGCTCTGAAGTACATTACCACAGTACACAAGAACAGAATTTGCCAAATCAAAAAATTCTCTGATTTTCAGCATATCAACGGATATTTCTGCTACAACAGAAATATTTTCATCTGTTAAAGAAGAAACAGAAATAAGCAACCGGTCTATTCTATGGAGATAATCCATTACACTGGTTATGGTTTCTACATTTTTTAAATCTATTGCAGCCAGTAGTGCTTTTCTGTACTGGAAAGTGCTCATGAAACGGCCAAACTTTCCTTTCTTATGGTCTGACTGCATGTGCACAGAAAGTGTGCGGGTTTCAGTTGTGTCTTGTTTATTGTATTCGCGTATGTTTTGTGGTCCGCTTTTTTGTATTACAGGCACTGGAGTGACTGGCTCTGGTGTCCATCTGTCTCTGTATACAAGAACATTTCCTGTAGTTGTGGATATAATATACTGTATTCCAGTGATGTGAGAGTCGTTGGATTTACTGAAGAGTGCATTGAATGCTTGGATAGATGATCCTGCGTATAATGAAGATACTTCTCTTAAAGTGTGTGTGGATACTCTCAGCCTTCCGTCTAGTGAGGATGTAATTAAATACTCCCCGTGCACTTCTGCCTTAGTAAATCCTTTAGAGTGCATGGAAGATGCTATTGTTATTGCTTTCTCTTCCATACAGTAAATATATCCCGTGCCGTTGCACAGACCAATGAATAACTGTGTTTCATTAATGAACTGCACTATACAAGACTTTTCCACGTATAAATCAGCCACTTCATTCACGGATATTTTCACTTTCTTTCTTCCTACAACACCAGAAGCACCAGTGTCAGATATCGCGTACTCATATATGTGTAATTCACCACTTGCTAATGATACAGCCATGTACTTGCCGTTTGAAGATATACTGTCTACATAGTCAGAGTACGTAAGTTCAGTTAGTCTGCTAGTATCGTATATACAGTACACGAACACTTTACACGACTCCCCTCCAGCGCACAGCACTTCACTCGATAGAAAACCCAGTGCACGCAAGGGAGCATTTCCCGTGTCTATAAAAGAAAGCCTGTTCCCATCATAGTCAACCAAACGTATTTTACCTTCTTTGTTGAATAATGCTATGATTGAATCGTTTGTTGCAATACGAGCATCTGTTCCAGATGAACGACTGAACACTTTTTCGCTGTTCTTCTCAGTATCAGTGTCCAGCGATTTCTTACATAAACTGTCGCGGTTTGAGTACACCGCAGTGTTCTGGTTTGTTAACACCACGGCATAACACCCAGAAATATTCCTCTCTACTTCTATTATAGTTCTTGTTTTTGGATGTTTCACTCCATAATTTTCAATACGAAACTCCTTTTCCATACGCTGTAAAAATTCTGCAGTCTACTAAAAACTTTTCCATCTTCACAGAGACACATTTACTGAGAAATTCTTAATTAGTGCAAGGCTTAACAGAATGACTATTATACAGATTTTATGCTAATCTCACCGTATACTAATTTCTGATAATTTACATAAATACCCAGAAATTGAATTTTACTTTAATGTGCTTAAAATACCTCTGAGCACCCAGAATATTATATTTATACAGAGTATACGCACATAAATTATATTCTACAGTTTCATACTCACAGGACTATTATTCGCAGTAAGAAACATAATAAATGAGAAAGTGAAAATATCCAGAAACACTCTAAAATTATAATAATAAGGCATAAGAAAGCAGTTACTATGCAAATATGTGATACAAAATGGATTTACTGATTTAAAGTACGCTCTATTTGTGTATTTTCATTAGTAATTATCATATATCCTGTTTTCGTACAAATGAATATTTATTTATTTGTACAGGATTAGCAACATGTTTTATTCTTTCTTATAAAGCCCTGGGAAGTGTATCATAATTATGTCATTCACGATTAGAAAACTTAAAAGAGAAGACTTAACAGAAGAATACTTCTCTCTTCTGTCCATACTCACTGAAGCACCATTCCCAGGGAAGGAGCAGGTTGATAAGATGTATGAACACATGCAGGCACATGAAGGGACATACAATGTGTTTGTTGTCTGCTCTCCTGAGGGAAAATTAGTAGGGTCCGGTACTCTGCTTATAGAGAAGAAGTTCATACGATCACTGGGGAGTGTAGGACATATAGAAGACATAGTTATTTCCAATGAGTGCCAGGGGATGGGACTCGGCCGTAAACTGATAACATTCCTTTCTGAGAAAGCTAAAACCAGTAACTGTTATAAAGTGATACTTGCATGCAGTGAAGAGAATCAGAAATTCTATGAGAAGTGCGGATTTGTTAAGAAAGAAGTTATGATGGCTTTGTACAACAGCTAAATTTAGTTTGGTTCCTTTGTGAGTGTACGCGTACACTCGCGTATTTTATTAAGCAATAAATGGGAGCTCAAAATATTTCATTCTGTGGCAGTTATTGTATATTTTATTTCAGTGTTCAGGTACGGGTTATATCTGCATAAAATCATCAAGTCGTCTTTTACTGTCTTCTAAATCATTCAGGTACCTCTGATAAAGTGGATCATTTGGAGTTTCTATTTTGGATATTTTCTTCTTTAAATCGGATATTCTCTCCTTTAGCTCCTCTTCAATCTTGGACTTTATTTTAGTCTTCTGGCTCTGGTCCGCTCTGGTTAAATGCGTGCTCTTTGCTAAAATACTTTCATTGTGCGCATTGGAGTGTGTGGAAGTCTGGGGGAATCTGCTTTTTAATAGTTTTATTGCTAGTCTTTGTTTGTTAATTATTGCATCTTTCTCTTCCCGGATCTTTTCTGACTCTTTGATTATTTCATGGTTCTCTTCTTTAAGGTGCTCTAGCTCTTTAGTAAGTGCATTTAACTGGTTACTGATGTGCTGCTTGTCCTTTTGTGTTTTCTCATGAGTCTCCTTCTCTTTCTGTATTCTCTCTCTGAAGAATCCTTCTATCGCCTGTAATGAACTGGTTAGTTTCACAGTCTCCCCTGCAGATATTTCCTTGTGCAGTTGCTCAATCGCATCTGGCATGTCTAAAAGAAGAAGAATTCGAGTTATCTGGATAGATGCACAAGTGGCAAGTCTTGCAAGTGAGGCTTCAACCCCTGCACACGCAGTGAAGGAAGACTTAATTTCAGATATTTCCTTTTTTCGAATCTTCAACCGTGCACGATAACTTGCAAGTTGTTCCTTTGCCTCTTTCAGTGCACTCTCTGCTGATTCTGCCCGGGTCCTTTGATACGCTATCTCTGCTGCACTGCTCATTTTTTCATTCTGTGTTTTCTGGATGCTCACCTCTTCTTTAAGTGCCTGCCTGCTTAGAGCTGCATGCATTTCTGCCTTTTCCACAGAATTCAGTGCATTAATAAGCGTATTCTCAGCAGGCACTCTTTCCTCTCGCATGGCATTCACTGCAGAAATATTCTTTGATAAATTATACTCATTATCTTCTTCTGGTGTATATTCTGGCTCGTCCTTTCCATATATTATTTGCTTAAGCTTCTTCAACCAGCCAACTTCTTCTTTTTCCTCCTGTATTATAATACTATCCAGACCAGGCTTCCTTTCTATCATACTCGGTTCTTCACCATGCCTTTCTATTATGTAGTGCAAATTATCTATCTTTCTGCATACTTCTGTGAAAGCTTTTGTCACATGATGGATCAACTCTCCATCGGCAATGGATTTTGGCTGTATATAATCACTCCTTCTTATAAAGGACTGCTCAATTGTTTGGTTCTCCTTAATTATATCATTATCCTGAAGAAGACTGCTGATTGACCCTGTAGCCATGTCTGTCAAGTTGCTTCTATACGAAACTTGCGAATTCTGCTGGGTGGAGGGATCCATAAATATATTATACGGAAATTAAAATACGAAATTATATTTGAAATAATTCTTTGGCAAATTATTAAATGGACCGGTTGTATCAGACGGCTTAAACCGGCCAGGGGTGGTTTCTGTATACTTAGTGCACTATTAGATATTTAACGCAATTATCTTTTATTTTTTCATGTTGCGTATAACACCCATAGAAGAAAAGCTATTTACAGAGTTATTAGAGTACAATGATAAAATAGGTCTAGATATGACATTCAGAGTGGCAGGTGGCTGGGTTAGAGACAGGTTAATGGGTATCCCGTGTGATGATATAGACATAGCCATAGACAGAAGCAGTGGTGCCGTATTTACAGCAGGGTTTATTACGCACTTACACGGGAAGTCTGAAGAAGTACGTGGGTACCACGTGATTGAGTGCAACCATGAAAAGTCAAAGCATTTAGAGACAGCCAGTCTACGGTACATGGACTTATCCATAGATTTTGTGGCTTTAAGAACCGAGGAGTACACAGACACAAGAATTCCCACAGTCCGCACGGGCACACCTCAAGAAGATGCTAATAGAAGAGACATCACAATAAATGCACTTTTCTATAACATAAACACAAGAACCATTGAAGATTATACAGAAAGAGGTCTACCAGATATAAAAAACAAAAAGATCAGAACTCCCCTGGATCCGATGGAGACTTTTTTAGACGATCCCCTCCGGATACTTCGAGTCCTAAGATTCGCATCCAGACTGTCCTTTGAAATAGTACCTGAAATACTTAGTGTACTAAATAAACCATCACTCCATGATAAGTTAAACAGAGTTGTATCCAAGGAACGAGTAGGGTGTGAAATAAAGAAGACCCTCTCACACACAGGGTACATTACAGCCATAAAAACAATGGCACAGTACAGGATCGTACACGCCTTATTCCCAGATGTAAATTTATCATTTGAAGATGTCTGTGCATTCACGGACACTCTGAGTGTATTACAGGGTATCACAGACCATCCATGCACAGCCATTCCATCAGAAGAGGTTTACATATTAAGAATATTTATACTCCTTCAAAATAATTTACACATAAAAAAGGGGAAGGGCACATTAACAGAATACGTTATAAAAGAATTATTAAAGTGGACTAAAATTGAAAGGGAGAAGATCGTACAGATAGAAAGGAGTCTATTAAAAATAGATGGACTCATGGGGATAACTTGTCCAGAGAATGACTGGCTAGTTAGGGTATCAAGAGAATTAGGACCACACATAGAGCACTCATTCACATTATACGATATCATACAGAAATTAAAAAAACAAGAAAAAATTAACGTACTTTCCGTATATAGTAAGATACTTTCTAACGGTTATAAAAATATATATTTAGAAAAGGGACCAGTTGAGTGTTCAGTTATATTAGAAGCACTAAACATAAAAAAGCAAGATGTATCCAAGTACATGGAGAGATCCACACAATTATCAATTATACATCAGACCAAGGACACGGAATATATACTTACTCTACTAAAGAAGGAATTCTCCATACCACAGGATACATAAATAAAATACAAAACTTATTACACACATAGTCATATATGTTACTTATTACACACATAACTATATATTATGCTACTTATTACACACATACTCATATATTATGTTACTTATCCATTTATTATTACACACATACTCATATATTATGTTATTTATCCATTTATTATTACACATATACTCATATATTATGTTATTTATTACACACATAACTATCCATTTATTAGTACACACATACTCATATATTATGCTACTTAGTACACACATAACTATATATTATGTTACTTATCCATTTATTATTACACATATACTCATATATTATGCTACTCATATATTATGCTACTTATTACATACATATTCATATATTATGCTACTCATATATTATGTTACTTATTACACACATACTTATATATTATGTTAGTCATATATTATGTTATTTATTACACATAGTGCATTAAGTATTCTTAATCTGCCTGTTCATAACTTTCTGTACAATGTCTTTTAAAATATTTCTGTCTTCTGAATATTCATTCCTTGCCACTGAAATAATATGCTGGCAAATTAAATATTCACTGCAAGTGCACCCGGCAGTGCTCCCATCAACCAAAACATATTCACCATTGACGTAAAAGTAATCAATCCCGTGCTGTGTGATTCTCTTAGTCTGTAGAATATCCTCAGCACCAGAAGTCCCGTATGAAATAAGACTAATCTCATGAGACATAAATTAACAACGGAAATGAAAATTTTTATTAATGAGTAGACCAGCAGAGGAGCAGTCTGATAGAATGACGAATATATTAGAAGAAAGAATAAAGAGTGCACTGGAAAAGAAAGGAAAAGAAGCCACACCACAAGAGATGTGGCTGGCTTCATTTGATTTATTAAAGGAGACAGTTGAGACAATGGGTGCGTATACAGAGGAGTGTCTGAAGATATCCTGTAAGTATGCGCCAGAACAATTAGGGGACTTAGCAAACCCAGTGAGGGTGTGTCTTAATAAGATATCTCACTCTACGAATGGGAACAGTTGGAGTGACAAGGGGTTCTTTACACTTATGCTTAAGGCCGTATGTACACCTGAGGCGTACACTGACCAGAGCATTATAGATAATATAATTGTTCTGTGTACTGTAAAGTCACCTAAGATCAGGAAGAGAGCTATTCCTGTCCTACGCCGGATAATTATACACGAAGAAAGCAGTGGTACCACAGGAGGGAGTATTACATTCTCTAAGCTAGTGATGACAGTAGAAGCACTATCAGAAGTTAATTTAGAGCACTCAGGCAGGGTTATTTCCATACTGAACCAGTTCATGCGGGAGATTACTAAATACGGAATGGCTGAGAGTATGCTAAATATCGCAGTAAAACTACAGAGGGAGAGTAAGTCCGTGAGCGTACAGGCAATTACATTTGCAGAAGCAATTTTAAAGAGTACCCCACAGGAATTATTAAGTACACACTTAGAGGTTGTAGAGGATGCACTATCAAAAGGATCTGATAAAGAAGATGAAATATGCATTCTTATAAATTACGTATCTGGTGTGATGAGGGCCAGTGCGGGCGTGTCCCTTCAGATGGGATGTGAATTTATTGTATCAGAGACCTCTGCAGTAGAAGAAGGCATTAAAGAAATCATAAAGGAGCACATATCAAAGAATAAGAAAATCACACAGGCGGTGTACGAGTCACTGCACAATTTATTATTATCACTTAAGGGACGAGTATCTCTGTTCACTAAGCTTATAGTTGTACTAGCACAGTACTGCTATAATGAAGAGGATGTAAGGATGAACAAAAGCATAGAATTAATTATAGGGAATATAGGCGTGGACAGGTTCATGTGGAGTGTTAAGGAGAGAGAGTTCTTCTACTGGCTGCCCATGATAAAGTCAGCAGTGCACTCATCGGATATTGAAGTGTTTATACGCAGGTTTATGCCTGAGATAGAGGTAGAGAAGAGGAATGAGGACAGTACGCAGTATGAAGCACTTTGGTCATGCTTCCCTTCATTCTGTCGGGGCATGAAGGATTCAAATGGAGTGTTTTCTCATTTTGTACGGCAATTACCCTTCTTCCTGTCGAATAATTCAGTAACTGGATATATCGCACAGGGTATAACAATCCTTATAGAAGAAGCACACAGGCATATCGGTGCTGACCCAGAAACAACCACCCTTAAGACAAATATTCTGAAGACGTTCTCTATTGCGGTCGACTTATTCGAGCGACTCGTGCTTAAGTTCAAGCAGACACAGGCAGAGAATGAGAGAGACGCACTCCGGTCATTCACAAAGGTTTTAGACAGTGCATGGCAGAGGAAGTACTATGCGAATATCATAGATACGGCATTCGTATTCTCAGGAGAGTTCTTCACGGGGGAGTTAAAGCCTGAAATAAACAGGAAGGAGAATGACGTGCCTGCACCAGAGAAAGTATTCATTGAGAATGCACCCCTCCTGGAAATCGTAGCGCATCAGTACGTTAAAGACACCAAGTTCACTGAAGGTGTGCTCAGATACGTCATATCCACACACTTACGGACACAGAAGATGGGGTATAAAGTACTGCTGGCACTCGTACAAGGTGGATTCTGCCCCAGGTCACTGTGCGACTTCTTCTTAGACCAGCGAACAGATGACGTCTTATTCCAGTGCAGTAGGCATTTACGACTCTCTGTTATATACGAAATACTCAAGAGGCATAACATAACAGAAGGTGTGCCTCTGTGCAGACTCGTATTCGAAATGGCCAGAGCCGTCCGGACAGAAGGTGGCCGTAACAGGAGTGTATCATTTGACATAATAAATGAAATGGCAGCCACGTACTCACCAGGCGTACTTGATGAAGTAGCTAAAATGATCATGGCAGGTATCCCCGGTAAGCCAGTTGATTACCAAGCAGGTGCAGTGGCCATCCTCTCCTCGCTCTTCTACCAGGGAAGGGAGAAGGTTTCTATTGAAGTGGTTGAAATGGCCATGGGCATAATTGAAGATCTCTCAGCAGAGAATAAGTATGCTGTAGGGAAGGCTTCAATCGGGTTCTTATCCATTGTACTTATAGAGATGGACCAGATAAATAAGTACTTAACAAGAGCACTCGTCTGCCTGGACAGGATCATCTTCCACTTTAAGCTGAAATTAAGTGAGAACCTGAAATTAATCTTAAGAAAGATTGTCGAGAAGAAGGGGCCTTCTGTCTTAACACCACCACAGACTGAGTTAATAAAGCAGCGGTCCTCAGCGTATAAGCAAGAAGAGGAGCAAAGAATTGTCGTGGATGGAGACGGTAAAATGCGAATAAAAGACCAGAAATTCATTAAGAACAACAGACAAAAAAGAGTAAAGCGGTCTTAATAAGTGCAGTTACAGAATAAATAAACAAACAGAAATAATTCAAAATTCAAAATAACGGAAATTGCCATTTTTAACGGAAAATAACGGAAATTGCCATTTTTAGCAGTTGTGCATTTTTGTATTCAGTGGCGTATGCCCACCGCATGCGATTTTTATTTTTATAGCAGCTGAATATTTTTTATTTTTCAGATGTGGACTGCAGCTAGGCTAAGAAGTGCATTTATTGAGTATTTTGAGAAGGAGGGGCATACGCACTGGAGATCTTCATCAGTGAGCCCAGATGACCCGACACTTCTGTTCACGAACAGTGGGATGGTCCAGTTTAAGAAGAAGTTCTTAGACCTGGCCATTACTGGCACGCCGTATGGAGAGCTAAGAAGAGCGTGCAACTACCAAAAGTGTATTAGAGCAGGTGGTAAGCATAATGATTTAGATGATGTAGGGAAGGACACGTACCACCACACATTCTTTGAAATGCTTGGGAATTGGAGTTTTGGAGACTACTTCAAGAAAGAAGCCATTCATTTCGGGTGGGTATTCCTGACTGAAGTGCTTAGACTGGACAAGGATAGAATATATGTGAGCTACTTCCACGGGGACCCATCACAGAACTTACCGTGTGATACGGAGACACAGAATCTGTGGAGGCAGTACTTGCCAGACTCAAGGATACTTGGATTTGGTGCTAAAGAGAACTTCTGGGAGATGGGTCCTGTCGGACCGTGTGGACCGTGCTCAGAGATTCATTACGACCGAGTCGGTGGACGGGATGCATCCGGGATAGTTAATCAAGATGATCCAGACGTGCTTGAAATATGGAATATTGTATTCATTCAGTACAACAGAGAGGAGACCGGACTGGCAGCACTCCCAAAGAAGCACATTGATACGGGCATGGGATTAGAGCGTGTACTAAGCATACTACAGGGAGAGAAGAGTAATTACAACACGGATTTATTCATGCCTCTGTTCAGGACAATTCAGAGAGTGCTGGGTGTAGAGGAGTACACCGGCATACTCACGGATAAGAAAGATATTGCGTACAGAGTGATTGCTGACCACAGTAGGACATTAACTGTATCACTAATGGATAATGTCATGCCAAGTAATGATGGGAAGGGGTACACCATCAGGAAAATACTCAGAAGAGCACTTGGGTTCCAGTACTTGCACTTGAAGAAGTCTCCTGGGCTACTGCCCCTTCTTGTAGAGCAAGTCTTCAATGAGTTCAGCCAGATATATCAGACAGAGCAGCCGCTTGATGCGATCGTACAGGTTGTGAGGGAAGAAGAGGCACAGTTCACAAAAACCCTTGGGAAAGGATTATCAATCCTCATGGAAATGCTTGCAGATGCAAAGAAAGCAGGCGGGAGAAGGATCCTTCCAGGGAGTTCTGCATTTGTGCTTTATGACAGGTACGGGTTCCCTATTGACTTAACCATGGCCGTAGCAGAACAAGAAGGAGTGGCCGTGGATAGTGCCGGGTTTAAAGAAGCCCAGGCAGCAGCTAAAGCCCTGTCAAAGAATAACCAGAAGACCAGTGAAGGTTTACACCTGACAGTGCACGACCTCGATGCACTTGACAGAAACCAGAACAAACAGCCGACTGTGGATAAGTACAAGTACAGTAACGAGCCAATACTTGCCAGTGCAGTGGCGATTAAGCACTCAGGAGAGATAATCGACTTTACAGTGCAGTCAGTGCACACGCATAAATCAGAAGATGTATGCGGTATAATCCTTGACCAGACATCTTTCTACAGTGAGTCCGGTGGACAAGAAGGCGATAAAGGCACCATCCTGTTCACTGAACCCACAGACTCAGACAGTGCCGATATAATCAAGAAACTCTCACAGCTAAGCATACGCACAGCACACACTCAGAAAGGAGCGGGCGTACACGGCGTATTCACTGTCCAGGACACTAAGAAATACGGGAGGTACGTCATGCACATGGGCAGGCTTGAAGGGTCTACCACACAGAATGCCGTGTGCATGGTAGACACGGAGAGAAGGGAAAGACTCGCACGTGCACACACTGCGACACACCTTCTGAACTACGCACTGTCCCAAGTACTGCGTAAGACGGGTGCTGATGAAATAAAGCAGTGCGGCAGTTTAGTCAGTGAAGATTTACTCCGATTCGATTTTCACTACGGCAGTCCCCTCACCAAAGCAGAAGTATCTGCCGTGGAGGGCATAATCAATGAAATAGTAGAAGGGAAAGAGGGCGTATCCGTTGAGTTCATGCCGTATGCTGAAGCAATTAAAATCAAAGGCATCCGGCACATGAAAGATGAAGAGTACCCAGAAACCGTGCGTGTAGTGAGTGTACGCAATACGTCCAGTAAGTCCACCAGAACCAGCACGCCAATTACATCAGCTGAACTCTGTGGGGGTACGCACGTAATAAACACGGGAGATATACGGAGAGTGCGTATAATAGGCGAATCAAGCATATCCAGAGGAGTCAGAAGGATCAGTGCCCTGTGCTCTGAGAAAGCAATTTCAGCAGAGAGTACAGCGAATAAGATCCGATCAACAAGGATAACCCCAGAATCAGCCCAGGGGATAAGGGAAGCCGTGGATGAAGCAGTAATCCCGTTAATTGAATCAAGCCAAATACGCGATGCCCTAGAAGACTTCCAGAAACAGCAAATAAAAGACAGGAAGAAACACTTTGACAGTGAATGCGCCCTGTTAAGGGAGTCCTTAAAGGACACCTCCGATCCCGTGCTTTTCGTATGCAAGCCCTTTGAAGGGACACCCGTCCAGCAAGTGAATAAACTCGTGGCAGGAATGGTCCAAGTACTTGAAAAACAGGCCAGGGAAGGGGTAATCCTATACGCAGCACAGGATGAGACTGTCATAAACGGGTCCTTACACGAGGGCGTGGAACGAGTTAAGTCCGCATTCAGTAACTGCCCCATAAACAAAATGAAAATTGGTGGAAAGTCTCCCCGTGTGATGGGCGTACTCACAGCCGATTTAAGCCTGGTTGAATCTACGATTAAATCCCTGATTTTTAAATAAATTTATAAAGTCTCCCCAATAAAAAATACAAAAATAATTTATGTACTGGTTTATAAAATTAAAGAATATTCAAATATACTGCAAGAGCGTATGCAGGAGTGTACAGTATGAATAAAACCAGGCCAAGCCGGTTTAGTGCATAATTAAACACGGCCATAATTTCATAATGTATTACTGTAGTATACTAATAGCATAACTAATTATAATTTATTACACAGTGCATAATAAATTATGCACACTCAGCATATGTCAATTAGTCCTTGGCATGGCACCCATCAGGAGAGTCACCGCACTGAGAATTAACCGTAAGTGCCACGCATACACCCCTGGCCCCAATAAACCCGTATACGCACAGTAATGTATATATAATACACACAGCCACATAATTACACAAATCACCAGAAACAGGCATAACCCGGAATGAGTCAAGCACTGAAATAATCATCCATGCACCCCCCGTGAACACCAGGCATAACCCGAAATATTCAGCATAACCCTTTTCAAAGAGTCCCGTAAGCGGAACTTCCTTGGATTTTTTCATGGTAAAAAAATGCATTTGTGTATTATAGGGGCAGGCCCAGCAGCTGCCTACTTCATCAGGGAGTGCATGGCCAGGTGCAGCAGAACCACTTTCGATATTTTTGAGATATCCCGGGAGACACTCGGAAATTTAAGGAAAGGAGTCGCACCCGACCAAGTCCGCATAAGAAAGACAATCCCTGGGTTAGAGCGAGTATTCACAGACAGTAGAATAAACCTAATTAAAGGAGCAGACATAACCCGGATAATGAAAGTATCTGAGATAGAGAAGAAGTACGATGCAGTGATTATTGCGACGGGTGCTGAGCCCAGGAGAGTGTCGGACATTCCCGGGTGCGAGCACGTGCTTAGTGCCAGTGATATACTGGGGAGTATATCAGCGAACGAGAAAGTTCTAGCGAGTGGGACGGTCGCTGTGATTGGGAATGGGAATGTGTCACTGGACATTGCACGGGTACTTTTACACGGCCGGGATATGGGCCATCCTTCATTATCAGAAGTATCTGTGGCCTCTGTTGATTTAATAGGGAGGAGTTCTCCTGAACAGTCTAAATTTACAAATCCTGTACTATCAAAATTTTTATCATATCCCGTTATGGTAATTATAACGGAAAAAGTAAAAAACTGGATTAAAAAAACAATCACCCCAGAACAATCACGCGCACTAAAAAGGAAAGCACTTCTTCTGTCGAGTAATCAAGCACCTGCGCGTAAATCAGCCAAGTTTATTTTCAATGAAGTCCCAGTGAGTGTAGAGAGGTATGCGCCAGACGGGTCGAATAAGCCCGGTGTATGGCCGAATAACCCGAATGTACATAATGTAACTAATAGTGCCGTGAAGTATAAGCTAACCACAAGGGACCGTATTACTGGAGTGGAAGCAGTCCGTGTATACGACAGGATAATTTCAGCCATTGGGTACGCCCCAATAAACACGGATATTTCAGGTATGTTAAGGGACATATCCATTCCCGTATACAGGATAGGGTGGGCACGTACGGGTGGGACGGGTACACTCGCAGATGCGTACACCACGGCAATTAACGCTGTAAGTAAAATACTTCCGTATAATACGGGTGGACTAGAATAAATTCGGGTTAGATCGGGTTATTACTACTATTGAAAATTCTTCATATAAATTAACTGTACGCATAAATAATGTAATATTTCAGGTTACTTGCTGTTATTTCCTAATTAGGAGATTCCTTACCAAATATATCCATGTGAAGTTTTTTTATTAAACTGAATTTGTATCTATAAATTCTTGTTTAATTTTTATTTTCTTGTATGTGGAAGGAACAGAGCAAATGTCTCCAAGAAAAGGACCGAACTGTCTCCAGCAACTTGTCAGTGACAAACAAAGAATTATTCGACAGGTTAAAGAGTGCACTGCGAAAAGACCAAAAGGACAAGGAAGATTTCATTGCGGACCTGCTTAAGTTAGAGAACCCGAAAGAGGTGCTGCTCCAAATGGACAGCAGTGACTTCTTAGTTGTATCAAAGAAAGAGGCAAAGGCGTACTTTGAGTTATGGTGGAGAGTCACCACAGAAGTATTCCCATTCAAAAGGATCTTCAAGAGGTGGCACCACACAAAGGCACAGACACTATTTCTTTACCATGTATTGTCACTCCCTCCGGATATGGTGCAGCTACACCGTGGGGACACGTCATTTTTAATAGACAGGTACAAGGACACGTACGAGTACACTCCTTCAGTGAAGGAAATGGCCCTGTCTAATTATAACACAGAAGAATTATTCAGCTTAATTGGGGAATTAGATGTAGAAGATGGTCATTCTATTCTGAGCCATGGGATATCCACTGTACCAGAACTGATTTGTCTTGGCCTTATAAAAAGTGCCCAGAAGTATGAGCGACTGTTTATGGACACGTTTTCGTACTGCCTCCTGCCGAGTGAGCGGAGCCGGCTTATTCTTAGGAAGGTATTTGACAGGAAGCCTAAATTAACCTTATTAACCATGGAGAAGTTGCATGCCCTGTCATTTTCACTTGATGAGTGTTTAGTGGCATGTCTTGAGTGTAAGCTACTGCCGTATATTATCAGGGAGTTAGATCCACTGGAGTTCTCTCTTGACTTGATTTTAGTGGCAATCACTCGGGAGATAATTGATTTAAGCGTTATTCTGTGCATGCAATTGAATGACGAGTTTGTTAACAGTTTTATACACCATATAATATTCAGGTATGGGAAGGGTTCAACAAAAGGGATCAGTATAGGGCCACTGACTGTGGACATTATTATTTCCACGTGCATAACACTGGAGGGACTATCAAAAGGGTTACAGAAAAGCACTAATATGCTACTGTCTAAGCTTAAAAGTGCTCTTATACCGGAGATCAGGACGTGTCTAGTGAAGAGAGTCACATTAAAACAGCAAGCGAGTGAATTCCTGCACAATGTGATCTCTGGGAGGACGATTAACTCAGATGCGATTGTGTACATGACGCAGATATCCTCAAATAAAAGCTCGTACGACATGGAGCTATTTGAGCACATTCTTAATGAGATGGAGGTCAAGTACAATTTATTAGACCGGCTGAGTCTTCAGGAGGTGATGGCCATGTCCATGTTTTATGGGAGGATGATTAAGTACGAAATACTCTCCAGTAAGAGGACAAAGGCGGCAATGCGTAAAATGGCACTGTTCCTTAGGGAGGATCCGTGCAGTAACCGGTTTAAATTTGCACTGAAGTGCTTAGAGTCATTTGGAGACATTCTGGAGAAGTACCCGTTCTATGCCCAGGAGTATTCTCGCATGCCACAGGTGTACGCTGCGAACAAGTCATTGTACACGTTCATACGGGGGAATTTAAGCATTCAAGAGCTTACCTCTAAGAATGAGATTGAAGGGAGCCTGCCATTCTCTGATTTAGTTGCAGACGCACTGGGCCACATAGAGACGCACCCGAGCTGGCAGAAGTCTTTTAATATGCTTACACTGTCTAATGCACAGAGTTTAGCAGAGAGTATTCGGGCACAGAGTCCATCAGAAGTGGAGATGGCTAAGTACCTCATTGCAAAGAGGATGTTTAGGGAGACCAACCATCTGAAGGTATACATACAGTTTATCATGGAGTACTCAGAGACACTTTATTTGAGAGTACGGGAGATGTTCTTTGTTATTCTTAGGGCGTATGCGGAGAGGCATGCAGAGATAGACAGGACGGACAAGGCACCTTCTCTTCGTATAATTGGGACGTATCTTGGTATGCTGACGTTTACTGATCGTGTGCCTATTATAAGCAGCGATTTCAATGTGAAGGAGTACCTTGTGGACAGTGCTGGTAAGGAGTGCATATACTCTGCAGTGGTGTTTGTCTGTAAATATATTGAAGAGTGTGTAAATAGCAAAATTCTTGGGAAGACCAGTCCGTACGTGTGCTCTATCCTGCGGGTACTGTCAGAAATTCACTTTCTTGCTGAGGGGAGTGACCTGATATCACTGGAGATTGAAATATGCTTCTCAAAGATAGAGATACCGATTGAAGACATCTACCCGGATATTTCAGTGCAGGAGAAGAGGCTGGGCGCAAAGAGAAAGGCATCTGGAATAGCGAATTACATAGAGCTGGAAGGTGTCAGGAGTATGCTGGCGCATATTGCAGTGATGGGGTTGGACCTTGCGATAAGAGACATTCCGTACTTGATAGTGGATAAAATATTCAGTATATGCAATAGGACGTCATCAGAAGCAGTGAAAAAAGACTTCCCAGGCCGGCCAGAGCTTGCAGTTCGTGCGTATAAGAATATGGTATGTGCACTGACGGTTTCATTAGCATGCTCGTCCACAGCAGGCCCGATCAAAGCAAGTGCTGCAAATAATATTGCACACTTTATGCGGCTTGCAGGGATGGAGGACGCCCTCAGTAATGAGAAGATATCGTACATCGTGGATAAGAACATACCCATTTGCTTGGGGATTGTAGAGTACATTGCCAGGGAGCGGGTCGGGGCAGGAATCAACTTAAAAATAGACGAGCTTGTAGAGGAAGTGTCACAACTCCCGATACAGCCAGTGCCTGGGCATAACATAGACCTGTACAATCCAAAGGAGTACACTAAACCAAGCTACATCATTGCAGATGAGATTCAGACAATCACAATAGGAGAGTACCACGAGATATGCGCATACCTTACATCAATAAACTACAAGAACAGAGAGAGTGCAGAGGCAGTCGGACCATTCACTAGCTCATCAGCACAGAAGAAGTGGGAGGACGTACAAAAGATCCTGCATGAGATTGAGAAGGCGTCAGATGAGGTGGTTAAGCCCAAACTTACAATTGACCTACTGGAGAGCGTACACGCAATCATTAACTTTGCCTCATCGAGTGCAAATGAAATGGCGTGCCTGTTCTTCTGCCAGAACATCATTGGGAGTATATTTATGCTTAGTAACCAGTGGGCACGGACTATCTGCATACAGGCAGTCTACCGCATATGTAAGATATCGTACAGTTCCATGCGAGAAGTCTCCTCCTGGCTTATATACGCTGAGGATGAAAGGAAGTTCAACCCAAAGGTAATCGCACAAATGCTTGACCATAAGATTATGAACGTCCTGGAGTACGACCAGCACCTTGGAAGTACGCTAATGAGAAACACACAGCGGTCAAAATTCGCAGTTGAGCTGTTGAAAATGTGCATTGTGTCCGATACGCCCGTGGGAAGCCCATTTGACTACATCTGCACGATAGAGGCCGTTTCAAAGACAGCGAAAGGGTCTTCAGATGATAAAGTCAAGAGCCTTCTTAAGGAAATCGCCAGTAGAATATTCCTGATCAAGAAGGACAGCCAGGATAAGAAACTCTTTGATGAGTGGACTGAGGCGTACTTCTGTAAAGTGCTGGGTGGTGAGCGATCAGCAGCACTTGGCGTTATCCTGCGGGACATTAAAGAGCGTGCAAATAATTCAGCGAGTCTGAAGGAGTTCATTAAGTGCGGGTTCTCTGCGGCGATGGAGGCTTATCTTCGGGCACGGAAAGAGTGCTCTCCTATTAAGTACCTAAAGTTTGAGTCTCTTGCTGTGCTTATATCCACTATCTCTACTGCACCCGATGTACTCTCTGAGTGTCTCTCTATCCTTGTGGAGATATTCATAGATGGCATTGATATACAGTACTACCAGATACAGACACTGTTTACGCGAACACTGCAGGTGATCCTGGAGAATATAACGGTTGATCATGAAGATGTGATATTTAACTTTTTAACTGTTATGCGGCCCACGTGCTTTGGCTTCTTCTTGTCTGGGTTTGTTGAGCTTGTTTTCTCTGACTATATTATTCGAAATATGTTCCTGCGGAATGCATTCCGGGGTGTAGCAATTCTTGACTGGATATATCAGGCACTTCGTTTGTTTGAACCTTCCCCGGCACTGGATTCGCTGGTGTATGCCTGCGCTGCTTTTGTTTTGCAGCTGAAGAGGTACGCCCCGAATTTCTACAGTCACTATTCGTACCTTGCACTGCTTATGGTGCCAATTGGGCCACCAATGGTTCTGCTGCGTAATGTGTGGTCACTGCACAGGCATCCTTCTTACATGGAGCTTTTAATGCAGCACAAACACATTATTATAAACACGGATTATTATGCAGTTCTTGTGAAGGTGAATGAGTCCCTCCAAGAAAAGAGTCCGGATGTGTTTTCAGTCACCAGCAATGAAGAGCTTCTCTCGCATGTTTTAGTTGATTCGCTCACAAACCATGCCGATTCATCCAAAGTATACCAGAACATCATCCTAGACTTATTCTCACAGCCAGGGCGGATATCATGCAAAGAGCAGATCTTAGCAAGATTGCTAGAGAAGAGCTGTGCTCCCTCACCAAGACCACTTTTTGTGCGCAAAACACTTGATGCGCTTCTCAATGCACAGGCTTACATGGAAACATTGGGCGAAATCGTGCGGAGAGACAAAGAAATTCTTAGCAAGCTTATAGTCAAGGTATCCACGATACTGGCAACCGATACTGTTCTAAATTAACAAAAACTATTTATAAATCACTGTATCATCTATTTCTCATTTAAGTTACTGTTTTATGCATTTTCATAATAAAAACCGTTAAAATTACCTAAATTGGAAGTTTTAATTGAATAAATACAACGGAAAGTACAAATACACGAACAGAATTGTTTATATCCCGAATATAACCAAAATATTCAGTCTATGCATACCGACTATTTTCACTAATTTATCCTTTATCCTGCATAGTATGCTATAATCCACTTAAACCAGTCATAATTTTACACCCTCCCCATTTAAATAATTATAAATACGGTAGAGCGAGTCACTCCGCCTGCTATTTAAATGCATATTTCTGGTGAGAATTTCATGGGAGTGCACCCATAAAAAGTGAATTTTTGAATATTTCGGGATTTTTTCTTTTCTTTTATAATGCTACAAGAGAAATACACGCCAGAAACACTGCAAGACATGAAAAGAGTCCCAGCTGCACAAATCTTGCACAGTCTTCCATTTAGCTCTATTTCAAATATTATTTTCGTAGGACCAGAAGGGGCTGGTAAAAGAACACTTTTCTCTGCATTTCTTAAACACACATTTAAGAATACGCCATCCTTCTTTTCGTATACTTCAGCATACGAGGTATCCCCGTCAAAAACAATTGATGTAGAAGTCTTAGAGAGCAAGGAAGTCCTAGAGATAAAGTTAGAAGGCATGGGAACATACGATAAAAAGATCCTTCAGAAAATTGCAACTGACATATCGGCAACTAAATCTATAAAAAACCTAATGAAGTCGTATGAACACGCACAGAATCAAAATGAAGATGGAAATACCCATTCAGGCACAAAGGTTTCTCATCCAAAAATACTTTTTATACCCGATGGACATTTACTGTCAACTGGGGCACAGATGGCACTGCGCCGGGTTTTAGAAAAGGGTGCGTGCAATTTTCAGCTGGTTCTACTGACGAATACTCTCTCACACTTAATCCCAGCATTTAAAAGCAGGTTTCTTATATGCCGTGTCCCTGCACCGAGTGACCAGGATATTTCCGGTGTAATTAGTCACATATCCACAGAAGAGAATATTTCCATACCAGAGAAGACTAAACAAGAAATTATTAATAGGTCCAACAGGAATATGCGCAAGGCCTTTTCTCTGCTGGAATTAGCCGTGCATAAACAACCACTTGCTGTAGCACCCTGGGATGTGATTATAATAGAAATCATCAGAAGCGTAGAGAGTACGCCGTCTGTTAAAGCACTGGTTGAGACCAGAGAGAAGATTTATAAGTTACTGAATAATCAAGTACCATCAACATACATTTTTGAGACAATTTTAGAGGGGCTCCTGCAGAGAGAGAAAAGGGTTGAAGTGGCTAAGTCTATCACTGAAATTGCCTCTAAGTACACTGCCAGGCTATGTGCAGGCACAAAGGACATGTTTCATATTGAAGCATTTATAGCCAATGCAATGAGTTTATACGCAGATTTAGAGTAGGCACAGAATGCATTAGACTAATAATTATAATAAATACTGGATAGTTCTGTAATTAAGATATAACCCGATATAACCCGAATTTCGGATATTCCATGACAGGAAACACTTGCACGCGTATAACAATAACAAATAAACAAAATTTCTGTATTTCTAGGAATGGTCAGGTAAACAATACAAATGTTTACTAAAGTGGAAATAGAGACGAGTGAAGGTACTGCACTACTTACGTATACAAGTCCATTACACATATATGATAGTAAAAAAGGACCTATTTTCTCTCTATCACAGAAATTCGGGTCTTTGACTTTCAAGGGGGTATTCCTTAACTCAGAAGACCAACTTATTGCAAAGCATATTTTATACTCAATGGTTTCTGACCTGGCGATTGGATCGGATATACAGCTGTTAAAAAAGCATGCCACTATTTATGCATACATTGATAATTACTTAACCTCAAGGAATCTTGCATTTCCCATTCCCAGAAGAAAGAGCAGTAACAGCACGGCACCTTCATCTGCTCTAGCGCCTAAAAAGAAAGTATTTGTGGAGGTGGCAGATAAAGTATTCCTTAGACTATCACAGGGAAGGACCATTAGTAGCTGTTATGGACAGATATCCACAAATCCTTCTGAGGATGTGGGTCAAATGTCACTGAAAATAGATTCTAGGTCCCTGTGCGGCCTGCGGAATATACAGTACGATTCATCTGTGTGCAGGCATCGAGAGGGAATAACTACTCTTCTTACATGCCCATCTAAAAACTCAACAATCATGACGTATACGTACGCAGGGAGTATATCTGATCTACCCATGGTTAAAGCCGTTCTTGTTGACACAAAGACCATTGAAATTCTTCTGTGCTTCACCCCGGATAAGTATCCCGATATGTTCAGTACCTCCCTTGTCTTTGATTATACCATTGGCAATATTAGTGTACAGTGCAAGGAGGGAGAATACGAGTACCATGCACCCAGCAGAAAACTTACTTGGAAACTGTCCAAAATCACCAGGAATGCATCTCTTACCATTCATACAACTGAGTCACACAGAGCAAGTGCCGTGATTAAGTACATGTGCAAATACGGCAAGACGGCTGTGTCCAGTGTAGTTGTTAAGAGCCTTTCTTCTGATGCAGATGAAAATTGGATTAAGCACACAACAGATGTCTCTGGTCTTCTGAGACTACAGGAATAAGTGCACTTACTTATTCCGGGTCATTCCAGCGGATTAATAAAAGGCATACGCAGAATATTTTAATTTTAAGTTATTCAATTTTTCTGTTTATGCACGGCTTAATCTTCAGATTTACTCAGGAATAAACAAGAATTACTGCAATAAAAGCATAAAACCGTTAAATATTTCCTAAATTGGAAACATCATAGTTTACAGAACTATAAATCCCTTAAAAATCGCATAAAATATAATTTATACACGATATGAATGAATTTACCCAGCATATTTACTGTAATAATGGTTATTCTGTGGATTTGCCAGTATACATCCAGTTCTGCAATAATTTGTGTTTAAAGATGTGTGCTCAGCAGGAATAAAAATGTCTTTTTAGATTTTTATTTTCTTTTTGTTTTTTTAAAATATGGCAGAGGATCCCACACTCATACTTAGAAAACAAATATCTAAAAATGCAGTGATTAAGCTGGACTCAGATAAAATTACCATTGGAGAGAATACCTTCCCTGTCACCACAAAAAGCACTTACACAAACTCACGGGACCTGCCATATTCCCTTGCTTCTATATGCTATCTTCACGTAACAAGGACTCTTGATCACGGTGAGTACATTGCATCATGCAGGTCTTCTAATATTGAACCTGTCTCATACTTGGACAGAGAAAGGATTCTTTCTGATCTTCTGGCACCTCTCCCTCTTACAAAAGTATCTGTTATGAGAAGGCCCAGGAGGCATCCTGTCTTAATAACACACTTACTTGAGTCATATGAGGAGTTAAAGGCTGTGCAGCCTTCTGGCATGCAGTATATTTTACTCCCACGAGATGACTCTTTAATAAGATCCACTTTATTCACAGAGCACATTAAAAATAATGAAGACATTGTAACATATGGCAATTATAAATTCAAGCTGATAAATGACCCAGAGGATGCAGAGTCATTCGATAGAATTTCGGCTGTGTTCTTGGACGGCTCTGCATGGCAATTTAATGACTGGCCAGCCGCACTTACCACACGCATGAGTTATATTCCTGTATTCTTTCTAGCACAGGGCAATGCCCCATCCGCACCGGCCCTTCCTTTTTCTGTGACTATATTAAAGGAAGACGCACTAGGCGACGATTTAAATAGAGCTTCAGTTGCATTCTGGTCTATTATGGGTGTTCCCTTGTTAGACTAATCAAATCATTCCTAGTAAATTATCTTTTTCTTCTCTTTTCTTTTTGTACATTGCTTTCATGCAGGACTGTAGCTATTCCCGTTGAAATAATTGTTATCACATTACTCCAGCATAAAAAGTTCATGTTCCCTACACCACAGTATATAAGCATATACCACACAAGATACTCTATAAATACACCAATACTACACAATCCCAGGCATAAATTGAATACCCTATCATTAGAAAACTTCTCTAGGCTGAGTATACACCATAGAACAGCATATCCCCGGTAGCCTAGATCCTTAAACACCATTATAAGGTACAGCTTAGTACTTATTAATCGACTAAACAGTGTAAGAGATAGAAGGAAATAATGCGAGGCCCTAAACATATCCTGGAATAGTCCTTGATACTCTTTAAACATCTGCATATTTATGTACCAGTACGCATTAATCCCCGGTGCACACCTGTCATAAGAACCTTCAGCACATAGTAAAGCAAGAACTGGGCCCACATACTTTGCCAGTGCCTTTTTTTTATAGCATACCACTATAAGCAGACAAATAATAGAATATATCTCATTCGGCAGTAAAGAAGTGACTAAAAAGTATACGGGACAGTCCAGTAAATATCCTGCAGTAAAATCACACACTCCTGTTATACCATACATAAACGTATGCACCGAGTACGCCTTGCTTATGTTTAATAATAATAGTGTCTTAGTAAAGTAGTATAAAGTGATTGAAGGTTTGCCTGCAAAGGGATTCCCTTGGATGTACTGCTCTGCCTCTACTAAATCATAATATGAGTACCTAGAAAGGCATTTACTTATATCAAACCATCTGATTATCACAGAAAACACATGTGACATAATATTTCTATGCATGTACTGTAAAACACCTCTCTCCATTGCCTTATACAAATAAAAATATTATATCTGTTTCTATTGATATAGCCAGGACCAGTCTTAAATTTAATAATTACAGAATATTCTGTTGAATATTTGTTATTATTTAGGCGTATCTTATGCTTATACTGTAATTTTCGGGTTTAAGCTGTTTGGATTATTATTACTTTGAATTATTTCTATTTTAATATTTATTGCTAATCGAAATATTCATTTTATTTCATTGAAAAATATGAAATAAGTGCATTCTCCTGTACTGTCTCAGAAGCACCTCTGGCCAGACGATGCTCAATCTCTGATAAATATTGCATTTCTTTGCACCTGCTTTGATTGTTATTGTTCTCTTTTTTGAGTAACTCTGCTATTTCATTTACGATTTCCTTTAATCCCAGGCCATACTCTACCCGATGCTTCTCAAACTCTTTTTTCACCCTTTGGAAATTCTCTGTCCTCATTATATGAAGAGTCTCTGCAATTTCTTCTTTTTTTATGTCTTTATAATGCTCATTCACTTTCTCGGATGTAATTTCCCTGTTCGCAGTGATTAGTAGGCCATTTGTTAGATTTATGGCTTTCCTTATGTCTCCCTGTGATATTTCACAGACCCTTTCTATCCCAGACGTATCGCCAGTGCCGCCCTCTTTTGATATTATTTCTTTAATAAACCCGAACATCTCTGATGGTTTTACTGGTCCGAATCGGAAAGGTGCACACCGTGACTTTATTGCTGGTATTATTTTTGTGAAGTAATTGCATATTATAATAAATCGTACATTTTTAGAATATATCTCAATTATTCGGCGCAGTGCATTCTGTGCATCTTTAGTCATTGAGTCAGCCTCATCAAGAATAACCATCTTCATTTTATTGGATATTCCAAATGTAGAAGCAAATACTTTTACTTTATCCCTTATCACAGAAATACCTCTTTCATCAGAAGCATTCAATTCCATCACATTCCTATCAGAGGTTTTTAAGACTTCTCTGCAAATTGCTTTGGCTGCAGTTGTTTTTCCAGTCCCTGGTGGACCAAAAAATAAAAAGTGCGGTATGTCCCCAGACTTTACAAGTGCCTGTAATCCAGCTGTTATATGCACATTCCCCACTAGATTTTCTAAATGGGTTGGTCTGTACTTCTCAGTCAGTGCTTGGCTGCAAACTCCATCCATGAAAATAAAATATATTTTCGGGATATACAAGAGAATACAGAAGTGCTTATAAAATACCGAGCAGTAGAATAGACTCGCAGTATACGCATAATAATAATATTATTGCACAGGCGTATTAATAATACACTGTATGTTATAACAGCCAGCCATATAAGTAAATCATCTCTGTATGAGAAAAGACTAAATAGACTAAAAGTAACGGAGTAGTGATTTGGTGGCCAAACAGTGTACAAAGCACAATTGCAAACAGGTACTTAAATGCATATTTACTGTATTTCATAACAAGCCATAATTTATTTGATTAGTGTATGTGTGCATGTACTGGCGGGAATATTTCTATCATTTCCTTGACCTCGTGTGCACCTATTTTCTTGCCTATTCTGTCTGCGTATACATCTAATGCTGATAGAATATTAAATGCATATCTCAGTCCGTAGGTTACTGCTAAATCACCAACTGCGCCCGCGCCTTCTGGTTCTAGATTTTCACTCTCTTCCTTCGCCCGGAGGTTTACTATTTCTCGGATTTCATTGTCGCTGTACTTACTGAGCTTAATCTCCAGGACGCGTGAGTAGAAATCATCGGGCATTCCGTGTAGGTTTCTGTCTTTTTCTGTAGAATCCTGTTCTTCTGTGAGCGTGGCTTTGTTTGTGCTTAGAATGATAACTGGTGAGACAGATATCTCAGAGAGCGTGTTAAGGAATGAGTAGCACTCTGCATCAAGTAAGTCTGACTCATTAATAAATAGTACACCTGTAACAAGCGATCCCCTTCCCTCTTCTATCCACTCCTTCATAGTATTATTCACTGCCTCTCTTATCTCTGCAGGTATCTCTCCTGTAGACATTCTCATAGAACTCTGCCTGCTGTTAAGAACATCTATCTCATGAAGAGTCACTGTGTGTGTATCTGCCTGTGTTCTTAGTATTTCTCCTTCTGGGCATGGTATATACTTGCTTATAGGGCCAATCGCATCGTGATCTCTGTTCTGGCACAGTGACCTTCCTTTCTTTCTAACCATCCCCGTGCTTTTGTTCACTGTGATTATGTCTCCTACCTCTATCCTCTCTGCATTCATTGCCTGTATAAGACCAGCACCAAATGTGTACGCAGACTCAACCTCTGTAGTTTTCAATATAACCCTGCCAGATGTCCCCTTTTCTCTGTCGCACTGAATGTCCACTACCTCTCCCTCAAGTACTTTTGTTGTTTCCTGTACCTTTATTCCGAGTGACTCTCTAATTGCCTGTGTGAGTGACTCTGTCTTGCTCAGTGAGCTTGAGAATATTTCACTTGCAGAAATTGTCTTGCACGGCACCCCCTTTCTTTTGAGATCAACAGAAAGCGCATATTCCAGCGCAGACTTTCCAGTTCCCGTCTCTCCAGTAATTAAAATAGTTCTCCCTCTGTGTGTTTCCACTAGTTTAGATAGAAGAAACAGCGTTTTCCGCTCTTTTTCTCTTCCAACGATGCCTGAATGGTTTTCTGTGCTAGATTGTTTGTCAAGTGACTCTAAACTCTCCTTCACTGATCCCTTCTGATTGTCATCTTCTACTCCTAGACCATGTATGTGCGAATGCACACCAATTCTGTCCAACAATGCAATTCCGCTTACTTTTTCAAACATAAAAAATTGAAGAGAATGGAAAGTATAAGAAGCATTACAGAAGCAGTAATTTCCACTATTTTAAAAAACGAAGGGTTTACTGCAGTAGACAACAAAGCACTTGATCTGTTCACTACATCCATCCTTAATTATACGGTATACACAAGTGCCTGGTTAAAGAAGCAGTGCGAACTAAGCAGAAGAACTTCTCCTACACTAGTAGATGCATCCTGCCTCATGCAGGAAATAAACACAACTGCGAAACAACACGATAAATCCTCTCTAGTGGAAATACTAGACAAATTCAACAGCGACCCCCTTGCACAGCTAGAGATAGAAGAGGAAGTATCCTCAGATACCGATCACGAATTTATAAGTGAAGCCTGCGCACAAGTAGAGTACCCACAGAACTACTATGATTTCCTGCCTAAACTGCCACCTGCACATACGTTTAAAAACAGTGCAATAAAGCGTAAAATAACTGATGACAGAGCCCAGAAAGCTAGGATTAGAAATGAACAGATAAAACAAGTCGTAGAAAACCTTTTTAGTATAATGGTAAAAAACAAGAAATCCCCTGGCTATGCGAATTATCTGATGTAAATTAAATCCTGCATAACCAGCAAGAAATTAAAATAATTCTAAAATACAAAAAATACAAAAAATACAAAAATTCAATTCTTTAATTATTATTATTATGAATATCAATGATTTCAGTCTTATTACAACTACATTCCACAGTAATATTTAGCTACTAGGCCATACAATACAGTATTATATCAGATATAGCCTACTATAAACCCGATATAACCCGAATTCTAATATTTATGATAGTTCTGGTTGGTCCTTGGACATCTTGATATATTTACCTTTATGATTTATTTGGGCATACTTTATTCTGTTATGTTCTCTTTCTGTTTTCTTGCACTCTCCTCTTCAAATAACTCTTTCATTCTCTTTACAAATAAGAAAAAGTCATGGGTTGATTCTAACTCGTCCAATGCTGATTTATAGCACTTCTCACTAATACTGGCTTTAATTATACTGTACGTGTCTGTCATACTTATTTGGAAGTAGTATTCATTTCCTTCTATTTTAAATAGGAATAGGACTGATCCATCCTCAACTGTGCTAATGTACAGATTAAACAGATTTGCATAATACTCTATTTCCTTTTTCATTCTCTCTCCTTCTTTTTCTTCTCTCTCCTCTTCTTGCTTTAAAGTTCTTCTTAATTGAATCACTTGTGCTGTGGTCTGTGAGAGTGTTGTACTTAGTGCTTGTTTTTTAAGTGTTGCTTGTTCCTGCCTTTCTTCCATTTCTTGCTGTGCCACCTTTATCTTTTTTATTTCTTCTTGTTCTGTTTCTGTCTCCTGTGCTAGCATCTGCCTCTCCTCAAGTAATTTTACGTGCTCCTCTTTAAGCTGCGCCAGTGTAGTCTGCAGTAAACTTTCCGTTCTAATAGACTCCTGCTTCTGTCTTTGATACTCCCTCAGTGACTCGTGTGATGCTTGTGTTACCCATTTGCTGATTTTTGTTGTTTCTTCTATTATGCCTTGTGATGCTTCTTTTATACTTTCTAGTAAATCTGCTCTTTGCTTTCCATTATCAGAGCCGTCTGGGTGCGCACTTCTCAGAATATCCATATAAATAAATCCGATTTAAATAAAAAATAAGTATGCGAGAAGCCATAGGAAAGCATTGTGTTTGCTGTAAAGAAATAGCATCGGTTCTTTTAGCACAAAGTTCATTCTGTTCTGGGTGCTTTACAGAACGGCTTGAGAAGGGATTCTTTGCTGAGATTAGAAAAGCACTCTCACATACGTTCAGAAATAAAGTCAGAAAAGTTCTTGTTGTAATTGAAAAGAATCGGCTTTCTTCTGAAGTAATTCAGAAAATCATTAATAAGAGTGATTCTGCTATGATAGAGTATCACTACTGTACGTTTTCCAATGATGAAAATGATTTCTGTGGAAATAATTATATACGCATTGAATCAAAGGAAAATACGCACAGTTCTCGCGTTGAAGCATTAAAGGAGTACAGCTTTAATAACAACTACAGCTGTATTGTGCTTAGTCACTATTCTGTGGAGGTTGCTTATGAAATATTAAAGATGATTACAAATGGAGAAGTTGTTCAGTATACAAAAGCTTTCAAGGGTGACCGGATCGTGTCTGTGTGTTATCCGTTTTATTCTGTTTCTTATAAGTCTATTGCTTACTTCTCTTTCTATTCTGGTATTTTGGCAGAGCCATTCCGTATTAAATCCGATATAATAAAGGAAAAAGAGAACCAGGCACATATGGCACTCCTGCGAGATTTATTAAAGAATTCCCCTGCGAGTATTTTAAACCTAATAAAAGTACAGCAGAGAGTAGAGGATTTATAGGGTTTATACACAATAACTAAAACTCATAGAACATAAAGTAGATTATTTAGATTGTTGTTACTATTTATATAGTGCTTTGCTTGAAAATTAGTAAAACCGTTTTTTGCTTGCTTTTGATTTTTGTAGTATTTCAGTGCGTGCTAGAATATTTTACTCTAATGCATGATTTTATCACTATTTATTGCACAAATACCAATAAATACTCTTATACCTGAGTTATTTATTACACAAATACCAATAAATAATAAATGTTTTTCTTTTATACTATAATACAACAGTAAATTTGCAGTGTGCAGTTTTTTTAATACAGTGTGTAAAATATAATATAATATTGCACTTACTTATGACTGTTTGGCTTAAAAATAATATTAATTTATGGTATATGATTTAAATATTTAGTGTTTTAAGAAATAATTTATATAAGCATGGAAGAGGAGTCATTATACAGAACAATTCCACTGCTATTGCAGGCACTTGAGCTAAGAAAGAAATACATGAGAGTCAGCAAACAAAACAAGTCTTGGCATAAATATCCTGTTTCTAATGACATATCTGCCACGTACAGTAATTTCCACTGGTCACTCGTTGGTGATGATGTTGATATACCCAGCATCACAGAGTACCATAAAGACGTTGATTTTATTAATTCCATGATACATAATGGACCATTAAAAACCTACTGCTACCAGCGACTAGAGTACTTAGAATTACAGTTTAAAATCCATTTGAACGAATTTAACTGTAAAGAGAAGATGGAGCAGAAAAATCTTTCTAATAAAGACTTTTATAATGTGGTGAAGGTTGACACACACTTGCACCACTCAGCAAGCATGAACTCAAAAAAATTATTGATTTACATAAAAAAGAAGCTTAGAGAGAAACCATTTGATGTGGTACACAAGGATAAATTAGGAAATTCACATACACTAGTAGACATATTCACTGGGATAAATAAAACGGTGGACACTCTGTGCTTGGACAGTTTAGGCACGCACTCAAACTTAGAGACATTTCATAGATTTGATAGGTTTAATTCAAAGTACAATCCGTATGGAACACCTATATTAAGAGAAGTATTCTTAAAGCATGATAATTACATCAAGGGTAAGTATTTAGCAGAGTTAACTCAGGAACTAATCAATGAGGTTGAGGAGAAAGAATATTTAAGGTGTGAATGGGGAGTATCCTTATACGGAAAGAAAAAAGAAGAACTTGAAGTGCTAAGCAGGTGGGTGTATAAAAACAAACTATACAACAAGAACATAAAATGGTATTTACAGGTACCGAGGCTATACGGAATTTTCAAGGGGCATGGTGCTATAAAGAACTATGGTGAGTTTCTTGGTAATGTATTCAGTGATGTCATTGAATCTGCTGCCAGGCCTAAAACAGAATTTATAGATTTGTCCGAGGAGAGTGCGGTAGAGGATAAAGATGTAATTATTGACAGATTTATGGCTGATGTAGTAGGGTTTGATTCTGTTGATGATGAGAGCGTAAAAACAAAGAGAACCAGTATGGAAAAGGAGCATCCCTCTGCGTGGACACATATGGATAATCCGCCATATTCTTACTATATGTATTATATGTACTATTACGTCACACTAATAAACAGACTGCGTGTGAGCAGGGAAAAATCCCCAATAGTATTCCGGCCGCATTCAGGTGAGTCTGGGGATATTGATCATTTGGTGTATGCATTTCTAACAGCTAAAAGCATTGCACACGGTGTGAAACTCAGAAAATCTCCTGTTCTGCAGTATTTATACTATCTGTCGCAAATTGGGATTGCTATGTCCCCACTTAGCAATAATTCTTTGTTTATAGAGTACAGAAAAAATCCATTTCCTCTGTATTTCCAGCGTGGACTGAATGTATCACTCTCAACAGACGACCCATTACAGTTCCACTATACTAGAGAGCCACTCATGGAAGAGTACAGTATTGCATCACAGATATGGAAACTCTCCTCGTGTGACCAGTGCGAAATAGCAAGAAACAGTGTTCTAATGAGCAATTATTCTAAAAAAGAGAAGGAAGAGTGGATAGGTGTATACGAAGTAAATGGCCGTCTTGTAAACGACCAAGCAATGACAAACGTTCCCCCAACTAGATTTAGCTATAGAGCACAGAGAATTTCTGAAGAGTATAAAATTCTGCACAAGTATTCATATACAAGGCAGTGCACTCCATTTGAGTAATAAGAATAAACCATATTTTTTAGTTTAATTTTATATTTGGTTAATTCTATACAGTACCTCTTCTTATTCAATCGTACATCCTGTGTTTGATCTTTCTATTGCCTGTTGTATTATAGACTAATTCATTTTCCTGTTGTATTATAGACTAATTTTATAAATTTACACATTTTACAAATATTAAAGCGTATGTACTTCCTTACATAAATATACAAGAATGAATGGTTTATAAAATTTAAATATAAAAATAAGTTATTTAAAGATAATGAAATAATAAAAATGAACACCCAACATACAATTTATTTAATCTAAGCAAACCAGTGCACAGACTGTGTACTGCTTAGTACGGTATGAAGCTGTTTTTATATTGTTGGATTAATTCTGTATCCCAGTTAAAAAGATAGTAATTGATAATTCCATCTCCAGTCAAAAATCCCGATTTAATCAAAATATCTTCTGTGTTACACTCTAAATTCAATGCATTTAAAACATCACACTCATCTGAGTCTTTCAAATACTTTATCAAACTCAGCATACTATTAACACCATTTTGCATTGTGTGATATGACAAATATGCTGTGCGTATGTTTTCTGTGCCAATAGCAGTTTTAGTCTCTAAATAAAACACAGAAACAAACTCTTTTCCATCTTCGCTTATTAACATATCAGAAAGTCCTTTTCTTCCGTATACGTAATACTTAAACTGTTCAAATGTGAAGTCTGCGGATATAGATATGTCTGGCTTACTGTACTTATCACAGTACATTTTATAAGCCAAAGGTACTTCTTCTTCAGTTATTCTTCGGTAGTGCACAGTTGGCGAGTCTTGAAAAATAATTGTATCTTCTGTTATTTTTTCAATGTCTTCTGGATCACAGAACCCACTTTCTACAAGATTTCCTTCTTTAAGTATGCGGTGGTAATACCTAGACCGAGTGAATATATACGGCAATTTCTCTCCTGAAGTAAAAAGTGCAGTGAATATTCCCTTTCTGTTTACCTCTTTTGTTATTTCCTTAATAAGCAATGGAGCCAGCCTCCTTTTCCTGTACTCCCTGTGTACACATAAAAAGTTAACTATTGCTGTGTTTGGCTTGTTATTTTTTATTCTAATATTTATAGAACATGCAGATATAAACCCAATTATTTCGTCGCCTATAAATATGCCTACATTCCACTCTGGATACACATAGGGAGACTCTAGCTGCCACTTTATAAATTCATCAGAATACTGCAGACTAAACTTAGATGCCTTGTCCTCTACATAATGATCCTGTAGCAACTTACACACGCTGGATAATTCGGTTTGTAAATTTACCTTTCTAATGACTATATCAGTGTTATCTTGTATTTTTACTTCTGTGGGTTTCTGGCTGCTGCTATCACAGCGTGCATCGCCCATATCAGACGACTTCTTACCAAGTGGTTCGGCCGACCAGAACTTATGCTCCTTTAAAAGTGTTTCATTCACCATTTTATATGCGGTTCTCATCTTTTCTTCTTTTGTTCTGACCTTCTCAGGGGTTTCCCCTTCTATTTTTGTATTTTTGTGCTTTTCTTCTTCTGTCATTTGTTTATAAAAAAGTGAATGTCTAAAGAAAAGAGAATGATTTATATTAATGAAAAGGAAATGGACTTAGACATAGAAAAGCTGCTAAGGGAGTGGGAAGGTCCTGAGTCGGCCATAATGAAAGAACAAATAAAAAGAATTGAAGACCAACAAAGTTTTTAATGAAAATTGCGGAGAGAGGAGGGGCTGAAAGAGAAGAAAAAGAAGAATCCGAGCAAACAGAAGTAGAATGTATACCCAGAATAACTACTAACAAAGTACAAACAAGTAGTACAAAAGAAGAAATAATGGTAGAGAAAATATATGCAGTAAATAACAATAAAAGCACAGAAAGTGAAGAGAATATTAATGAGAGTAATAATACATCAAGCAGAGAAGAAAGACCCATGGCATTATCATACATTGACAGGTATTCAAGACAGATGATAATTAAGGAGATAGGCGTAGAAGGGCAGAAAAAGATAAAAGAGAGCAGAGTACTAGTAGTTGGTGCTGGTGGCCTTGGTGCGCCAGTTCTTATGTACTTATCTGCAATGGGCGTGGGAACTATTGGTATTTCCGATTCTGATGTAGTTGAAGAGTCAAATCTTAACAGGCAAGTACTGTATAAAGAATTATCAATAGGTAAATATAAGACAAAAGAAGCCAAGGATAATTTATCTGGTCTTTCTTCATCTGCGGAGTATAATATACACAATAAAATAACCAGAGAGAATCTGTGGAGTGTTTGTTCATTGTACGACTTGGTGCTTGACTGTGGTGATAACAGGCCATTAAGATACTTACTTAGTGATTATTGTAGGTCTAGAAGTATTCCTTATATATGTGGATCATCTTTGAGATGGGAAGGGCATGTATACAGACTTACAACCCTGTGCTATAGATGTGTACATCCAACAACTGGCATGTATACAAGTGGCAATTGTTCGTCTGCTGGTATAATAGGCAGTATGTGTGGTGTGGTGGGCTCATTAATGGCTACAGAAGCCATGAAAGTCATTATAGGATTAGAGGGGATGGATGATCGGCTAACATACATAAATGGACTAAAAAATGAATTTATGAACTTATCACTTAAGAAAAAGTTATGTACTCTCTGTAGAGACACTTCTCTTCTGACAGTTGAGCAGAAAAAAGAAAGAATATTTCAGGAAAATCAGGATTTAGAAGAAAAGGATGAAAAATTCTCACAATGCGAGTTAACGGATTTAATAAAAAAAGCAACGGAGATTAAAATCACAAAAAACACTGAAATACCAGAAAATACATCTAAAAGTACAATTGAGCAGACAGACCATAAGACAGCAAGTAAAGATGTGAGCGAAGATATCCTTACGAACAGTAAAAGTGCAGATGAGATTGATGAATCAACTGAAATAGCATGGAAAACTGTATATTCTTCTCCAGAGTCATACTTTATTGTAGATATTAGATCATCTGCTGAGAATAAAATAATATCGGTTCCCAAGGCGTACCTCTACCCATTAAGTGAGATAGTTGATAATCCAAAAAAAGCACGTACTATTATACAAAGAAAAGCAAAGAACAGAAGAATCCTTTTGTGCTGCAGAAATGGAAGTACATCAAAGAAGTTTGTACCTATATTTGGCGGGTTAAGTATATCGGGAGGTACACAATCTTACATTAAATACATACAGTCTCTCTTAAACAAAGGAAATATCTCAGAATAAATGATAACCAGAAGGCTTAGAAAACTCTCTAAAATTTAGATTTATACGCATATCTCTGTATAAATGAATAAAAATATAAGTTCTCAATAAATAATTGTTTCTAGATTTAATTATTGAACTGTTCAAGCTGGTTAATTGTCTTTAATATATAATTCGTATATGTCACCAGAATATGTGCATTTTTAATTAGTCTTCCTTCTTCTTCTAGCTTTACTACTATGGCATTTGACTCTATAGATATATCTAAGCCGTCTATTAAGTCTGTAAGACATTCTTTCAGTACGTCATTTCTGTTTGTCTCCAGTCTTAATTCTAGCTTGCTTTTCATTTATTTTTTAATGGACTATTTGCTAAAAGTAAGAAATAAACAAGAGTTGCAGGGAAAGGTCATTTTAGTGGATGAGTACTTGGGAGCCGATGTAGCTGGATTTATTTCTGAAATTTATGATGCCTACCCCAATCACAAAGTTATATCTTACCACAGCCTCTCTTCAGAATATAAAGCAAATTCTGTGATTTCATTATTAGATAAAAAAAGAGAAGAAATAACTGTAGAATATAAAAAATACGATGCAATAATAATAGATGGATGGTCGCACAGAAACAACAAAATATACAACAACACAATAGAATTAATGAATGAGAACAACGAACACTTCACAAGAATAGAGCCAGATAGCCAAGTTGTATTTATTATTAATAGATCTACAAGCAAGCCAAATTACAAAGACATTTACAGGTGCTATGGTGTAGTATGTCTAATGCCACTGGCAATTGTTACACAGCATACGCATTCACTTACAATTACTATTAGATCTATGAGCATAGAAGTACATTTATTATACAATTATTTACACCAAAGAGAATATAGACTATTTCAACAATAAAAATTCATCGGATATAATGGATGTACCTGTTCATAGAATAATTTCAAATACTTCTGGTTATTACGGGTGTAAATCAATTAGATGGAGTATAACTGTAAATCAGTTAGATGGGGCATATCTATTAAATGAGTATAAATAAAAATTAAAACATTAAAAATGAAAAAATGAAAGGAAACAGACTAAACTTTACTATAATAATTATTATAGCCATACTCAATATTACAAAGCAAGTTTATGGAGATGATTCTATGTCTCTGGTAAAAAATGCACAACATATTAAAATTAAAGTAGATTCTGGATATGTATATATAAACCCAGATGGATCATTAAATCTATTAAGGGGATATATAATAGATAAGATGGGATTAATTCATAACATAAGAGACTTTACACCCGATCTAGATATTAAGTATACAGTGTCACCGGATACTTCAGAGGGCAGTGAATGGACTTCACATATATTAACTAGAATTAGAGATGAAGATAGGCCGTTATTTAAAGAATTCGAAAATGGGATTAAAGATATATATTTAAATAAGTATTATATAGCACTTATAAATCTATTCCCATTTATAGATAAGGATATGCCAATTGAAACACCAAATGAAGATAGTTTTATACGATTTTTAAGATCAAAAGATGTATTGCCAAATATGCAATATGTTCTAGCAGCAATTCTTCTTATTACAGAAGGAGTTAATATAAATATTGACGTAAGTGATGATCAATACGCTCCAACTCTTACTATTAAAAGAAAAAACAATATTGAGTATATGAGCACTAGCCTAAACATAAAGAAGTCTGTGAGAAAATCAAGGGAGGATAAATGGGTTTGCCAAAGAAAAACCATTGAGTTGATTGAATTCTTTAAAACATTCGTAAGTGCGTATTTCTTATACAAAGAAAATGAATTTGCAGAGCCCATCACATTAGAGCAATTTAAGAGCGGCAAGTTCCTTAATAACCCGGGGTTTCTTATACAGACGTTTATATACTATGTATTAAAGACAGAGGAAGGCATAAAAGGATTTTATAATGCAGTTCATAAAATGCTTAGTAACCATATAAAAGATACTATTGACTCAAGTGATACAACACATCTAGATGCATACTATGATGTCTATAACAAGTTATTTATACATGCAGATGACAATTTCTATATTCCTTCTACTCTATCATATATTAATGCATTAGAAAGCATTCCAATGGTACTGAAAAAAGAAGAAGTGCTTCCATTTAGTAACACTAGGCAAATTCCTGATTTAGAAAATATAATTAAAAATTCGAATATTTCATGTATAGATAAAAATGTAAAAATACATTTACTACAAGTCGAAAATAATATGACTCTTTCGATATTAGGGATTGTTTGCTGTTTATTGTACAATCCTAAGGAATGCCAGTATATTTTTACAAGAGAACAATATTCATTGACATTAATCAACTTCTTTCAAAATTACATGCGCCCATTCCAAAGCATTGGTGTAAGCGCGTATAATGAATGGAGTAATATTTGTATGAGTATTATGAAGAATAAAAAAGTATTTGCAGATAATAATAATAAAATCTACCCAGGATTATTAAATATGCTATATTCATTAGTAGATATCCTAGAAGAAGACGTAAAGGAAGTGGTTATGCTTGATGGTTTTATTCAGAAAGCATGTAAATCAAAATTTATAGAAGATAAAGAATTCTACAGGAAGCTAAACAAGTATCTTACAAAGCTATTTAGAAGGATGAGTGTTAATTCATATGTGATGGTGGCATTTGAAAATGTTAAAAAAGTGCATAAAAACAACAGGTGTGATTTACATGGGAAGTTGACTATATTGTATACGTATATAGACAATCAGAAGGCCATAAGTATAGATATTAGTGATAATGGCATAGGTATGATACCGAGTAAAACGATTACGCCCTTTTATATTACTAAGAAAAAAGAAATACTCGATTTAACTTATATGTATACAGAAAAGGATAATTTTACTGCTTGCTTAGTCACCCATTATATTGAGTGCACGGCAAACGATGTGGAAATAAAACTGGGAAAAAATAATTCAGAGGGGTTTATAAAAGAAGTTAAAAACCAAATAAGCACAGGATTTAAAAACATAAATTCATTACTAGTAATGAGGAAAATAGATTGTTTATGGTACAAAAAACAGATTATAACTGCAATGCTAATTAATTCCTGCGATAGCAATAGAGAAATCACGAAAATAGCTCCATTAATTCGGTTTTTATCTAATATCATAGGAAGCTGTGATTTGAGCAAGCCTGATGTACTTAAAGAAATTATATGCCGTACTTCCTTTATAAACAACTATGATAAAATATTCCCGCATATACAGATTAATCAGAGGTTATATGAGATAATCAACTGTACTACAGACATAGAAACAATTACAACTGTATTATTGAGTATAATAGAGAACAAATTGCCAGGTCTTTTACTAAGCTGTATAGAGAAGTATATGCAAGAGAATAGTGACACAGAGAACAGGTGGTTTAACCAAATCTTTAAATCCTATAGTAAACAGATATATGAGTGTTTCTTAGAATACAACAGTATTGTATATTTAAATGCACTATCCAAGCTCATGGTGGACTCTGGGTATACAGATAAAATTATTGAAATAGTTAATGTCATATCGCTAGTATATGCGTGTGAGTCAAAGAGCATATCGCCATCACAAATTAACCAAATATATAACAACATTAGCATAAAATGCATTTCTACTCTTAGTGATATAGAGCAGTATCTTGAAATAGAAACCAGTTACAAAAAAGTAACAGAAATGCTTTCAGATAAAAAGAAAGAAGTGCATAAAGGAAGTGAAGTGGAGAAAGAGAAACTCAATAAGCTTATTAGTCTTTTTAAACTTAAATAACCTAAACTAGTGAAATTATAATAAATAAATAGTTAATAATATAATACAAACCACTCTGAAAATTATTATTTTAATTATTTTCGGGTTATTTAAATTATTTATTTTGTGTGGGCACAGAATTTCCATATTCAATTTTTGAATAGAAGTAATAGACAATTGGATGCCTATTGAGTTATATAGGAAATTTTGTATTAAATAACTATACCGCATAGCTGGCATGGAATAAGAATTCAAGTATAAGAGAAAAAACTCTGCCTTGTACTAGGCATGTCTAAGCATATAATCTATAAGTTATATTCTTAAGTATGTAAATCTTTTTAAATAATTTATATAAATAGGCTAAAAACATTCATAATAACGAAAATGTATAACCCGGCATTCCGATAAAAACTGTATTGATCATATTACACCAGTAGTTATCAAGTGGCATGCCATGTAATTTAATCATTATTATCATTGTATTGAAGTTAGTTATATATGAAAAACAACTATTAATTAACAAACTGTCAATTTGATTGGTTAAACATCTATATAGAGAAGAAGGCATTAATATTAAATGAGATTTATTAAAGAAGTATATACAGCATCCTTTATTGTATTTGGAACACATTATGTTATGTGTGGTTTAATACCAAATGCTATGCAAGTGCCTAATATAGATATATTTGGCAGCCCACTAAATATATCAATGCTGAACAATATAGATAGCCAATCTGACATCATTAACCCGGCTGTAAGAGTTGCCCGTGCTATTAACAGTGCAGAGGCTGCTTATTCTACAGAAGCTTCAAAAAAAACAATAGATGAGGTTATTTTAAGTAAAGAAAAAAAGTATAGAAATATGATTAAACTGTATGATGTTAATTCTCTTGAAAATGGTACCAAAAAGAGCTATAGAAAATTAAAACTGGCATTTAAAAAAACAAAAAAGCAAGGAAAGTATTTTAAATTATATGCTTTAAATAATGGTTATAAACATCAAAACCCATGGTCTAAAAAAATGAGATTAAATGGGTTTTCATTGATAGCTCCTATTGACATAGAACTGGCGAATATAATTACATGTGAGCAGGCAGAAATACATACAAAAAAGGAGCAGGATAGCCTCCCGCCTCAAAAAAGCCGTGATGAATTTATTAATAGTGATATAGGTCAAACAATTATTGCTAGGGATTGTGCCTTGTTGTATATTGTTAAACAATTGAACGAAGAAGTACCTATTTCTCGTTCTTTTCTTAATGAAGAATCTGTTATATACGACGAGTTTTCAAACAATCTGGCAATTTCATTTAATATATTAAATATGATAAATTCAATGAGAATAAATAAACTCTTAAATACATTCAATGTGCAAAGATTAATGAAATTTGACGATAGGGCTGTCAATAGAATGAACTACTACAAAGAAGTAAGGAATTTCGAGTTAGATAAAAGTGATAGAGAAATGACTGATGAAGAACGTGCACTAGATGAATTTAACTATACCTTAAAATTCTCCAAAATATTCAAACCAAGTATTTTAGATGTTAAATACAAAAAAACCATTATTTCGTCCACGTGTATACAAATACTTAATTTCATTTTAAAATTTAAAGAAGCTATAAACCTAACAACTATCCCCCAAAAAATTCAAAATCCCATATTGCTTGATTTCAAACGGGCATATGCATACACATTGAAAACACTTAAGTGTTTAAAATACGTGGATGCATACAGCTTTGGCAATGGACAACTATATAAGGTAGAAAATTATTTTGCAATGTGTATACATAGATGTTTAAAAGGAGAGGAAAAAATAATTAATTATTTGGTAGATCTTAAAAAGGATATAGATAGTGACCTAGCTTTGGTTGCATCTAAAATACCCAAGACTTCTAATGTAAAAATCATGTTGTCTACACATAAAAAGGAAAATATAAAAACATTAGATTTAATTTCTATTTATACATTTTTTTTGACTTTTGAAAAAGACCTCTGTGATAGTGAATTGGCAAGCCTACATGATTTAGTTAATTCAATTCCAAATATCCCACAAAGGAATGCATATCCTTCCATAAGACACTCTACATACCGTAATAAAGAAACAGAAACCCATAATATAATTGATGAAATAATAGAGAAACATGAAGAAGAGTTTAAAACATTCGAAATATACTAAATACTGTTCTTTTTATAAAGAAAGTCTCTTTAAAGTCTGTCTAAATAATAAAATTTATATTACGAAAATAATAATTGCGATTTGAAAGCTTCTATAGAAGAATTATTTATTGTTCTTAAAATATTTTAATTGTGAAGAGAATAGAGGATTCTTCAATACTTTATGTGTGAATTTCTTTAATCGGAAATTTATCAATTTAACAGTTGATTTCTTAGAAAAGTCAATAAGAAGTTTTAATATTTATTAAATTTTGAATATTTATTTATAGACCATATGGTTAATTTAATTTAGATTATCATGTTTTTGAAGATATTCATATAAATTCTGCATTCTCATACCAGCAGGATCCCTAGCATACAGCATCTTCAAAAACACATTGTACTTTTCTAGCAAATAACTAAGTTTTTTTGCATATTCAGAGTTGTTTTCAATCAAATTAAGCACATGTTCTACTACTTTAGACGGATATTTTTCTTTAAAATTAGATATCGATATGTTAATATTTTCATCTGTATATTCGTGTTTAATTCCTTTGATTGTAATAAGGTTCGTATCAATTACAATTTTGTCAAATAATATGGATGTAATATCATTGAATTTCTCTGACTCAAGGGATAGCTTAAGCCAAAACACCCACATATCATCGGGCTTTGTGGTTTTTTCATATTCTGGAAGACTTCTATCTAAGCCACTTAAAAACGCTTCAATTTCTAATAATGGATCTATAGATGTACCATCATGTGTTAATACCGAAAAAAGCCTAATCTTGCTATGAGCTTCCATGAATCTTATCACAGTTGTTAAAAAATAATTTTCATCATCTTTTGTTAGTAAATATAACTTTAAAAGCTCTATGTACCCACTGAGTATGTTGCTATTATTTACATAATTCTCATAATTTAAACAATCCATGTCTGGCTTATTATACTTATCAACTATCACCAGAGGTATATTAACTTTTTTACAAAAGGTTTTGTATAACCCTCCTCTATAGAATGGGCAGAAAAAAACTTCTTTCACTGTATAAAAGTTATTCAGTGAAAGACTTCCTATCATATTAGACAGAAAACGTGACCATTGATCATTTTCTTTTAATGGATACCCCAAGAGACACCTCCGAATATAATGTATCTTATACATTCTAGATTCGGGAGTTCTTAGTGAGTTATATAAAAAAAACTTTTCTATTGGATAGGAATAATTGTTTTCTCCTGAAATCATTAGATCTTCCTTATGATCGCAGGAAATATTTTTTAAGCGCAGTATCACTAATTCTGCATGATGTATAAGTAGGAAATCTGTTAGAGTTTTTTCCGACTGATTTTTAATACTGTTCTTGTTATTAACTAATTCATTGAATTGTTTATCTGTCAGAATACAGGTATAACTATAGAAGGCTGTGACATTTAAATACTTAGCTGTGTGACACAATTTTACATATCCCTTTAATTTTAAATAACTATATTCTATAACTACTTCTCCAAATAATTCCACTTGCTTTTTAATATTTGAGCATTTCGACATCTTTAAAATATCTATCTTTATTTCTCTTCTTGCTAATTCTGAGTTTTCTTCCGCAGTATATTTCTTAGAGAGTGATAAAAATAATTCTTTCAGGTATAATTTCACCTTTGTGAATAATTCACTCTGTTTTTCATCATCATCTTCTTCTAAAAGAGTACTGAGCTCTTTAAGAGACTTTTCTTCTTCGGAATATCTTCCAGTTATTTCGGCAATGACATATAGCATATTTATTATACCAGGCGCAAGCTCATTCCTATTTTCTTTTAGATATCTAATATTCTCATTCTCTAGATCAGCCACTACTTTACTCCACTCCATATGCATCTCGTATGTATCAGACTCCAGTTGTTTATTGTACGTATCAAAGAACCTTTTCAAGTCCGGTGATACTTCTCCCATATGATCTATATTATACTTTTTAGTCTTTGGATCATATGCCAAACAGCAAAACAAGCCAAGTAACCCAGCCTCAACACAGTTGCTGTATATGCTACTACTATTAAAGGAATCTTCTTTTCTATTATATGATGAAATAGATTTATATTCAGGCATGCCTATACTACCAGTGAATGGAAGTACATTTTCTAGAGAAGACTCTCCATATATTACATCCATTATATCTATTATATGCTTTGCTTTAATCGTATTAGCATTACTGGATTTCACAAAGCACTTATTAACAATGCTTTCAAGATATTTCACTTCGTTATTTGATCCTTCACTCTTTTTCTGTTCTATACACTCTTTAAGCATAGAATATACTGTCTTTGCAAACTCAATTATTTTTTCTTCACTATCCAAGTACTCAAATATATAATACTGTATTAGCCACCTTGCATTGTTTAAAAACTTTCCTGTGTTAAACTCTTCATATGTTCTTGGCTCTGCATATTTACCCCCTTCTCGTATATCTGGGTTTGTTTTGTTGTCTATAAAGAAGTTTATAACATCTGCTGCTCTTGTTTGTAACACATTTTTATCCTTGAATGTATTATCTTCCTTCTCTATACTACACATACCTTTCATACTTAGAGAGAATTTATTTTTTTTCTCTTCACTCTTCTGCTTAATTTCGGGTTTACTCTTTTGCTCAGTAGATTTTGCTATAATCTCTTTCAAAACTAGCATTAGATTGATTTTATCACCTTCTACTTTCAGTGGTATATCCGCTCCTTCTGCTAATAGAAACAAACAGGCCAAAATATCAATTTTATGCTTACTCACATGCTCAAACTCAAGAAATCTAATGAATGAATCATCATTAGAAGTATGTACTGTCAAATGCCCGATTGAAGAAGGAAACATCTCTATTACTGTTTGATGGTAGTCTTCAAGATATGTTGTCTTTTTCTCTTTTTCTTTACTCTCTTCTTCATTAGAGAGTTTTTTATATGCCACATCCTTATTATAGTCTCTTGTTGACTCTATTTTTATATTATTTTCACTATTTTTATCATCTTCACTATTTTCACTATTTTTATCATCTTCATTATTTTCATTATCTGTAACACTTAGACTGTAATTTGCATCTACACCCGGCGATAAAAACCGCATTGAAGACATTAAATTGAGCTTCTCAGAAATAAATTCTCGTGTGGGTGATATTGACCCATTTGCTCTTATACACATTCCATCTCCTATTTCTTTGGTATGTAAACCCTTATATGCACTGATTCCTACTCTACAGTATACCCTACATAAAGCAACTATTATAATAATAAATTCTTTTCTTATAAACATATTTTTATTAATAAAAATAGAATCTATTTAAATATGATAAATGATAAACGACTTTATTGATCCCGCCAAAACAAAAGGCCGGAATCGCAATTCCGTAGATCAACTTGAGCCATATAAGCAGCACGCACCCAAACAAAGAATGGGACAACCACGGAAAACATTTACCCAAAGGCTCAGCGTCAATAGCGCCACAAGGACTCTGCGTCCGTGCACATCCCGATATTCTAATAATCATAATAAAGAGCATCTCTCAATACTATCTCTATCTTGGACTATGTTATACGAGCGGCAACGGTTCCTCCTCCTGAGCACGTCACCCAGCGTATTCAAACCAAGTATTTTAAATGTTAAATACAAAAAACTATTATTTCGTCCACTTATGTATAAGTTGTATACAGAGGTATTTAGAAACAGAAAAAATATTAGCTGATTATATGTTAGATCTTAAATAGATATAGATACTAGGTTGTCTGTGTTTGCACCAGATGAAAACCATCTAGTTATTACAGAAGTCGCATTATCTTTCGATGGTGAGGAAGACATAAGAAAGTACTATTTTCTTGCTATTTTAAGATCTTTCCTGTATGTTGAAAAAATAAGAAGCTCTGGCAAATTTAAAAGCTTCCATGATATACTTAGTTCAATTCCGGATAGTCCGCAGAAGAATGCATATCCTTCCATAAGATATTTTACATGTCTTAATAAAGTGACAGCAAATAATGATGTAATTGATAAAATAATAGAGAGGCATCGGTCACTCGTGTGGTAAAATCTCTTTTGCGTTTTATATAAAAAGCAGCTTGTTGGTATACGGCATAAGATGCCTCAACATAATGGCTAGCAAGTGCTGAAAATAAGATTGTAAGGAATACTGCGCATAGTATAAAGACTTTAAAGTCTGTCTAAAACAAATTATTTTATTTTAAATGTGTAAAGGATAAATAAAATTCACTTTTTTTCTAATGCATTATAATTTATAAATTCACCTCTTATAACAAACAATTTACTGTTGAATTTGTCTTGAGATGGGATTACTAGGATAATTCAAAGAATCGCATAATTAAATACATACAGAAATTATATAAACTCCTGTGGAATAAATGACTATGGCATTTACTTATGGCAATAAGAGTGCACACATAAGAAAAGAAGCCCGGCTTAATATTACATTAGTAATAGAAATTACTAGAAATATAATATGAAATGCTTCAATATGGTAATATAAGTTAATAATAGTAAGATACAACAGAGCCTAAGATGTTTAAATTGGACTTTACCCTTGAGTAGTCATAATATGAAATTGTTGTGAAAGTCTGTGCTTTATTTATTTGTGTTTGGCTGTGTATCCGGTATAGCTTTAGTGACATAAACAGCATGTGGTATTTTTAATAATTTTGTGTTATAAAGGTATAAATAAATAAATATATTTTTTTATACGCATGAACCGAAATGAATTTCTGTTCTTAAGTAGAGAAGGGGAGAACATGACTGGAAGCGTGTACATGGTGAGTGGGCCAGTGGTCATCGCAGAAAACATGCTTGGCTGTGCTATGTATGAACTTGCCAAAGTGGGGCACCAAGGATTAATGGGAGAGGTAATAAAGATAGAAGGAGATAAGATTACCATTCAAGTCTATGAGGAAACATCTGGCCTGGGGGTGGGTGATCCTGTTGTGAGGCTAGGACATCCTCTTTGTGTTGAGTTGGGCCCTGGACTATTAGATAATATATTTGATGGCATACAGCGGCCACTACGGCAGATATATAATGACACAAAGAGCCTGTACATTCCAAATGGTATTTCTTTGCCTGCTTTAGACCGGACAAAAAAATGGGAATTTACACCCACTGTGTCTATAGGGGACAAACTGGAGGCAGGGGACATTTTTGGAATGGTGGAGGAGAATACTCTTCTTACGCTGCGGCTTATGGTATCGCCAAAGAGCAAGGGGGGTGTAGTCACTAAAATAGCTGAAAAGGGCATGTATACGGTAGAGGAGATATTGCTAGAGCTAGAAAACAGTGGTATAGTGAGTACAGAAAAAATGTACCAAATATGGCCGGTTAGATCACCCCGACCAATCAAGCAAAAGCTTACCCCTGTGCAGCAATTGTTCACGGGGCAGAGACTCTTAGATGCAATGTTTCCGTGTGTGCAGGGAGGAACTGCTGCAATTCCAGGGGCATTTGGATGTGGTAAGACTGTTATTTCACAATCACTTTCAAAGTACTCCAACTCAGATGTGATTGTCTATGTAGGGTGTGGAGAGAGAGGGAATGAAATGAGTGAAGTGCTTGAGGAGTTTCCTACTCTTAAAATAAATGTAGACGGGAGAGAGGAGTCTATTATGAAGAGAACTGTGCTGATTGCAAATACTTCTAATATGCCAGTAGCTGCTAGAGAGGCATCTATCTACACGGGAATAACTATAGCAGAGTACTACAGAGACCAGGGATACAACGTTTCAATGATGGCAGATTCAACCTCTAGATGGGCCGAGGCGCTTAGAGAAATAAGTGGTCGGCTGGCAGAAATGCCCGCAGATAGTGGGTATCCTGCGTACTTGGGTGCTCGTCTGGCATTTTTCTATGAGAGAGCTGGGTACACAGAGTGCTTGGGAAGCGGAGAAAGGCAGGGCAGTGTTACTGTAGTGGGGGCAGTCTCTCCTCCGGGTGGAGACTTCTCAGACCCAGTGACTGCAGCCACTCTAGGAATTGTACAGGTGTTTTGGGGGCTGGACAAAAAGCTCGCACAGAGAAAGCACTTCCCAAGTGTAAACTGGAACCTTAGCTACTCTAAATACATAAACCTTCTTACGCCATACCATAACCAATACAATGCCACCTATGCAGACTCAATGAAAGTGATTAAAGAGCTTCTCCAGAAAGAGGAGTCACTCAGTGAGATTGTACAGCTTGTTGGGAAGGGATCTCTGGGAGAGCTGGAGAAGCTAGAAATGAGCATAGCAAAAATCATCAAAGAAGATTTCCTGCAGCAAAATGGTGTGTCAACCTATGACAAGTACTGTCCATTCTATAAAACAGTGCTAATGAGCAACACTATTGTATATTACTACAAAGTATGCAAAGAGCTGCTGGAGACCAAAGTAGTTCCGTCTTGGGAGTTCTTACTGAATGAAACTCAAGACATCTACTACAAACTAACAAGAATGAAGTTTGAAGATCCAGTTAAGGGAGAGGACAGAATAACAGATAATTTAATGCACCTGCAAAAAAACATAACAGCCGCATCACGTGTCCTAACAGAGTGATTTATTTTACTAACCCCAGAATACAACCAAATACCACAATTCTGTATACACCTAATAACTCTAACAGATGCAAAAAAGCACTGCAGTGGATGGGTATTAATATATTCAGCCATGCATGAGTGTTTCTATATAACATACTCCTACTTGTGCAGTACTAATTACACTGTGATAGAGTGGCTTAGTAGATATACAAGAATTAACATTAGAAATGGTTAAATATTCGTTTTTCATTATTTCTATCTTTATACAGTAATAAATAATGATTTTTTTGAATAGTTCTGTGATTACCTTTAATACGTATGTTTAACTGAAATAAAGAAGATATTTTGAGTTTTTTATGCTTCTATCTGTGTTTAATGAATAAAATCATATAATGTAATCTAAAGAAAGAAGTAGTTTACAGAGCCTTTAATTTTCTCCTGTCTCTACTCTAGTTATAATATCAATTACACTACGAGTGAATATTTTATACATTTAGAATGTATAGAATATAGTATACTGGCTGTGATTTAATTGATCCTCTGGATACACTAATAATTCGTCATTTTTAGTTTAGACTGATTTGATTTGCTTCTTACTTTATAACTATAAATATGAAAATATTTTCAGCTCCATTTAGAAATGGCATTAAATGCAAGCAAAGAAAACTTAAAAAAGCGAAAATACATAATAGCCGTAATTGTTGCTGGGTTAATTGCTCTTCTTTTTATAGCTTGGTACTTATTGCAATTTCGGTCTAGCTCTCTAGATGTTAAAAAACAAATTGCGGGCGCAGCAGCCGGTAATAGTAAAAGCGCAGAAGAGGCGCAGAACATTAGGTCACTATTGGTTTGGATAGGACAGAGGGCGAATAATACAAAATTTTATGACAGAGAAGAACTGCCATTAAATTCACTTAAGAGAATGACAGAAGAAGGGGAAAAGAATGCAATTCAAAAAATAGATAAAATGAAAAGTGTTATAGAGTTACTTTTAAAGGAGTATGGAAGGCCCAACAAAAAAAGTAACCATAAAAACTTACAGGGCGTTATTTACAATGTTTTAAAGGACAATTATATGCTTAGATGTTTATTCTTATTAATGGACAATCCTATGGATACTATACATAAGATTGGTCTGCTTAACGAAAATAACAAATGCACTGGTGACTGTCCATTGAAGGCATTAGAATGGTTATTACTTGGCCATGATAAAAAAACTGTGTCTTTATTCAATAAGATCATAAAAAATGATATAAATGACGCGGACTTAAACAGCAAAATGACAAGAATTATTGAACTACTTCTAAGAGTTGTCATTACAAATCCACCACAAGCAACTCGTAGAAGAGAATTAAAACAGCAAAAAACACTTCCTATGATTCTAGACGAAATTGATAAGGACAAAACCAGATTTATAGAATACATTGATTTAAAGAATTCTATAAGTTCAAGGGCGTCTCTACATAGCAATGCCAAAAAAGAAAGGTTTGCAGAAGTGCAAGAGTATAGAAACAACGATAAAAATCACTTTGCAACTGAAGAAGAAACAACAATGACATCTATTGTATCTTTAGTAGCGCATGTACAGCGAGCTGCAGCTATAGACAATGTTGAATATTTCAATGGTTTAATCGAAATGGGAAATAATAGTGTAAGGCATCGCGGGTTCTATTCAATGGTTAATAATAAGAACGAAAATCATCTTATTTTCTTTATAGAATACATTAGGGCATACATTGGCTCAACAGAAAAATCATCGAGTGATCCTAAGTTGTGCATTTTTATACAATACTTAGACAGATTTTTAAAAGAGGTAGACGCATACTCAACTGTGGACCAGATAATGAAATCAAAAAAAGTCAAACAAATAGGCGACTTGCAGAAAATTTCTACTGGTCATTTAGACAAAATTGAAGAAGTCATCAATTTCACTGACAGGTTGATTTCTTTAGTATCATTAGAGGTAGATTATATCTTTTCGAAAAAGCAGCACAGGTACATTTTGTATGAATTAGCCAATTGCTATCGGTCTCTTGTAGAAACCAATGTGTCGATTATACCTAAGGATTTAATGCTAACTCATATTCTTATGAATTCAAATGAAATAAAGGAGTTATTAAGTAAAGAAAAAGCGAGCAATAAAGAAATGTATGTAACACCCGCGCCAAACCCACGAATGAACCTACTCCTGTCATCAGACAAGAAAAAGGGATCTGCACCCATAAATGTAATTTCAAGGGCAATAGAGGTGTATGCATACGATCTTTCTTATGCAATGCAGATATTTAATGATCCTCATCGCGCTAATCGCAAAAAGTAAAGTAGATTGCATAGATTGTTCTATATATTATTAACTCTGTATAATTTCAAGTTTTATAGATAGACAAATGTAATATATAGATATGCCAAACATCCTGGTATTTGGTAGTTATTATTTAATATAAGCCAAAAATTCACTGAATAAATGAAGAGCCAGCAGTATTTAATCCTTTACATTTTTATTATTTTCATATTTTTAAACTCTTCCAAATAAATTCTGGTTATGCTTCATTGGTAAATATGTACAGGTTAAGACCAGACACATTTACTAAACCACTGGCTATGCCAGTGCGTGGTTTATTTTTAGTAATAACCAAGGAGACTAAAAGGTTATCTTCAGTTAAGTAAAGGTATTTTCCTAGTCTTTTGGCTCTTTTAAGACTAATTTCCTTTTTAATTGGTTTCATATGCTTAAGAAAGTTTTCCTCTTCTGTGCTATTCTTTCCTGCCAGCTGTTTTGCAAAATTAAACCCATCCATAAAATAATATTTATGGAGTATTATTAACATAAAACAAGAATATAAGCCAGAGAATATTAGCACTAATCAAATAATCATTTAATTTCGGATTGTATACCAAACTGAATATATTGCTTAATTCTCTTGTTTGGCATAAATTTACAGTATAACCAGAATATTTCTATTTGTATGATTTTATGGTATTCTATGGTTATTGACTCTCTGGCAAATTCATATTTTTATTAATATGTAAATATTACTGAATTTCGGGTTATAATGCATTTGTACAACCAATTAAGCCAATATACAGGATTATTTAACCATTTATGGCTCTTTATTAATGCGTTGAACAAATGGTAATTTTAGTAACAGAAAGTATAATAAGTTGCTTTCTGCAAAAATTTTAACATGAGCTTAAACGGAGGCAGTGGAACATATAGCAAACAACACAGAGTAATAGCTACAAACATGCCATTTAACATATCTGACGAACAGATTTTAAAGCACTTCAATGGGGCAGTTAGTGTGGAAAGACACTCTAAAAACGGAGTAGCCACTGGGGCTGTTTTTATTCAGTGCGCCAATACAACTGATGTCAACAGATTTATAAAAACACTGGATGGAACAGACTTCCTTGGGAGAGAGATAAAGGTTGCACAGTTACACGACCGAGAAGTGTTCAAGGCACGGCAGAAGTTTGACACTCCAACCGATGAGAACTCATTTGGAAGACAGAAGAGAAAAGAGTACGAAGAAAACCAGAGGAAAAAGCTTCCAGAGGGTGAAGAGAACAGAACTGTATTTGTGACAAATATTTCTGTAAAAGACACTGAAGACCAGGTTAGGGAAGTATTTGAAGCATTTGGAGAGGTAGAGCAGTGCACTTTTGTTTTGAACAGGGAAACAGGAGAGCCAACAGGAAGAGCCTTTGTTCTTTTCAAGCACCAGGACAGTTGCAAAGAAAGTCTGCGCCAACAAGTCTCACTTAATGACAGAATTTTAGTTGTGCTAAGGTATGTATCCCCAGAGGTTCTGAAGCAGAGAGAGTCAGAGCAGAAGGAAAAGGACTACAAACGAGAGAAAACCATCAAAGATAGGCAAGAAGGGAAGTTAGACCCAAGAGATCCATCCAAGGTCAGCTCATGCAGAGTGCACATCTCCCACATGGACAAAAAGCACACAAGAAAGTCTATCTCCAAAGTAATTGAGGAGTACTTCTTAAAGGCCCATGATAAAAAGTTAAAGCTAAGAGGTGTCAATCTAACATCAAACAACGCAAAGAGAAACCCAGGATACTGTTTCATTACGTTTAAGTTCCCAGAAGATGCTGCCATTTTCTTAGAAAACCAGAACAAGATGCGAAGAGCCATTGGAGGCAAGATGGCCGCTGAGTATGCCATGGAAAGCAAAGAGTTTCAAGAAAAGGGAATAAAGAAAAAGCCGTCCAAAGCCGACAGAATAGAAAAGAAAAACAGAAAGGAAAGAGGGGCACAGAGAGCAGATGACTCATAATCTAAAATTCACAGTGCTTCTGGCAAGTGACCAATAAACCCTTTATTATTTATCAGTATACAGTCAATTATCTTCCGAAACAGCAAGCACTGCTGCACACACTCCTACTCATTATTCATGCGATCCAGTTCTGCTTTGGTTTTTTTGAGAATGGTCTGTGTGCTTTCGAGTGCTTTCCTGGTCTCTTCTGATCTTTGCTCTATTGTTCTGAGAGCATAGTAGTCATTTCCAGAAGATTCTTCCTTCTCCTTTTCTCCTTGAATTGCAACTAGCTCGTTTTCATACATCTGAATGTCCTTTTCCAGCCTTTTAATTGACTGTTCTTTAATTCGCACTAACTTATCCATAAAAAATATAAGAATTTCTAGTTATGTATTAATGAAAGAGCGCACATAATAATATTTTTATAGCTAAACTTTCTCTTCCAGCTATTGCTGAATTATTTCGAATTCAGAATATTTGATAGATTTCATGATATATTCTCTTGTGATAGCTCTGTGCATGCCGTTTACATAAATGATTTAACTGACAAATGGCCAAAAACAGATGAAATATCCTAATACAGCAATAATAATTGAAATAGTAAATATGTCACAGAAAAGTACACATGCCCCTTTATTTTAGTTGTATGTCAGATATCTTGGTGTAGAAGAGAACTTTGCGTATCCCTTGATGACCTTTTCAACTGCCAATAAAAAGTCTTTTTCAGTGGCCACCTTTCTTCTTTCACGAATTGCGAACATCCCTGCTTCAGTGCATACACTGCGCAATTCTGCTCCTGTTGCACTTGGGCAGAGTCTTGCTATTAATTCGTATCGAATGTTTTTCTCTACACTCATTGGCTTTGTATGAATCTTAAGGATAGCACTGCGCCCAGCCAGGTCTGGAAGTGCAAATTCAACCTTTCTATCAAGTCTTCCTGGTCTAAGAAGTGCCGGGTCTAGGGTATCTGGCCTGTTTGTTGCCATAAGCACCTTTATATTTCCTCGCGACTCAAACCCATCTAGCTGGTTAATTAGCTCTAACATAGTTCGCTGCACTTCATTGTTTCCCCCATCAAACCTGGTACTTCCAAAGGCGTCCACCTCATCAAAGAATATTATGCATGCTTTTTTTGACTTGGCTAGCTCAAACAGCTCTCTCACCATTCTTGCCCCTTCTCCCACATATTTTTGGACTAATTCTGATCCAATTACCCGGATGAATGTGGCATTGGCACTATTTGCCACTGCACGCGCGCAAAGTGTCTTCCCCGTTCCTGGTGGCCCATATAATAGAACTCCCTTTGGTGGGTCTATCCCCAGCTTAATGAACTTTTCTGGGCTGACCAATGGCATTTCCACCACCTCTTTGATCTTTTCTATCTGCTCCGCACAGCCCCCTATATCAGAATACGTAATATCAGGCTTTTCTTCTATCTGCATAAGCGTAACTGCGTTATCAATCTTCGCTGGAAGAGGCACCATGATCTGATACTTCACTCGGTCCACGCCCACTCTAATCCCCTCGGAAATATCCTCTCTGTTCAGAGACTTGCTTCTTCCAACAATAAACTTCGCAATCTGCTTAATATTTATCATGTATCTGTCTGTTCCAGAAGGGTCTTCCATAACCTTGCAGCACCTAGCTACTTGCAAGGTCTTCTCGGTTTTTGACCGCTGCGCATCGCTTGCTAAATTCCAGAGCATCGGCGGTGCCAGCCCTGTCTCTACCTCACGCAGGCCTAGCTTTGAGTTTATCCGGCTGTACAGTTCCTTTATCTCCTTCTCCACCTGCATTATACTGTTCGTATAATAACTTTTCCCATAATTTGTTATTAATTCTACTTCGCTCTCCGTTAAGCCGTTCTCCTGGGCACTGTTGTTCATAAAATTGTAAACAAAACTCTGTCTATAATTTAATTAGTCAAGAATAAAAATGAACCAATCAAAAAATGACAAATCAGTTCTCTCCCCGCGCTTTATACAGAGAAAATGAGGAGGTTTATAATGAAAAGCAAAGAGAGCAAGCAGAATCTGGAACTAGTTGAGAAGCTTAAAAAACAGATAATTTACGGCTGTGGTGGTGGTCTCTGCATAGGAATATTCTGTAAGCTATCAGACATTGAAAGCATTTCAGATGAAATAGTAGAATTACTCTTAGAATACGATGACTATTTCACATGCGAGTCACTGTACTTTATACACGGCAGAGCAGCCCACACAGCACAGCAAGAGAGTAAGTATTATAGCACAAGAATTGGTCTGCACCCGAACATGAGTGTAGCACTGCTCCCACAGGCAGTAAAGAAACAAATGAATGAATTGAGCAATGTCCAAAACTCAGCTGGGAAGATTATATCTCACATAAACACTGCCCAGAATATATTGAAGTATTTCTATATGTCTCTTAAAAGCACGGGGCAGTCTTCATATTCTTGCAGTCCAATAATGCACAGGGAATTTGGGGTTCCTCTTTCTTTAGTACAAGAAAATTTCTTATTACTGCCAAAACCTTACACTGATGAAAACTCAAAAAAAGAATATTTAAGAATGGAGCTAGCGCGGGTGATTCATAAGAAAAAAGCAAAAACAGAAGCAATTGTTCTTCAAGGACTGTTCTATCACGAATTAAATAGGCTGAAGGCAGGGTACTCTATACACACAACCATTAGGATAATCAAACTATTTAATGCGGTGAAGGAGTGTGTTAAGTTTGAGAAGAAATACTTCATTAGGTTTTTAGAGTCAATTGAGATGCTCTGCCAGGTGACTAAAGCTGAAAATATTCTGTGCATGGACCGGTGTAATAAAATGCTGGGCGGGTTCAGCTACAAAAAGGTTCCAGAGTGTGGATTTAAAGAGCACGAAGAGTTTCCTGTCATTACTCGGCCCATCCCAGTGAAAGAATTATGCTCAAGAGTTATTGAAGAGTGTCCTTTATGCAATGAAACTTTGAAGGACTGCGAATATCCTCACTGTGACTCTCTGTGCTATGCGTCTAACAAACTCTGCATAAACGAGCTAATTGATCTAATTAAGAGTCTTATTATTGTGATAGACAATACCAGTGTGATAAATATGAGAGAGGGAACTCTTCTTCTAGCAATACTTAAGAGTCTTAAAGGGCTTTACGAGTTTTCTGTTGAAACCGGCCTTATACACCACTCTATGTTTGTTAACAGAAGGTTTTCTCGGCTACTAAACTACAAGGCCGAAGTGCGCTACCACAAAGAGAGAAGCCACAGTATTTTTGATTTTCCATTTATACTTGACATGCCAGCCAAGTCTGATTTAATTCAAATAGAGAACACCGACAGAATGAAGGCAGAATTACAAGATGCCTTTTTCCGGTCAATGTTTGAAGGGCAGGTAGATCCGTATCTTAATCTTGAGGTGGGGAGAGAATCTGTTGTAGAGGACTCATTGAGACTTCTGGAGTCCCTTGAAGAAGGGACCGCGTGGAAACAGTTAAAGATAAAATTTGTGGGTGAAGATGGAATAGACTCAGGAGGTATTAAAAAAGAATTCTTTCAAATTCTTAGTCAGAAGACTCTTGGTGAGTGGGATATTTTCCGGGAGAGCAATGGGTGCCTTTGGTTTAACCATTTTTCTGATGAAGAGCTAGAAAAAAGAAAAACACAGTATAAAATTCTTGGAAGCATTCTTGGATTAGCTGCATACAACGGAGCTGTTCTTTGCTTTTACTTCCCGCAAGTATTTTATAAAAGGCTTCTGGGCTATTCTGGGACATTTGAGGACTTAAAAACAGTTGAACCCACGATATACCAGACACTTACACAGATAAAAGAAATGAGTCCAGAAGAGGTTTCTTCTCTTTCTCTTGAGTATACACTAAACGGCAAAGTACATGAGGTATCCCATCACAATATAGAAGAGTTCACTCAGGTGTATTGTAAGGAACTTCTAGAAACTCGGCTAGAACCGGCATTTGCACTAATTAAAGAAGGTCTTTGGAGGATATGCGGTGACACTTTCATTAAGTCTTTACTGCCATGTGAGCTGAGCATACTAATAGGAGGAATGGAATGCATAAATATGGAAGAATTAGAGCGATACACAATCTATAATGGGTACAGGAGAGATTCTGAACTTATTCAGTCATTCTGGGAGATATTCAAGCAGTACGACATTACAATGCAGAAAAAGTTTTTGCGTTTTGTCACAGGAACTGATAGGGCACCTTCTGGAGGGCTCAGCCGAATGGCTCTTGTATTTATGAGAAATGGCGGCGACACTGACCGCCTTCCCTCTTCACAGACCTGTTTTAATACGTTTCTTATCCCAGAATATTCTAATAAGAAGAAATTAAAGGAAAAATTGGATTTAGCAATAAGTAACACAGAAGGGTTCTTCCTTCTTTAGTTGCTATAAATAAATGCTATTACAGGGCCACGTGACTTCATTTACCATATGACTAAATTATATTTCATATCATAAAATAACTCATTTTCTCTATTTATTATCCAATATTATCCACTTGGCCCTATCCCACTAATTATTCTGCTAGTTATGCCTTTGTATTACAATACGAAAATTTGAATTTTTAATATTTTTAATATTTGAAATTATTTAAAATATTCATTTTATGCGTATTTGAAGGTAATTCAAGTATTTCTACTGTATTATCAGAACTGTTTTTTCCTTAAATACTTAGGCATACGAAAACTTCTTCCTTATTGAATATAGGCTGCCCTTATATAGGCGACTTCCGATCATAAAAGCTGTCACTCACAAATTTTGGCACTCTAAACATCATCATTTTGTTTGACTTCTGGACCTCACTATGCAAACCCAACAATCAGTCTACTTATTCGCTGTAAATAGAGATATATTCACTGCATGGCCTGAAATAACCCATGAATAGAATAAATATTGAAAACATACGATATAGTCGATTATATTGATATAAACAAACGTATTATATGTTGGTTTCTTATGTTTATTCGTATTTATGCAGTTTATTTGGTTTTATATTTGGTTTTGCTTATAATTACTGAAATATTCACATAATTCTATAAATAATAAATCCTTCACTTTTCTATTTTTATGTTTACTGTGTGTACACTTTATAAATTATTTCAGTAACCTAAATCCATATTTACAATAAATTCATGATAATACTGGATTATTTACTATGATTATAGCGTGTTTATGGGTATATTCAATATTCCATGGACATTCTGTGTATTACAGCAGGAGAAATAATAACAATTCTGTTTAAATACTTGTTAAAGCATACGCAAAATTTTCAGTGCATGGGACTAACCAGGAAGAAAGACAGAACAAAAGCAAAATTATGCAAAGAAAAAGTAACTTCATTAGTATTTGTAGAAGCAGAGAGAGAAGCATATCTTAAAGCACAGAAAAAAAGGAAAATAACTGCCAAAAAGCAGAAGTACATAATGATGGAAGAGCAGAAGAGAGAAGCCAAAAAGGAAAAGAGAAAGGAGTATAGAAGAAGAGCAACAGAAAGAGCAGAAATAGCGCAGAGGGTGCTTGATGCTTCAATGCAAAAAGAGGAGGAAGTCAAAACAAAAATAGGAAATTCTTTGGTTACTATAAGAGAATTATAAAAGAATATTTCTGTATAATAAAAATAATTATTTAAACGAGTATACGGCTAATACTAATATTAACAGTAAGCACTATTAACAGTAAGATATTTATATTGGAACATGTAATATTTATTATATGTAGGCATAATGCAATTTAGACAAACCAATCATATGAAAGTATTATAATACTATACTGTATTCATAATAACTGATAGACTGTCTATGGACTCATTACTTCTGTATATAACACTGCCCATGGGGAATGCCTGAGTTATTTTCATTCCTATTATACAAAGAACTGTTAAATATGCTGAATAATTTTGTATGTATATGATTATACCATCAGAGACTGTGGTAGCTCTGACTAATGCAGTATTTGTATACCAGATACGCATTCTGTCTTTACTGATTGTGTGTACGGCACTATCTTGTGTATTGCCGTGGGAAAGTGTATGGATCAATTTATTGATTTGATTGGCTTTTCTTTCAAATAAGCAAGTGTCCAGGAGAGAGTTAAGAGAAGACCATTCTCCGAGTAAGTTGTATGGGTTTGTTATATTTGGCTCTAAAGGGACTTTTCTTATATTTATTGTGTTATTACAGTGTAATACAAGAACTGGGGCGAGTATAGGGCATACAGGCAGGGCATCTAATAACGTACACGGATTATCCCGTGTAAAGGGTTTTAGTAAGTATAATATTCTGTTCTTTCTGTATAGCCAGTACCTAATGACAAGTTCTATTGGAGAGTATTCTTTACTCTTAATCTTTTTATGTGATATTAAGTCATATATTCCCACTTCAACTAGGCTTGGTACATTCTCTGAATCAGCCGGAGTGTCATCTTCACTGGAATTTACTACTCGGCGGTTGTTCACTCTAATTGTACTTCTAGCTTTGTTTATGGTTCCGTTGTAAATATGTAATTTATCGCATACACCTGATATGCTATACTTTATATCAGAATTATTTCCTACCCTATACGATATTCTTGGCTTAGGCACACTCACATACGAATGTGGAGTGTGTATTCGTATTTTACGACCAATAAAATCCACTCCATAAAATATTTCCTTTCTAGCTGGTTTATACCCTACGCCCGTACTGTGTATAAGAAGGTCTTTTACTGTTGGAGTAATTCCCTTTGCATATACTTTTGTCATTCCATATGGTGTGACAGTATAACTATATAATACCACTGGTGTAATATACACCACAGGAAGTACTTTTATTGTATAATTCACTGGTATTATAATAGTACCACCACCCATTTCTACGATAATCCTTGTAATAGGAATGATTCTGTCCACACTTCCTTTATTAATAAAGGACACTCTTGCTTTCCCAGTACTTATACTTACTCTGCGATTATCCACCTCTAAGTATACTGAATACACTAAATCACCATTAATCTTACTTATTTCATCCATCGGAATACACGCATGGATTACCACTCTTTCACCAGAATATATTTTATCCGTTGGTTTTACTGCTTTATCTATATATTTGATACGTGCCCGCTTTTTTATATTTCCGTTATTACAGATACCTTCTGATTTTAACAATTCCTGCCCCTTTCTGTTTTTTATGCTTCTGTATATATTTATCCCTAATAAAGCCTTTTCCGTCAGAGTTATTTCCATGGGAATATTCTGAGACTTATAATATTCTTGTATTAAAAAAAAGTAGTCAAACCAATGCGTACTCCTCTCTAATTCATTAACCAGTAAAGTGGGCCGGCCATAAATAATGCATATTCTTACGATTCTGGCCACTAAATCATCTCTTATATACGGTGGTACATCCATTATACACTCTGCCTCTGTACATAACCACATACAATACTCAAGTATATCTGAACTATTTGCATACTCCGTTAGAATACCTTCTAGTATAGAGATAGTATCAGTTAGTAAAAGAAGTCTTCTTCCTTGCTCCTCTTTACTTTCCTGTAATATATCCAGCAGTATTATATTCAGAATAACTCTGACTTCCACTTCATGGTTACACTCTATTTTCATTAGCTGACTGATTACTGTGGATACAGCAGATTCCTTCCAACTCCCAGTGACGTAGTGTACGTGCCTGTACAGGAATATAATATACCTCAGTGACTCTATAAATGAATTACTACTGCACTCCGTATACTCTGGACCTATTTCTTCTTGTGATTTAATTTTACCCAGTACGTATATCTCTGTTAGAATTGGCACTCTTTCTTTACTCCCTATTATCTCAGCAAATGCCGAAATATTCTCTGGATTATTCATTCCATGCAAGAGTATTTTACTTAAAAAAGTGTTCGAGTCCCCTATTAATGCCTTCCCGAATGACCACAGTTTAGAAAGCGAGAATGCCTTATGGGACACACCACCAGATATTTTATCTATAAACTCCTCACACTGCACTCGCATACTGTCCAGATGTATTACACACGAAACAGAAATATCTGCAGATTCTCCCTCACACCCTATAAGCACAGATACTGGTTCAACCCCAGTAATAGAGTACTCTACAATCTTACTCCATAACTCATCTGCCACAGCAAGTGGTCCTTCGCCATTTTTTCTATTTTCATTATTATTATTTTTTTCTGTTTTCTGTGAGAGTCTCCTTCTGCTTATATAAGAAATCAATACGTCCCTGGCAGCCGGCCGTAAACTGCCCGCTGTGTACTCATTATATGTAAAGTATTCACTTAAGACCTTTTCTATTACAGCCTGTAAATCACCCTCCTGGGATAATCTAAACAGGAGCTGGTCACTCACCGTGGGCACTGCGGGCACTCGAAAATATTTCATGAATTATTTGTAGAAAATGAATTATTTATTCTTCTGCAATTGTTATCTCCCCCTCCTGGATCTTTCTGGTTATTTCCTTTGGTGACTCACCATCTACTAAGCAACCAACTGAAAGGCATGTACCAAGTATCTCCTTAACTGTTCCTGCAAGGGTTCTAGCGTATGACTTGCTTCTCTGCTTCTTGGCAATTTGGACTACTGCATCAAGGGAGAGGGATCCATTATGCTGGACATTCTTCTCCTTCTTTCTGTTTCTTGGGGGCTCCTTAAGTTCCTTAAGAATAAGTGCGGATGTCCCTGGCTCTGCAGTGATGTCCATCTGTCTCCCTTGGATTGTCAAGAGTACTCCAATTTTGTATCCCATGTACTCCTTGGTCTGCTTGGCAATGTTCTCACCCACCTGCTTGGCATTGAATCCAAGTGGTCCTACTTTCTGTGCCAGAGATGCTCCTCCTGCGGGTTCTCCTCCTACTACTCTTAATCTAACGTATTTTACCTCTTCAACTTTATTCATCCGGGTATAAAAAATTAAAAAATCAACTCTTTTTATAGCATGGAAAAGTTATTGGAGTGCACAGACGAGTTTGATGTAGAGCTGTTTGACTTTGTAATAAAGACATTTTATGACCCAATGGACAAAGAGCACAAGAGAGCAGAAACTGTACTGCTTCGGTACAGAGAGCATCCAGACAGTTGGGCGCACACAGCAGCTGTAGTGAAGGACAGCAGGGACCCACGGGCAAAAGTATTTGCAGTGCAAGTACTTGAAAGGGCAGTAAAAATACGCTGGACAATGCTTACAGAGGAGCAGAAGAAAGGTGCCCGGGAGTATGTTGTAGACAAGATATTAGACCTGGCCACACAGACCCAGGCAGAAAGCAAAGTTTTAGTCAAGCAGTTCAACCAGGTATTAATTGAAATAATAAAGAGGGAGTGGCCAGAGAAGTGGCCTACCTTAATAGGCGACTTATTAGATGCAAGTAAAGGGGACTGCAGCGTATGCGCAAACAGTTTCAATCTTCTGGCACTGCTGTGTGATACCGTGTTTAACTTTAATGAGTCTCTGGTGAGTGAGCGTGTGAGTGCCCTGCAGGCCCAGATGAAGAATGAGCTGGGGAGTATTTACGAAATGGTCGTGAATATCCTGGAGAAAGTAAGCAGTGGTGAGATATACGTGCCTAATGACTTGACTATTTCATCATTAAACCTTCTGCTGATTATGGTACCGCAGCTACCCGCTGAGTGCTTATTCCAGCCGGCTCTACTGGATGTAGTTGTAAAGTACATTGAGTCTGAATTTGCGACGCATGCAGTGCAAGTGATCCGGAGTGTATTCACCCGCAAGGAGGCGTGTACTTCAACGGAGGCTTTTATTGGTGTGCTCAGGAAGTGTTTTGTGGGTGTAGGGGCATTCTTTGAGAAGTACTTCAGGATGTTCAATGCGTCACACACTGGCGGGATAAAGGCGCACTATGCATCATTCCTTCCAAAGGACGTTAATCTTATCAGGGAGGTGGTTCTGTTTTATGGGATTGCGTATAAGTACTGTAAAGAACTAGAGAAGACTCCGTGCAATACGACGATTCCCCTGCAGCTGATGCTGGAGATATCCCAAGTGACTGATTTTGAGTTATTCCGGCTGTGCCTGGAGTTCTGGTCGATGTTTGTTAAGGATCTGTTCTTAGAATTCCCGTTCGTGCCTGCCCCGAGCAAGCCACCTGCAGGCCTCAGAAGGACGCATTATACAGAGATTCTCAGCAGCTTAGTGCCCGTCCTGGTGGCGCAGATGCAGAGACCTGAAGAAGTGATTATCGCAGAGAATGAGGATGGTGAGATCATCCTGGAGAAGCTAGTTGATACAGAATCCATCCAGCACCATAAGGAAATGAACGAGTTAGTATACCACATATCCTCAATGACACCGGGCGGTCTTGGGCCGTACTTCTGCAGTGAGATTAACAAGCTGCGGACAGGCAAGTGGACACGTGACAGACTGAATAAAGTATCCTGGGCTGCAGGGAGTATAGCAGGCACGTCCAGCCCAATGGGCGAGAAAGAGTTCTTAACACAGAGTATACAGGGCCTGCTGGCAATGTGTGAAGAAGCAGATGAGGAGGGGAACAGGGCCGTTGTGGCTTCATGCCTTATGTATATTTTAGTCAGGAATCCGCTGTACCTTAAGACGTACCCGCTCCTGCTGGAAGCCATTTGCAATAAGATGCTCCAGTTCATTATTGATGTGGACTTAGTCGGTGTGTCAGAGATGGCGTGTGATACGCTTTTAAAGATTATGTCCTCCTGCCATGACGTACTCCGAGTTCCACTGGCTGCAGGCAAGCAGTGCTACATCCTAGACGTATTCCCGCATATGCCTAAGCTTCTGAATGTACTAAAGCCGTACTTAGCAGAAGTTCTATTTGAAGCCCTCTCGTACCTCTCTGAGGAGCACATTGATAAGCTGCTGCACTTACCCCTCATGGACTTATTCACGCCGGTGCTTGACAGTGCGGACAGTATTCATAAAGTGGTCAGGGCGGTTAGGCTGATTAAAGTAGTGTGCACGGTAGAGATATCCGAGGAGTTCAGCAGTTCGCGTGAGCCAGTGATTGGGAAGGCACTCAGTCAAGTCCATGCGATATACAGTGCACTGCCGAATGGGGCTGTACAGCCGGCCGTACTGAACAGGTCACTTATAATCCTCAGGAAGGAGATACTCTCGGTGTACACTACGATCGGGAGGACTTTCTCGATTAACTTTATACTCGGTGAGTTCATGAGTCTCTGGTCACAGGTATTCGCATGCCCTCTTACGGTCGACGCACCTGCTGCGATTGAGAAATTAGGACTGCTCGCTGAGCTAAGTAAAAGGACCGTTGAGGGCACAGCCCCGTTAGTGGAAAGTGTCTCAGCGGCCATAGCACCGCAAGTGTTTGCAGCACCTGAGGAGCGGGAGGAGGAGATGAAAGCGTTCTATAAAATGCTCTGTGCATCCATTCATACAAAGCCGCAGATGAACAATCTTCAGATGATCGAGTGGCTGGCGATGGGGGTGAGCCACTCAAACAGGGAAGTATACGAAGAGTGCATACGCGTACTGGCCAAGGTGATAGAGAAGACTTCTATTGAGATAATCAGGCAGGGGTTCATGGGCTTATTAGAGTGCGTGCTGGGGACTGCCCTTGATAAGGATCATGAGGGCGGGATGAGTGCCCTGCTTGTGGCCCTGTCCCTGTTAATCAGGTACAGCATAGACGGCCGGTGTGCTTCTCAGTCGCAGGTACTGGAAGTGTTTGGTGGGAAGCTTCACGGGGTATTCCCGCACATTAACCCGGCGTGCATTGAGGAGTTCATTTTCCGGTGCTACCGGGATGTTGATTCACACGGCGGTCTTCTTACGGCGATAAATGACTTCCGTGTTAAAATCAAGACTGTTTGAATTTATGGGGAAATAAACAGAATAATTTATTTTATTTAAAATTTTTATTATTATTAAATAACGGGTATTTACTGATACACGTATAGTAAAATATGCGGGAGAAGAGTATTGTGCAACTTTTAATTTCAAGAATGTACGTGGCTGTGTGATGGTGTATGGTTGAATATTCGCACGTATTCATAGTGTATACGATTTATGGTATATTTACATTCTTATTTGATTAGTTACAGGATCATTTTGATAAGGATTCACTCCTGGGGTTTCTTAAAGTATAAATACGGGAGGTTCTTATATTCCAGGTATCTGGTGATAATTTATTATTATTTATAACACAAGTAGCAATAAATAATGATATATAATAAACTATCCAGTAGTACGTATAAGTATACTAGTGTATATATGTAGTGTATAAGTAATAGTAGTGTATATGCTGTACTAGTATATATTGTATTAGTTAGTCTATTGTATATGTATAAGTATATATTGTATAAACAGTACTAGTGTATTAGTCTATTGTATATACAGTACTAGTGTATAGTGTACTACTCTATTAGTTAGTCTATATGTACTAGTGTACTGTATGAGTATATGTACTAGTGTACTAGTATTAGTCTATTGTATATGTATTAGTTAGTCTATTGTATATGTATACTAGTGTATTGTATAAGTATAATAGTAGTATTAGTCTATATGTATATGTACTACTCTATTAGTTAGTATTGGTTAGTCTATATGTACTAGTATTAGTCTAGTGTATATACATATACTGTACCATTGTATGCTGTACTACTGTATAGTATTAATCTATTATATATGCTGTACTATTGTACACTATACATATACTATACATATACTGTATTAGTCTATTGCATATGTATACTGTATAATAGGAAGAAGGGTTATATGAGAATGTTTATTGATTTGTGCCCATATGGATAATTGATGGGGGTAAGTTATTAATTAGACAGGTTGTTACGAATGAGTAGTCATTGCACCCATCAATTAAGTCATGAAATACTGCTTTTATTGCTTTAATTACTGAATTTACTTCACTGCTTGTACTCAACTGCTTAAGAATACTTCTTTTTGTTTTTACATCTATCCTGGGGACGTACTCTAATTTTATATTTGTGTATTCATTATACAGATTATTCAATCTTTCTATCATTACTTCTGTGACTTTATCTTTACTCCACCCTAAAAAACTATCCACTCCGAAGTATTCTCCTACTTTACGGTCAATAACAAGCTTACACTGCATGGCAAGTTCTTCAGCGAGTTCTCTTTCCTTGTTTATAGATGCCTGTATAAAGAACCTGTCAAATGGCACTGTTAAGTTAGTACAAATGTACTCTGCAATGAGTCTGGCAGCTTCTTGTCTCAGTTCAATTGAAGATCCCATATGATTTAGTACTGCAAGCGTACTTAAGTTCAGCAAATAGTTATCTTCACTAGTGTTTGTGTCTATGTCTGAGGATTCTGCATACGCCAGCTCATTTATAAGTCTTTTTATATTCATTGGGCTGCCTATGATATACTGCCGACCCTTTTCTTTATGGATCTTAAATAATGCAGGCCCTTTCTCATACATAAAAAATAGAAGGCTGTACAAATGCCTCCACTCCCCCAGCTGGTTCGCTAGGGTAATTCGTAATTTACATCCGGTTCTTGCGAGTTCTGTATTATAATGTTCAATTGCACTGTCCACTATGCTGAATAAGCCCAGGGAAAAGTGTCCGACTGTCATTATCACGCATGCATACTCTTTTGTACTGCTGGAAACCGTGTCATCCGCGCTCATATTAAAATGTAAACAGAACTTTAATTGCCCATTAATATAAGCCCATCTCCTGCATAAGACCCAGCATATGCCGCTCATTCGGACTTCCTCCAAATGACGGGCATCCCTTTAACAGATTCAAAATACTATCGCGCAGAATGTTTAAGTCTTCTTCTGTCAGTTGGTCTCTTTGTATGTGGGAGAGTGCATTACTAAGGAAGATTGTGTACCGACTGCGAAGACTGGCCTGTCTCCATCCGGCTCCTATGAACAGTATCATCTGCTGTATAAACTGTACTAGCAGACTGTTTGACATGTCAATCTCTGCATCCGGTGGTAGCTTATTAAGTAGAAACAGGAATATTTCTGGGTCCTTTGATCCTATGACATATGTAAAGCACTCTGCAATATCCGTCTCTAATAAGTGAATAATTACATCCTTCGGGTGCTCTTCAATATGGTCATCACAGCCCTTTAATGTGTCCACCATTATATCAAAAGTATCATCTTTACTCTCTGACAAATCATCTTCAAACTTCTCAACGCACATTGGCATGGCCTTCATTCTGTCCAGAATCTGAAGGCGTATTTCATTCATCCCATTCTCCACCACAGGAACTATCCCTTCAATAATGCCTGCTTTAATTGTTTTGCTAATTGTTTGTGCAAGTGCTTTTCCCTCCACTGCAGCCACAAGTGCTGTGCTGCACACATTAGACACCTCTTTCATTTTGTAGTCAATCCGTGAGCTAACCATCTTCTCTATTTTCTGTGTGAGTGGTCCGCGTATCTCCTTCTGTATTACGCCTTCAAAGAGTGCCACCACATTTTTATTAAGCTGCTCAGATATTGCAGCCAGCAATTGGTTCATTCTTTTCTGTTCCTTTTCCTCTCTTTCTCTTACCATATTCTCTATTCTTTCATAGAGGTTGTCCAAATCACCCTTTCTGTGCGAGGGTACATCTGCCCTCTCTTGCGCCGCGGATAATTCTAGCTGCTCGTCTTGCTGAAGCATAATAAATTATTGCAAAAGAAAATAATGTGAAATAATGAATTCAATCCACAGAAAACAATAAGAGATAAAATTAAAGCACTCTCCGCCAGAATATAAATATGTCCACCGATCACTCTGATGCCGCACCTGTACACTGCCATTTATATTCTGAGGTGTGAAATGAAAATTATTTTGTGAAAACGTATTTTATGGATAAGCCCGTATTAAACTGAAAATTACTGTATTTATTACTAACAGCATATACAATAACCAAAAACAATTAGGAGATACGTCTAAATTCAAGGTGTACCACGCACCTCATGCGGTGCTCTTAAATTTAATCTTTGGGTTTCTGAGTATTCAGTGTATGTATACTAACCATGTACTTGTATACGCTGTAAATTGACTATCCATGTACTTGTATACGCTGTAAATTGACTGTATGGTACTTGCTGGTTTAATACGACTAATTATTCTCTGAATTTATGATGATTATTCTTTCCATTAATTCTGCTATTAAAGGAGAGTGTGAGATTATAATCACTGTTCTGTTCTGGCTGCACAGTGAGGAGATTATTTTATTTTCAGTTAGGCAGTCTAATTTAGACGTGGCTTCATCCAGGATAATTATGCCCGTGTCTCTTAATAAGCATCTGGCCAGGCATACTCTTTGTTTTTCGCCACCGGACAGGTTTCTTCCTGCTACTCCCACCGTATAATCATATCCATTCTTTTTAGACTCTACGATTTCATTGACTGCTGTGTCCTCAAGGATACTTGAAAGGTTTGCTTGGTTTGGCGCACTTCCGTATTCTGTGTTGTATATAAGCGTGTTATTAAAAAGTGCTGATTCTTGTGGCACTATCCCAATCTTCTCCGTGATATTATCTTTCGTCATTTCTCGGATGTCTACTCCGCATACTTCAATTATTCCCGTGTACGGTTTCTGCTTAAGCAGGAGGGAGAGTAAAGTTGTCTTTCCACTCCCACTCTTCCCAATCAGGCAAACCTTCTCACCCTCGAATATTCTGCATGAAAAGTCTTTAATGAGCTCTTTACATGAATTCTCTGGCCAATAACTTACGTTCTTAAATTCAACTGCCACTTTTCTTTTTGGTGCTTTTTTAGTGCCCGGAGCAGAGGGGCACTCTGGAATTTCCTCTGTGTGGGTTCTGTTAGTGTGGAATGTACTGTTCTCACTGTCCATTTGGCTTGTACTATTATATTTATACTCTAGTTGACTATTACTCTGCCCGGCTTCATTTAATGATGGTAGGGGAGATTTACTTACTTGTACAACAGGTGGCTCCATGTGCTTTGATAGTTTATGTATGTACTCTATGTATATCTCACAGTCCACATACCTTACAAATACGGTTTTTGTTGCAATTGCGACATTCATAAGATTTCTGTCCAGCCTCTTCAAGTAAAACATAAGCTTGACTGCATCATTCAACTTATTCTCTCCATACATGTACACGTATACCATCAGAGTTATATGCAGGAGAGTGTATATAAACTTCTGGAACACATTTAAGGCAGCCACGACTACCCTGTCTGAGAAGGATATTTGCAAGAACCGGGTTAAGTGCAGATCAAATGTATATATTTCCTGTTTCTCCGTATTATTTACAACAACCGACTCTTTATTCGCCAGGCACTCAATAATACTATTACTGTAGAGATCATCATATTTGTTCATTAATGTCTTGTTCCTTATCCTGATCTTAAGAAGGACAAAGCTTACACCCAGATATATTACGTTAAACCCTGTTATCACACAGACATATCTCAAATCCATCTCCATCAGATTCTTATATATTATGATAATACTTGTCACCCCATAAAGTATTTTAACCAGTATATTAATTAGCATATTTTGTATTCCTCTGTTGCCTCTGTCAATTATTCTGTTAATGCGAACGGATGAAATAGGTGATATCGTGTATATGGTGTTATAAAACAGTGCAGTTGAAATATTATGCAGTGTATGGTTAATAAACAGTGTAAAGCAGAGGGAGTACAACTCTCTCATGACTGATGCCACTGTAACCCACGCCACCATTTGAATAACAGTTTTCATAACATTTGGCTCATTCCTGGCCAGACTGTCAATAGTATCCGCCTGGTAGTTAATAGTTGTCATTGTTGCATGGTTGCATATCATGCATATTACAAACCCCACCGTGAAAAGCGATAATGCAAATGCCTTGCGAGTTGCCAATGAGAATAGAAATACATTATAAATAATTTTGGCACAGTGCATGACCGTCCTCTTTGTTATTATTAAGTGGCCCGACTCATCTTCTGGAATTTCTTTTTTTTCATTATTTCCTTCGCATATTTCACACACTTTTATTTCCGGTACTTCAGAAAAATCCCCGTGCATGCGTGCATGGAAAAGATTTCTTTTATACAATCAAATGGAGGACGGACAGGGGCTGTAGGAATACAGATTATTGAAACCCGGTTAGCTCAGTCGGTAGAGCATTGGACTTTTAATCCAAGGGTCGCGGGTTCGAGTCCCGTATCGGGTGCTTTTTTATCCCGAGTATTTTTATACCCTGTCAATGCACTACACCGGAGCTCTTATTGCTGTAGATACAAACATTCTTATGGGGAAGCTACAAATAATCCGGCACTTGTCCTTCTTAATAGAGGATGTGAACATTAGCTTTTTTATACCGTGCACTGTAATAAGAGAATTAGACGCACTAAAAGTACACAATCCCAGTGCAAGAGCAGCAATCCTCTTTCTAGAACAGGAAAATGCCCGAGAAAACTGCAAAATATTTATAGAACCTGCGATTATAGAGAAGGGAGACACAAACGATGATTCAATAGTCATTTCATGCAAAAACAATAAAATACTCCTTTTACTATCCGATGACACGGCCCTCCGCCTAAAAGCGAACAACGCCAATTTTGGCATGCATTCCATGTCAGTAGAGAATAAAACTGCCAGTGCACTGTACACGGAAATTATAAACTTCTTCCAAATCTCGTTTATGGAGTGTGAGATGAAAGATGACCATGTAGGCACTATAAAGAAGAACACTGCCTGTGTGGCCTCTGCTGTATACTATAAGAAAGTACTTCCCATTATGAAGAGAGAGTTAGGAGAGGATATGCTACAGTTTTATCTTCCACCTGGTTTAGACCAGTCTTTATCCTCTCTTCTGAAGTATGTTGCAAAGAACCACCATTTATTCACGGGGTACCTGTCTAAGTCTTCAATATCGATTATTTCACAATTCGCCAGTAAGAAAGTGGATGAGGACGATTTAAGAACCATTCTGGATATTTTCAGTGTTTCATTCCCGTGAGTATTAAATCACCGCATGAGAACCCCGAAATAAAACCAGGCAAGTTTCATTCAGAATGAAAACCGTTTACGGCACAGGGATTGCAGAGTGTACAGAAGCGTATTGGAGTTCAAAGGGGCAGGATGTAATCGTAGAAGATTTTGAGTTTGGCACTACGTACATGTCAGACAAACTGTATGCAGCAAAAAGGATAAAAAACGTATTAATCCATACTCTACCACCAGAGGGCATGGCACCATTCCCAGTTGAATCAAATATTCTACTTCTAAGACCGACTGATCCGATTATTAATGCCCTAGAAGATTCCAGTAGGATTGATAAGGTCCCTTTTATTCGTATTAAAGATGTATACGCAGTGAATGATTCCGGCCCATTAGAATCCCAAGTACCAGAGAAGAACTAGCATTCAGTAAAGAAATCCCGGCTGACGACAAGATGTACATCTATAAAATGGGAATGGAATCATTTGAGGACAACTTTAAGTCTCTCTCGCATAAGACGCAGAGTATGTTTATGACTATGTTTAATAATGAAGCGGGTATAAAGGAGTATCTATTACACTTTGGTGGTAATTCGCATTATTTATTCCCTGCGTGCCCATTCAGTGAACTCTCTAAGACACTTCTGCTATCCCGTGACAGGATAACCATTAAAGTAGAAAAGTCTTCAGAGCCCATGGGCTCATCAGAAGGAGAAGGTTCCTGTACGGGTTTAAAACAGAATAATCCGAACCCGAATAACTCCTTCAAGGGCCAGCACTTAAACAATAAATCAACCAAGGATAGATTTCATACATCACGCACTTCTAATAAGGACTCCACTACTTTACAGGATAATTCACAGGCACCCTCAGCACGTACGTCCAAGCATACACCAAAGGGACCCATTCACAAGACAGGCCCGTATAATGGATCAGGTAATAAACAGACTAATAAAAGTACGCGTATATCAGAAGGTGCATCAAGTACGGGTTCTAATAAGCATAAACGTATGAACATTCCTACTAATCCATGTGATAGTGCCGTATACTACCATGTGATACTGCTCAGTGTACCCATGGGCAGTATTCCATCTAAGTCTACGCATAATTATGATAATATTCTTATTAATGTATTACACGTACGTGTATATGGCTTATTATACTGTTATGTCTGGTCTAATAAGCCCATTTCATTTGATGATTTAAGGAGGCTCGGCGTACAGCACAGGAATATTTTATTTCACTGTGAATTTACCGCAAATAAATAAGAATTTAAATGGCCAACCATGAAGCTGTAAACCATGAGATAATTACTACTTTAGGGGACTGTCCACCCTCCCAGGCACATCTTCACAGGATACCCACTGATAATATGCCATTCTATTGTGACTTATGTGAAGAAGTTCTTCTTAAGAAGGACATTCCCAGTCACGTATGCAGTGTGCCCGACAAGAAGCCAGAGCCAGAGAATACAAAATTCTATGACACGCACTGTGGAGTGGCAGATATTGATACTGGCACTGACTGCACCAGGAGTCTTAATTGTAAAGTACATTCTGTTATAATGAAAAGGTCCATCACAAAGAGGTCTCTCCCATACGATGTCCTTGTGAAGCGGGTTATTGAGGAGAGGAAGAAAAGGAAGATTGAGAAGGATGAGGTTAAACTTGATAAAAGAGAGAAATTAGAAGATCCAAATAATAAGCTAGAAGATTTAATATGCAGTAAGATCCTGTCACACGTCCCTGTGATTGAGAAGACCTTCTACTTACCTGAGATTAAGTTTGACACACTGGCTGTACGCAGCTTATTCTTTCAGCCGTTGAAGATATACAGAATGCAGAATGACAGGAAGTACACTAAAAAATAAACGCGTATTACTGATGTGATTTATTCTGGGAGTAAGTCATTTTTTATATGGAGAAGTGCTGCACTCAAGAGGTTCCTAGAGCCGATCACTCCATCGAGTGTGTACTTCCAGAGTCTCTTTGTGTTCAGGCTTGAATTAAGCAGTAGTACTATCATTAGTGCGTGTACTTCAGTTACTACGTCTTGTCCTTGTAGTTTAGTGTATGCCTCACAGAGTCGTATGTGGCTTTCAAGTGCTCTTATGCTTATATTATCTATTTCCTTTTGTTTTCTGTAGTATACTTCAATTATACGCTTGGACTCTTCTGAGAGTGTCACTGGGATTTTCTTTCTTTGTTCTATTAAGTTATGGATAAATACAGCGGAATCATCTTCTGGTGTTTTATCTATGTTTTTAATGGCTATTTCTTCATCTGATGCGAGGAGGTCATCTAGCCCCATGATAAGGTCGAATCGGCTGAGGAGTGGTGGGGATAGTTTAAGAGAGGGGAGTGCCCATTCTGGTTCTGTATTATGCCTGGCTGCTCCTATTATTGTACAGCGTGTGTCTAATTTTAAGAGGATTCCTGCTTTTGCGATTGTTATGGTTTGTTGCTCCATTGCTTCAAGGATCGATGCTTTCTCTTCTTTCTGTAGACTGTTAAAATCATCGATACAGCATATTCCCCTGTCTGCTTGAGGGATTGCTCCTGGTTCAATCATCCATTCTTTATTCTCTCTTGTGGCGCATGCTGTGAGTCCTGCGGATGAACAGGAATTTCCTGTGGTTTTTACTGCTGGTACAACAGTTTTAGCTGCAAAGTTAAGGAGGGTGCTCTTCCCTGACCCTGTCTTCCCAACGAGTAAAATATGGGAAGATACTCTGTTCTTACTCTGCGACTCATAATACATTTGTTCTGTTGTTATACTCTCTCTTTCTTTAACACTCCCGTCTTCATGCTCTTTTATTTGTGAGTCTTTACTGCTCTCTTGCCCGCCGACTGTACATATGAGCAGGGCTAGTTTAGCCTGTCTCATCCCAGCCAGGGAAGGTGCATACTTATCGATTACTTCTATTAGAAGGTCAAATTCATTCTCTGGCAGCATGATAGGCTCAGATTCTGTTTTTATTGTATGGTGGGTTACTTCAACTGCACGCAGTGCGTATTCACACTCTATTGGACATCCAAGCTTCAATCTACGCCAGAGAATTTCAACAACCCCAGAAACTCTAATCACTTCCCCTGGCTTGCAACTATTTATTAGTTTATTATGTAACTGTACAGTTATTGTTCTTGGGACGTACATCGTATTCCTCTCCTGTATTTTTATTTCCTGGTAGTCAATCTCCTTATCCGCAACCATCTTAAACTTAAGCAGCCCCATCTTCATCACTGTACCGTACACAGACACAAGCTGGTTATAGTGCTTAGATGATGGATACGCAGAAATATCATATGCACACGGAATATTACACAGTGGCATATTCGCATACCTCAATGACTCAATTAGTTTAAGTGCCCTCTCTGGATCCTTCTCATACTCTTCCATTATATCGATAGAATTCAAATTATCTCTCTCACTGCGCTTTACTCCTTCTCCAGTCCCCCTGGATAGTAAAGTATTTTCATTATTTCTATTTCCACCGTGACAATCCTCCCAGTCCCCCATTCTCTTCTGTTTTTTTCATTTTTTGTGTATTTTATTCTTTATGTACTGTCTTAGCTCATACTTTGTCTTTAAGTCTATTTTGTGTATTATTAGGGTGTAATATATTTGTGTATTATTGTACATTATGAAATTAGCTGAGGGATGACATGTCTTATACAGAATCACAAAAAATGACATTTCTCTAATTGACATTGCAGTTTTATACGAGTGAATCAACTTATTCGCACTCTCTTTGGTCCACGGTCCTTTCTGTATAAATGGCCGTATGCCAGCCCGCTTCTCCTTTAAGTTATAGCACCCAAAGAATCTGTCGTATACTTCCCTAGTGGTCCTAACCCCGTATTTATTATACTGCTGCATCTGCTGCATTATCTTGGTTTTGATTTTTTCATTTTTTTTGATTAGGCTGATTATATTTTTAAAGTCCTCGTAGGAATATCCATCAAGTGAGTACTCCTTTATTGCAAGAACTCTTCTTTCTTTTTCCAAGCACTCATTGCACCCGCATTTATTCTCTGTTATACAGGATATTCTGGCAAACCCATTTATTTTTAGGTTAGACATTAAGATGCCTGTGCTGGAGAGTTCTTTATGTGCGATCCTTTCAAGTAGTAATTTACTCTCTTTCGAAATTCTTACAACTTCTTTATCTACTGCATAATTCCCAAACCTTCTGGCAATGCACTTAAAGTACTTTATGGCAACTTCAGGCCGGATGAGTGAATACTTTTTGAACCTTATTTTTACTATTTGGTTGCAAAGTGTGTGACACACCAAATATTCTTTCTTTATGTATATTCTCTCCAAAAGATTCACTGAGCACTCCTTCATTGTAAACAATCTAAATAATAATATAAATAATAATGAAAATATTAATTATCTCCATGTAAATAGATTCCTTTCATTATTAAGAGATCCAATACTAGAATAATTTAAGTGTGTCAGGCACTAATCAGTGATTGTTTATTTTTATATAATTTGTAGCTTTATAAATGGATTTAATTATTATTTTTCGTGCAGTAGAAGGTATGTTGAACAAATAGAGAATAGGATACTTCCGATGAGTATGCCTTTAGAGGTATAATCAAATAATTTAACTTTGTTTTGTGAGTAGATGTATGCTATGCTTGGGAGAGTAAACATTATATAACAACTTGCAGTGCTTGCTATAAGTTTCATTACAAATATGTACTTAATCTTATAGAGTGATTCTATGAACACTGTTATTGTCATTATACTTGTGATTAATACTTCCACTACTCTTGGATTATTTCTGAATATGTTATTTTTGAATATAATGCTTAGGAAGGTAATTATAGAGTCTCTGGTTGGGTGCAGTTGTAATGGGTATGCTCCGAGTAGTACAATTACCATGGCCAATTTTGAGATTGTAATTAAGTGGAAGTACGTCCCTCCCCAAGTATCTCCAAAATTTGTCATAATTATTTTGTGGAAGGGTTTTTCTGTATTTGAGAGAACGTCCAGGATTGACGAGTTTTGTCCATTTCCTCCTGCTATGTATCCACCATTTGCTACAAAAAAGTATGCGATGCTGACTATTACAATAGCGTACGTTCCTACTTTTGCTCCATTTATTTTTGTTGGGTTTTTTAGCAGTGAGAAGACCTTTACCATATTCTGCTGGCACCCCAGTCCGAAAATATATCCACTGAGGGCTTTAAAAAGCCCTGCAGGCTCTTTTGTGGCTATGTTTAATCTATCCGTTGAAATTGATCCTTTTGGGAGGAAGAGTGCCAGAATTCCTGAGAGAAGAACAACAGAAGACAGGAAAATAACTGAAATAGTTGACAGTACAGATATAAATGCAAGTTTCTTCAAACTCTTTTGCATAGCAAGAACAGTCGGGATTATAAGAAGAAGTGCACTGCACATAATATTATACGGCATATAATCAACAGTATCCACCATATTAATAAGAGACAGTATAGACTCCTTTAAAATTAAAAGGTATACAGTAATTGCCCCAAATCCCTGTACGCCTATACACACTTCAGAAATATATCCCAGTATGGGGTGCGTATTCTGACATACTTTAAAGTATGAAGGACTCCTTGTATTCAATTCTTTAGCACAGTGCACTAACTGGTACAGTGTAAATGCACATATACCAGACACAAAAATAAGTATGGGCGCAGATAATAAATATCCAGATGCTTCTACAGCCGCAGGCAGTGTTAGTACACCAGATCCCAGTATAGATCCAATCATTGGAAACACGGCCTGTTTAACTGTCAGCGTATTACTCCTCTGTGCTTCTTTTACCATATTAATTTTAGATAAATTTTCTGTATAAATACCCCTATTAATCTCTCCCCTGGATAGTGGCACAGTTTCTCCTTTATTAAATTCTATTGAATTTCAGAGCACTTCTGCATATTTCACTAGAATAATTCATTTTTAATGGACTATTACACATGAAATTCTCATTTGAATAATAATCTATTACTACTAGTAGTGAGAATACGCTTATTCCACAGAATTATTAAATTTAAGTACATCCCTTTATTTTCCATTTAATAGGATTATCACAGGAGTACTTGCGGTATTACTCTTAAATATAAAATATTTATTTTATCCTATGACTGTGCTTATATTTGATTCACTTGTCTCTATTAGTATTAGAGAAATGCTAACTATATTATTGTGTTTCTCTCTTGTGGTGTATTCTACTGTGTACTATACTGTATACAGTACGTATGACTTATATTATATAATTGCCACTAGTTTTATTCTGTGCAGTGAATTGTCAATTGACAAAATTGCATTATTATTCTATTCTTACTTTTATTTTTACTTCCTGGTTCTTCTGTTTCTGCTGTTTTTAATATTCTTTGCCCTTCATTTCTGTTGTAATTTTACAGATAATATTGTAATAACCATCTCATCGATTGTGTGCTCTATGCTATTCATGATTATATTTTTCCTATTCACAAAAGAGCCCATAGATATGTTATCGTTTTTCATACGGGGACTATTATTCCTTGTGCTGGAAATGATAATTATTGCTGGTGTAATTGTCAACCAGAACCTATGAAATGTAATAAACTGTAATTATTATGTATGTACGAATATTCATTGGTTATTTTATATGTGCACTCTTTGGTTATTTATTATTCTGTATGAGTAGTCCTTTACTCTGTTTTCAGGCATCTCTTATTATGTATATTTTACAGTACTTATGCGTATATTACTATAAAGTTCTGTTACTTTATAGTATATGTGTATTATATTCTGGTTAATTTTCATTAATTATTGTACTATGTGTAATAATTCATTCTGTACATAATATAATAGTATATGTGCATTATATTATGTTCTATTTTAAATTTAAATATATTACACAATTACCAGAATATTTGAATTAATAATAATTGTGTAATATGTTTTATGCACCGTGTTGGTTATTCCGGGTTACATCCTTATTTTATTTATTGCATGATCTTTTTGATATTCTGCGTAACCTATAAATATAAAGAATTTTTATCAGAATTTTCATTCATCGGGAACAAATAATTCTGCTCAAAGAGTAAAAATCAGAAAACAATCTGAAATCTTCTAAATTTAAATACTCAATGTGTTATAAGTTTTGTTATTTTGAATTTCGGGTTAATTCGGGGTGGAGGTCTCTTGATATTTTACTTATTAGTTAGAGACGGGAATTATTTAGTTCGATTCTTGGATATTTTCTTTTTCATGTCACAGAAACCAAAGACAGTAGAGGAGATATACCAGAAGAAAACACCAATTGAGCACGTTCTGTTACGGCCGGATACTTACATAGGATCTGTACAGCCAGAGACACGGACTATGTACGTATGGTGTGCTGACAAGATGAAAATGGTAAGGAAGGAGGTTACGTATACCCCAGGACTCTACAAAATATTTGACGAGATTCTAGTGAATGCAGCTGATAATAAGACCAGGGACAAGCGAATGAAAGAGATTCGTATTGATGTGGACATAAAAAACTCGACAATTTCTGTTAGTAATGACGGCCAGGGAATACCTGTTGTTATCCATGCGAAGGAGAACGTGTATGTACCAGAACTTATTTTTGGGCACTTACTGACGTCTTCTAACTATGATGATGCAGAGAAGAAAATGACTGGTGGTCGGAATGGGTACGGAGCAAAGCTCTGTAATATTTTCAGTACTAAGTTTGTCATAGAAACAGCAGACAAGAAGAACAAGAAGAAGTTCAGGCAAGTATACACGAATAACATGTTAAAAAAGGAAGAGCCAGAGATTGAACCATTCACTGGGGAGGAGTACACAAGAGTCACATTCCAGCCGGATTTAGCCAAGTTCAGTATGAAGAGGATAGATGACGACTTTATGTCCCTGATTATGAAGAGAGTGTATGACTTAGCAGGGACTGTTGGGGATATTTCTGTGTACTTTAATGGGGAGAAGATTCCCGTGAGTAATTTCAGAGAGTACATAAAGCTGTTCTTTGATAATGATGTAGAGATAGTGTACGAGTCCAAGGGCCGGTGGGAGATTGCATATGTCCTAGGGGATGAGCAGTTCCAGCACGTGAGTTTTGTAAATAGGATATCCACGCCACGGGGGGGTACGCATGTGAATTATATTGCAGACCAAATTGTTTCTGCTGTGGTGGAGCAGGCAAAGAAGGTAGAGAAAGGACTGGTAGTACGGCCTATACAGGTGAAAGCCAATATCTTTCTGTTCTTGAACTGTCTGATTGAGAATCCTGCATTTGACTCACAGACCAAGGAGACTCTCACGCTAAAACAGTCATCATTTGGGTCTAAGCACACTCTAGGGAGCAAGTTTATATCTGAAATAATGAAAAGTGGGATTGTAGAGAAATCGGCATACGCTGCCAGAGCCAAGCAGACGCAGCAGCTTAAGAAGACAGATGGCCATAAGACATCCAAACTCAGAGGAATTCCAAAACTTGATGATGCAAATAATGCAGGCACGCGGTATGCTGCTCAGTGCACTTTAATACTAACTGAAGGAGACTCTGCTAAATCTTTAGCTGTGAGTGGTCTCTCTGTCATAGGAAGGGATAATTATGGAGTATTTCCTCTGCGGGGTAAGCTTTTGAATGTAAGAGAAGCCACGCATAAGCAGCTAATGGAGAACATGGAAATAAACAACATCAAGAAAATCATGGGTCTCCAGCACGGGAAGGAGTATGCAACCACAGAAAGTCTGCGGTATGGGCATTTAATGATCATGACGGATCAAGACCATGATGGGAGTCATATTAAAGGTCTGATCATAAACATGCTTGACCATTTCTTCCCATCTCTTCTTAAAATCAAAGGGTTCTTACAGGAGTTTATCACCCCGATCGTACGGGCAACAAAGGGGAGCATGTCCAGGGACTTCTTCACAATTCCAGAATTTGAGTCCTGGTGCGAGACATCTGAAGGCAGAGAAAATGGATGGAAAATCAAGTACTACAAGGGTCTGGGTACAAGCACTGCCAAGGATGCCAAGGACTATTTCTCCAATCTAGACTTCCACATTAAAGAGTTCATCCCCATGGACTCCACGGACAGGGATAAAATAGAACTTGCATTCAGTAAGAAGAGAATTGAGTCCAGAAAGGTGTGGCTTAAGGAATTTGTTCCTGGGACGTATTTGGATAACAGGGTGCAGGCTATTTCCATAAAGAACTTTATCGATAGAGAGTTAATCCACTTCTCACTTGCAGATAATATTAGGTCGATCCCTAATGTAATTGATGGGATGAAGCCTGGGCAGCGTAAGATTATTTACTGTTGCTTTAAGAGGCAGCTCAAGTCTGAAATTAAAGTGGCACAGCTGGCAGGTTATGTTTCAGAGCACTCGGCGTACCATCATGGGGAGCAGAGTTTATGCTCAACAATTGTAAATCTTGCCCAGGACTATGTTGGATCGAACAACATTCCTCTGTTACAGCCTATTGGACAGTTTGGAACCCGTTTACAGGGTGGAAAGGATGCAGCCAGTCCTAGGTATATATTTACTGCACTGCAGCAAATAACCAGGTACATATTCAGAGAACAAGACGACCATCTTTTAAACTACTTAAAGGACGACAATCTAATGGTAGAGCCTGATATGTACATTCCAATTATACCGATGGTTCTAGTGAATGGATCAGAAGGTATTGGTACAGGATGGAGTACATGCATTCCATCATATAATCCGATTGAGATAGTGGATAATGTTAAAAGAATGATAAATGGCCACGAACCCGAGGATATGATGCCGTGGTACAAAGGCTTTGCAGGCGAGTGCGAAGATTTAGGAGGTGGAAAGTACAGGACTACAGGTACTTTTGAACTTGAGACTGGTAAGATAAACATTCTAGAACTCCCAATCGGTACATGGACTCAGAACTACAAAGACTTCCTAGAGACGTTAATAGAGTCCGGCGACATAAAAGACTTCCGAGAGTATAACACAGACACTAAAGTATACTTTGAAGTGATAGTGTCCAAACAAAAAGTAAATGTACCAAAGGTCTTCAAGCTCAGCAGTCAAATATCAACTGCTAATATGGTAGCATTCAACAGCAAAGGTGTCCTACAGAAATATACCAGCCCCAGTGAGATACTCAAAGAGTTCTACCCCGTACGAAGAGATTTATACGTCAGGAGAAAAGACTTTTTATTGAAGAAGCTGAATGTTGAAATGACCATCCTAGAGAATAAAGTTAGGTTTATTAAGGAAGTAGTAGCAGACACTCTAAAAATAGTCAAAAGAAAGTCTGCTGATATTGTTAAGGAACTCACTGATAAAGAGTACACAAAAAAGGACAATTCCTACGACTACCTCCTAACCATGTCAATTGCCTCACTTACTGTAGAGAGAATAGACAAGCTAGAGAATGAGTCAAGCACAAAGAGGAAGGAGTATAACACACTAAAGAACATCTCCATTGAGGACATGTGGATATCTGATTTAGACGAGTTTTTAAAGCATCTAGACTTATCAGTAAAGAATGACGACAATCCCAGACCAAAAAGAAAAGGCAGGAAGATCAAGCAACCCGTAATTTCCAAGGAAATCAAAAACAACCCCCAGAAACCGCCAAAGAATAAAAAGGAGAAGGTTTCAGTCCTGGACAGTGAGAGCGACTTCTCACACACCACAGTAGATGACAGTATGACAAGTCCTTCTCACACGAGCAAAGCAAAAGGGAGTAAGAAAGTGACCTCTTCAAAATCAGAAACCATGCCATGGAATCGAACCTTACTGAGCACAGATGAGGATGATTAAGGACTTAATGAAAATAAAGAACTCTATCAAAATTTAATAATTAAATTTAAAGTGTACATATAAAAATACAATCTGTACGCTTTAAATTTAAAAATCAAAATTATAAGCCAAGGAACACATTTATTTACTCTTTTCAATCTCATTTAGGAGCACAACTGGTCTAACAGTTGCACATATAAAGCTGTTTATGTCTAATTCATCGAGGTACTCTTTCATTTCTCCTGGGATTCTTCTGGGGATATTATTCATTAACTCTTGTATTGAGTTCATTGTTTCTGGGTCGTACGGTCTGTCTCCATTTTCAACTGCCTGCAAGTACTCTTCTATTGTACTGAGTCCATTTGACAGTTCTGCCAGTGCCTGTTTTATTCGGCATATTTTATTCTCTACATCTCCAATGTTTATATCTTTTATTTCCTCTACTAATTGTTCAACACCCACTTCCTCGGCTTCTTCTGCCTCTATTTCAAACGGGACATGTGCAAACACGAACTGTGTCGATTCATTATTTGTTGTACTCTCCCTTTCTAATTTATAGCACTTAACAGGACTCCCTTCATGCGCATTCTCTACATTAATCACTGCCAGGATTGGGTCTTTGCAATAACTCCGGAATGTCTGTGTAATTTGTAAATCATTTTTATGCAAGTGTTCTCCTGTGTGGTACCACCCAATGATAGATTCCATATTATTTACTTATTGAACAGCTTATACATATTCTCATTATAAGACGTGTCAAAGAACCATACATTCGGATTGTCCTCTAGCTCATCAAATGGCACGGCGTATGAATTTGTCACATGGACAACTCCATTTTCCACCTTCCCCAATAAAGTACCAACAACTCTTGGCTGGTCCATTCTTCTGTAATGATCCGTGGCTGAGAGTAAGACCAGTGGGTGCACTACAATTGCCTTTCTAAGTGACAGCATAACAAACAAAATTAAAATGAAATTATTAAAAATAGAATTATTTCTGTAATGAAGCCCATAAATAATCACGGATGTACAGAAATTATACAGGACAAGATAAGATTTATTATTGGGCGTGCTGAATACCATATTCATACGCATATTTTATTACACAATGTAAATAGTCTATACGCACTTTTTTCTTAAGTGACCAGAAAGTGTCCATCTGGCAAGAAGAATTGAGTGCATGTTTATATTGATCAGGTAGGATGTAAACATAAAGACAAGACCTATAATCTGTCCTATAGTAAAACTGTGCCCGTAGAAAATAGTAGATAAAAACAGAGAAAAGAATTTCATGCCAATTTGAAGGCTCATTCTTGTATTGTCCTTCCTTTGGGATAAAAAGCTTTCCTGTGAGGAGAGTCTTCTTATGTAGTAAAGTGCACATGATGCAATGAATATATCCTTTTTGAATGATGGAGACCAGTCACTCTCATGGAAGCTGTACAGAAGTAAAATAAAGCAGAGGCTCACTGCACTTAACAAATTAATCCCAAACACAAAAAGGTCCGACTGGATTCCTAACTCTTGGCATATAATTATCTGTCCCGTCTCCATGGCCACTTCCATTAAAGAGTGAAATGCTAAATACGATGCAGCGATAATCTTCCTTTTCTCTAAAAATGCGTGAAAGTACAAATCATTCTTCCCTGTGGATATCATTTTAATGAACGACAGTGCAAGGTAATTCATCTCTGGAGTGTACAATTTATCATTTGTTCCCATGATTTTCTTAAATACGGTTTTAATCCTTTCCTTACCAATAATTTCATTTCCTCTGTCTCCGTGTAATAAAAGCAGAGTTCTGTAATAAGTCCTGGCTTGTTCTTTAAGAGGCCTGGAATAATCCTGTAGTGGCAATTCATTATTTATAATTTTATCAATAAACCCGTCCTCTTCATTAGACGCATCGTACGGGGAAAGAACATCTCTGGCATAAAAATAAAGAAATCGAAGGGACATCCGGACGATCTTAACTTTATCATATTCTTGGATGGCTCTTGGATCATCCAGCGCATTTAACTTCTTCAAGTAGTAAATACTCTCTACACCCTCTTCCGGTGAGAATAAGTATATGAATATCCCAATTGTAGCCATACTCGTAGACATAAGGATTCTGTAAGATACAATACTCCCAATAATACTTAAAGGACTAGGGAATAGTCTAAATGATCGAATAACAGCAACCATTGGGTATGACATATGGTCTAGGCTTTTATACAGCATAAGCTTATTTGAAATATTTATAGCAACCAGTGCAAGTATGGTTATAATTAATCTGCACTGATTAAGGTGCTCCCTTAAACTGTGTGAGCTTCTTATATCATCAATCCCATAATCGGTGGTTTTAGTCCGTTTAACTACCCTGGAATATTTTCCAGCTGTATCCACAGACTTTCCTGGTTTAGTAGAAAACTTCTTCTTCCTGGGATTCATGGCAAGGGATAGTGCTGAGAGTGCAATGTACACAATAGATTGCATGAAAATAATCATTATCCCATCCATGGCCCTGTACTCTTTCACTCCAAATGTAAGCATGCTTTCATTATAATGCGAGTGAATTATTCGTAATGCGTACTCAAACATATTCGTGGCACTCTTCATAAAAACCATCTTTTCTAAGTTTGAAATTTATTTTTATGTATGTTGTCCTGTCCTGGGAAGTCTGCGCTACGGCTTGGTCCTTTATTTAGTATTTATTTATTTTCATTTTGTATTCTATACTGGGTAATAATAGAATACCTGAATATAATTATAGCAAATTCAGAAAAACAAAAATACCAAATGTGTAATTAACTGAGCTGTACGGGGAAAGTACTTATTTACTCTGCAGTGACAAGTAATCATCAAGTGTGAAGCAGATATAATTACTGGATGAGTTTGGGATGGAGAGTTCTTCAGATACGGAGTAGTGTGTGGAGAGAAATTTCCATAGCATATCTCCAGTAATGGCGTTTGGTTTTTTTAACTTTCTTAGAGTGCTTGCCATAATAAAGTGTCTGGCGGGTCCTTCTGGGAAGACGTCGCTTAGTGCCTTTAGAATTCGAATGTTCATTACCACTTCGGATGGAACAGTCATTAGCAAATATTTTCACACGGCGTATTCTTATACTGTAGAATTATATAGACAAGCGAAATATTTTCACCCCTGTAAAATATGCAAGATTATAGAAAGCGAGGAAGAAAGCCTCGGGAAGGAGAGAAAATGGACCGAATGGATGTTGTTTGTTTTAAATGCCCGTACATTGCATGCGGCCTACAATACCAATCCAGTCTTGGATACAAAAGACACTTAATGTATTATAAGCATTCAATTTTCACTCCGTCAAGTAAAAAAATAGTCTGTGGGTATATGGACTGCACAGCAACGGAAAATCTGAGGGATCATATTACGCGCGAGCACATGGCAGATGCAGTGGATCTTCTTGAGGCGTACGACATAATGATAAAAGTAGGGGAGGAGACTGAAGAAGTAAGCACTGCCGGACTAATTGGGGATATAGTGCACGATGAGGGTCTTTTAGACATATCTAAAGTTATTGCAGAAGGTGGCATATTAAAGGACATTCTTCTGTCTATTTTCCCAAAGGGTGTGACTCTCATTATAGACCCAGAGACATTTACAGAGAGCAACCAAATATTCTATTGCAGGATTCCCGGGTGTGGCCGGCAGTTCAAGAGTTTAATGGCGTACAAGTACCACTGCGGGAAGTTTACGCATTTTTTCAAGTCAATAATAGACGACTACGTTGAAAAGCATGGTCCTCTTGACTATGAGGAGGTGAAGAGTATTTTCAAGAAAAAGTTCAATTTAGAGAACAGATTCTTATTGGAGGGTATATCCCACCATCTCATGCGCATGCCAGACCAGCACTACAACTTCATTTTCACATTCGATGACTCCCAGCTGGGCCACGAAAAAAGAAGAATAAAGAAGAGGGGGGCTGACTCAATTTCTGAATACAGCATAGGCTCTGAGGACAGGCATGAGTACGACGAAGATGATGTAAAGCGGGTTAAGGAAGACGAGGCGCACGATGCATCGCGGTTTAAAATAGACTCGATTGTTTTCAATGGCCGGCAATTACCGCACATGCAAAGCTACGAGCAGGGCAGAGTTGCCTTCCTTAACTTATACTTAGAGTCTACTCTTCTGGCGGTGGTAGATGATCACGTGATAGTTGGGACTAAAGGAGAGGCAGATGAGGAAGATGAGCAGCAAGAGTCTGGGAAACCCCAAAATATATTCTTGTTCTCCACCGGAAATGCCATGTTCTTTGTCTTAAACAGAAACAAAATACTCTCAGAGATAACTTTTGAGGGGTACGGATTCCCCAGGAAACTTCTCCCATACACAGAGAAGACAGTTCTTGTGCTGTTCAATGACGGTGTGCTCAGAGAACTTATTTTCACAGAGGAGAAGAAACTGGAAATATCCAAGGAAATTAAGACAAAAGCACAAGTGGTCAGTTTCGCACTATTCAATGGAGAAATAATCGTATGCAGTCATAGAGTGCTAATTAATCTCGCGAATAAAAAAGAAAAGCCATTTGAGTCTCCAATTATCTCACTGGAAACCACAGACACGTCTATTATTGTGGTAGACTCAAACGGAAGGACGTACTGTATTAATGAAAACTTTGAAGAAATATGTGCAGTCCCCTCTAAAGTAGGAACAAACGTAGTATCCGGCTTAGAAGGAGAACCAGACACATTCTTCATAAGTAACTCACTCTACGGCCTGGGAAGAATATACTGTGCATCTTCTAATAGTACGCTACTAACATCACCACACGCATGTTCACACGCAATTCTTATAAAGCCCGGATTTATTGTCTCTTCCGGACTGGACGGATCCCTGTGCGTATCTGCGTACAGAACAGACCCAAAGGTGTACATGAAAGTGCTCAGAACAGAAATAAGGAATGACGAATTATTCATAGCCACCTCAGAAGAAGAGCATGCATTAGTGGAAAATGTCCAGCCAATTCCACCAAATGATTACAGAGTCACAATCCAAGGAATTGTAAAGCACAGAACAAATTTAGTGGCAGTCCTAGCCTGTGGCATGGTAATAATTATAGATAACTTTTTCAGAGAGTAGAAAATTAAAAAACAACTGAAAATATTTTATTTATGAATACACTGCTTGTCTGCACAGGATTAGCTGTTCTCCCACTATCGACCTATTTTATTATGGGGGTTCTTGGGGCGAATACGCTTTGGAAATCCTTTATTTCTATGTTATTTATGGTATTTTATATAATATTCATAACTATACTGGCAGTGAGGAAGGCAGAATCAGAAGAGCTCAGAACAAAAAAGAACACTTAACAAGAATATTCAATGAATACGCGGTACGCCTTAAATATCCCCGTACAGAAACACACAAATTCTCATTTTATTTATGATGATTAATAAATTCTCAGCATATCTTATACAGTACTTTACAAAGATTTATGGCCAAGAACTAAATAGAAATAAGAATTAATGGACATTCTCATAATTTATGGAATGATTATATTCTGTATATACTTCTGGTGTATTGCCTGTTTGTGATTCAGAGTATTACTGAACTTTAGTCTATAAATATCTGGCAGTGCAGCCCGAATTAACCTAAAATTACATTTCAGTATAATGCTACGCATGGTTAAATAAAAACTGCATTGCCCTGGGCTATACTTGATCAAATTCATTATTCAAGAATTCATCTATGCTTATATCCTCAGACTCTGCTGGTGGCTGTGCGGGTATGTCTAGCAGGATATTCCCTATTTCTGTGTTGTCCTTTAGCCGGAGTGTTTCTTCTTTTGTTTCTTGTTTGTTAAATATCCTTATGAATGCCCGCACCAGCTCGTTTATGGTTCTGTCTTGCTGGTCTACTTTTTTCTTAAGAATGTACACTTCCCTGGAGAGTTTTCTGTTCATTTCATTCATTGCTGACATATTATTATGAAGAACTGCTTGGTTATTCTGCACAATCGCCAGCTCATTTATTTTCTCATTCGGCAGTATTGCCTTTCTCTTCAAGACTTCAAGTAAATGTGGAGATCCCTTGATGAATTTAGGGTTTGTGAACTCATCTACACCGAGTCTCTTCTCCTTTGAGAATCCGTAATTATTCAGCTGTCTAATAAAAGTGCCATATTCATCTGACTTGCACAGTTTAGAGAAAGAGTTTCTCATAAATTCTGCTTTGTCTAAAATGACAAAGCCATTCCCCTCTTCATTCCAGACAATAGATGGATCTGTCTCTGAGCAAACCACGGAGTATAAATTTCTGAGGAACTTGTGCATAGGAATAAAAGAAATTGAATTTTTATGTTTTTTTAATAGCAATGTACGGAGTGTTTAACAAACTAGTCAGTGCTGCGTATACCGCAGTTGAAAAAATAGCAGACTTTATAGCAGCAGACGTACCAGAAGATAAGGAAGAATTGTATTTTGATGCATTTTCACTTACACCTGGAGAGTATCGGGGAATATACAAAAACATTCATGATATAATAGAGGAAGGTGATGAGCTAGAAGAAGAGCAGATTGACAAGATATCTTCACTACTAAACACTGTTGTAAAGGAGGAGGACCTACCTGAGTACATGGATAATATGCGGTTTATTAAGGAACTGGCACAGGGGAAGGTGGTTAGCCAGGAGATGGAGACTGAGTTCATACAGTATATTGCAGGAAAGAACAAGAGAAAGTATGAAGAGTCTGACATTGATGTAAATACAAATGCAGAAGGCGACTCAGTGAGCTCTGTTAAGTATGTCAAGCCAAGTGAGATCAGTATAGAGCATGCAGGCATTGCGATAGACACGGGTTTAGAGCCTATAAACATTACTGGGTTTACAGCACCAGACTATGACGAGAGTGTTGACTGGGAGGCAGAAAGAAAAAAAGAATTAAGAAGGGTAGATGATGTACTGGCGCTTGGTCTGAATCCGTTTAACAAATTTAGGGATGATGATGGGGTTGTGAAGTATCCTAGCATAGACAGCGATGCAGAGATAATACAGTATGACAAAGAAAGGAATGTTCTTCGGTACAGTCTTCGTGATGACCCAAGAAAAGACAAGTACTTGCCGTACTACTGCATACACCCAGCAGAGAACAGGATTGTTAAGTCAGTAGGAATTCCCCCTGGTGCGGTGCCCAGTCTGATGAAGCTGCAGATGAAAGAGAAGGGATTCATTAAAGAGGGCGGTCGGCTAGAGAGAGACCAGTACCACGCAGACAAAACAGACAGGTGGTCAAGAATCATTAGAGAGCAGAAAGAGAGAGAGAAAAGAGAGCAGCAGAGAAGACTAGATGAAGCAAGAAAGCGGTTTAATGAGGAGTACGCAGAGAGAGAAAGACTGCGACTTCTTCAGGAAGAAGAGCTCAGGAAAGTAGAGCAGAGCAAGCAGAAGGATCCAATTAGGGAGAAGATGGCTAAAATCAGCGAGGATATTGACAGAGAAAGAGCCGGTAAAGACTATCAGATGATACACTCAAAAAGAAAGTCTCCAGAAGCACAGAAGGCACTTAATGATCTTATATACGATGCGATTAGAGACACATCCAAAGGCATCTATGAACCACACCACCATAAGAATGCCATGGATTTATATAAAGGGTCACTTGAAACAGCTAAAAAGACAAAATTATCGGAAGGCACTGGCAACCTGTCAAACACGCCCAGTTTAAATGTAGAGCAAGCCACACCGCACGTACTCCAACCAGGCAGTGCACAGGCCACTGAACAAAATAATACAAAGACAGATAAGCCATCCCATGCCACTAAGAGTCCATTAGAAAGCATTAAATCGGATAAAGGCATGGCTGGGCTTAATAAGCCAGAGGGAGTCATCAGTAATACAGCAGGAATGGACAGTAAATCAACCACTGCCCTGGGTAATAGAAGTGTTCTTAGTGGGAGTAATTCATTCTTATCTGGGGCAGATGGACTAAGTCCAAAGCCCACTGGGGGCACTGCACTGAACAGTTTCAAAGATACTCCAAAATTCGGATTTGGCAGTGGAAGTGCCGTGGGTGGCAGTCATTTAGGAAGTGGATTATTTGGTCATTCTGAGCATAGCTCTTTATCCGGATCTGGTGATAAAAGCAGAAACAGTTTTGGTGGCAGCAGTACTCAGATGGATTCGTCAAGTATCCCATCAACTGACTCTATTAATCTTCCCAGAGAGACCATGGATGGCGTACAGCAGAAGTCTCAGGGCACGTCTTTTTCTCAGAGCAGCCTGTTAGGCAAACCATTAAGTTCTAATGGCCATTTAGGCAGTCAAAGTTTGTTTGGCAGTGCGAGTACCACTGGAAGTATGCTCTTTAACAGTCCTGGATCTGATGCCGTTCAAAAAACTTCCATAAATACAGAACAGGAGCAGACTCTGGCGAGTAATAGTACACTACTGGGACTAAGCCAGGGAATAAAGCAGGCTAATCAGGAGGGATTAGATGAGAAGAAGTCTTTTTTAGGGACTGGCTCACCAGCAAACAACCCATCCAGAATTTCAATGAATGATTATACACAATCACCACTAGAAGCATTCCAGAAAAGAATCTTACGGCCATCCCAGTCATCTGATGAAGCACCTTCACAAGCACAGTCCGGCATGAGCTCATTTGCCTCACCAAGCACTGAGCGGCCTTCTGTGGAGTCAAACAGTTTTACGAGCAGGTCCAATAATCCACTTAGTCCTGCTGAGAAGAGTCCAGAAGTGTCACGGGGCCACAGTGAGCAGAATGGACTGGCCGATCCGATAGGGCAGAGACAGAGCAGTCTTTTTACTGGCAGCAGTTTTAAGCCAAATTCATTATTTGGCCAAAATACTGGGCACTCGCAGTCCTCGCCGCTGGGCAGTCTATCCGACAGAAGCCAGGAGCCCACCACAGGAACTTCTGGATTTAGCACGGGATTAGGAAGCACTATAAGCACTCCACAGTCCGCAATGAGCAGCCGGTTTAATAGTCTAACCACTCCACCCACTGGAGAGGCACAAAACTCTTCTCCACCCACAGGAGAGGCCAGTTCTCTGCTGCTCAGTAATAGTAGCACCGGCAGTCCAATGAACATGCCAAGTACAAGTGCAGTGCAGACCCCCACTAGACTAACAAACACTTTCTCAGGCAGTACAGGCCAAATGAATTCCATTACAAATCCATTTGGTGGAAGCACGGGAAATATCTTAGAAAACAGGCAGCAACTATTCTCAAACCCACAGGGTAGCTCTCTGTTCTCAAACCTTTCCCAGCAGGCTCCCTCCAACTCCAGCTTATTTAATAACACCGGGAATAGCACACCCCCCCAGGGAACAGAAACACCCCAACAATCCATTTTTTCCAGTAATCAAGATGGAAACACAGAATATGTAAACCCCTTTGCTGGCAAGGATACAGTCAGAAAGAGATCTTCTTTCATGTTCAAAAAATAAATTCGGTTTCATATTCTTTTGTTTCATGGTTATCGACATAAAGGAAATGAGAGAGCTTATGCCAAGTCTTTCGATCTCACTATGCGGTCTTTTTCTTATGACTATGACACTGCACGCACACCTGGGTGAAGAGTATATTAAGCCCATGCATTACCTCTTCATTCTTAATTCTATGCTGTGCTTTAAGAATAACATAGAACTAAACTATGCCGACCTAATGAGCAGCACTGTTAAAAGGTCTCGTCTGAACAGAACCCCGATGTCTACAATTTCTTTAATTGAATACGTATTTGACTCTGGGCTTAACATGTTCTTTGTTTCAATAGGGTTCAGTATCCTTATAGGCATATGCTCTAATTACAAAAATATACTAGAGATACTCCTTATAAATGACATACAGAAGAACCTTCTATTTATAATAAGTACATCTGCCACTGCTTTCTTTGCTGGTGCATGTAGCTGTATATGTACGTTCATGTGTGTGGTATTCTGTATATTTATAAGTATTTGCTTTAATTTTGACTCTGATAATATTCTACTCCCTATTATTGCATCTCTCTCTGACTATGTCTGTACAATTTCTTTAATTTATTTTTCAGAAAGTATTTATGTGCAGATAAGCAAAGCGTACCCAGCAATAATTGGAAATACTTCAATTTTCCTACCAAAATTTTATTATCAAGTGTTCATAACAAACAGTGTTTTAATTGGACTAATTGTGATGCTGCTTAGAGTTCTTTATACGCAAGTGGAGCACATGCCTAAATTGAAATTATTTGGGTCTTGGTCACTTGGGTTGGCTTTTATAATTACAATGGTAGCTGGCCATCTCATAAATACTTTATCTTTATTTAATCCGTGGATGGGGTGTGTTATTCCTTTGTTTAATGGTATAGCTGGTTCTGTCATTCTTATATACGTTGGCAAGGTCACTACGTACATCAGTGCACAGGAGGGTGAGGACAGTGCCGATGTCATTTCAATCAGCAGTGGGGATAATGTAAAATCAGACAAGTATATAGAGAATCCAAATAATGTACGTACTTTATACACTTTAATATTCACTGCTACGTGCCTGGCACTGTTCGCGTGCTGTCTTTTAAGGATTTTCTTTACTGGAATACCCACGATGTATGTTCTTCTATTTGGAGTTCTTTTAAATGTAGAGATAATCCTTTTATACTACATAACAAATATTGTTGTATTTATCCTTCAAACCTTAAATATGGATGTTTCTTATAATATTGTACCCATTCTCAATGCAGTGAGTGATTTATTGGGTATATGCGTGCTGTATAGTGCTCTGTATTTTATTATGCCATGATTGCAATCGGTGTTTTCTGGGTATTTCGCTGTTCTAACGGTTTACACCGTGACAAATTATTTTCGTATTCTCAGATGAATCTAATGCACACCTGAATAAGACTGTTTAACCTGCCATAATAAACTAACTAACACATAAGTCTACTCCTCTGCTTTGTTTGGGTGTTCTGTGATGGGCGGCCGGCTGTATATAGATAAATTAAATTTAAATAACCCGTACATAAAATATTATATTCTATTCTAATGTGAATACTTTGGTATTTTTGTATTTTTATTTAAATTGAAATTATGCGAGTTGAAGGATTTCCATGTAATTGACTCTTGATTTTCGGTTATATAAAGGGAAGCCACCAGACGTACATCTTACCAAGAGAGTCTAAGGATGTACTTCTTTCAATTAAGACGGAAGATTTAGTTATTTCGTCATCAAAATCAAGTTTAGCTTTTGTTTTTTCGATTATTTGAATTGCTGTTTTTGTATTATTCCTTCCTGTCCACTCTCCTAATGGATCGTGCACGAATCCCAGAAGATTTGCAACGATCAGGTCTCTATTGGCTGATAAAAACTTAAGAACTCTTTCAAGCGTAAGTTTATACTGACCTTCTTCTTTTGTTGGCCCAAAAGCCGCCACTATGTTTTGGGTGAGCCTGAATGGAACAGTTTCAGGCACAGTGAGTGCATGCCCTTTGTCAAATATACAGTTAAGGTCTACATGAACGGTCTCTCCTGTGATGCTGTCAAATAAAATATTTTCACAGTGCCTGTCTCCTAGCCCCATTAAATACCCAACTGCATTCATTACAGCGTACGTTATTGTATACCTTTTCCTGGACTGCAGCCATTCTACTGGATGTGTGAATTGCCGTAAAAAGTATGTTGGGAGCACTGGAGAAACTCTTTTTAAAAGGTCTTCTAGATTCTTTCTGCCAAGCATAACGATCTTTTTGGTAAATCCAAATTCAGCTGCTATCTCTTTTATGTTGATTCCCACTGTAGAGTGCAGCTTGCTGCATATATCCTTAAGAGTTACAAGGTTTTCTACAAATTCAATTATCCCCATCTTCTCTGTTATTGGCACTACAGTATACACTCGTATGTTGAATGCACGGCACTTGTTATCACTCTGAAACAGAGAATTCAAGAGTAAGTTTAAGTCCATAAACCCTGCATCTTTTCTCAGATCATCATTTGCCTTGCACAGGAATGACTTGTAGCACCCCGTGGACGTAATGGTCTCTATCTTCTTGGGCTTTTGAAGAGTCGCAAAAACGTACATATTATCCGAAATACTGATGATCTCAGATAAAAAGTCATCAAATGGAGCAGGAATACCTCTGCTGACAATTATTGACCCCCCTAGAATTGATGGGATTGAAACCATCCCACTGCCCGCTGAATGCATACTTAGCTTGGAAAGTGTCTGTGTAAAGGCCATTACATCAGAGAATAATTTCCTAAATGTGAAGGAGGTCTTCTCTATTAGTTTGTGAATCGCAGTGTTCTTTTTGTTGTTGAATAAAGAAAGAGTTCGCCATGCAAACTCAGATGGAAACTCTTCAATCAGCCTAAGCGATATCTTCTGAAGAAGTGCTTCCACGGTCTTTTCCTTATGTGAGAGTCGAGTGAGTATTTGGATGTAGCACCGCCTGAATATTTTAATGTCTACATTATGGACAGTATCCATCATTTCTGTAGCACAAGAAGCTACGCTGTCTCTAGTAAATAGTGGATTGGTTGTGCCAGTGATGTAATGAATAAGCTTAGGGATTATTTCAGGTGCCTTTTCACTTCCGCACTCTAATGCCATGCAGAACATTTTAAATGCCTGTACTGGCTGCTTTTTCTCCAGATACTTTCCATACCTAAAATATAAGCGTTCATTTGTCTTCAGCGAAGAAAGTGCATTTTTATATATTTCTTCAGAATTTTCTATTTCTGTATTTAAAAGGATTGCCTTCTCCTTATATTTACTGTTAATGGGCAAATTATCCATTAGGCGCTGTAGAGCCTGCTTAGCCAGGCTTTTATTATTTTTGTCTAAATGGATTTTTGCTTTCTCATAAAACACTCTCCAGTCGTCCTTTAGAATAGATCGGATTAAAAGTTTCTCGGAGAGTTCGCACTGCTCAGACTTTCTTGCTATTCTTACGCCGTAAAGAAGAGCGTCCTCTTCAGCGCGTGCCACTTCAGGAACTGCCGGAAGGAGTTGAAACAGATTTCTGTGTATTTCTGATACGCGGAGTGACTGATATGTTCTAGGCAACTCTCTCCTGTCCTTGATTATTTGAAGTGCCTTTGGCAGAGGTACTGTTTGAAGAATCTGGCAGTCCTGCAGTAAGTGTATGTCTATAAGGAATGACTTTAAGCTGGATGTATCCCTGTCAAAAGAGTACGATGGAGCAGTGCATGCCCATTTTTGAATTGCATGCTCTGCCTTCTGAAATATTTCTGTTGGTGTTTTTTCGTCACTAATTGATTTAAAGAGTTCTTCATACTTTGCATCCATCTGTGATGTGGCTGGCTTATGCTGTAGGATCTCTTTGTTCAGATATGCATAATTTGCATGTTCGTTATTTATTTTTAGCTCTGCTGCTAAATTGACTGGTGACAGCTTTGTAATTTCAGCATTTATGCCAAAAACTACATCTTTCTCCTCTATCTTCAAATACTCTTTTTGTATCTCTGTAAGAAGTGCGTCTTTCTCCGTTGAATTTTTACAGTCCTGTAATTGTACTTCAAGGATTCTAATGGTGAGGTGCCTGTCCTTCACATGCCTACTGCAAAGCAGCAACTCTTCATCTGTAAATATACTGTTCATATACTGTGCGCTTGATATAATGCACCGAAGAATGTCTAAATCCACGAGTGCACCCGCTTTTATATCCCTGAAAATCGGAAGGAAGTGCTCACGAATACTCTCTTGGTGTGAAGGCTTAAGAGAATAAATCATCAAAAATAAGTATGACTGAAGAAGTGACTCCTTATGCCGCTGTGGCCACTTCTTTCCCGATAGAGTGTCTAGAATCGCAAGTGTATCGTGTAGAATATGGAATTGATACTTTTTAACCGGAATCTGTGCCAGTGCTGTAATTACATTTATCAGGAACTGTGCATGTGATATTCCCCTTCTGTACGGTGCACACTGCCTCTCGCTTTTTATTTCCTGTAGCCGCCCTGCATCCATTTCTATAATATACTGTGAGGTCTGCAATTTCCCTAATAAATCCGTGAATTCAGTGAAATTATTTGTTTTTATGTCTTTCAAAAGTTCTTGTATAATATACTGCAGAAGATCATCATGCGTTTCGTAGTAGATGGGAACAAATATTTTCAAAATCAAAAATTCAGCCATGTAATCTTTCCTTTCTTCATAGTCAAAATTCACGCACCTAACGGTTTTATCCAGAAACACATCTGAAATATCGTTTCTTTCCTCTAACGCATCGATTCCAAAAATACCAAAACACGCAAGTGCCTGCAGAGCTTCTTTATCCTTTGAGTCGCTGTACATCCTATACAGAGAAATAATCAATCTCCGGCACTGTGCCCAGTGGCTTTGAGCAAAGGAGTGTATCTCTGCGTGGGATGCTTTTAAAATCAGCGGGAGTATTTTCTTAATAGAGAGAAATTCAAGTGATGCTCGCAATTTCAAGTACGGATGTATCCGGATAACAGCTTCTTTAAATGTAGATGCCTCTTCAAAATAAAGCGATGTATCCTCACCCACTAACTGCTCGATCATTATTTTCTGTTCTTTGGACAAGTCCTGCGCAATCATATACCTGTTCTGTATAATATCGTGCTTCTCTGACTTTTCGATTAACTGATTAAAGAACTGTGTCTTACTGCAGTGCATATCACAGCAGCTCTCCTTTCCTTTAATATTCCCCGTATAAATCAGAAACAGAATTATTTCTTGTACTTCCTGTATGTAATACTTTCCGTCTTGCTGGCAGGTATATGACAGTGCCGTATGGATTAGGTTAAACACACAGTTATTAATCGGGATAATCTTCTCTTCTAGAACCTTCCTGGTTGCACAAAGAATGGATATAAGAGAGTGGCCAAACAGAAGGTCCTTTATATTTATCCCGCACTCTTTAAAGAACCCGGCTGGCTCTGGAATTGCCAGGAATATAGTAACAGCCACCTCCACACCAATATTATTCATCGTGTTCTTTAACTGCTCTATTAGCTCTGCCCAAAGACCGCCCCCCTTTTTTGTTTCGTGTATATATATGGCATAGTATATAAAAATAGTCGGCAGGTTTGTATAGTACTCGTCAACACGCTCTGTCTGCCACAGCCTGGGCGCTAAATAGTACTTCTCCATCTCTAGAAACTCCTTTACTGACGCATACCCGTATAAATAAGAAAGTGTGCCAAATGCATCTGTTTTTAAGTCATCGGTTGCCCGGTATATAAAATGGTCTAAAATGAGTGGCTTTGCAATTTCTAAGCTTTTCCTGTGCTTCTTTCCAACTGCCCGTACAATTGTTTTCGTATAAAAAGAGGTTTCCCTCTTCAGGAGTGCATGGCTCAGAAGAGCTGTTGCAAACCCTATTTTTTTAGTCCCGTGCACCTTATACAGAATATTTAAAACCAGAAGGATTTTCTGTACGGAACTTTCCTTGCACGCCGCCTTCGCTTGGCTAATCACATACTCTTCATTCGCACCGTGCATAGAAAAACAGTGAAGAACAGAAAATAATAACTCTTTCTCTTCTTTACTCTCTGTCTGCTTTTTTTCTATTCTCTTCAGTGAAATAACGACATAATTAAGATATTTATGCGTCTGGTACTTCTTCAAGTGAAGGATGCCCCTGGGGAGTATATTCTTTGCGATTAAAGAATGAACAAGAGTCTCCCCAATTAACTTATCCACCTCTGCATCTATGCGCATTCTGTGCAATAAATAATATCGGATATGTTCTGAATTGATTCTTTCTTTACAGTGCGGAGACACACAGTCGATATACTCAGGCACTAGCACAGAAGATACGTCTGGATTCTCCTCCAGTAACCTTTCTATACAAAAAATAACAGGAAGAAGGTGGATTGTCTGCTTGTCCCGTATAAATAAAGGATCAATCATGTGAATCGGAATCTGGCGAGTGCTGAAATTTTCGTATGGACACGATTCTTCCTTTAATAGTCCCAGAAGGACCTTCTGCGCCGGGTTTGTTTTCTCATACGGCCAGTCATTTTTTACCAGCACTTTCACTTTCTCCACATACCCCCGGTTCTCAATTTGTCTTTTAACCACCCCAACGATTTCTTCTAAATATTCCTGTGTTCTGTGCGATCTTCTTTTTTTTATGGTCTCTATCAGAAGGAGTGAGTACCTGATCTCAAGTGCCACAACTTTCGATCTTTTCGCGAGGTAGAACAAAACACTCACCTGCACAATTTCAGGTGAGAAGACTGGCACTTTCTCTGACTTTATCTTTAAATCTAAAACATCAATGAATTCCCTCAGCAAAGACTCCTCCTTATGCGTAAACTGTAATGGTTTCCCAATTATGTAATTAATCAGCCGTATCCCGTCAAATTTCCTTTTTAACTGTACAAATCCATATCTGGCAAGCTTTTTCGATATTCTAATGAACTCTCCCATAAAAATAAATATTTCGGATACTTCTAATTTGTCCTCTTCAATCCTCTCCAGCACCGCATTTGCTACTTTTCTGCTTTGAATTCTCTCAGCTGAGTCTAAAAATATCCGGTGCGGATCCTCCCTCAAAGACACATTACACAGCACTTTTTCCTTTGTAAATAATTCATCCATAAAAAAGAAAGTTTATTCTATTCTTAATATGGCCTCCTCAAATGACCCAGCGGACAATTCGCCATCTTCATTTGCGTATGCATAAATATTAACGGTATCAGTTGGTAAACTCACTGTAACACTTTCTATTCCTGTAGATCTTCTTTCTACAATCTCTCCATTTTCCATGTCGAAAAGAGAAATGGTTTCATCACTGGATGCAGATACAATATACCTGTCCATGGACACAACAAGATTGTTTATCTTCTTACTGTGTGCTGCAAAGGTTCTTTCTTTGCTTTGGCTGGTTGTGTATACGATATCTCCACTTACTGTTCCTGCAGTGACAGAATTGCCAGTAGAAGAAATACTTGTAATTCCATTCTGTGCAGTGAATAATTTGACTTCTTTTCCTTCTCTTGTGTCCACCATGTACGCAGCTGCCTCATCAGAGAAGTATATTAAAGAATCCTTCAGTGCAATTGCTTTTTGTTTTCTGGTGTGTGTGAACGTGTTCTTCTGTGTGGTGATATCCCAGGCTTTAATTGTCTCTGCGTCATTTGTGAGTATACTTGTTGTCTCTGCAACTATACTGTTTATCTTTGATGCATGTGCTGGTATTATACCGTCTGGCAGGAAATGGTTAGTCACGAACATTCTGTATATGGCAATTGTTCCATCCTCGTTTGATACAAAAGTGAGTGGATCTTCATTTCTGTCGCATACTGCTAGACCAGTTGGTATGCCGTGCAGGAATACATCGTGGTGTACATAGAATGCATTTGTTTCACTGTCTAATAAATACGTGTCAAGTCTTAACTCGTCATCTTCTGTGGTTAGTGCAACTGCAATTCTGTCAGTTGGCCGTATTTCATTGTCTTCTTTTTCTTCGCTGCTTATTTCCTCTTCACTCTCATTCTCTATGTTTGCTGTGCCACTCACTTCATCAAATAACTCCTGTGGCTCTTTCATGTAGTAGTGCGCATAGTAGTCAAATGTCTCCCTTGTTGGCACGTACTTAACTGGTGCTTTACACTCCTTCCCGGCTGTCAGTATACAGGACTGAATAATCATAAAAATTAGCACAGAAAAATAAACTTAATACCAACCGCCGTGCAAATTATTCCATAACCAAGAGTACGTGAGCATTCAACTGTCCCTGCAGTAATTACTCTATTCTTATGGTTTATTGTATAAATAAGGCTATTTCTTGGTTTAGTGCTAATTTACACCTGTTAATAGAGAGTATTATAAATAGAATTTATTTAATGGCACGTATGGCAGACTGTAAAGTAGACAGAATATAGAATAAGTGCAGGAATTACTCAGGAATGATTTCTGGTATTTTTTGTTTGTGTTCCAATAACTGATTATACCTAATTTGTACTTCTTCAATTTCTTTAAGCATTTCTATTCTTATGTAATAAACGGGGCAGTCTCTGTTACTGCACACAATGGGGGTATGCCTTGAATCTTGCATGTCCTGGCACTCTCTCATGATTAGGTGGTATGCACACTGTAACCCGAAGAGTACTTCATACGTCTGCCTAAGCACTGCTGGATACGATTTATCACACACTTTACAGACTGGATAGATCCCTGACCTGCAAATTACGCACGTCTTCTTCTTTTTAAAGAATGCAGCTATCCCCTTGGGCATTTCTCTTACTTTATTGTTTGCTCCTACGCCCATTATATAGTTAGCTGGTGGGTTAAGGATGTCAAGTATGTCCTTGATTACGTATGATAGAAGTCTCTCAAGCGGCTTAGTGAGCTGGTTCTTTAGGTAGTACAGCGTATCAATTGGTAGATTATTTTTTAGTGCATAGACGGGATCTTCACTCCTTTCATGCAATGGTCCCTTTCCTTGGATAATAACATACGGCACTCTGTCACCGCGGCCTGGTCCTGTGCCCTCTCTTTTCTTCATCCTCTCTGCAAGAGCTACGTGCGCAAGAGAGACGGAGTAATCTTCGCCTTGTTTTGCGATTGACTTTGTAATGATCAGCTGACTAATACCTATTCTATTACTCAGAAGCTCATTCACTCGGCTTTTTATAAGCTTTCTTGTTCCGTCGACATCGCCCTCTAGGAATACTTTGTTTATGCACTCTTTCATTAGATCTCGTACAAGCAGGCAGTTGTCTCTCCGCACTGTCTCAATTCCCTTTGTGTCAATCCGCCCGGGATCCTTTGCCGATGTTTTTGTGCAGCCCGCATACCTTTTTTTATTTATAAGCACAAACGGGTGGTAAACCTTCTCAAATTCTAGCGTTAGTGGACTGGGCAGCCTAGAAGATACAAACTCAGATATTTCTTCTCCCACTTGAAAGGCCTGTTCTATTGTAAGGCCTGGCTGTGTGACCATAACTGAATCTGTATCACCATACGCTACAAATAAATTCCACGGGGCTTTCTTTTTTATTTCTACTATTTCTTGATTTTCTTCTTCAGCCGTGGAACTGTGCACTCTTTCTCCTTTGTTGTAATTATTCTCTACTAGCTCTTTTGTTTTTTTCAGTATTTCTCTTCCAAACCCTGTTACACTCCTAGATATCGGTATGCATGGAAGTCCTGTCTTAGAGGCACCCGTAAATCCGTATACAGAATTAGCGGATACCTTCAATGCCAGCTGTCTTGCGTTTAATGATGCTTTTAGTTCGGGATCTTTTGTGTTCTTAAGCTCTGCACGCACGGCTTTCTTCCCTCTAATAAGCTGGTAAGAATGACTGGGAGCAGTCCTGGCTTCTTTTCTCTGCGCAGGAAATAATCTCCAGTGGGGGACTCTGTGTAGTCGTCCTTATCCATGTGCGCCACTTGCTCTTTACTAAGAAGAGTTGTGTAGCAGAGATTGTACGCCATAATAATAGATGGGTACAGAGATGCATAATCAAGAACTACCACTGGATTACTGTAAAACCCTCTGTTTGGTTCCATTACGTATCCACCCTCATACGTCTCCTCTGCCCCTATAATCACCGGCAGAATATAATTATATTTCTTTGCCTGCCTAAGCAGCTGTGAGAGTACTCTAATACCCTGCCCCCGGTTTACCAAAAACTCTACTGGAACACCCGTTACCCGTGCAAGCTCGCAGTAATTAATGAACAGATTTTTTGTGTACATAATTCTAATGGGTAAATAAGTATCCTTAAGACAGTACACGCCGAGCCTCTTCCTTGTTTCATCTGTCCCATTATACAGTGGCTTTATCTGCGTGTAGTGCACATCTTCCTTTTGCTCACCCAGAAAAACAGAACTAACTGCGTTCAGTGAGTAGCTGTGCAGTTTAAACTCCTTTTTCACGATATCCAGCATATCAAATACTAGCCGGCCCGGCACTACCAGGAGGGCGGGTGCTGTAAATCCACTCTTCTGTTCATTAGAAGTGCTGTTCTTTGCATCCCCATTTTTATTAGAATTATTTGAATCTTGTTTAAACAGTCCCTGCGTTGTCTCTGCCGGTTCGTCTGTTCTGGAGAAATATTTGAATTTTGTCAGTCCAAGTGCCTTGGCCCTGTTTAGCAGATACGGCATGTCAAACTGTGTTATGTTGTACCCTGTGAGCACATCTGGGTTAAGTGCTGAAACCCACTGCGACCACGCAGTAAGCATTTCTTTCTCATCCATGAACGAAAAAATAGTAACACCCGGTATGGGATTAGTGGGCCTTGTGCAGAAAAGGACCTTTTCAATAATGACTGGGCTTGGATAGACTGCCACTGCATTCCCTATTTGCACAACTGGATCGTGCTGTGGTGTTGGGAATTTATTGTCCTCTCCTATACACTCTATGTCCAAACTAAGTATTTTAATTGGGGGCAGCTTTACCACCGACTTATTTGGAGATATTTTCGTACTGTCTGCTGTAAGAAGTAGCTTGTTGTTTTTATGTTCTTGTGTTTCTGGGAGCACTTCTACATACCCCATTCCAACTAAACCTGTATCTACCATAAATCTAATAATATATCCTATGTTTGTCTCGAATACGTTCCTGGGCTCATGCGTTCTGTCTATTCTAATAAAGTGCTCTTTTACTGCTGTGCACACTGACTGAATTAATTTAGGTGTTCTTACATATATTTGGTAGTACTCATTCTCTCCCTCTGAATATCCGTATATATTAGACTTAATTACTGTGCTGATTTTAACTATCTCTTTATGCACTTTCTTAAGTGATTCCTCATTAATTATTTCTCCTGGCACTTTGCTTATGTAGAAATAGTGCAAATGGCCAGATACTGTGCACTCAACCTCTTCTCCACTTTCTGTCTTTCCCTGCATGTGCACTTGCGGTCCATCATCTGTCACTGTGTAATAAATATACAGCGGCAGAAATATAATACTTCCTGGCGTCTCCATAAAAGTTTTAAAACGCAAAATTAAAAATACGTGCACTCAGCCACAGCCCGGGCACAGTGCATTTCTGCTGCATGCATGCACTGCAATTTCGGAATATCTTCTCGTTTTGTTTTTACTGAGTGCCTGGTAAAAAATAGTGCTATGTTAAAATAGTGATTTATTGAAGTTACTCCTGTACTGGCTCTTCTGCAGATGGTTTATCTTCCCAGTCCACTTCACTATCTCTCTCTTCCTCTTCCTTTAGCTTTTCTTTCTCTGCCATTCCTGCTTCTATCTCTGCTGGGTCTCTGTAGAAGTATGAGTCAACTAAGAGTCTAATCTCGCTGGTCATGTCGACATCTCCCTGCATGTATTTAACAAGCTGCCCAAGAATGAAGAAAATAGCTCCAATAGAGGTGGCAGATCTGTTGTTGCACGGTATAACACAGTCAATTAGGTCTACATCATTATCGGTGTTGGCTAAGGAGATGCATGGCACGTTAATAAAGGATGCTTCTGTGATGGTCTGTTTGTCAGTGAATGGATCTACAGTGACAATTAGTCTTGGCTCAGAGATGCCTTTAATGGAAGCTTTGTTGGTGAATGTTCCTGGCACAAAGCTAGTGGTGATGTGAGTGGCTCCTACTGCCTTTGCAAATATTCCTGCTGGCTTGTAACCAAACTTCTTGTTGCTGACTACAACAATGTCCTTTCTGTTTTTGTAGCTAACTATTATCTGAGCTGCTAAAACTAATTTGTCCCATGTCTTCTGTAAGTTGAACACGTAAACTTTGTCCTGTCTTCTACCGTATGTGTAATCTTTCATTTTGTGGTTTAAGCTCTGTCCTCCAAGATGGCATGTTGCTGCGATCAGTAATTTTGAATAGTCTGTTGGTATTGGTATTCTAGCTGCACACATTTAATAAGTCCAGGGGATAATAAAAAATAGAAGAAAAACAGAAAAGAATATAAAAATGACCAGACCCAAAGAAAGTGAAAATACTGCAAAAGAAGGAAAAGAGTCGGAATATTTTGGTATGACGCCCGAAGAAAAGAGTGATTATTTAGAAGGAAAATTATACATCCTCAACAGGAATAGCATGGAGAGAGAAAAGGCGTGGGTAGAAGAGAGCGAGCGAATAAAAGAAGAGCGGCTTAAAATGGGGAGTAAGCTTGAAGAGATGAAGAGAGAAATAAACAGACTAAAAGAAGAGTTAAGAGAAGAGAAGGCAGAGAGCAGAATGATTAAAAGAATAAAAAATGAAAGACACTCTTTATGCGGTGATAATGCACACACGCAGTCAACTCAGTCTAGTATAGGAAGCATTAGAATTAACCAACATGAGCGTACAAGGCATATTACTAGCCATAGCCACATAGTACAAGCACATACAGAAAGTATTAAAAATATTTCAAATGCTGAAAATATTTCAAATACAAGAAATACTGAAAATACCGTGAATATAATAAGGCAGGAGTATAAACAAGAACATATAGAGGGAACAGTGCATACGGTAAAGTGCAGTGAAATATCTACTGTAAATAATTCTGAACTATGTTGGAATAAACCTGCTGAATCTCTTGCTGTAAGAAGTCAAATACCCGAGAACGAGGCAGCAGCACCATTACCTATTGAATGGATACTTTCCCATCTTAAAGGAGAAGTTTTGTTTGGTCTTTCTGATTTATCTTCAAATAAGCTTAAAGTATTTGGAAGGTTTTTTAAAAGAGAATTTGACTCGCTGTACAACAAAAAAGAAGTTCTTGCTGGGATTGAAGGAACTAAAAGCACTAAGCATTTGATTAAATGTCTTTTATATCTTTCAGACCGGCCAGAGATAATATCTAGCTGTATGCCGTATGTGTTTATGAAGCATATTGTGCCTGATGGAAAGCTTTATATTAAAGATATTGTTAGAATCTTGTATAAAGTAGGACTGGCTCCATTTCTACAGAGTACAAATACGATTGATGATGTAAAGAGGTTTTTTAATGAGTGCTCAGAATCTGAAGAGTTATTTTCGTTAATAGAAACACTTGCAGAGAGAAGTCCGCGCGCTGTAGCTAGATTTATTTCTGAGGAATATTTAGTGCACGTCTGTAAAATCCATCCAGATAGAGCCAGTATAGTAATTGGGTTTCTAGAAGGGTGCGGTGCATATTCTGGATCATCAGAGGCAATTATTGCTTTGCATGCATTCTCTGGCAGATCACAGTATAATTCACCGAATAAAGAATATACATTCTTTCTATAATAAATGTAAAGTATCTGAAAATAAAAATATTTTTTATTCTTAGCCTTACTCCTTTAGAATTCTTTTATTTAATGCTTAGTATAATGATATACTCTATGGTAACCAGTCCTTGCTGTAATAATACTATATTTCAGCATATAATTTTATTAGAGTAGAGGATATTAGTACATGTGTAACTGAATGGGCTTACTAAATATTGTATTATTTATGTGAAATTGTATGTTTGTGCTATTATAACATGCGGTATTTGATTGATTTGTTGTATTAATTGTATTTGGCTTGTTTGTTGGTTTAAGTGTGTAATGAATGGAGAGTGCTTGGTGTTTTTTTATTTTGTTTAATTTTGATTTATTTCAGAGTTATCAAATAAAGGAACGTGTTCATTTTTATGTAGAACAGTGGACACTTTTTATTTTTTACATTCAATTGTTTATTAAATCAAAATATTAACTGTGTTAATTCAGATACTTTTTAGCAAAGTCTTTATAAAACCGCTGGGACTTTGCCACTTCTCTGTTGCTCATTTTTAACCAGAAAAGTGCTTGAAATGGTGTTGTAATTCCTATAAAGTCCTTTGGTGCTATTCCATCTTTAATACGCTTATAGTGTGACTCATCTGTAAGAAGATCAAACAAGCGAGAGGTAACTTCTGAAATATTTCCCTTTTGAATTATGTACCCATTAACGCCATCTTTAACCTGCAATGGAAGCCCTCCCACATTGTACACAATTACTGGGACTTGTTTCATTAGGGCTTCAGTGACTTTCACTTCAAACCCTTCAGCAATACTTAGCTGGCAGGAGATGTATGCATTTTGTAGGATTAAGTTCAGAAGCTGATCAACCGGGGGAAGAGAAATCTTTGTAATAAGGTGCCTGATCTCCTGAAATTTGTTTGCTTCAAGCCTTTTACTTAGTGCATGAAAAATTGTCTTTGCTTCTGGGTCGTCTACACTGCCGTGCCCACAGAATACTAAGCCAATGTCAAATTCCTTTTCTGGAAAGGATTTTTTATACGCACAGAAAAGGCCATAATATGCATCCAAGAGATCATTAATCCCCTTGGATGGATCGAATCTAGCCACCTGCACAATGTATCTCCGATTAAAATCAACTGGATTCTCACCATTATCTATGCAAATCTGATTGAACAGCCTTTGGTAATACGTCTTAGCAAGCAGACTGAGTGGTTTGTTCAGTCCGTCTAGCTGGTTTGTACCTGCTGGCTGGAATAATACTTTAGACTCGGGCACATCTGCTGGTACAGTCTCTTTGAACGGGTGGTTTACAAAATAATCGACATGCACAAGGCTTTCCCACATAAACTGCCACAGGTTATCAATTGCTGTAAGATTCTGTTTATCCGTACTCCTTCCCATGAGATCTGTTCTGATCTGTATATGCGACCTGTATATTATTAGTATATTGGGAAAGTCTCGCTTTATTAGCTGTGCAAGCCTAGAGACCTGGTGGTCGTCTAAAACCACAACAGTACTCTTTTTAATTCGCTCTTTCCAGTGCTCTGCGTAATTCGTTTCTATCCAGTTGTCTATTTTTGATTTATCCGTATCACTTAGCCAAATGGTTTCATCTGGGCTGCTTGCATTTTCTTCTAGCTCACTTTTAGTGTGTGCACTGTTATTAAATGCATTCTGTAGGACATTGTGCACCTTCATTTTTGTTATGCTAAATACTGAGCTGCTTGGAGTACACACGTACCACTCAGCATCAACATTAATAATCTGTAAGTACCGAATGAGAGAATGCCTCATTAAAGCGACCCCGCCGCCCTGTGCTGTAGAGCTAAAGAATGTTATTTTTTGGTTGTTTTCTGCCATTGATTCTGACTCCTTCAGCAAATCCAGCATAAATTCATAGCTTTTTTCACCAATTGATGGCCGGTAGTGCTCAACTGAGCAGTACCAAATATACCCAGAATCTACAATTACTTTGTTATTCTCTCCTATTGTAAGCACAGACAAGTTGTTGTTTGGAAAGAGTGAGGCACACTTTCTTGCAAGAAATTCCGACTGCTTCTTTTGTGTAACACAGTCACTTGGAAAGAAGCACGGAAGAATATCATACTTATTCCAAAGAATTGACTTTATCTTGTCTCCAAGCTCATTATGACTAAGTATTCTTGAAGCAAAACCAAGGCCAACAATTTTCACTGCATTCCCCTTTGTATATTCTCCCAGCCACTTGTCCAGTGTTACTATTAAGACATTAATAAGAGCAGACGACACTTCTTCCTTAAACATATCAACTGCCACATAGTTCTTTGGCATTGTGCCTTTAAGCATTAACTCGCCGTCCCGTATTAGCGGCGGTGCTCTAGAAGCAAAGCGCACGCACTCTCTTGGAATTTCTTGTTTAAACTCTGTCTCTGTACTTCCTCTACAGCACTTAGCACAGTCTAATGCCAATTCTTCCTCTAAACCCGATTTAGGCATGTGCCGGGTAATTCCGTCTGTTGGTGCAGTGAAGTATGCAGGCAAGCAGATTCTTTTTTCAATTGATATGTAAAACCCTCTTATTTCATCCATTTCCATACTATCATTTGTCTCTGGTGCCTGCATTAGCTCAGGCGTTATAAGAGGAGATCGCAGTTTTTCTCCTGTGCTGTTAATAATTGGAAACGAGTACGATTTCGTACCGAGCGAGAATAGCCCATCATTAATTGCTATGCAAATGTCTAAAGAAGGATTTGTTGTATTTACACCTACTGATATCCCTAAGAAGATAGATTTATACACCATATTATTCTAAAACTTTTCACTATTTATAGGTGAAATGTTAGGCTAAGCAAAAACCAAACACCCGAAAAAGATAAAACAAAGTGTTAAAACCTTCCAATCCATAAAACACTGGCAAAGCACTGAAATACCCCGAATATTGAAGATACCCCAAAATATTTTAAAATTTAAAGCATAAATATTCTATTAGCCTCTTTATTAATAATGTATAAGGCATGGCTCAGACACAGCCTAAACAATTCAATTATTTGAACATATTCAGCCAACTATGTAAATTGACTATTCAGTCAGATATGCATACAATTAATCATTTATTCATTTAATTAACCAGTCACCGCACAGCCATCTCTACTCATGTATTTACTTATTTATTACACTGCATATACTAATATTAATGAATTCATTCTGGGTGATAAATTATTAAATACTTCTTTACTCTTCTTTATTACTAATTACTGATTTTCTCTTGTTTGGGTTATGTTTATGTTGTTGCAAGCCATTCTACCAATCTGTCAACCTTTCCATACCACGTGTCTTTTATTTTTAGACAAGCAATTCCTTTTGCTATCTCATCAAGCTCTTCACTCTGCCGTATGTGCTGATTATACGCCGTATGAACAAAACTTCTTCCTTTTAAATTTTCTGTCTCATTTGATTCTTTTGCTTTTCCTATGTGCAATCCTTTGATTTTTCTTAAAATATCTTTCTGGATCCTTTCCACGTCCAAATTAAATTTAAGATAAATTATTTCCTTGCACCTCCTGCGAGTGAATAACCAAATAAACACTACAACAGAAAAAACCACAGCGGAGTATTTTAGGAAATAAGATATAAAACAGAATATAAAACTTATTAATACGCTTTCCATACCTCTTAATTCTTTTATCATGTATATCGATAGGATAATTGAACTAATAAAGTCACCTGTCCATTTAGAAAGAGCCACTGCTGTAACTATTACAGCCGTACCAGATATTCGCTTTTTTATTAGAAATGATTTATATGCACTGTAGTATTTGTTTTTATCGCTTTCTAATTTACTATTGACTCTTTCCACACATTCTCTGCACAGGCCACTATTTACAAGTGTTCTTGTGTCATTTTTTATTGGCTTATTTAATTTTAGTCTTTGCTCATCCTCTGCTCTGAATTTTTCATTTTCATTTTCATTTCTTTCTTGGCAGACTGTGCACAGAATTCTTCTTTCGCTTATCTTTTGGTATTTTCTGTAGACTTCTTTGTTTTCTATAAATATAGGGACAAGTTCAGTTGGTGTTCTTCTGAAATATGATTGGCATGCATCGCAATAAACAGTTTCATTAAGATTTTCCAGTTTTTTAGAGAAGCAGTACGGACATTTTTTCATTCTTTATTTTTTCCAATAGAAGTGTACTTATTTTGTACTGCAATTACATCCTCTGCGGTTTCGCACTGAGAGTATGATTCAAGGAGTTCTTTGTTAATTTTAAGGAATTCCATGCCGTATGGGAATGGTTCAAGTATTTTCTCTGCATCTTCTTTGTATCCGCATATGTACAGAGCAGCACTGAATGCCTCAACGCAATTTAACTTGCACGGCCTTCCGTAATTAACAGTATTAGCAGCAACAAGATACGGGAGTAATCTGTTTCTCATCACAGGCAGTGTGGTGAAATCAACTTGATCTACTTTATTCCAAGAGCAATCTACCACTGCCAACCCGTACTTGTCAATGTATTTTCTGTCTGGTGGTGAAACGGTTTTTGTTCCTTTTGGGGAAAGAACCAGTCCTCCAAATCTTCTTGTAGGCTGTAAAGACTTGGCAATTTTCTGTTTTACTAGCTTTTCTGCTGAACACATTTTAGCAAAGCACTGCTTCATATCGAATGAGTACAGAAGTGGCATATGTAGAAATATAAAAAATAATTGAATATAAATATAACTGATATTTATTAAAGATTAGGTATAATATACAATATTACTCAGTATACAGCAGTAGATTTGTATATTATATGATACATTCCATGGCAAAATAACAGATATCCATGAATTTCTGTTATAACTGATTTTTAAAAATATTTCAAAATAAAAACAATCATAATTGCGATAACAAATTTATTTACATCGTATAATTCATTCTATTCTATTGGATACTATCCTAATATTAATATGTCTATTTACGGAATTAATTTGTTGGAAATTTAGACTATTTGGTGAATAATTAGCTAATAATACGTAATATTCGTGAATTTTTTGTTAAAATATATTTGCATACGACTACTCCACTCGTAATAAACCCAGCAGCAGTAAGCACACATATCCACTCTTTTGAGAAATTAAATATATCTATTAATCTGACTTGACTTTTTGTTGTATCAACTGATTCCAGGCTCTCTTCTGTGTCGTTTTGACTGGTTTCACTCGTTTCTTCTACAAATACTTCTTTTAACCAGTTAAATACGTATTTTATCATACCAGCATTAAATATAAGAACTAATGTTGACATAATGCAAAGAGAAAGAAAAAAGAACCAACTACTAGCAGAGTTTTCTATCCAAATACTTAAAAAACCAATTGATACATTTGATATAATCATTGCAGAAAGTATCAGCGCATCGGATAAGTACAATTTAACCTTAGCTGATTCAACCCAATTAATCAGTATAATTAAGTACAATCCTATGAAAATATACCTGATTATATTGAACAAGCTAAATATAATAGAACACCCCACCATAGAAATACCTAATCCTATAACATACGGATCTTTCGTTTTTTTAACGCATAAGTATCTTATTACTACACCAGCACCTAACCCGATTAGAATTGGATTTTTCATTTTAAATATAATGTATACTAATAGTTCTCCCATGAGTAATAGAATAATTGAAATTATTATACCTAACACCCCAGGGCGTATACTGAAAATTTCTTCACATTTAAGCATGTGCTGTTGTATACTGGTTCTGGCTTCTATACTAATCTTTTGTAAGTTAAGTATACGATCCATTGTTTTTTTAAAGTTGCGTACAAAATTCCAGAATGCAGCTTGGGCTTCATCTAAATTTATGCTTTCTTGTTTGGGAATTTCATCTTGTGATCCGACTGTGGATAAGTTTCCTTTTAGTGATGATTCATTGAATAATGAACTATTTAGGATAAAATTTAAAGAATCGTCGGTTGGAATAGTTTCTGAATATGATAAATCAATTAAGTTTTCTTCTTTAACAGTGGGATATGCTTTAGTATAACCTGAAGAACTGAATATATTTTGGTCTGTGAATATTTGTTCTGTCGCATGGACTGGGCCAGGTGTATCAGGTTCTATACTCCAACTGTCTTTATTATCCATTATATGCTAATAAAATTTTTCTTGTTTTTCAATAAAATCATTATTTATTGCTTTCCACATAACCCGAATAAAGAAAATTATATTTATTGCACTTTAGGTAATTGCCATTATATGCCATATAACCATGCTAATTGCTTTAAATTATGTGATAATTTGTGGCATCTGAATATATCGTGATTTTATTAGGGAAGCACTGGCTATATTTTGTAATAACGTGATTTTTATTAATATAAAAGAATCTAATGAATATTTTCCACTAGAACTACTCAAAGCAGGAATGGCTGCGCTTTCTTACCATTGCAATTTTTCTTCTTGTGTCTCTGTCGGCCACTGCATAAATCGCATCTAATAGTGCACTTCCTCCTTTACTCTCATGTATTCCTATAAATTCCTTTGTCATTGTACTGGTAAGCAGAGTAATTACTTCACTTGATATATTAGTGTACCTTAGAAGGGATATAATTATCTCCTGTCCTACTTTGTTAAATAACCAGTATCTCTCATAAAGTGCTACACACTGCATCTGAAGTGCATTCTGATACTTTGTTTTTGCGCACATAAGTTTTATAGCTAGCTTATACGACTTTGAGTCAAACCCTCCTGTCTTGTGAAACAGAAGCGTGTGCATAATAGTATCAATTGTAAATAATCTTTTGATGGCACTCTCTAAAATATCTGTGCATCCCATATCAGATGCCCTTTTTAGAAGAGTCTGTACAACATTATTGTTCGTATTAAAGCCGTGGATGTCTGGCTTTAGTATCTTGTACACCTTCGCTGGGTCGTACACAGATATAAATGTTTGCATGAAATAGTTACCAACCTCATCACGGCATAACTCTAACACAGCTGGTTTAATAACAAGGAATATCTGGTCTAGCTGTGCATCGTCTGATAACTTACAAACCTTCTCATACAAAAATGAAGTGTACCCTTTAAGATGATCTACTGTTAAAATGCTAAGTAAATGTTTTACTATTTTACTCTTCTCTTCATCACTCGTGTATGACAAGTACTCAACAAATGTTGCTGTTCTTGTTGAGTCTTCCAGAATATATTCAATTGGCACTTTTTTAATTGAATCAATCAATCCCTCTACATTGTACTTAATACGCAAGAGTACTCTAATTATATGGTTAGTTCCCTTGCTTTTAAATGATTTCATTATGTTCTTCTGTATACCATTGCTAATGCTTACGAGCAGATTTGTGCACGACTCAGTGAGTGTCTTCTGCTGTTCTATTTTTTTTAGTATTGTCTCAAGTACATACGTTATATTCTTATTATGAACATCTACAACACTCACTTTCTCTACTAAATCAGACAATGCATCCACTGATAAATACCGTATAAATAGTTCTAGCTTCTTTGCTTGGCTGTTAATTTGCATTATCTCGTTTACGTTATTCCTTATAATCCCAACAACCTTCTCCGACACTTCTTGTTTTTCATTCCATGGCAATCCATCCAGCTCAGTCGTCCGCACTCTTTTAAAATACTCCATGAAAATTCTCGTGTAAAATTTGCTATTTCTACTTTTGGCTAGTGGTACATTACAGATTTCAGCTGCAAACACAGAATCTACTAACAGTCTCTCATGCATTTGATATTCTAGATGGAACAATCCTTGGATTCTCTTTCTCTAGTCTTATCATATTCTCTGTTTTATAGTCATACGAACAGCGGTGCTCGTCTGAGTATCTGTGTTTGGCACAGAATATTCTTTTGCACTTACACCCAAATGTGTTTGTTATACGTAGGCGTGCACTGCAATATGAGCACTCGCCTGGTTTTACTCCGTACTTAATTATTTCTTGTTTTTTTACATCTTCATCGTTGTGAAGCTTTCTTTTCCGTGACTGAACACTGTTCATGGATAAAAAAACGAATTGTTTGGTTAATTTATGTTCGAATACAAAAATGCAGTGCAGACAATATGGTATGCAATACAACGAGTATTAGTCATATTCAGTGGAATATACATATTTTTTGCGTATAATACAATATATGCACTACAGATGCTCAAAGAAGTATCTATTACAGTGCTTTGTATATTTGTTGTATATCAAGCACTAGTTCTTCTAGTAGGGTTTTCATTCTTAAGAATGTCTATCTCAAAGAACTGCACAACGCATGAGCTCTTCCCAGAGGCTGTTGAGAGAGACGGGGATTCAGATGACAGCAGTCTTTGTATTAACCCCTTTGAAAAGGAGTATATGTTTGCATACAAGCATGAAATGAACACATGTGAGAAATGCAATACATCCCAGCCACTGCGTAGTTATCATTGCGACAAGTGCCATCAGTGCTTACTTCTTATGTATAAACACCTCACATGGTGCGACTTATGCATTGGATTCACCAATTATAAGTTCTATGTTGTTTTCTTATTTTACCTCATGCTAATGAATCTAATTAGTTTTGGATGCTTTATTCACTCTTTATTAATTAGCTTATCAGAGAAAAAAGAAATTGCAGCAATAACTGTAGCTCTGTCTCTACAAGTAGTAGTAATTATTTTTACAGCGTATTTCTTGGGCGAGTGTATATATTCAATATGCATTAATCAAACACCCCAGGAGAGAAAGCACCCTGTTGAAAACACAAATATATCTTATGATATGGGGTACTACCAAAACTGGAAAATAATTATGGGCGAGTCCTGGTATATGTGGTTTATACCGAGCTGGACCACTCAGGGAGACGGGCTTAAATTCCAGCACACAAGAAAAGTAGAACCAGAAGTGTATGAAGACACTCTTCCAACCTCCCCACTATAATAGTACATCTGATTGCATCAACGCCTGTAGAAATATCACACAATAAAAAGCACAAATTACTTGCATCCTAATTTCAGATAATTTCAGGATATTCTTTGGTTTATGCTATAACTCCTTCTGTTTGGTACTAAAATACACTGTAAACTATTTATGTTTGTTTATAGATTATGCTCTTTATTTTAATGGATATTTCCATTTCTGGCAAATTATAATGTCTATTTTCACTAATAAATTCTTACTTCCTATGATTAATAATAGATTCTATCGCACTCTTCTTCTTATGTGAAATATTAAACGTGTCTAAATCAGTTTCCTTCAACATTGATTTGTATGGGCTAATATGCTGTGGTAAATTCTGTCCTGGTCGGTAGAAGGAATGGGATTGTAGTTCCTCTAAATTACAGCTGTCATAAATAATCTGTGGATGTGCATAATTATACTCAGCTCTAAAGTTCTCTGGTATTTCACTACACAGATACAAAGTACATCCTTCTGGTGAAATAAGAATCTCTCCCCCTCCTGATATAATAAGCATAGTAAGTGAGTGCTCTAGACTATTTGTACTCTTACATAAGTATACCTTCTCCTTGTTAAATATGCACCGGTGCTTTGGTGGTACCCTACTCAACATTTCCTTTGAAATAGAGCTAAACATCTCATATAAATTAATTGCACCAAATGACCCAGAATCTCTTTCTTGTACAAACTCCTCTCTTGTACACTCTTCGTCCTTTAATGACCTTCCATCTGTAATCTCTTTCTCTTTTTTCTTTGTAAAGTCATTTATCATATATTCATTATTCTCTAATAAATTTTCGTTTTTAATTTTCTCGTCAATCGGTACATATTCCATTATGTCTGTATACATCCTTCGTATATTTCTAATATATTCGATGAAATACTCTTCATTCAATGACTTAAATAACTTAAAGTTAACCTTCTCTAGTAAATATGCATTAAACTCTGCTGTCTGCACAATCACATTATAATTTATACCAAGCGAGTCTTCCATATCACTAAGCGGATAGGTCTCTCTCCAAAATACTTCACTCCCACCAATTTCTATACTGTAGTAAACACCCTCCTTGCCTATAAACACCTTAGGATTTGTCTTAACTATCATCATGTACATGTAAAACATAGACAATTCTCTGTATATCTTTGTTATGACATTTGATTCAAACCTTATACATAATTTGTCAATTGATTTATCTCTTATTATTCTTTCTGTAACTATAAGATTGGTCAGTGCCTCACCCAAGTCTTCGTAAATCTCTTCAAAGGATGGATACTTACTCAGTAATATTCTGTTGTAATCTATTCTTTCATCCATTAAATAATTCAATTTATGCTCTCTTCCTGTGCTTCTGTAATTATTTCTTCTTTTCGCATTTTCTTTTTTTAGATTTCCCTTCTGGTATGGCTCTGACTCTCTTATTCTGTGAATGTCTGCTATTGCATACTGGATTTTTGTGCTTTTATTAGTAAGCTCGTCCTTTGATGCAACCAAAGGGTGTGTGTCAGTTAGTACACAGAACCTGTCAAATTCTTCTTCTTTTAAATTTAAGCAAATAAGTGCTTCATTTCTAGTCACATACGTCCTTCTCTTAATTATATTTGTGTACCACCGGCCCATTATAAATTTTGCAAGAATTTTCATATTTTCATATATATACTGTACCTATGCATGTTCTTAACTATATAAGTAAATCCCAAGTTTATTCTTTTTATTGCGGTGTTTTGTGGCCATTCTCTGCTATTTCTGTTATAAATTCATTTATCATTAATTATTTGTATTCTATATTATTTGTGTCTTTTTCTTTTTGAAGACATGAGGAAGATTTCTTACTTCTACGATCAAGAGATTGGAAATTACAAATACGCACCAGGTCATCCTATGAAACCTCATAGAATTCGTCTTACACACTCTCTTATAATGAACTACTCTGTGTTCAAGAGGCTGAATGTTTATTCGCCTGTTGCTGCATCATTTGAAGATCTGACAAGATTCCACTCAGATGACTACATTGAGTTCTTGCAGGGCATTAGAAAAGAGAATGCAGATGCCAAGGAGAAGGAGCTGTCAAAGTACAATATGATAGAAGATTGTCCTGTTTTCGAGGGGGTGTATGAATACTGCCAGAAGAGTGCAGGGGGTTCAATACAGGGTGCAGCCCACATAAATGAAGGGGTTTCAGATGTTTCAATTAATTGGTCTGGTGGGCTACACCATGCAAAGAGAAGGGAGGCCTCTGGGTTTTGTTATGTGAATGACATTGTTTTAGGTATTTTAGAGCTACTTCGGTATAATGAAAGGGTTATGTACATTGACATAGATGTGCACCACGGTGATGGCGTAGAAGAAGCATTCTATTGCAGTGACCGAGTTATGACTATTTCCTTTCACATGCATGGAGAATTCTTCCCTGGTACTGGCGCAGTAACAGATGTTGGAATTGAGAAAGGGCGTGGGTACAGCATAAACATTCCATTGAATTCTGGAATTGATGACAACACATACCTTTCCATATTTAAACCAGTGGTGGGCGCAGCTGTTGAAAAGTTCAGACCAAATGTTATAGTCTTACAGTGCGGTGCCGATTCTCTGGCGGGTGACCGATTAGGGTGTTTTAATTTAACGCACAAAGGCCACGGTGGCTGTGTTGAGTTTGTAAAGTCATTGAATATTCCAATTCTTGTTCTTGGTGGCGGAGGGTACACTATTTCAAACGTATCAAGGGCGTGGGCATATGAAACCGCCATATTAGCAGATGTGGATGTAGCAACAGAGCTGCCGTATACGGAGTATTTTGACCACTACCACCCTAATTACACTTTAGAAATACTTCCCATGGCTATGGATAACCAGAACACAAAGCAGTATATAGAAAAAATATACGAAGAGGTTCTGGAAAACATTAAAGGAATTGAAGGCCGCCCTTCTGTACAAAACCTGCAAACAATGAAATCTCTCATGACGGAGACAGCTGATGAAACAAATGAAGAGATGTGGAGTAGGCTAAGAGAGCGTAGAATTTTCAAAGAAAAGGACGTAGATGAGTCAGAGCACTTTATAGAGTACTCTTTTGAAGATGAAACGATCCGCTCATCTTAGTCTTGTTTAAATATAAGTCATTCCAAATTTATTTTTTGTTATTTTCGGATACTCCGATTTTTATTTAAAACTGTTTTCGGTTCACACCAAAAGAACCCCCAAATCATTCACTAAGTCCTCTGATGTAGAAATATTTCCAATAAGAAACTCTCCGGGTGACAGTGTCAATATCTCTCCATCAATTGAAATATCCTGCAAATTATCCAGTGCATAGACTCCATGTATTTCTGGCAAGTCTTCTTTATTTCTGTGTCTCTCAGGAATATCCTCTAACTCCACGTATGCACCGACCTCTTTGTTTAAATTAATATATGCTCTGTAATACTCTTTTTCATGTGGTGATAGAATTGACTCGTCCTTTATATAAAAGTTGTTCCGTATTTTCTCCATCCGAATTAAAAGATACTCCGATAAGAGCCATTCAATTCTCTCTATTTCTATTTTGTAAATATGTTCTTTTATTCTATTTCTTTGTATTTCTTTTCTCTGCCGGTCTTTCTGTCGCTGTAGCAAGAATTTTACTCTTTCTACAATATCCGCATCATATGGGAGCAGTCTCTGAAATTCTCTTTCATTCAAATACCGCATTGACAAATATTCTACCACAGAGAGTCTTTCCATTTCTAAAAAAGTTCTATTAATTTTAATTTCGGGCTATTTATATTCTGGCTTAGGATTTATTATTCTAATTATTTGTGTAGCACAATAAATCAACAGATTCTATATTGTAACTAAATAGATGTACCTGCAATATCATATAGAGGGTTGATTGGCCTCTTACAGAGAGGGCAGACATCATCTATTCCAAACCATTCATCAATACATGTCATGTGGAAATGGTGCTTACACGGCAATTTTCTAATTTGTTCTTTTTCGGCGTATGGTGCTAAACATATTGTACACTGTGCATCTTCTTCTTTTATCTTTCCTCCGAGTGTGTACTCAATCACGGGAAGTGTTGGCCGGACATAATTCAGCAGTAAAAGAATCAGAATAACTGAGAATATTGGTGCTAATACAATAGCAATACCGTAGAACACCCAGATTCTAGTGAGGTTGTACAGAATAGGAATTTCATCTTTTGAAGAATGGTACTGCTGCAACCACTTAAACCCAATAAAGTACAGGAAAAGTGTTAAAATATCTAATAGGTTGTTAAACAGAGTGGATTCTGCACTTTGTGTGAATTCCAAAGGTTCTTGGTTGAAAATATACCCCCAGTGTCTTATTGCAAATGACACTGTGTGTGCGGCTACTAATGCAGTGTATACAACAATAAATAGCTTAAAAGGTGTTTGTGTCTCTGTATTTCGTGTAATAATAAGTACTGCTGCATTTATTCCTATTTGCAGTATTTTAAATGCTATCGATAGGATAGAAAGAACTCTAACAAAGGATGTCTGTGTCACCCCGTCAATTAATTGCCGTATTCTGTACGCTCTAAAGTCAGGCGTTGCCAATGGACTGTCAATGACAAGTACTCTAGGCGGCACATTATTATTTTCTGTCATAGGGCCTTGCATTCTTTTGAATGTATGAATTCGTTTCAAATATCCCCTTTCTATAGACTAATTCAAGGACCAATTATAAAATGATAAAGGCCCACCCATTCACTTGCACTCTTTTTATTAGAAGACCAATAAACATTCACTGCGATCTGATAGTATCTTATTACAGAAGTCTAGATAATCTTAGATATATTTCCAGTATAACACAGTATATCTATGTATATGCACAGTATACTACATAGTGTATATAAAGAATAACATAGAATGCTCACAGCATAATATAGCCCCATACTTCCCGTATACTAATGCAAATATGGTATAATTCCGTCTAGTATATCTTATGAACTAACACACCGTATGAATAAGCCAACACTACCTGAATGTCTATATATTGTGTTTTATATACTTATGTACATCCCATTCTGTATTTTATTTTTTTAAATATAAAGTGTTTATTTTATATTTATCCTTAAGTACGTATTGTAAATACCATTGGTTCGTATATTTATATACGTATAATACTATATTCCAGGATATATTTAGGAAATATAATAGAAGTATAAAATAGAGTATTACTATGTCTATGCATATATAAATATATACAACACACATTTATCATAAACACTGTTATAGTACGATATACACTGTTCATAGCGTATAACCCAGAATTCAATAGCACTAACTTATTACACCCACTCTAAGTGCATACGGAATGGCATATAAAATATAAAAGGGGTGTGCTTATCACAATTAGAACATCTGGCTATGTTCTAATTATACTTTAATCAATAAATTACTATATATTTTAATACTTGAAAGTATAATAAGACTCTATGAATACTTAAGAATAGTAAAGAATAGGACTATTAAGCCAGTAAATATATAATTATGTTTTTATTGGATTTAAAAATAAGTTAGTTTAAGTAGCTCTTGTAAGGTATAAATAATATTTTATTTTTAGTATAGAATATGGCATAATTATATTCTTTATTCCTTTTGAATGGCAGATATTGTATGCTAATCCTAGTATAACAAGAATTACAATTTGTGCGAGCTTTTTATGCAGACCTTTCTTGGATTTAGGCTTTGGCCTCTAGCTAGAATTCATAGCCATTGGCTTTTTATTATCGTGTATTTTTAGGACAATTAGCTAATAATTGATTATAGATATCTTTCTCTGAGGCTTCCCAATTTATATTTTGCCATCTTAATGGATACTTTCTTGGTGCATTCTTTATTTCATGTCGGAGATTTTCTACTGAATATTTCCCTAAAAAAATAGCAATGAATGTGTCTTTTATCCAAAGACTCCATGGATTATCATTCATTATAGCTTTGTGGGTTCGGGGAGTGAACAGCTTCGCATTTGCATATTGTCTGAGCAATATTTTCAACTCGGGTTCAATATCTTCCCATGTTTTCTTTGTCCCTAATGATTCTTCGGTTTTTAATTGTTCCGCGAATTTTTTGAGGTGTCCCTTAACAATATTCCAGTTTGGGTTGGATTTTATGTTAATTCCAATAGTGAATAGCCGCACCCTTCTGGATGTGGTCAACTCATTATATGTATCATATAGTTCCCAGATTTCTTTTAGTTGTTGTAATACAATACCCGGCTCCAGGTCAATGGTTATTGTATCACATATACAATTAACTATTTCTTGCTGTATTTTTACATCGAGGGAGCTATTCACTATTTGAGGATTAGATTTCTCATTTCGGGCTGGTCTCTCTTCTTCTGTTGAAGCGTGTTTGAGTGGCTTAGTTTTACACTTAGAACTGCTTAAGATTTCTTGAAGTTCTTGCTCTGCAGCAAACTCCTTCCTGTCTATATTAGTTGAATTATTAGAAAAACTCATTAAGGTGCTTTAATGTTTATTTAATTCTTGTTCTTATACCATTAAATAATTTAATTTGTCTCCTTAAGAGCATACATACATTAAAACATTCTATTTTCTAATTTAAACTATCATATAATTAAGTCTAATGCATCTATATAAGTACATTCGTATTAATTCAATAACTAATATATAATTCTTATTATACTAGACTTAGTATAATAGTACGTGAGTTATTTGAATGTTTACATATATACATGACAGTATAAATTAAGTCAGAATTGCTTGCTGACACACCACGTAAGCATAAATTAACTTCATTATACAGTACATACGTATTCAAATTCCAATAATAAAATGTCTTAATGACTTTTTCTAATAATTTGACTGCCATAATGCATATAAAATAGTTCTAATTAAGTATTTTATTGGTGTTATATAACTAATTATATATTCTTTACTATTTATCACTAGTTTATTATATAATGGCTGTAATAATTGATTTTCATTGACTGTTGGTTAATTATATATTATATTTTTATTTTCTTTTATAATCGTTTTTAAATGGCGCATAGTTCTTTATTGAATAATGCATTTTAAGGAATTTATCATCTGCTAATAAAATTTCTCTAGTAGATAATCCAATATTAACTGCTGGCATTTCTACATATTCAAAGTCTCCTTGTTTCTTTAATGTTGCATATTCTTTCCCTATTTCTCTTATTTCTGATAGGATCTTTTTAATTTCACTTACTGATGTTCTATCTTGTTGTAATTCTGCATTCTCTGCTAATTCTTCTAATTGTTTGAGCTCCTGTGCTTCTGTTTCATATCCTTTGATTTTTGGTCTTTCTTCTTCTTCTTTATTAAAGTATTCTTCACCAAAAAGACCTTCTAAGGTTTTATCAAACTCCTTTCTGTCATAAACTTCATCTAATTTAATTTTTGATAATTGTCTTTTACTTAGCCCAGAGACACTTCTTAAAATAGAAATTCTGTCCATGAATTGCTGTTTTTTAAGATTCTTCAATCTTTTTATTTCTTCTTGTTTTATTTTTTCGTCTTCTCTGTTTCTAAGTTTCTTCTTTAATTCCTTTCTTTTCCTTTTTTGAACAGGTTTCTTAACAGTTGCGAATTTTCCTTGTGTTGTTGGAATGGTTTCTTTATCAAACTCTTCAATTAATTCTAATTCTTCACTGTCTTCTTCTAGGAATAATAATTCTTCTTCTTTGTTCGTTTCATTCTCTTTCTGCCAGCCCCCTTTTAAAACATATTCTGTCAGAAAGTTTTCTGGGTCTTCTTCTTTCACTGCTTCTTCTGGTTTTTTCTGGAATAGTTCATCTGTTGTGTTTATCTCTTCCATTACAGATATAAATGCTTTTATGTTCTCTTTTTGTTCTTCATTATATTCTGTTTTTCTCTTTATTCTTTCTTGTTTTCTGTCTCTTACTTGATTCTCTTCTGAGGCATCTTCAGAACATGAGTCTTCTTCTTTTGTTGGGAAGAGTTCTTCTGTTGTTTCTTCTGGTGTCTTATTCATTATATCCAATGTTTTCTCTCTGTAGTAGTCCTTTAATCTATATGATGACTCCTTTTGTTTATCTGCTGGTTTCTCTGTTGTCTCCTTCTTATGTGCTTGTTTTATCTCTTCAAATATCTTTTTATTCCCATCATAAATCTCTGGATCTTTCTTTTTTATCTTCTCTATGATTTCTTGTATTGCAATGTTCTCTTCTTGGCTTTCTTCATATTCTACTTCCTCTTCTGTTTCTGTGTATGAGGCAAGGTCTTCTTCATATTTTGCTTCTAGTTCCTTTATTTCCTCTGCTCGTTTTTTTGCTTCGTACTTCTTTTGCTGTTTTGGGTCTATGTTAAATGGGTTTTCGCTGTTTTCCATTTTTTTGTATGAACTGAAAATTTTTATTATATTCAACTGTTTACCAGAGAAACACAATAAAATGTACACATTGTATAATAAATAATAGTATTACATTATTCTATTACTTATTACACTATACACAATATATTCTATTACTTATTATACAATAGTGCACAACTTATTACACTATATATATTATATATTACTTATTACACAGTATACAATATATTCTATTACTTATTACACAGTATACACTATATTCTATTACTTATTACTCTATTACCAACATATTATATCAATAGTATCTACATTAATAACACATTACATATTACACTATGCACAATATATAATATATAATAAATAGACATAACTTATTACTATACTACTACTATATATTACTTAATACACTATACACATTATATATTACTTATTATACTACTACCATTATATTCTACTACTTATTATTCTATTACTTAATACACTATACACATTATATATTACTTATTACACTATTACTATTATATTCTACGACTTATTATACATTATATATTAATTTATATTAATTTATACTAGTTTGTTATAATTTTTTATTAATAAATCCGTTATTTCAGGTATTTTGTTGTTATTTTTAATTATATAGCTATAAGAACCGATAAAACAACAGAAAAGAAGAATAACCCAATAAATAATGAATCAAACCTCTTCTTTAAATCACAAATAGCTTTCTCCTTGCTTGTACATGAAGATACTTCAGTTGAATGACCAGTAGATAGCTCAGATAACCTCTCCCGCCTTCTCTTGTTAATATTCGGTGCTGTATCAGTTAGTAATACATTTATCTCTGATAATTTCTTAAATACATCCGTCCAATTATTCTCTCTCACCTTCTTATCCTGTGATTTTATGGAATTTAACGTACTTTTGATTTTACTTGCTGTATTATATACAGAATCTTCATTTACTAAATTTCCGTTAGGATTATTACTAATAAAATTTTTAAAATCAGGTTTTATCTGAAATAATCTATCGATTTGATTTAAAATATTTTCTATATCTTCTGTTGTATTTGTACTTATAACCGTATTAATCTGTTTCTGTAACCTAATAGTAGACCTATTAATGGACTCACGCAGTATCATATCTGGCGTATCCAATAAATTACTGATTGGGGTTACTGCCGTATGAATTGGTTGGTGTAAGTCGCACTTTAACCCATTTTCACATAAAAATGAAAAAATAACGGAATTTGTAAGTGCCACAAACCCTAAAATCAAGCTAAGCACTAATGATCCACACATTGTACAGTATAACCCCAGGTATATCCATTTTTTATCGAATACAATTGCTAGGATTGTACCCATTACTAATAATACTTGTATAAAAATCAGAATTTCCGTTATAATTAATGTATACGTCACAGATGTAAAGAATGGACTATTGGAAATTTTTGATTTTTCAAAATTTTCATTAATTAAAAAATCTGTTGGTATTTTTATATTACTTTTTACCATATCATGGATATTATTCGTAATTTCATCACTTAAATCTTCTTGTACAATATTACTCTTCAGGGTCATTAAAGATGGTTTATAAGTCTTCTTCTCTTCAACAGTAATTATACTGGTTTTTTTCACTGTTGGTAAATTCTTTTTTTATAAAAATTTTTATAAAACGGTTTTTTTTCGTTATTTTTTATACTCACACAAACAGAATCTTCAAATATTTTAATTCTTGTTATATTTGAAATATCCCCTGAAAATACTTTATCATACTTATCTATTAATGAAATAATAGAGTCTTCTATAGAATTAAAATTAACCCCAATGGTTTCAAGCTCTTCCCTAATGAAATACGTTAATTTGTTAAATTCTTTAAAATTTTTCATTAATTCAACTGTTTTTACCTTATATTCTATTTTACTCCTATCTAATTGTCTTTCTATATCTGAATATTCCTTATTTATACTATTAATATACTGTAAGTTACTTTTTACTTCTTTAAATTCCTCATCCTTTAATAATATACAGTTATTACACTTATTATTATTATTATATATACAGTACTCTGTTGTATTACCATTAATTAGTCTATTACCTACTGTATTACCATTAATTAGTCTATTATTATTATATCCTGTTGTATTTAGTCTATTATTATTATATCCTGTTGTATTACCATTAATTAGTCTATTACTGATTATCTTGTTATGCTTGTTATTAATATTCTGTTGTAATAACTTTATATACGTACCGGATACTTTCTCACCATACTTTAAATCATCTTCTGATTTCTCTAATTTCCTGTTGAATTTGCAAATATTTTCATTTTCTAACGGATTATTAATTAAATAGTACGAATACGGTATGGTTATTTCTATATTTGGATATGAATTATCTAAATATATTTCTATTTTTCTCATATTTTCTACTGTATCTAATAAGAATATGGATATAACCATAAATATAAATATACATAAAGTATCTTTCTGAGTAAATCTTCTTTTTTTAATAATAATATAAAAAATTGAAGATAATGTAATAAAAACAGTAAAAATAATAAAAATAATCATTCTAATAGAGGATAAAGCAGTCATTAGGAGAGTATTCCATATGGAATAGTCCCATATACTTATATTATGCATAATAGCATATTTAAGTAACGCATTCCTTATAGTACTACCGAATGATTTATATTCCATTTTATAACAACAAGGAATTTAGTTATATTTGAGAGAATGTTTCATATTAAAACATACTAAACAATTGATTATAAATTATGAAACATAATGCAGTATATGTAAAAAGTAACACAATATAATACACCATACACAATAAGTAAAACATAATACACTAATAGCAAAAAATAATACAATATAATACACTAATAGTAATAAGTAAAATATAATACACTATGTGTAATGAGTATACTACTACTTATCTTATTATAATACATATACTATTACTTATTACATTATATATAATATATAACATATAATACACTAATACCATTATATTATTACTTATTACACTATGTGGTATAACTATTGCTTATTATTATTACTTATTACACTATATGGTATAACTATTGCTTATCATTATTACTTATTACATTATGTGATATAACTATTGCTTATTATTATTACTTATTACACTATGTGGTATAATTATTACTTATTACATTATGTGGTATAAATATTTTTATTTTTACTTTTATTAATGCATGAGGAGTACGCCCTATTTAAAATTCTAGTGGTAGGCAGCAGTGGTGTAGGCAAAACATGTATATTATTAAGGTACACAGACAGTATTTATAAAGAAACTTACGGTACAACAATTGGGGTTGATTTTAAAATGAAGAATATCCTAGTCAATGATAAAGCAGTCAAATTACAACTATGGGACACCGCAGGACAAGAAAGATTCAGAACCATCACATCCAGTTACTACAGAAATGCCAATGGAATATTATTAGTATTTGATATCTCAGATGAAGACAGTTTTAATGATTTAAAAGGATGGATATCCGAGATAAGCAATAATATCAACAATAACATAATAATATTCATACTAGCCAATAAGATAGACACAAACACAGTTAAAGTATCTGATGAAGATATCTCTAATTTTATAAGTAAGTATAAAACAGAGAACATCAATATAATAGGATATAATAAAGTATCAGCAAAGACAGGGGAAGGGATTGATTTATCATTTAAAACAATTGCTGAGAGTATAATGATAAGCATACCAGATAATAAAATCAAGCAGCGGGTTAATATAGAAAGTGATGATAATATTAATGGATGGTGCTGTATTAATTAATAAATATAATATACAATAGACTAAGTTATTACAGTATACTAATAGACTAATAGACTAATTATATACAGGACACATGATACACAGTATAATAATAGACTAATTATATATATAGGATATGCATAGACTAATTATTACTATACTACTAGGGTAAATATGTATAATAGACTAATAGACTAATAGACTAATTATTACTGTATATACAATAGATACAATAGGATAAGTATACATACTACTGTATACATACTATTACAATATACATAGACTAATTATACTGTATACTATATAGACTAATTATTACTGTATACGTATATACATACTTTTGTATACTATATAGACTAATTATTACTGTATACATACTATATATACATACTATAGATAGACTAATTATTACTATATACTCTATTCCTTCTGTATACTCCTATTACTATTACTAATACTACTCCTATTCCTTCTGTGTTTGTATTATATTAGTCTGTATTATATTATTGTATATTATTGGCAGGCTGTCACTAGGAGTAAGTATAATATATTAATAGACCAATAGACTAATTATACTGTATATTAATAGACCAATTATTACTACTCCTGTATATTAATAGACTAATTATACTGTATGTACTGTGTGTGCTTGTACTGTGTGGCATAATAAAGATAATAAATGTAAATATAATGAATGTGATACTTTTTACTAATTCTGGTTAAGGTCTGTATCTACCTCTGATTTTCATAGCTAATTGTATGTCCCTGGGCATTACTGTAACCCTTCTGCCATGAATAGCACAATCATTGGCATCTTCAAATAATCCAATTATGAATGCTTCTGTTGCTTCTTGTAGTGATGCAAGTGCACTCCCTTGGAATCTTGAATCTGATTTGAATTCTTGGCATATCCCTCTTACCATTCTCTGGAAGGGCTGCTTTCTTATAAGAAGTTCTGTAGACTTCTGGTACCTTCGGATTTCTTTAAGTGCAACAGTGCCTGCTCTGTACCTGTGTGGTCTCTTTATGCTTCCTCCCACTGCTGGTGTTGTACTTTTCTTGGCTGCTTTAGTTGCTAATTGTTTTCTTGGTGCTTTTCCTCCTGTGCTCTTCCTTGCTGTCTGCTTTGTTCTTGCCATTTTACAGGGGTTGTTTTAGAAGAATCATAAATAAAAAATAAGAATATTTCAATTCTAGAACAAATAAAAGACTAAAATTAAGAATATTTATAAATTAATTTCTAGGTATTATGTAATAAATACTATTTATTATACAATGTATAATAAGTAAAAATAAAATTATAAAATATAAAACATTGTATAATAAGTAATAGAATATAATGATAATAGTATAATAAGTAATAGAATATAGTAATAAGTAATAGAATATAATAGCAATAGTATAATAAGTAATAGAATATAGTAATAAGTAATAGAATATATTATATATTATGTATATAGTAGTATGTAGTATTATGTTATGTCTATTTATTATGTATTGTGTATTAAGTAGTATATATTATGTATTGTGTAGTATGTATTACTTATTGTGTATTATGTATTAAGTAGTATATATTGTGTATTATGTATTAAGTAGTATATATTGTGTATTATGTATTATGTATTGGTAGTATATATTCTATAATATATCTGGTGTAATATAATGTGATATTCTGATTACTTCTTATGATAATGTTTAAATGTTCATCTATCCCTAATAATTCTCCTGTTATTTCTGTTACTTCATTGTGTTTAACTGCTATTGTGATAGTCTTATTAATACAGTTAAGTAATTCCTTATACATTATATATTACACATTATGTAAATTATTTTATTTTTAATACTTTATGTATTATATATTACTTATACTACATTATTTATTTAATTATACTTAATTCCTTTAAGAATGTAATAAATTTATTTGTAGAATATTCTTCTATAAATATTTCTACACATTGTATCATATTTAATGTATACTTTTTATATATTGTATCATATATTATGATCTCTTCTCTCTCATTTAATATTATTTCTAATATTTCTTCTTCCTGCTTTATGGTGCTTGGAAATATTTTCATTTTTTATTTTATGACTGTAATAATAATAGAAGGCATAAAAGATGAAATATCTGAATATATATTTAAGTCAATCAAATATACATTATGTAATAAGTATTACATATCTTATATTGAAATGAAAGGATTAAAGATCTCATTAATAAACCCGAATTTTAATGGGATAACCCCAAATGAACTAAAATGCAGGGAATATTTCATAAGGATAAGTAAAAGTTCAAATATAATCATGATAAATGACATAGAATACAGTAGAGAAGAGTATTATACAGAAGAGTATACAACAAACACTAAATACATCATAATAATACAGGAGACTAAAGATATCCCGTATGATACAGAGTTTAATAGTATATGTGTTAATAACAATAATACAGTGTATTATAAGAACTATAAAGAGAAATTATTTATATTAATAAATAACATAAAAAGAAACTTAATTAACCATAAGAATATAAAAGTAATAAGCAAACTGTATTTATTAACTAAATTTACTAATTTAAAGGTAATTAATACGGGGTATAATATATACTATAAGGATGACACAGATATATTATATAGTATTAATGATATATTAATACAGTTAAAGAATAAGTATGTATTATATATGTATAATAATATAAATATAACCCGGGTAGTACAGATGTATAATATAGTAAATATAATACAAGTGAAGGGGAAGTATAATATAAGGCACAACAACATAAATATAACGGAGATAGATAGAAAAACAGAGATATCAGAAGTAATAGATATAATTATACGGTTAGAGAAAGTATTATTAATAGGGGATATTACCACTATTAAGAGGATTATTAAGTATATAAATAAGGACAATAGCGGATATAAAGGTAAGCAATAACACACTTATAAAGATAACAGTGAATGGAGCCAAAGTAATAGAAAAGAGATATGAAATAAGATAAAGCAGAAGAGGATATGGATGAGAACGGGGAGGAGACGATGTATAGTATATTAGAGAATAGGAGAAGGATAGAGGGGAATATATAGGAGATGTGAAGATGTATAGTATAATAAATAGTATAATAATAGTATTAGTAGTAGTATAGTAGTAGTATAATAAATAGTATTAGTAGTTGTGATGACATCACCACTCAGATGTGTGCCCCGGAAGGCGATCCATCTGCGCGTCATCTTGTGCGGTGATCTCGCCAAAACAAAGGCCGGGATCTCTGAATCGGTATATCAACTTGCGACTATTTAACCGGAGCTCTTCCCCCAATTTAGGAGAAGGCTCAGAGAAGCATCGACAGCTTAACTTCAGCGCCAGGCCTAACACAGCTGCGCCGGGGACGCCTAGTCCGCGCAGGCTTAGGCCGCATCCTAAAGACAATAAAGAGCTCTTTCCTTTCACTCTCTTCTATCTCTTGGCTACGTAGCAGGGTGGCGGTGGTGTTACTCCTTGTGAGTACGTCACATATTATAATAGATATTTCTTTATATTTTAATTACTTTTAAATTTTATACCTTAGTAGAACTTATAGGGAATAATGAGAACAGTCATAATCAATAAAAAACAAATATATCAGCACACAATAAATAAAACAAGAACCTTCTAGAACACCACCGTGAGAACCAGAAAACACCCCTTGCATCTCATAATAATTTAAACAATTTTTATTTTTAATAATAGAGATATGCACATAAGAAAAGAGTTTATGATTATGATAGTTACTTTATATCAGATGCACTGTAATGTAGGGATGAGAAGTTATGGAGAGATACATAGCAGGGAAATAGGAGATGGGATGTGTATAAGAGTAAATGGACCACTATCCCCCACACGAGAATTTATTTCTGAGAAGTTCAATTTAATGTTTGAAATGCGGATTTTATCACCGGGTGTAGATGTAGATTACAGTCTATGTGTTACAGATAATGAAAATAGTGAAAATAATGTAAAAATAGAGTCAACAAGAGACTATAATAAGGATATGGCATATAAAAATCTCTTTACTAAAGAAAAGGAAGAAGAGGCAACAGAAAATCCTACTAAAGAAAAGAATAAAGAAAAAGAGAAAAAGGCGTCGTATATTGAAGACTACCATCAAACATTGATAGAGTTATTTCCTTCTCTAACTGGAAGTTTGTCAATACATACTTCTAGAAAAGATTCATTCATTAGATTTCTTCAGTTTGAGCATGTGAGTAAGCATAAAATTGATATTTTAGCTTGTTTGTTTCTATTAGCAGAAGGAGTGGATATACCACTGAAAGTAGAACATAGTAAAACTGGCCCAATGCTAGTCTTGAAAGAGATTATAGCAAAATCTGAGAAGGAAAATAAACCAGAAGACTTAAATTTGAGTAAACTAGAAATCAAGAAGGAAAGTAAAAAAAGAAAATTAAAAGAAGGTAAAACTGGAAGCAAAAAAGACAGCAAAGAAGGCAAAGACAAAAAAAATATATTCTCTCTAAATATGAAATACAAACGCAATAAAACGAATGCAAATAGCAAAAAGGCTGCAAGATCAGTATCACAAAAAAGAGCAGCCAATGTTATAAACTTCTTTATAGACAACAAAACAAACCCAGATATACGAGAAGGGGGTGAATATGCTGAACCAAGAACATATGAAGAGTTTAAAACCGGTAAGTTTTTAAATAATGCAAGGTGGCTAATACAGTATTATATATTCAAGTATTTGGATGGTGAAGAAAAAATAATTGAGTTTGCAAAGACAGTATATTCTATGCTTAAAGAGTGTATAGAACAGAAAAAGAGTGAAGGATCAAATAACGAAGTGAAATATCTTGAAAGCATTGTTAATAAGTGCTTTGTGAAATCCAGTAATGCCAATACAAGTAATGCAAAGCATAGAATAGATATAATGGATATAGTATATAAAGAGTCTCCTCTAGAAGATGTATTTCCATTCTCTGGTAGTATAGATGCGCCTGAATATAAAGCTATTTCATCATATAATAGAAAAGAAGATTCCTTTGATAGTAGTAACATATACAGTAACTGTGTTGAGGCTGGATTGCTTAGCTTGTTTTGCTGTTTAGCATATGATCCAAAGACTAAAGAGTATAATATAGATCATATGGGAGAAGTATCACCGGACTTGAAAAGGTTCTTTGATACGTACAATAAACAACTGGAGACTGATACATACGAGATGCATATGGAGTGGAGTAAAGTAGTGGCGGATCTAGAGAATGAGAATATTAGGTATCTAAAAGAAAATAGGAATGAGCTTGCGCCTGGTATAATAAATATGCTATATGTCATTGCCGAAATAACTGGAAGATATTCTGAAGAAGAAGAATCATTTAAAGAGCTCAATACTCTGCTAAAAAAGCGCGAAAGCCAGAATATGCTATTTAAAAAAGTGAAATTATATATGAAAGAATTAATTTTATCACTCTCCAAGAAATATATTATAGAAGAAAACTCAGAATTTCCTAGCAGAAAAGTAAAGATAGAAATTTTAAGTATGTCAAAGCGTTTAAATAATAATGAGCAAATGGATATATTGGGAGAAGTAGTTATAACATATAGTTATTTAAATTTAGAAGGAGGAATAAAATTGAACCATACTATTGAGCATTTATGGACTGAATCCTTCCCCAGTAGCGCCAGCATCTTGACAGATATAAAAATCAACGAAATAAGTAATAACAAGAACATTATTGAGAATGAGCCCGAAAAAACTCTAACAGATTTCCTGCTTATACATTGTGTAGAAAAAATACTGAGTGAAGAAGAAGGCTCAAGCAATTATTCCGAAGAAAATATAGATTTATTAGGGAAAAATATTTATTTCTATCCAATAGAAAAGCTTTTTTTATATAATACGTTTAAAAAAGCTAAAGATAGAATAAATATGATACATTGTATTAGGAAGTGTCTCATAGGGTATCCATTAGAAGAAACCGATCCATGGGCACGCCTTCTGTCTAATATGATAGGAAGTCTTCCGTTAAATAATTTAAATACAGTGAATCGTGTTTGTTTCAATCCATTATATAGAGGAGGGTTATACAAAAGTTTCTGTACAAAAGTTAGTGTGCCCTCAACGACAGTTGATAGAAATATTAATTTAGACTCATCGTGCGCGTACTATGTGCATTATATAAACAATAACAGCCTGCTTAGCGGGAATTTGGAGATTTTAAAGGCGTATTTGGTGGTAGAAAAGCATACAAACTGTTTTTTCACAGTTATAATACGAACCTTTGATTCCTCCACTAAGATTAAACTTTTTTCTATACTAACGCGGTATGGTACGTCTATAAGTCCATTACTAGAAATTGAAGCATTTTTAAACGGCATAGACAGAAAACTTCCAGAATATAAAGCAGTTATAACAGCCAATGATATGTGGTTAGTTTGGCTTAAACTATCCTTTGAATCTGATAAATTCAACAAGATTACATCAATGCTCTTTGATAGAATTGTGGTTGACGAGAATTTTATCACCAAGGGAGGAATTAAGTACGAATATACAGATGAAAATATTAATATGTCGATATCTAAATTTAAGCACGCATACTTTTGCCAAAAAGTAGTAGTAAACGTGCATGGTTTAATTAAAAACAACCCAGAGTATGCAAAAAAACTTAGTTATTTGCTAGAAAAGTATGTTGTATTTTTAAAGAATAGACAAATTTTGGATTAAAGTAATTCATAGAGCGTTGGATACTTACTCTCTAATAGAGACATTTTAAAAATAATAAATAAATTTCTATAGAAATTTTCATTTGACAATTAGTATTTTCGTAATAGTAGAGCTTATTAAAAACAACTATTATTTATGCCCTACACATAGTAATATATAATTAAATAATTTAATCTGTATTATTACAGTAAAAACACAAATATATAAAAAGGGCTAAAATTGGCAGATAGAGCTAGAATGGGAATTTCAATACCACCAATTGATAAAAAGAAGCCGAGAATGCCACAAATACAGAATTAAACACGAACATTATCTATCTTAATAATATAGAATCTGTATGTAATAAAAATATTTAAAAAATTAAAAATAGTACAGATAAAAGTGAGGATATAAAGGAAATACAACAAAGCAATATATTCATTGAAGAAGGAGTAGAAGAGGAAGTTAAAAGTGCGTGTATATGTAAATGGTTTCTGGTGGCATATCATGGGAAGTATGGATTACATTCTATGCTTGGGTTATTATCACCTATTTGCTTTTCTAAGATACTTGTAGAGATTTTGTTGAATATCCTCTCAATTAATAATCCTTCAAGACAAAATGAGTACCAACGCAATCTACTAAATCTAAAAAGACCGTATATAATTATGGTGTTTCTAATAACATATATGGTATATTTTAGGATTAATCTAATATATTCTTCTTTTAGATCCATTTCTTTATCACAAAATTTTCCAGCACTACAGACTATGAGTTAATTGCCAATGTAAAAGAATATTTTGATTATTATCCTGAAGGAGTTTTAGGATTGACATTATTCATTATAATTGGTTTTTTAACTATGACCAGCACTTGTGGACTTGGGGGATTTATACCTATGGTTTGGATATTCATTAGATTACAAATTGTTTACCTTATATCTGAAATTATATTTGGTTCTTTAAAACCATTTAAATATTACATGTATAGACAAACTACAAAAAAATGAAAAAGATAATACTTAGTATCTACTATATAAATCATATAATACTACTTTACTGTGCCTAATACTTATAATTTACTCAACTGATTTAGTTCCATTAGCAGTTGTAGATAATACCTACTGGATTGAAGCATAACCAGGTGTAGTGAGGCGTATTTGCATTACCCTCTGTTGCAATTACGAGAATGATGCAATCACAGTCCAAGATAGATAAAGATAGTGGTGCCCCGCGGGTGACCATCTGCTGAAATATACTGTTAATGCCTTTTCGAGTATTTTACTAAATTGAAGAATGTGCTTTACTTAAATAGTTTAAGTTTAATATGTTGCTCTAAGATTCTGGACTTTATTTTGGCGATGTTTTTAATAAAAAATAGTTTATTGGTATATGTGCGAGGAGACTCAGTCAGATTGTTTGGTAGAACCACTTCAAAAGCTAGTGAACTAACAGATTTCTCTTCTTGCGGCTCATGTATAAATTATCGTGTCACAACAAAAAACATTAACTGTCTTAATTAGCCGTAATTTAGATGTATAACACAATAATACTCCAATGTTAAAAATTCTGTTATCAAAATTATATTTATATAACCCGAAATATGAACCCAAAAAGTGTTAAATGCCAGCAAGATGCAGGAGAGAATACCAAGCCAGATTTCAGCAGAAGAAAGCAGTACTATACTATGTATTTAGATGCAATAGGGCCCGAAATCAGCAAATTGCATAAAACCGATAAAATGCTTCTTTTAAAGTGTGAAACTATTGAGGAATTGTATTTATTAGAAAAAATATTATTTTGGTCTATTAACATACGATGAAATATGTGAAAAGATGAATAAGCTAGAAATACTATTATATAGAACAAAGTATGATGTATATAAGGATGATATTGAGTTACATAAATAATGAAAGTCATTAATAGTCTAAAAGATTCAGCAAATAATCTACTAAATACCAAGAAAAATAATTTAGAAGGTATACTTAAAAGACTAAATGATATAGAACCCGTCGCATTGGATTATATAAATGAAACATGCAAAACTTATAATTTGTGAACTATGCATAATTTATTAGAAATAAAATATTATTTATGTTTTATATTTATTATTTTTAAAATGTCTTTATTAGAGAGTAAGTAAGTATTCAATGCTTTATGGATGAATTCCTTTAATTGGAAATTTATCTATTCATAAAAACTTATCATGTGTTTCTAGCAAATAACTAAGTTTTTTTGCATACTCTGGGTTGTTTTTAATTAAACCATGCACGTTTTCTACTACTTTTTGGCAAAAGTATGCGTGCTTAAATTTAGATATCGACATATTAATATTTTCATCTGTATATTCGTACTTAATTCCTCCCTTGGTGATAAAATTCTCGTCAACCACAATTTTATCAAAGAGCATTGATGTAATCTTGTTGAATTTATCAGATTCAAAGGATAGTTTAAGCCAAACTAACCACATATCATTGGCTGTTATAACTGCTTTATATTCTGGAAGTTTTCTGTCTATGCCGTTTAAAAATGCTTCAATTTCTAGTAATGGACTTATAGACGTACCATACCGCGTTAGTATAGAAAAAAGTTTAATCTTAGTGGGGGAATCAAAGATTCGTATTATAGCGGTGAAAAAACAGCTTTTATGGCCATCTACTACCAAGTATATCTTTAAAATCTCCAAATTCCCGCTAAGCAGGCTGCTATTGTTTATATAATGCAGATACCAGTCATATTCTTTACATAAATTAATATGTCTATCAACTGTCGTTGAGGGCACACTAACTTTTGTACAGAAACTTTTGTATAACCCCCCTCTATACATCGGGTTGAAAAAAACATTTTGCACTGTATTTAAGTCATTTAACGGAAGACTTCCTATCATATTAGACAGAAGGCGTGCCCATGGATCGGTTTCTTCTAATGGATACCCTATGAGACACTTCCTAATACAATGTATCATATTTGTTCTATCTTTAGCTGTTTTAAACGTGTTATATAAAAAAAGCTTTTCTATTGGATAGAAATAATTATTTTTCCCTGATAAATCTATATTTTCTTCGGAATATTTGCTTGAGTCTTTTTCTTCACCCAGTATTTTTTCTATATAATGCATAAGTAGAAAATCTGTTAGAGTTTTTTCGGGCATACCTTCAAAACGCCTCTTTCTATTACATATTTTATTGATGTTTTTATTTGTCAAGATACTGGTGTTACTATAAAAGGATGTAGCCTGTAAATGCTCAATAGTATGGTTCAATTTTATTCCTCCTTCTAAATTTAAATATTTATATGTTATAACTACGCTTCCAATTATATCCACTTGCTTTTTAATATTTGAGCATTTTGACATACTTAAACAGTATGCCATTATTCTCCTTTTTGCCAATTTCGAGTTTTTTTCTATAGTATATTTCTTAGAGAGTGATAAAATTAATTCTTTCAGGTATAATTTCACTTTTTTGAATAGCATATCCTTTTTTGTATCATCATCTTCTTCTAAAAGAGTACTGAGCTCTTTAAGAGACTTTTCTTCTTCAGAATATCTTCCAGTTATTTCGGCAATGACATATAGCATATTTATTATACCAGGCGCAAGCTCATTCCTATTTTCTTTTAGATATCTAATATTCTCATTCTCTAGATCCGCCACTACTTTACTCCACTCCATATGCATCTCGTATGTATCAGTCTCCAGTTGTTTATTGTACGTATCAAAGAACCTTTTCAAGTCCGGTGATACTTCTCCCATATGATCTATATTATACTCTTTAGTCTTTGGATCATATGCTAAACAGCAAAACAAGCTAAGCAATCCAGCCTCAACACAGTTACTGTATATGTTACTACTATCAAAGGAATCTTCTTTTCTATTATATGATGGAACACTTCTATATTCTGGTGCACTTACATTACCTATAAATGGAAATATATTTACTAGAGGAAACTCTTTATATATTGTAGTTAATATACCTGCTCTATGCTTTGCATTACTTGTATTAGCATTACTGGATTTCACAAAGCACTTGTCAATAATGCTTTCAAGATATTTCACTTCGTTATTTGATCCTTCATTCTTTTTCTGTTCTATACACTCTTTAAGCATAGAATATACTGTCTTTGCAAACTCAATTATTTTTTCTTCACCATCCAAATACTTGAATATATAATACTGTATTAGCCACCTTGCATTATTTAAAAACTTACCGGTTTTAAACTCTTCATATGTTCTTGGCTCTGCATATTCACCCCCTTCTCGTATATCTGGGTTTGTTTTGTTGTTTATAAAGAAGTTTATAACATCTGCTGCTCTTGTTTGTAACATATTTTTATCCTTGAATGCATTATCTTCCTTCTCTATACTACACATACCTTTCATAGTTATAGAGAATTTATTTTTTTCCTCTTCACTCTCCTGCGTGTTTTCTGGTTTATTTTCCTTCTCAGATTTTGCTATAATCTCTTTCAAGACTAGCACTGGGCCAGTTTTACTATGTTCTACTTTCAGTGGTATATCCACTCCTTCTGCTAATAGAAATAAACAAGCCAAAATATCAATTTTATGCTTACTCACATGCTCAAACTGAAGAAATCTAATGAATGAATCTTTTCTAGAAGTATGTATTGACAAACTTCCAGTTAGAGAAGGAAACATCCCGATTACTGTTTGGTGGTAGTCTTCAAGATATGTTGTCTTTTTCTCTTTTTTCCTCTTTTCTTTAATAAAGAGATTTTTATACCCCATATCCATATTAAAGTCTCTTGTTGCGGTAATTTTTATATTCTCCCTATTGTTTTCATTATCTGTAACACACAGACTGTAATTTGCATCTACACCCGGTGATAAAAACCGCATTGCAAACATTAAATTGAGCTTCTCAGAAATAAATTCTCCTGCGGGGGATATTGACCCATTTGCTCTTATACACATCCCATCTCCTATTTCTTTAGTATGTAAGCCCTTATATTTACTCATCCCTACATTACAGTGTATCTGATATAAAGTAACTATCACAATCATAAATTCTTTTTTTATGTGCATATCTCTATTATTAAAAATAGAAATTGTTTAAATACTTTTAAAATCAATCTGTAAATAAAATAAAATTAATTTTTTGGCAGTAAATGGGTTTATTTTTTTTATAAAAATATATTATTATTGGTTATTAATTGACTAAAAAATAAGAACAGACAGATTTATAGTAATAATATCATATAATTGGACAGTAAAACAGACAGATGACAGTTATTATATTAACATGATCATAAATAATACAATGGCCAATCAGTAAACTGATTTTCATTTAAAAAACAATGGCCAAGTTATTTTACATATAGTGCAATAAGTATGCATTATATATTACATATGGTATAATAAGTAGTATTAAGTAATAATAGTGTAATAAGTTATAGTATATGTGTAATAAGTAATAATAGTAGTGTACAATATATTACATATGGTGTAATAAATAATAAAATATGTGTAATAAGTTATAGTATATGTGTAATAAGTAATAATAGTAGTGTATAATATATTATATATACAGTGATATATATTATTTATTACACATACTGTACTATGTATTATATTTATTATTATTTATTACACATACTGTACTATGTATTATTTATTACATATACTGTATTATGTTATATTTTTTTTATGTATAATAAGCAGTACTGTAATATATACAACAGTAGGTATAAAATACAGTCTGATAACCTTATTAATTACGCATTGTGTAATAATTATAAGTACACAGAATATTTAACACATAGTGTAATATTTCTTATAGGCACATTAGAGATAAAATATAATAAGCAAAGAGTAATAAGTAATTACACCAATATTTACAGAGAAATAAGCAAATCACCATTAAATAATGATTATTGTACAGAAAGTAATGCACAAGAAACAGAAAACAATTCGGGTTATATCGGGTTATTAATGGATGCAGAATATTATCTGGAGAGTCCTGTACTTGAAAGGGTTAATCTTATAATTAATGAAGGAATCAGTAAATATTTAGTAGATGGGATTGTTATAGGTGTATTAGGTGAGAAAAATGAAGAGAATCAATTTATAGTAAGTAAAATTGTACATCAAGCAGATACACTTAAAAAATTACCAAATAAGGAAATATCCGTTATTTTTAATAATTGTGATTTCTCAAACATCAATGAAAATTTTGATAATTCAATAATTTTAGCATCAAATTCTAAAAATATCCCCATAAATACCCCCACAAATATCCCCATCCTATTATTTAATACACAATTACCAAAAATTCCTAATAAAATAATAGTGGTACCATGCGATATAAATAATCAATTATTTATGATACCATGGAGTATAAATAATGCACCATATAATACAGAACTATCCACACAAGTACAGTCAGTAATTAATCCATGCATAACAAGACTTAATGGTATATTAGTAGGAATTCTTAACATACGTACAATATATTATATGCTTAAGTACCACAGGAATCCAATTTCTGAATATAATTATTATACTGTAATAGATATTTTATTAAGGAATATGCATTTATCACCATTATCACCGTATTCCTGTCCTACACTGCCATCTGATAATGATTTATTCTGTATGGGGAGTATACCGGATATAATAGTAGTAAAGTGTGAATTTAACAGTAAAAGGGAGGTGATTATTAATGGGAAAGCTGTTATAATTATTCTTATTAATGAGGGTACATCTATTATTATGTGTAAGAAAGAATAATTAAAAAATTAAAAACCGTTATTTTTTAGTAAAATTTTGATTTTATTGCCATATTTAGTAATTATTAATTAATATATAAAAACATTTTTACTTACGAGTGTACTTATAAGTGATTTTAGCACAAACATATTTATAATTATTATGCATAGTGTTATAAATAAAAGTAATTCCACAATGTGTAATATATAATGATAATTTATATCGATATGTTTTATTACACATTGTGTAATAATTGGTAGTACACCCAGACTTATTACACATAGTGTATTAAAATGTATCATACTTTTTATTAAACCCATTCTAAGATAGAATATAATACACAAATAACAAAAAGTAATCACACAAGAACTTAAAAATATAAAAAATAAATTATAACGGACTTTTTCATAAATTATTATATTCCTACGGTTATAAATAAATATAAAACTGCTTATCATAGATATCACATATAAATATAAATATATTGTAATATTAGACTCATAAACTAAATTATTCTTCTGTGAGAACGTAATTGGCTTATTATCTAATGAAGCATACATTAATACTACTGTATATATTACTATTATTATATATATAATATGTACACATAATATAAAATATATTCTATTTATGTATAAATAAGCATTACGTATACGTATATGATTATAATTAGACTGAGTAGTATTATTAGATGATTTAAGGGGTATTCTGGACTGGACTATTCCATGCATGGCTTAAGTATAAATAAAAATAAATATATAATAATATACTTATAATAGTAATACACTCACTGGCCGTATACGTCATTAATGTATAGGAGAGTGTGCAGGCAGAGTATTATATTTATGGGGTAATTTAAGTATGTACAGATTTATGAACATATGGGTATTATTAATGGTAGATATATGCTGGAGTATGGTATTAATACTTACCTGAATTATTCCATAGATTATAGAAGGTGCTCATAATAAATAGTCATAAGGTGATATACTGATTTATGATCCTACTCTTATTAATAGGATCATTATATAAGATAGTACAGTAGATTATTACATAGGCACATGTCTTAGTGCTATAATAATATTACTAAGTACTTCTATAATATAATCTATTAGTGTATTAACTCATAAGAGTATTAAACTATAATACTTTAATAGAATATGTAGAATAGCTTAGGATGTATACAGAGTGTATAATATTTGATAACCATCCACATGAGACCTCTTCAACCGTATACTAATAAACTGTTTAAACCATAATACTTCAGTGTAAGTCTATTATACATAAATTATTAACGTACTTAATTAGTGTATACTTTAATTACTTCATAACCTAATAAATATCGGATTATTCCATATATTTATGCCTTATACGTAGTATAATGGATTATTCTTATATTTATACCTTATGTATATATCGTATAAATTCTATTTTTTTATATTTTTAGTATGCCTCAGAATATAAAAAAATAAAAAAATGAATATTTAAATAATTATTAAGAATACTTATATAAAGAACTTATATAAAGAAGATATCCAGAGGGTACTTAAAGGCATATACACCCGAAAACTTGTTATTTATTCAATATCAATCACTCATATAATTTATCTAAATAGTTTATGATAATACGCTTATTCATATCATAAATAATGCGTGTATACTAATTATTACTATTCTGGGTATAACTATCCCATAGTAATACTAAGTATTCGTATAATATTATTATACTTCTGAATCCTTTCAGGAATATTACTGCATAATCTACTTTTATTATGTACTAAATAGTTCAGTAATATAGACTTATCTTTAATACTCCACTGAGTATTTTCTAATATAAGATACTTATTATCTATAATATTAAATAAGTATAATAAATAATGATCCTTTTCTGGTGTATTATCGTGTGTGAGTATATCAATACACCAAGATAAGTATATATTTGTTAATTTTGTTATGTCCATCTCTTTAAGTGATTCTTTTATATTATTCATTATCGTATAAAATGCAGTGAATTTTGGGTTTCTTGTATAATTTAAGTAATTCAATACATTCTTAATCATAGAATCATAATTTATAAGAATATCGTAGGAATTATTTTGAATACTTAACTTATTCATTAAATTAATCATGAAGTATAAGAAGTCATCTCGTATACGGACTATAAATAAATTTGGATAGAACATTATTGATGAAAAATCGTCTGAATTAGATATATAAATATCATCCCAGACACTCTCTTCAATTTTCTTATAGTAATTTATAGCTTTATGATTAAATAAATAACTAGTCAGCATATACTTTCTTGTTTGTAAGTCGCACAGTGGAATACTTCCTATGATATTATTTGTCATTCGTGCTAGTGGAGTATCATGTTTAATAGGGTTGACATAAAAAATCAGGAAGTATTTAATAATGTATTCTTTATAATAAACCGTCTCAATACTTCCGTATAGGAACAGTTTAAGTACATTATTATAGCCACCATTATTAATACTATCTAAAATTTCATTACCAACAGATAATGATATGAATATACATGGTTCTTCTATCTTAATCAGTTCTATATTTATGTAATGCCTGATTATGCATTTTGTATAATTATTTGAGTTGTTATACATATTATGTATTTCAGTAAGCTTTCCTTTAATAGTTGCTTTGTCTTCATCGGATAAAGAACTTTCAGATAGGTGTAAGCTTGTATGCATTGGATTTATTCCTATTGTTACTCCTGCCTGTATGCCTTTAAAGGTATAAAGTAGACTAAATTTACCGAATATACCAGGTACTCCATTTATATGCACATCCACTGTAAATTCCTCGGAACTTACTTTAACATTCTTTTTTTTTGACAGTGCTTTGAATATTATATTCAGACTTGTCTGTACACTAATCCATGGATTGGGCTCTTTATCACTACAAATTCTTTTTATTTTCTCAATTTCATTAAGCACTTCTTCTTTATTTCCAGTTATATCGGATATAACGTATAGAATATTTAACAGACTGCTTTTTAATTCATTATTGTTCTTTGCATACGAAATATTACTGTTCTTTAAATCAGCTACTACTCTACACCAATCTTGTTGCATTTTATAGCTAGTGGTCTCTGTTGGTTTCGGATAATTCTGGAAGAATGTTTTCAGTGGTATAGTGCTTTTTTGGTTTGGCAGGTGGTCTGTGGTATATATTCCATTGTCTGAGTCGTACATTAAACAGCAAATTAGTCCTAATATACCTGCTTCCACGCAATTAGAGTATTTTTGGTCTTCATCATTTACTTCTTTATCATTTGTTCTATTATACGCCTTCACTCGAGTATATGCGGGTATCTCTGTTTTGTCAATGTATGGACATTTTCTATAGTTGTCTATTGTCCTTTTAAGATCAAAAATAAGATTTGCATGGTTGGTTAAGCCAGAAACTGCCGTTTTTTCTATAAAGCACTTTCCAAACACTTGGATACTCTTTTCTTTATTCTCTGATGTAGACTTTTCACTTTTCATTTGGTCATTCAAGAGAATATATACAGCCTCTACAAACTTAATGTAATTGTCTTTTGTGTCAATAAACTCGTATATATACGACTGGATAAGGAACTGCCACGTGTTCAAGAAGTTTCCTGTCATGAACTGTTCATATGTGGTTGGCTCTGTAGACAGTTTCTCTATACTACTTGGGTTTGTACTCCAGTTGTCTATATATTCCTTTAGAAACTCAATAAGATTCAATAAATAATTATTTGGCTTCTTCTGGTTAATATATGTAGTTGTGTCATCTGCACTCCTCAGCATAAGTCTTTTTTCTCCTTTTATACATGTACTAATGGGGATATTCACCTGCTCAGACAAGAGTAAAAGAACAGCCAGGATGTACATGCTCTGTGCTTGTACTTCATCTTTTATTAAGAATGAATGCATTGCGTCTTTTCTTCCAGATACAATAGAAAGTGATCCATCTGGTGAGGGAAACATTCTAATTAACTGCGTATGCAGCTGAGTTAAATATTCTTTGTTTTCACTAATATCATCATATACCTTGTCATTAACTGGCATTCTTGTATATTCATAAATTGGATTTCCACTATCAGATACCTTTGTGGTTTTTTTCAAGCTATAGTCTGTATCTATTTCTGGTGAATAAAATCGCTTGTTATGCATATACCCACTCTTATGCATAATATACCCTCTAACTGGATTAAGTGGTCCATCAGGGTATATTAATAAGTCTTTCTCTTGAATAACCAAGGTTTCTCCTATTGTCTTTATATCACTGATCTCAAGCCTTGCATACACTGTGTACATCATTATTAGTAGCTTTATGATCATACGGTTTTCCATTCAGGGAATAATTAAAATATTTTAATTACCCAATTTAGTCTTCCTAACTCCATATAATTAACCGTATTTTCCATTAATATTTATACTTTAAATTTAGAAGGTCTTCAACCAATTAGTTATTATTCTCCTATTAGCATAATAATTAAACCACCTTCATTACATTCATTACTCAAATTAGTTATATAATAAAATATAAACACATTAAGTAATTGTCCTATTTCATCCTCTTCACCCTCTTCACCCTATTTTGGGTTATTCATCCTTTTTTTCCCTTTTTTTCCTATTTATCCCTTTTTCTATTCTATTCTATTCTTTACTTTATTTATTTTATTATGTGTACACTTTATATATAATTATGTATAATTATATTATAATACCATATAATAGATGTAATAATATAATATACTTATTTATTAATAATAGAATAATAGAATACACAGAAGTATAACACAGTACACATGTATATATATACATACAGTAAAGATGTATATATATTATTAGTACACGTAGGATATATATGTATATGTATATATAATATGTGTATATAATATGTGTATATATTATTAGTATACGTGTATATTATACTGATTATTCAGTTGTTAGTTTGATTATCATAGTAGAATGGGTTTAGTAAATTCCTTATAATGGTATTAGTACTTTAATATTATTTGGATTATTATCCTGTATTTATACCTTATAATAAATTATTTAATTTATTTATTAATAGGAATATATTTAAGACTATTCTATTATAAATAGACTTAATTATAATTAATGGTCTAGTACTATTAATTATTATACTCAAATTGAGGATAATAATATTTATAATTATTATTATCCTTAGACTTATTACTGTTAGACTTATTACTGTTAGGCTTATTACTGTTAGGCTTAAATATCTGTATAATACGATTTCTTATATGCTTAAAGTTCAAGGGAGTATTACCTATAAGATTAGATGTAAATCTTACCATGGGATTATTAAGGTCTAAACGTGTACTATTATTGTATAAGAACTCTTTAATAATTTCAGACTTGTGCTTTATATTGTCTAGATTCCCCCAGAGCATTAAATTATTCGGGTTATCCCATATTTTATTCTTTCTGAGTTTTTTATTCCTTCTACAGGATGAGCTTGGTTTAACTGCATGCAATACCCGGTTTCTCTCAATAATTAAATATTGGCATACAATACAGTCAGTATAATTATTCCCATTTATATACTTATTCTTTAGTTCTCTATACGCCTTTTTAATTGAACTGTACTTATTTAAACCATTATCATTTGAGATACTCCAGGATGTATCAGCACAATTATTCTCCAAACCATTTGTGCCCAGCTCTGTTACAATCTCTGCATTTAGTTGGAAATTTCCACTCCAGTTATTTTTAGTAAGGTGTATAGTAATAGGCTCATTTAAGACTAAGTCACACTGCGTTTCATCATTGATTAAATCAAGAGATAATGGCTCTATTTCTATATTCATGTCTCGTGAGAGGTACTTAAGTCCCTCTGCGATGGTTTCTTCTATTTCTTTACGCTCTAAGTTCATAAAATCATCATCATCCTTATCATTATTACTATGACCATGACCATACACATTATTATCACGGCTATTATCGGTATAATGTACTTGCTGTTTGGTCCAAAAGACATTTTTTACAAAGTCTTCACCATCAGTATACTCAATTCCACCGGTACATCCCTTATGGCACCCACACCCACATTCATACTTCTGTATAGCTGTCTTTTTTACTATCCCTTTATATATTATGGTTGGATTAGGGGTTTTCTACAGTCTTCTTTTTATTTGCGTTTGACTTGCATATGCGGTGGATTCCCCTACTTAAAACTTGAATTGCCCATTCTAGTCTTTCATCTTCTCCTGCTATAGCCCGTATAACATGTAGTATATTAAGTAGGCCTGGTTGGATTTTATTGTTGTTCTTTAAATCATACTCAACGTACTGGCATGGTAAGTCTGCTACGACTCTGCACCAGTCTTTTATAACAACCTGTGTTACGGGAATATGTGGACTGCTGTATTTAGTAAAGAATTCCTTTAACTCCTTTGATGGCATAGGCAGATGACTTATATCATACGTGCATGTTTCTGCATTAAAAGCAGCACACATGAATATACCAAGCAGTGCACATTCAATATAACTATTATAATTACCCTCTGAACCTGAAATAAATTTATCCTTAATTCTATTATATACAGGCGCACCTATATTCCTAGAAGAAGCAGCCCCATTAATATCATTTATAAATGGATATCCCCATTCTTGCTCTCCCCATAATTTATCAATACTGTTTAAATCCTCAATATACTGCATATACTTCTCCTTTTCACATAATTCTTCATCAATGAATAAATTATTAAATACTTCCACGGCTTTCTTCTCATTCTCAGTGTATACATCCGCATTATGCCCATTCGGCAGTTGTTCATTAATTAAGTTATACACTGCCGTTATAAAATTCGCATACATTTCCACACTGTCTATATACTCAAATATATACGACTGAATAAGAAACCTTGGACTGTTTAAAAATCCACCCGTTAAGAATTCTTCATACGTACTTGGCATTGAGAATTCTTCAGGTACGTCTAGCCGAGATGCGTCTGTACTAATAAGCCTCTTAAAGAAATTAATCACACTTTCTGTTTTCTTCTGGTATACTAATTTCTTATCCCGCTCACCACGGAGTCTTCTCTTCTTTATCATACTCAAATGAACATATACTCCACTACTCTCCGCTTTTATTTGACTTTCATTCTTCTTTATAATAAGTATTTTATGCGCAGTGTTCTTTGAATCTTCTATTATTTCAATAGGAATATTTACTCCTTCCGCCATAAGGAATAATGAAGCTAGTACGTATAAATCATCTAATTTCTCTTTGTACTCCATTAAAAACCGAGTGAATGAATTCGGGTTATTAGAATTAATAGAGAAATATTCATTCTTTGATGGGAACATGTTAATCATTTGCCGTGTAAGTTCTTTTAAGTACTCATTCTTCTTTATATCTTCATCTACTTTATCGTATGGTTTTGAACTCTTTGGGTGTATGCTGTACTTATACTCTGACTCACTGCATTTTTTCATACTCCAATCTATCCACATTCCGTGGTTGTACGTCCTATAATTCCTCATGTACTCAGAGTTACGCAATATTTTACCCCTCATTGGTGCAAGTCCTCCGTGCGGGTGTATAATTAAGTTACTTTTTATCTTCATTTTTTGTACTCTTTCTATATTTAATAATGTTGTCCATCCGTATACAGTGTATGTATACATAATTAACAGTATTACTGTAGTAATATTCCTTTTTATTGTATTCCTTAGTATATTCTGGTTATTATTCATATTATATCTCTCTCTCATTTTTATAATTATTTTTATTTTTAATTATATAAATACTTCTATGATATTGATGGCTTATTACTTATATGACATAGGAGTATAATATGGGTTAAGATTCTAACTAGGAGGCATAATGAATTATATGAGCAAACTATTTATTAGTTATAATACAACCCGAATAACCCGAAATTATAATAAGTAATATATAGTACACATAGTATAACAAGTAATATATAGTACACTAGACATAATAAGTAATACACTAATACTCTTAATTATTATTATTTATTACACTACGCATAATAAGTAATATATAGTGCACTAGACATAATAAGTAATATTTGTGAAAAATGCATAATTAAACAAAAATAAAATAAAATTTATGTCTCACATTATATAATACACTAGACATAATAAGTAATATATAATGCACTAGACATAATAAATAATATATAATGCACTAGACATAATAATTATTATTTATGACACTAATACTCATAATAATTATCATTTATAACATTATGCATAATTAAACAAAAATAAAATTTATGTCTCACATTATATAATACACTAGACATAATAAATGTTATTATTTATGACACTATCATCTTTAATTATTATTATTTATGACACTAATACTCATAATAATTATTATTTATGTCACTATGCATAATTAAACAAAAATAAAATTTGTGTCTTACAATATATAATACACTAGACATAATAAATGTTATTATTTATGACACTATCATCTTTAATTATTATTATTTATTGCACTATATATAATAATTAAACAAAAATAAAAAATTTATGAGTAATAGTGTAATAAGTCCAGTTCTATTTATATTATTTATGAGTAATAGTGTTATAAGTACATTAATTAATACTACATGTGTAAATAATTGTCAACAACTAGATACCATAAACAGGCCTATTCCTGCATTCCCAAATCCAGATATAAACAGCATAAATAACAGCCGTGCACAAATGTATTCTGAGATTATAGACAGAATAACCAAAGCACAGCAGAAATACGAGGACACTCACATAAACAAAAGAAGTGTATCAGAACATAGTACACATAGTGTAATAAGTAATGAGGATGTATCAGAACATAGTACACATAGTGTAATAAGTCCTGCTATTAAACCAGAATATATTATGCATAGTGTAATAAGTAATAAGATTTCTCGTTGTATAATTAGTTGTACTAGAGACTGGGATGCGTATAAGGCCAAGTACATTAAAGAAACCAAATCAGGCACTAATTCTAACAGGCATGCTTGGCCAGCTTATTATATCCTTAATTCGTATGATAGTTATAAAGTACTGCAGTACGAATTATTAAATAATTATGTAAAAAGTAATGATAAAGCTACAACGGCATTCTCCCATTTAAATGACTTTATTATTATTACGCCATGTGTAAAATATAATAGTACTTCTAATGCAATAATCCTGTTGGATAATATAATGAAACTTATTATGCAATACACCATAAGTAATGATGTATCAGGCACAGGCACAGATTCTTATTTTACAATGATTAATAATTATTTAGGGATAACCCCATCAAAATATATTTTTAATAGCTTAAAAATAGATAATTCCCTTTTAGGAAATAACGAATTATTAAAAAATTTTATTAAAAAAGATTTAAAGACGGATCCTGTTATAATAGCAGTTGATTACATAAACACGTTAAAGAATCAGTTAAGTGACTTTAATTTATTCATTTATACGCAAATAAATCTGTTTGTGTATGCAAAAAAAAGTTTTTATTCATTTATTGATAAAAATTTTGATGAATTACTAGAAAAGGAAATACTTTCATATAAAACCGTTGATTCTGCCATAAAAAATTGTTCTGATCAGTGCAATGAGTATTTAAAGTATTCATTTATGTGGCAGAGTACAAATATTTCATTTATATCACAAGTAGATTCGGTTATAAGCATGTTAACAGAAATAATAACTGTTTTTTTTAATAATTTTGAAAATTTTGATAATGAAAAATTAGAAAAAATTAAAAAAATAATGAAAAAATAACGGATTTATCAAAATTAATAGAATCCGCAGTAATTAACTATAACGTATTAGGATTAGACTGTAATACGTATACAATAATAGATTCAACCATTATAAGCATAACCAAGCACATTGAGTATCTTATAAATACAGCAAGCAATATTATATATGCAGTGTCAAATACAGCCACAGAAGAAATAACCCGAAATAACCCGAATAATACAGAATTTACTGATAATTGTATGAAAACTCTTTATGGTATATCAACAGTTATAAAAGATTTTATAAAAATACCTGAAATTAATGAAAATTTTATAACAGAAAAAAATTATAATCAAAAAATAACTGAAAATTTAATGAACCACATAAAAATCAACATAAAAACAAAAATTAATTCAAAAATATTTAATGAATCGGTTAAAAATATTGAAATATTCCAAAAAAACAATGGTTTAGACGTATTTAACACAGAAGAGAGTAAAAATTGCATTTATACAACGGATAATCAGACTAATACAGCGGAAAAACGAATTCCTAACGGAATTTATCAGAAATTTGCAGGAATAATAATACTTATGTATAATTATATACAAAACAGAATTTATTAGCAAATGATTATAAAGTAATAAAAAATAATACTTAATACACTATATATAATAAATCGTATTATACGAGTATACTATAACTTATTAGCAATTGATCATAAAGTAATAAGTTATGAACTATGCATAATTTATTAAAAATAAAGTATTATTTATGCCTTACATTATTTAATACACTATGTATAATAAATCGTAGTATAAGAGTATACTATAACTTATTATTAATTGATCATAAAGTAATAAGTTATGCCATAGGACCAATACTTAATACACTATGTGCAATAAGTTATAACATAGCACAGTACTTATTATACTATGTGTAATAAACTGTAATATTCTCTTATACTATAACTTATTGTTAATTGATCATAAAGTAGTACTTATTATACTATGTATATTATTTTGTGTATTTATTGTTTTATTATAACCTGTCATTTATTTTAATTTTAATGTATAAGTATTTTATTTATTATACTATGTGTGATATATAATATTTATAATACAATGCCCATTAAATAATGACTTATAGACCATTCTATTATAAACATTATTTCTTACATTTGTTGTACTATATTGTATTATTTATACCTGTGACATAAATTTGTTTATCTGTCAATTCTTTATTTAAACTATATAAGAAGTACTAGAACTGAATTTTAGTAGCAAATGAATCCTAGAATAATTGCAGTACTTGCTGTTGCCATTATAGGAACAATCATTATAGGGGGTATATGGGGATTTTCACGTACCTCCAATGAAACAAGCAAAAAGCCTGTAAAGGAGAAACAATCCGTTATACAGAAAGTTTTAAATAATGGAAATAGTAAAGAAAATGCTAAAGCCAGTGATAGTATTAATTACAATGGTATAAAAGAAATAATTGATAGTATTTCCAGTGAAGACAGTGAAGCATTCAACTATTCATCATATACCACAGAAGGCACAACCATTGAAAATTCTTGTTCAACTAATTCGGATAATTCAGAGAATTCGGATAGTTCAGATAGGTGTATTAATTACGACGGGCCTAGAATAAAATATATACCGCATGGAACACCAAATAATAACCAATTCGACTATACTAATACCAGAGAATCCAATATTATCAGAATAAATACAGAATCTATACAATTGCCATATTATGGCCGTATACAGCCATTAATACCTAAGAATGTAATATCATTCAGAAGTAGGATGCATGTAGAGGATGAAGAAGAGACTGAGGATGAAAAACTGGCAAGACTCAAAAAATACCAGGACATTCCAGATGAATATAGGTTATTAGATGAAACAACAGAACGTGTGCATGTGCAGACTGAAAAAACCATTAAAATGAACACAGACACACGTTGTGTTGTTATACCATTATCAGAAATTAGTGAACCAAATGTAAAATACAGTTTGAAAATATCTCCATCAAAGACTCTTGTAGTATATTTAAAAGACCAGAATGCAGATGATTCACTGGGCATGTCTCCTATTGAGCCAGTGATTCAACCAATTGATGTTACTGTGAACCCAACTGTGGATACAACAGTACTAACAGAAGGAACAGGAAATTCTACAAATATTTCCAATGCAAACACAGAAAATGTAAATACCACAGCAATCACAGTTATAGCAAATATAGAAGAGAATATTTTTCCACAGAATCCAATAATAGAGTTGCCTAATTTAAATAATGGAGTAGGGCAAGGAATAGAGAATAATTCTACAGTAACCCCGGGAATAGGCAGTAAACCAGCAGATACAACAACTAATTCTACTGTAAAAAACAACAATTCACCGGAAATGGCTACAAATGAGATTAACAGTGGTAGTTCTTTAGTATCCCCTGGGCCAACTAATACTACTAATGCAAATGGACCAACTAATGCCATGGGTGCAAATGACCAAATAGTATTCCCCGGGCCAACCAATGCTACTAATGCAAATGGACCAACTAATGCCATGGGTGCAAATGGACTAACTAATGCTATAGGTGCAAATGATCAGATAGCATTCCCTGGGCCAACTAATGCTACTAATGCAAATGACCAGATAGTATTCCCTGGGCCAACCAATGCCACTAATGCCAATGATCTGATAGTATTTCCAGGACCAACCAATGCTACTAATGCAAATGGACCAACTAATGCCATGGGTGCAAATGGATCAACCAATGCCATGGGTACAAGTGAATCAACCAATGCCATGGGTGCAAATGGACTAACCAATGCTATAGGTGCAAATGATCAGATAGTATTCCCTGGGCCAACTAATGCCACTAATGCAAATGGACCAACTAATGCTATGGGCTCAAATAATCAGATAGTATTCCCAGGACCAACTAATGCTATGGGCTCAGATATCCCGATAACTATACCTACTTCAAATGGACCAACAGTGTTTTATTGGCCAAATAATTCAAATGGTATGTCAACTGCATCAGATAAGCCTATAACAACTCCTAGTACAAGTGCTCGTGTGGGTATGCCAACTGTAGTAAATCATCATTTAGTTATACCTACACCAAATGGATCTATAGACATTCCTTTAGGCATTAGTAACCCTGAAGGATTAAAGCATAATGTGCGAATCTCAGAACTAACTACAGAAGAAACAAAATTTATAGGAAATGATGTAAATATACTTAATCTACCAAATCCAGGTGCACAACCAGCAGTAAGTTGTAGTAATTCTGCATCTGCACTAAATACAGAAGAGAGTGGGAATTCATCAAAAGAAACTCCAAATACAAAATCTGAATTACTAAGAGATATAAAGCATAATGATCCCATATACGATTTCTGGCCTGTGAAGTATTCTAATGGCTCATCCCCAGCAGGGTCAACAACAGGAGCACTAAATGACCCAGATGACAGCAATGCAGTAACCGTACCAGGTGTAGTGTCTATAGATGAACTTCGGTTTATATACAAACAAGTGCATAAATATAGCCCAGACCATGTAGATGAGTATTTAGATGAGTATTTAGCTAAAAATTACCCAGGCAGCCCAGAAACATTAAAAAACCTCAAAGCCTCAATTAAGCAAGAAATACAGAGGATAGACGATAGGAATGCAATGGACCCTGGAATAGATCTAAGGTAACTGTATAATTGATTTTTATACTGGATTTTAAATACAAAATTCTCTGAGTTTAATAATCACAATAAAAATTAATTTTTGTACTTTTCTAACTGATTTTTCCTATAAATATTGATATAACCTAAAATATAAAGAATAAATAAGAAATCCCCGAATAAATCCACATAAACCAACTCCACATAAACCAACTGTAATCCACATAAAACCATCTAATAACCCTAAATTACCCCAAAATCCATATAAATATAAATTATTTCAGCTGTTTTTATAATATTAGAATTACTTGGAGATAATGCACATAAATATTTATACAAGCCAAATTATACTTAAAAATGAAAGACTCGTGCCCTTAAAATACCTTATATCACAATATAATATACAATTAAAACAATTAAATAATAATTATACTGTATTATTAATAAAGGGGACACATACTTACATAGAATTCATTATACAGAATATAAAATTGCTTACACAATAAAATATTTAAATATTTTCGAAATTTCTCTTTTATAATTTATTTAAATATTCTCTGTTCAATTTCTATTTTCTCTTTTATTTTGTTTATAATCTCTGTTAGAATAGAATTTATCCCAAATTTATCCGATTTTGTAAGAAATGCTTTCTCTCTCTGGTTTCTTAAAATTATTTCATTTTCCAGCAGAGAGACTTTTTTCTTTTCTTTTTCAAGGTCATCTTCTAATTTTTTATTCTCTTTTCTTAGCTCTTCAAGCATTCTTTGTATTTCAACATTATCATTTAGTAGCTCAGAGAGGACTTTTGGGCTTGGTACTTCTTCTATTTCTGTTGTGTTGATTATTCCTGTCTGGTTATATTCAAGTGGTTTATATTTCTTTACATCCTTAAATTCTCTGAATATACCATGCCTGGGCTTGCACTGGAAATATACTCTTCCTGCTCTGCTTCCATTATTCTCGCCATTTGGTACGTCTAGCTCTATACCTAATGAATTGTGCTTCTTTGTGCCAACTCTTCCTATATACTTTACTGTGCCAATGTATAAGCGGTCTACAACTACTTTGTCACCGAGTGATATGCTCATAGACAGTGATCTCTCCAGAGATAAGTCTTTTGTATCGCCCATTTGTACAACAAAATTTGCTGGATTTATTTAGTTTATTTTTTCGAACACCATGCACATCCAGGAGGGGAATCTTGAAATTACACCAGGAAGTATTACCAGAGCATTTAAGCCGTCTTCACAGGAGGGCAACCAAAATGATTTAGTAGTAAAAATAGTCAGTATAAGTGCACCGGACCATTCAGTGATTCAGAGCAAGATACGATTGGTGGTAACCGACAACAACACCCTACAAGAGTGTTTACTTAGCTCTAAATATGCTGATGCACTAGCAAATAATCAACTCTCATCTGGTGACATAATCAAAATAGGGAACATGGCGTCTGGAACGTATTCATCTAAGCCAATTATATACATAAAGGAGATTTTAGAAGTACAAAGAAAAAGAAAAACAGATGACTCATGGGGAAGTATTGGTGCAAGTCCGTGCAAAAGAAAAATGGATGTTATTTCAGGGGAGAGAGGCACTCCTAAAAAAGAAGCAAAAAGGCTTGTAACAACAATTATAGGGTTAAATCCATTCCAGCCAATTACTTGGTGCATAAAAGCAAAAGTAGTGAGTAAAACATCTGTGCGGGAGTATACTAAAGATGGAAGGGCAGGAAAAGTGTTCAGTATAATTGTTACAGATGGGGATAGTAAGTGTAATATAATATTCTTTACAGAATTTGTAGATGCATTCTATGATAAGATACAGTTATACAAGACCTATGAGATAACAGGAGGAACACTGAAGCTAGCCAATAAGACGTACAATGAGGACATTCACGAGTATGAAATATTTGTGGACAGGTCATTTACAATAACACAAACAGCAGATGCAGTTAAGGTGGTTAAAATGCCTAAAGCAATTGTAAAAGTATCACAGCTTGTGAATAAAATTAATGAAGTAGTTTCTATGCTGGTAGTGATAACTTCGGTCGGGGAGATTGAGACAGTTCTGCGAAAAAAGGACCAGTACGCAATGAAAAAAAGAACACTGCGCGTTGGAGATGATTCTGGAGAAACTGCACCATTTATTGTGTGGGAGGACACAGCAGCAATGGAATTTTCAATGGGTGATATTTTATTATTGGAAGGTGCAAGAATTACTGAATATCAGAATACTCCACAGATTGGTTTGTCACGGGATGGGATTATATCGTTTAATCCAGAACTACCAGAAGTATTTAAGCTGAAAGGGTGGTACAACAAGAACGAAAATATACTCCAGACGTCGTCTTCTGTTGGCACAAGAAAGTCTGTTGGTGGAGCAAACAGGCAGGTGAAAATTGCTGATGTAAAAACAGACTGCATGGAATACGCAACCATCAAGTGCACTGTGCTGTTTATATCAGAAAAGACTTTAATGTACACCTCTTGTATAGCAGATAACTGCAATAAAAAGGTTGAGCATAAAATAGACTCTCCAGAGGATTACTACTGCAACAAGTGTGATGCAACATATGCAAGGTGCAGTTATAGCTATGGACCAAGTTTGTCAATATCAGACAATTCTTCATCCATATGGGTTTCTGCATTTGGCGACACTGCATCTGTCTTGTTTAATAATCTATCCGCAGTAGACCTAAATAACCTATCCGTAAATGACAATGATAAGTATAAGGAAATAACACAGCAGTCAATAGGAGCAGAGATGATCATAAGCATAAGAGGAAGAGAGTCCACATACAATGGCGAGCCACAGATGCGGTACACTGCCACCGCAATAAAACCAGTGGACTACCTTGAAGAGTGCACAAATCTTCTAGCACAGATTAAGGCCATGCATTAATAACTGAACTGAGCATAAATAAATTAGTTAGTATTTAAGCCTCTCTATTAATTACTGCCACATACAATTCATTTTAATTAATGCAAATTCCTATAAAAATTTCTGTGAGTCATTGAATTTAATAATACTTCGATTCTGAGATAGGTTAAATATGTAAATGTTGTATGTTTATTTTAGATTTCTTGTTCTTATCAAAGAAATTTACAATGCACGGAATGCCACGTCATATCTGGTTCTTCTCATATTATGTTTAGTGCCTTTTCTGGTTTTGAGTGAGAAGTACGCTGTAATAATTACCAAAACAAACAGAATACTAAGAATAATTGGAATTGCAAGGGGCCAATATGCATTTGTGTTTAAGTAAAGTGAGGTTTTTAGTGTTTGCTTATCTGGGGTTGCCTCTACAACCAGCTCAGAGTTTGGGACTATTTTATCCTGAATGTGCCCAGGGAGGTAATCATTACTCGGGATTCTTGAATGGAATGAACCGACAAACACATTTGTAGTACCAAGCCCCATCATAATAACTGGAGATTGAAGAGTAGTATATCCTGTCTGTGGTGGGTAGAACCCAACTATCACCCTTCCCGTCTCAGCAATTCTACACGCATGGCTTGCACCAACGGCGGGTGCAGTTAATGAAGGTGTCTGAATATTTGCGGCTATGCTTAGATAGTACCCAGAAATATCTGAGTTGTTCCTATATATGTATAAGCTAGGCTGGTCGTTTATGGTTTTTGTTTCTAGAACAGTCCAAATGCCCTTATCCTGTCGGTAGAAAGAAACACTCTGCGCCGGCCCTGGGCAGTCCTCAAAGACATCTTCATTCTCAAATCCAGACCCGTTTGTGTTAAGGAATAGCATCGGCTTTAATAGTCCATCGCGCTTATTCCGTGCTACTGTAAGAATGTCTGGGTATGTGTTGCTGTTTATATCCAGCACACTTGGGAAGACAGGGCCGTCTTCTGTGTAAAGGCTGAACTCATAAATATCCTTCACTGGATACTTAATTATATCCTTAGAGTCATACCCAAATACATCAGTGCTTTTCATAATACTGTCTTTCTTTAGGCAGTTATTCCTTATTAAATCGGTGCAGTACGGAAGCCTTCTGTTTGGTATAATATTTATGGAAGGCAGCCCCCCATTGGAGAGGTACAGAATATCCACAGAGCCTGTCCCAGTGAAATCACCAAACACAAACGGCCCAGTCTCTCCTCGAATTTCAAACGAGCATTCCAACGTATATTTAGACTCGTTCATTTGCCAAATTTCAATAATTCTCCTGCCATTCTTCACCGTGTCCAGAACTAAGTCTGCCACGCCATCCCCAGAAACATCTATAAACCCAGAGGAGTGATTATTCCGAAGGATTCCAAACGGAGTCTTATTAGAATGAGAGGTGCCTTCAATTACATCTATAAAAATGGTCTTGCCATCCAGCTGTGTGAACAAAAATGGGTTCAGCCCCTCATAGCTCACTAAAAATGGCATGCTATCAGAGTGCCCTATGGGTGTCTCCCTTCCCCGTGCGTCTACAGTGAATATGTTAAACCCACTTATTCCTTTAGAGTACACCAAATACTCTCTTATGCCATTCTTTATTATGTCTACTGATGCAATGTAGTCTATGGTTTCAGTGGTGGTTGCTATGGTTTCTATTTCGTATACGTCCTTTTTCTTTGAGACAACGATTATTCGGTCACGAGACTTATTTGTTCCAACTATTTCCACTTTTCTCTTGTCCATGTCTGTTATGTACGCCAACGTGCGAAAATCAGAGGCAATCGACACCGGATCTGCGAATTCCACGAGTTCGTCTCTTCTTTTCCAAAGACGCATTATTTGTTAGAAAACACAGCAACTATTTATGTCTGGGCAATTATTTTTACATGGCCAAGAAAGACAAAGGCAAAGACGTAATTAAGCCAAAAGAAGCAAAGAAAATGGTGGAAGAGCAAATGTTTGGAATGAAGAACAAAGGAAAAAGTGCAAAGTTAAAGAAGATGGCCTCCTCTCTTGAGGCATCATATTTGAAGGGGAAACCGCAGAAAGTGGAGAAGAAAGTGGAAGAGCCGGTGTATGAAGCATACGAAATATTGCAGAAAGTTCCTGTTGGTGTGGACCCGAGTACTATTCTCTGTGTAAACTTTAAAGCAAACAAAACGTGTTCAAAGGGAAGCTCGTGTAAATTTAGTCATGATCTGACAAAGCGAACAACTGCTCCTCCAGCAGTTAAAGAAATGAACAAAGACGTAAATGCAGATGGGGTAGAGAAACCTGTATGTAAGTACTATATAGATGCACTCAAGTCCGGGAAGCATAACCCGAAGTGGGTATGCCCGAATGGAAACAACTGTTCAGGAAAGCATTCACCACCAGAGGGGTACATTCTTAAGGAGGATGCTGCCGAACTAAACGTAATAACACAGGATGAAATGCTTGAAGAAAAAAGAGCAAATCTACCAAAGGACCAGACTAAAATGACAGAAGAGAAGTATAGAGAGTGGAAAGTAAAGAGGGAGCAGAACAAGATCAATCTGAAGAAGGAAGAAGACAAGATAAAGGAAGGAAATCTCAGACTTGGAAAGATTCTTCCCTCTGGTAAGGACTTATTCGTATACAACCCGAAGATATTTGTTGATGATGATGAAGCACTAGATTATGACTACAACGCAAGAGAAGAAAAACTAGAAAGTGATGAGGAGGAAGAGCTGGCAGAAAAGTTAACCGAAACATTAAATATAACCAGCTAATAAATAAAGCATAATTACACTAAGAATAAAATCAAACGGAATTCTTCTGTTAACCCCATTATTTAACTGATTTGTAAATAAATCCACGCAAACCAATAAATAAATGCATAAATCAATGCATTCAGTGGTTTATATTGGCAATATATGTGTATAATACCGTATTTTATAAACAAATGTGTACAGCAAGTATACGCATATAAATATTAGTTATTAGTCTATGCACTGTGTTATATGCTATAAGTAATACGTGGCTGTATACAGAATTTCAGGGTATAGTAAATAGAAGCATTCTCTATTAATAAATAAATTTGTATGGCACAGAAAGAATAAAAATATAAATTGTGCTGAAATTATTTTTATGGAAAATGTTCTCAGGGAGCTATTCATAAAAATAAAAGAGAGTGTTCGGGATAAGAATGCAATGTGTTTAGACGGAATTACTAAAGAAACTGTGATGGACGGGTTGGTGAGTCTGTTTAAGGAGGGAAACATAAACAATGTAGTCGAATACTTCCGGAAGTACAGGAAGATAGAAAGCATAGCAAACATACCACTCTCTTGCTTATTTTTACAGAAATTGCCAGAAAAGGTAAAAGAACCGTTAGAAATAAGGTACAACAGAGCACTAAAAACAAAAGGGCATTTTTTGAAGGTGTTATGCATGATGTTTGACAGGAGTGAGACATTTATATTTACTGGAGGAGAGGACGGGCTTATTAAGATATGGGATGTGTATGATGGAAGACTTGTTCAGACGCTGAGGGGAAGGCATTTTTCACCGATATTTGATTTTGTAGTTGATTTCAAAAACCGGTACTTTATATCGTGTGATCAGACGGGGTGCATTGTCTGCTGGGATTTACAGAAGTTTGAGTGCATTAATTCTATTAGCATAGGAGAGCAGATAGATTATATAGACGTGGTGCACACGCAGGCAGAAGCAGAGCCACTGGAGCAGAAGAAGTCAAAGGCCCGGGCAGAGGTGCCGGGAGAGATTATGCAGGCAATAGTTATAACAAACTCAGGGAGAATACTTCGGGTAATTGTTAGTACTGAGGGAATGCAAGTTGAGACAATTCTAGAGCAGGTTGAAGAGGGCACCTTTAATGAAGCAGTCACAACGCGTGGAAAGAAAATGATAGTTATTACCGGCATGTGGCCATTTTCAGTGCTATTGGATGTAAATGACCAGGAGAACAGGTTTTACATATTAGACACAGAGGACTTACTGGCCTCTTCGGTTGATGTCTCGCATAATTCATTAAAGATAGCAGTCAGCACGTACTCCTCTACTTTGATTATATGGAAGTATGATATAGCACAGAAGCCATCTAAGTCAAATATTCCCACTAGAAAAAGGTTTAAGGGAAGAGAGCTGGAAGGGTGTTGGACACGAAGTACAATTGAGCTGAAAGGCATGGATGAAACGATTTACAACACAGACATGGTATACTTAATTGATGACATAACTCTTGTTGCAGTTGATACAGAGTCTAACATTAGGCTAATTAATACAGAGACAGAGGAGGTATTTATGATAGAGAAAGAGTATAAAATTGCTGGTGTAGTATCACACCCAAAAAGAAATATATTCCTAACAATAGAAGTGAATGGGGTTATAAAAGTAATTAGTAGCACAGGGGAAATATTGAATAAGATAAACACAGAAGTCTCTGTGGCCGGAACAATTGTAATAGATTCAACAGGAAGCTTCTTCTACATAGCAGATCTAGAGGGATACATTTACAAATATAGCATACTAAACGAGCAAATAAGTGTGCCCGATACAGAGTATAAATATGAGGATCTTGATCATTATAAGAAGTACAACACTGAACAGTTACAGTATTTCACAGGAGCAGATGGTCAGCCGGTGGATGAGGGAGTGGTTCGTGTGTGCGAAGAGAGAAATGCAATTTTAGAGAGAATAAGAAAGGCGTATATAAAAAGACAGAGACAGAAAGAAAAAGGAAAGAAACTTAGTAAAACGGGCTATGATGCATTTATAGCAGACTATGCCGCTTCAACAGAAAGTGTTAAAATACCTGAATACTCATTTTCAATAGATAGCTGGATAAGGAGAATTGAAGTGTCTGGAATTCTACAGCTGCAGTCTGAGATGATAACTAGCAAAGTGTTTGAAAAAGAGTTCCGCAGACCAAGTCAGGCAATAATAGTACCAGACACAGAAGAGGAAATTTCTCTATCTGCAGAGAATGAAGACAGCTCATCATCAAACTGGCCAGTTGAGGTGTCTGATAATAACTATACAGCAACAGACGATGATACGTCAGAGACAGATAATGCAGAGCCGGCAGAGTCGTTAGACTATTCAGCTGGGAATAGTGGCGAAGTCTATGAAGTAAAAAGCACTAGTACAGACAACTCAGAAAGCGGTGTTAATGCGAATGAGAGCACAGAAGAAGATTCAAATACAAATGAGCCAAGAATACTGAGCAGAACAAGAGGAAGAAGGCAGGCGGCACGAAAAGCCATTTGCCCTGACATTAATTATTTATACAATTGGTACATGTCTGACAAACCAACTCCCCCTCTTCTGCCACAGGCAGGAGATGTGTTGATTCTTATAAAAGAGAGAATAACAGACAACGCGGTTAAAAATAAGATAGAGGACTTAGAAACAGTTGAAATACAGCAGGTAATTTATAAGAAGACAGAATTGATCATAGATCTACTTATAGAAAGAACAGGAAAGAGAGAATCTCTGGCGTATACATTAAATGAGCTTAATAACAGCCCATTCACACTGAAAAGTCAGTTACTGGACATAGAAAACGCCAAATACAAAAAGAATGAAGAGATTTACTACTATAAAGAAGGCATTCTATCAAAAGGGACCGTTATAAAGAGAAGAAGAGAATTATTGGAAATAGCCACCGACACAGGAGAACGGGCGGTAGAGCTATATGATATATACATTCCCACGGTAAATTATTCAATAGACCTGTCAGAGTACATAGCCGCAATTAACAGCTATAAAAACGAGTATTACACCTTTTATAAAGATGTGTCTAAGATAGACTATCCCGATTACTACGAAATAATCAGCCGACCAATGACTGCAAGTAAAATTGTTCGAAGAATAAGGAATAAGTATTATAGAACAAAGGACGAGCTGGTAAATGACATACAAACTATTCTGTCCAATTGCTGTGAGTATAACGAAAATGACTCAGAAATCGCGAATGAGTGTAGAGACCTTATATCTGTGCTAATGAAAGCAATCGAGGAAGCATAACCCGAATAACCCGAATAACCAGTGCTATTATACACTTTCTGTCTAATTATAGAGTGGTGCTGTATTAACCAGTCAGTAATAACCAGAATATGCGCTATATACGCTTTTATTAAGAATAGTCTAAATACCATAAAATATCAGAAGTACATGAAATATTCATTTCTTTAATACTCCTGAATCATTCCTCAGAGTACTGCTGGTCTGAGTCTATTCTTTAATACACTACGTAATTATTATACTATGCTTTAAATATTTTTCTTGTATACTATCCTTTCTATACTATGCCTATTAAAGTATGTGAATATGCAATTGTGCTATGGCTACTTTTGCTTGTTCTGCATACAATTCCACTCATGTACTGTGCCCACTTGCTTCTATTCGGGTTCTTTCTATTTCTTATAAATGTTAATATTTTATTTTTATTTTACCCCCCGCAGATGCAAAACATAATAGAAGATGTTTCTAAGTTTAAGAAGTTCCCACAGCAGGAGGCTGTCTACAACCACCCATACGAGATAGCAAGAGGAAACAAAACCGCAAGAAGACAGGTTAAAAACATTGGATTGGGATATGAAACCCCTATAACAGCCACCAACGGTACATACATTGATAAAAAGTGCCCATTCACTTCAGATGTAACTATTAGAGGTACAATTTTCAAAGGAGAGATTGTAAGTTTAAAGCAGACACGTACAGCTGTTGTAGTTAAGAGATACCTCCACTACCACCCAAAATACATGAGATATGAGAGGAGAAACACTAGATTCAATGTCCACTTGTCTCCATGCTGGGATGGTCTTGTTGAAGTAGGAAGTAAAGTTGTCTGCGGTGAGACAAGACCACTCTCCAAGACAAAGAAATTTGCAGTTATTTCATACGACAGAAGAGAGAAGTCTGAGAGATTTAAGCAATTCTCCCCAGAAGAATAAAAAATAAATCATTTTCCTATTACATAGTTAAGCCTCGTATTTCACTTTAAATGCACTCGGTCTCTCTGTGACTAATATTATACTTATATTCAAGAGGATTTATAACCCGAATATTTTAAAATGCAGTTGTTCAATCTATTCCGTATTATACTATTGCATAGACAGTTTTGTATAATACGGGCTAGTCTTGATCTATTAAATAATATTATGCCTTACGCCTAATATACTTATATAAACATATTCTGAACTGTTCTAAATTCATATTCTGTGCTTATTCCTCATAATTACTGCTTTAATAATCAGAATATCTCCTGATATTTATTTTTATATGTACAGGGGTATACGAATTTTTCATTTATTTATCTTTTTAATTTAAAGTGTATCTAATCTTATAACTAGGTGCACTGTGCGTGTACGCTTTTCTTTTATAAAATAATTTACAAATTAATTATCCTGGTTATTATACCATCAAACAGAAATATAACCCGAATATTTAAATACCAGCGTGCTATACAGGACTACACAAACTGAAATTATATAAAAAGACAATTATTCTTATGTATTACGTGGCTTATTGCGATATCTATTATAATTTTGTATTTAGTAGAACTACTTGAGTGCCAAGAAGTTCTGCTAGAATTATAATGGACAACTTTGTATGGCAGTGGTTATTCTATTGTTGTATTTAGTGGTATACTTCAAACACTTTGAATTTCTCTACTAACTTATAATTGGGCTATTTCCATTCTGGTTTTAGGCTATTTGTATATTTGGGCAAGTAGCTACATAAATAAATCTGGTTTTTATTTTAGCAATGATTGGAGAGAAGGCTGACCCAAGAAGAAGGTCTAAAATATTCATTACAAAAGAACTGCAAAGAATCTCTAAGTCACCCAGTGAAAATTACAGTGTAGGTCTTTTAAACAACAATATCTACACTTGGGAGATTCTTATAATAGGCCCACGAGACACAATATACGAAAATGCTCTGCTTAAAGCACTTATGGTATTCCCAGAGACATATCCAGAAGATCCTCCCACATTTAAATTTCTATCGGAAATATGGCACCCAAACATAGATGTCGATGGAAATGTATGCATATCCATCCTGCACAAGTCGGGCGATGATGAGTATGGGTATGAGGATGCGTCAGAGCGGTGGATGCCTGTTAGAGATATAAATTCGATTCTTCTCTCTATTATTCTGCTGCTTGTAGAACCAAACTCAGAAAGCCCTGCAAATATTGAAGCAGCGCAGGAATACATTTCAAGAAGAGCAGATTATAATAAAAAGGTAGAAAGACTTGTTCAAAAAACAATAGAATAAAAACTATTTATCCAACGTATGATGAAAACTCCACTGTTTAGAGTCAAGTGGGCAGATATTTTTTGATTTAAGCCACTGAGATATGCAGTGCATGTGGAAGGCGTGGTTGCACACCCCCCAAGCCACTTTGCACTCCATGGACTTTTCTTCTGTCTGGCATTCAATGCACGTGTCCATAATGTGGTTTCTGCAAATTGCGCATTTGTCTACTATTATGTCAAGTGACCACAAAGCTACCATTTTTGCCTTTGTCAGCCGAATCTTCGGAGTGTCCATAAGTAATAAATAAATAGAAAATATATTTATTTACTTTCTGCGGTTAAAACCAAGAATAACTTTATTTTTTGGAGAATTATGAGTCCTCTTCATCGTCAGATCCAGATTTCTTTGCAGGCTGGGTGACGATTACAACACCGCCGTTTGTGTGGTAGGAGACAGAATCACCCAGCACTTCAGCGCCTTCTGCTGTTTGTAGAATTACTGGTGATGCATGTACTTGTACGCCGGAAAGCGCTTTTGGTCGGCCGGGTACTCCTGCAGTATCTATTTTATTTCCTACGCGAATATTACACTCTGTGGGCTTTCCTGACCTATCCAGTGCGATTAAGTACTTGGGGGTTATTCCTGCTCCTACAAGCATAAGGACAAAGTAGTACCTGTCAAGGATTCCAATGCCGCCATCAAGTGCACTCAGCATAAATCCCATGAGACATCCAACAGACTTGCCTGAAATTACAGAGTCGTTGAACAGAGAGAGTTTGTGCATGCCCTTGCCCAGCCGCAGAAGACCCTGTGATATTTTGAGTGCGCTGCCAGACGCGCCCTTTCCACAGAAGCTGCTCATTTCATCGAGGGCGGTCTTCACACGGGAATTATTTGTTCCTGCCGAGACCAGCCCCAGGCCAATGATTGAGGAGAGAACAACTGAAGAGTTTGTGCTATGCATGCACCGCCTGAGAATGTCAATGACTTCTGTCTTTCCTGTGGACAGATATAACAGACTGTACGCCATTGGGATTGCCATTTGGACCTTATATGTATCCAGAAGCATAGACCCTTCAAGAATGTGCCCTGCCATCTGCACCAAAGTGTCATCACCAAGTGAAATTAATGCCACGCCCAGGATACCAAACACTTCTCTGTAGTCGTTTTCATTGTTTGTCTGCTCATTGAGAGCCTCCTTCAGTATGTCGTAGATGGCTTGGGTATTTCCTGTTCCGATGCATGCCATGGCTTGCATAAGAATGGAGAGAGATGCACCATAGTCATCCAAGACCTCGCAGGACTCAAGCACTGCGCCTACTTTGTCGCCTGCTTCAAAGAACAGCAGGGAAATACCTAGAAGAGCAAATTTAATTATGGGAGAAATGCTTGGAGCCTCACCACATATTCTGCTAGCCAGTATCTTCACCAGATCCGTGTATATGTCTATATTATAACTGCCGCAGAATATATTTCCTATCGCATACATTGCAAAAAGAACAACTTCCAGAGTATCATCGTATAATAAAGAGTGCAGTGTGTCATAAATGTCCATGTCATGAGTGCCGGAGTACTTCATGGCCAAACTAATAAGAAGAACAATCCTTTGTGTAACAGATTTTGTATCCAAACCCTCGGTAACAGCCGCCAGCACCGTGTCATTGTAGTCATAGACCTTGCACGTTGCTGTTGCAAGAGCCAAAATGCTTGATACCTTTAAATATCCGTCTTCAGAGAAAATATGCTCCTCTAGCTCATTTAGTGCCTTGTTCTGGTCCCAGAGGTACAGAAGCCCCTTTGAGCACTGCGTGGTTATTTTGTATGTCTTTTTGTTCTCTGGCTCTGCAAGTGTTTCAGCAGAGAATGATGCCTTCGAAAGAGCATCTGAGAATGACCCAAAATCACCAACTATTTCTTTGTTAAGCTCTAGCCTTTCACTTACATATTTGTTTAGGTCTGCCATGTACGCATTGCTTGTGATATGCTCTGGAGAAAATCCATTCGGGAATTTCTCTTTTGAAACAGTCTGTGTAAATGCATTCCACCTGCTCTTTGGCACTTTGCTCCACATCTCGTGCTTGCCCATGATGTAAAAGATCTTTATTTGATCCACTTTGCTGAAACCAACAGTCTCATCAAGTAGCTGTTCATACTTCTTCTCTCTTATCATAAACACAGCATACTCCTCTAATTTCTTGCTTTTCTTAAGCACCTCTAAAAAGGTCTCTGTCACTCGCTCGTTTCTTATAAAGTACATAAGGGCCTGCATATACCGTATGATCCTTTCCTGGTTGTCCCTATCAATGTGCTCTAAAAGCATTTCTATTCGATCGATGTCTAGCAGGAAATCTATACACTCACACTCACAGTTGAACTTAAACATGCACTCTACCACCTCAGCAATTACTGCCTCCAGCGGCCCTTCCATCTCAGGAGTCAGCTCAAGCGCATCTTCTTTCTCTGGGTGCTTGCTCTCTTCCACATCTCCTGCCTCTGCCTCTGCATCCTTGCTCTCTGAAACAGAAAGGTTCTTCGACAGTGACATGCCCCTTTTCTCCTCCGCCGACATTATAGTGCACTTAAGCCCCTTATTCTGGCAGTGGCACTCTTTTTTAGTGTGCATGTGATTCCTTAGAGTTTTTATTATGTCGATAGCCAGCTTCTTTGCATAGTGGTGCCCCCATATGTCCATAGATGTAGCACCTCCCTCCAGCCTATACTGCAAACTTTCTGCCGTGGTAAGCGTCGCTGATATAACCGAAAGTATGTCCGCCATTAGCTTTCTATTCTCTCCAGTGAGTGTTGCCAGTTTATTTTGAAGAACATCTTTCTGTGAAACTAAATATAAAAGAATCTGTGGTATAGTTGATGCCACAGAGGCGGATGACCGCATTTTTTGCACTAGCATACTAAGGGCAGAATGGGTAATCCCCGGGTCTGCATTGTTTAGGCTGTCTAGTATTACATGAATCTCTTCTGTTTTGCTGTCCATAAATAAAGAAATAAATTATTCAATATAAATATTGATTTTAATTACCATTTCAAACATGCGATGCCTTCCATTATTTCTGTATATTTTACTAAGCATCGCCTTTCTATTTCTGCCATTTATCTTTCTTTTACTTATTCCATAATTAGATAGGAATTACCTCAAGATAGTCATTTTCTTCCTCTTCAAAAATAATATCAAGCTCATCTGGAATATAATCTGTTTCTACTGCCAGACTGTTGCTTCTTCCCTTTAACACGCCCATTTCTACCATTTTCTCCACCAAAAACTGGAACTCTTTAAAGGTTGGCAGAGGGAACTGCTTCAGGGAGAGAGTTGCCCGGAAGTCAACATACAGACTGTCTGGAAAGGAGTATCCCTTCCTTGCAACAATCCCTAGGAGAATCTTCTGGTACTCAGAAAGTGACCGGATAAAACTGCTCTGCATTGAATGGTAGACGTATTTTATTGCCCTGTCCATGTCTTCCATCTCTATTTTCTTAATATCATTTCTAAGCGCATGTGCCATTGCGTGCTTTTGTATTTGCAGTGCTTTTCTTATATCCCCATTTAGCGTGCATATCTTATTTGCACAGTACTCCAAGGCCTCATCTGTAAATTCATACTCTGGATGCATTTCCTTAAGTATCCCCACTACTTGCGATCTCTTATACAGCGCAAAGTTGAGCCTGTTCCACCCTAGACGACTTCTTACCTTTCCCGTCAGCTTGTTATCTGGAAGATTAAACGTATTTGAAATAGCAATAATGTATAAATTCTTGCAAAGAGACGGCAACTCCAGCAGCCCATACAAAATGTGCTGATTTTTTGTTATAAGCATGTCCACCTCATCTGCCAGTATTATTGTGTACGGCTGATATTTAAGTGTCTCTTCTAGCATTCTTGCTGATGACTGTGTTACAGAAGGAGTAATTATCTGGTGAATCGCAAGAAAAACATCTGAAGGAAGAATAAGAGACCCACAGTTAACACTCGCAATAGTGACAGCTGGATAGTTTTCTTTAACTATCTCAAGAACACTATTACACGTTAGGGTCTTACCACACCCTGGCATTCCACTCACGTACAGCACGCCATACTCCTTTTCCTCAATAGACTCTTTTAATAATTTGTAAATCGCAGTTGATTCATCTTCTCTTCCCAATGGCACTGCCCGCATAAAAAATGAAATAAAACTATTTGCTATAATAGGCGCATATTTATTTTCTCTATTTCTTATACAGCTTTCTTTTTTAGTGCGTCTTTTCTTATATTTATTGGCCATCTGCCGTGTGCATTTTAATTTTCTTTTTTTATATTTCCACAGATCCCTTCTTTATTCTTGTGTACAGCCTTCTGCTCTTTATTTATCTGATTTTACCAAATACGTCGTATACCGCTTGTGGTTGTATCTTCTTAATGACTCATCAAATGAAGCATTATTCAACCGAAAAAGACTTTCTAGCATTTGGCAAACGCACACACGTTCTGTCTTTTTCCAATATTTCTGTGAGAGATAGTATACAGTGTTAAATAGTCCTTCAATTACTACATTGCTGTTTTTAGATATTTTGTATATAAATGTGCAGTCACAGAATAATTCTGTCACTTTTTTAGTAGTTGCTTGAAGCTCCTTTTCTAGCAAAATAGAAAATATACTTGCCACCATACTGCATGATTCCTTTGAAACAACTTGCAGCGACTTAATACACCCCTCAATAATCATAACAGCAACAAAGCTGTTTAATGAGTCAAACTGCCTGCAGTGCTTAAGAAGAATTCTTAGTATTATGTCTGCTGTGGTGTATATGTATACTGCAGTTATGCCATACATAATTTCTTTTCTTATTTTTATATTCAATGGCTTAGTCAGCAGCGGTATATACACCTCAGCAATCTCTTCTGACTGTATGTCGCCTATCTGGTTGAGAAGATTTAGTATTAATTCTATGCCATAGTGCGGAATTTCATCCATGAGATATTCCATCAATATGTTTATTAGATGGCTTTTGTCTAACATCCTTCTTTCTACCAGAATAGATGCTATCTCAAAGTACATCTTTCTCTCTCTTGGGTCTGGTGAAAGTATTCCTTGCAGAATTACGCTTACTGCAGATGCGCTAAAATCGATTCTATCTGCGTTTTCTAGCACGTCTTCTAATGCTTCTTCTATTTGTGACCAATCCTCTAAATATGTTCCAGAATCTGTCTCTGCATCAAGAACCACAGTCAGTTTGGGAGGAATTCTTAAATTTAAGTCCATTTCCAGAGAGCGCTGCATAAAATAATTTTATTTTTTACTCCCTAACAAAATGTTGTTTGAGAAAGAAACCGTAGTTATTCTATCCAAAGGAAAGTATGCAGGATGCAAAGGAGTGATCGTTGATGGGATCAAGAAGGGCGAGCACTTGAATATGTTACTATTGTTGGCATGTGCAAGCTCCCAGCACCAGTAACCGAGAACATGACAGAGAGACAGAAAAAGAGAAGAGAATCTGTTAAGTGCTTTGTTAAAAAAATGAACATAAGACACTTAATGTCAACCAAATACAAGATGGAGAATGTCTTCGATAAAATGCAGCTTGCCGATATATCTGACATGTCTGAGAAGGTAGAATTATTAAGAGAAGTAGAGAAGCTATTCAAGGCAGCATACTCAAACAATGCTTCTCACTGGGTCTTTAAGAAACAAGTAGTTTAATTAGAAATAAAGAATTCTAGCGCAATATTCATATTTTATTTAAATTTACCAGTATTTATCATGCATTACACATTCACTTAGTGTACTTTCTGGGTATAATAAGTCTGCTATACCAGCATAATTTACTATTCATTGCTGGCACTGCATACAGAAGAATCCACTATAAGAAAATAAATTAGTAATTCTCTTCTTATACCCAGAGAAAAAAAGAAATTTAGATGATGATATTTTAGTGAATATTTATTTCTTATAGTGGATTCTTCTGTATGCAGTAGTAGATAACAGAGTATTTATGCAGTGCATTATATCTATTAAGTACAATTCACTAGAAATAGCTGTTATATTAATATACTCTGAGTATCATCAGAAGACACAACAGAGTACTGCGATGCTTGATTTTTGGATGTAATTAGAATATAAATGGTTCTGTGCAGCCATAAAATTGTATAATTGTTTACATCTTCTGAATGTGTTAATTGATTGTTTATTATAGTAAAATACATCTCTTGTAATATATCTTCTGTGGTATTTATATGATTGCTGGGTATATCCGGTACGTGCAAAAATAAATATTTGTAATGGACTGTTCAGACACTAGAAGAAGATGCAAAGAAGAATTCACAAAAGTATTTAGCCAGCAGATGGAGGGCACTGATTCAGAAAGAGCAAGCACGCTGGGTGACTTACTGGAAGAGGAAATCCACCGAACCACAAGCACAAGAGCAGAATACGGCATGCTGTTCAGAACAAAGTATTTAAATTTAAAAGATGCATCGCATAAGTGGCTGTGCACTTCTGTTTATAACGGGGTGCTGGCAATAGAAAAGTTTATAGCCATGACAGGAGATGAGATGAGAAGTAAAGAATTAAAGGAGTTAGAGGCCAAAATCTTCCAAAGAGCACTTCTTGACACAACAATTGCCCAGCAAGAGGCGGAGACAGACATTTTCTTCTGCACTAAGTGCAAGCAAAGAAAGTGCACATACAGGCAGCTGCAGACTAGAAGTGCTGATGAACCAATGACAACGTACGTTCACTGTGTTGTCTGTAAGAATAACTGGAAATTCTGTTAGTAATAATAAAGAACTATAAATAGAAAGAGAAAAATTTAAATTACTTCTCATGGCAATTGCTTTGATCAAGTGTAGTATCTATTCAGTGGGGTAGAACCCATTTTTGTTATTGGCGGACCTACGGCTTGCCTAGTCGTCTGTCATTAAGTTTAATTACTTCATAATGAACATAAAAACAACACGAATTTAATTTTTTCTATGGTACTGGAACCCACTCCGCGAGTGTACGTCAACAACGCACTGAAGAGAGGCAAGGCATACTATGAGTATGCAGACTATACTATTGAGTACGGGGATATTGAGAGGTATAAAATAACAGATTTTCTAGGCAGAGGAAAATATTCTCAAGTATTCAAAGGGAGGGAGGAAAGGCCTAATTCGTCAAAGTACAGAGAATGTGTAATAAAAGTACTGAGGCCTATTAGAGAGAAAAAAATCAATAGAGAAATAAAAATACTGAAATCTCTTGTGAACATAGAGAATGTCATACACCTGCTAGACGTAGTTAAAGACAGCGAAACAAACACAAGATCGCTAATATTCCCATATGAGGACCATACAGAAGCCAGAGCTCTTTTTAAAATATTCACACACGATGATATAGTATACTATATGCATAAACTTCTGAGCACTCTTGATGAAATACATGCAATGGGAATATTCCACCGCGACTTAAAGCCGCAGAATATTATTATAAACCATAAAACACGTGTACTGAAAATCATTGACTGGGGGCTGGCTGAGTACTATTTGCCAAACACAGAGTATGCCACCCGGGTGGCAAGTCTGCACTTTAAAGCGCCTGAGCTACTTCTGGGGTACAGGTACTATGACTACTCTCTGGACATTTGGTCTGCAGGGTGCATCCTTGGTGAGATGATTTTCAATCGGGCACCGCTATTTAACGGCAACTCAAACGAAGACCAACTAGAAAAAATCATCCGAGTGTGCGGAGTAAACCAGCTAAAATCCTACATGGAGAAGTATAAGCTAACACACCCAGCAAACCAGCTAGAAAAAATATACTCGGTATGCCCATCTGAGAACTCGTGGGCGTCTGTTCAAGCGGCAGACATCCGAGTTTCAAAGAAGTCTCACCAAAGGGATGGGCTTATAGCCCTGCTAAAGGATATGCTTATGGTTGACCATCGGAGAAGGCCAAGCGCAAAGGGGGCCCTTGACTATGAAGTGTTTAGCTGTTTTAGTAATAGAAATGAGTAAATTCCGGTTAGAATCTATAATTAGAGACACAGATTTAATTTTTAACTTTTGGATTTATGCAAAAAGTAGACAATTCTTTTTTATTTATATGAAGAGTGACGAGAGAGAGTGGACCTCATTTCTTAATGCAAGGCGGGGGTTGTTTGTGTCCGGGGTTTCCGGCATATTTACGTCCAGTGAAGAGGACAAGGCTCTTAAGGTTGAATTTGAGGCCACTGTACGAATGCATCCAACACACCTTCCGTTAGGATTTGATGTAGAGGCACTAAAAACAGAAAGGCACAGATTGCAAAGCATAAGAAAAGGGATGGCAATTAAAAGAATAGTCCGTGAGTATGCGGATAGGAATGGAATTCCGTATGAGGAGATTGAGAAGGACCCAAAGGCGTATTTAGAAGGCCGGAGGGAAGAAAGTGATGCATTCACTACGCTTCTGAATATAAAGAAGATTGGTCTATACCATGAGCAGACTGTTCTCAGAAGAAATGTATACAAAGGAATCAAGGAGATTATTTCTCCAGAGATTCTGAAGTCATCTAAAGTGTCGCTAGCGCACAAGCAAGAGAATTTATACGATCTGCGGGTGCTTTCTGAGCTAGAGACGCGGCATATTGCTGCAGGAGAGGCAAAGAAGGTGGCGTGGTGGCTGTCTATGCTGAAAAACATTAAGCAGGTTGCTTTGAAGTCTGTGCAGTCTCTAAAGGACCAGGTTGCCAATCAGCAGAGAATATTCATTGCTGTGAATGCAATACATGAAAAGCACAGGAAAGAAGAGGAGAAGTCTAAGAGGAAGGCAGAAAAGGCAAGAATACAGGCGCTGAAGTCAAATGACGAGCAGGAGTACTTGAAGCTGCTGCGGCAGGAGAAAAACACCCGGCTGACCCACATTCTGCAAAAGACAGATGAATACATTGATGTTCTCAAGAAAAGAATAAAGCTGCAGCAGGGCTCAACAGACAGCAAGTCTCTAGAGGAGGAGCCAATGGACTACTTTGAGGCTGCGCATTCTTCAAAGGAGCTAATCAAGGAGCAGCCCAGGTCGGTGTCTTATGGTCTTCTTAGAGAGTATCAGCTAAAGGGTGTAGAGTGGATGGTCAGTCTGTACAACAACAAGCTTAATGGAATACTTGCTGATGAAATGGGATTGGGTAAAACAGTGCAGGCAATTGTGTTTATCTGCTATATTTTGGAGAAGAAGCAGGAGACAGATCCGTTTTTGGTGGTTGTTCCTTTGTCTACTTTTTCTAACTGGCAGTCAGAGTTCAGCAGATGGGCGCCTTCAATTAGGGTTCTTCCGTATAAAGGTGATCCTGGGCATAGAAAAGACCTTAAAAAAGAAACAACCGAGGGGAAGTATGACGTGCTGCTGACTACTTTTGAATATGTAATTAAAGATAAGAATTTCCTGTCGAAAACCTCTTGGCTGTACACAATAGTAGATGAAGGGCACCGAATGAAAAACAGCGGGTCAAGGCTTTGTGTGGTAATGAACACCTATTATAAATCTAAATACAGGCTGCTTCTTACCGGAACTCCATTGCAGAACAGTCTTCCTGAGCTATGGTCACTTCTTAACTTTGTGCTCCCCAAGATATTCTGCAGCGGCGGAAGCTTTGACGAGTGGTTCAATGCGCCTCTTATGCACGTTGGAGAGAAGATAGAGCTGAATGAAGAAGAGGAGCTTCTTATTATTAAGCGGCTGCATAAAGTTCTAAGGCCTTTCTTATTAAGAAGGCTCAAAAAAGACGTGGAAGCTGGGCTGCCTGATAAAGTAGAAACAATTATTAAGTGTGGTATGTCACAGCTTCAAAAGTCTCTTTACAATGAAGTTAGAAGCACAACTCTGAAAAAGAATGACTCTGTCAAGAAGCTTAACAATACTATTATGCAGCTGAGAAAGATATGTAACCACCCCTTTGTCTTTGATACTGTAGAAGAGTTTGTAAACCCTCTTAAGATCAACAATGAGCTTCTCTATAAGGTAAGTGGTAAGTTTGAGCTGCTCAGAAGAATGCTGTACAAGCTCCGGGCAACTGGGCACAAGGTGCTGATGTTCTTCCAGATGACACAAATAATGACAATTATGGAGGACATGTTGGTTATGGAAGGGTTTAAATACCTAAGGCTTGATGGTGCTGTGAAGAGTGAAGAGCGTGCGTCCTTGATCTCTTCATTCAATGACCCCACCTCTGGGTATCCGGTCTTTCTTTTGAGCACCCGTGCAGGTGGTCTTGGTTTGAACCTGCAGATTGCAGACACTGTGATTATTTTTGATAGCGACTGGAATCCGCACGCTGACCAGCAGGCACAGGACAGAGCGCATAGGATAGGGCAGACCAAGGAGGTTCGTATTTACAGGCTTATTACTGCGGACACTGTTGAAGAGTATATTCTTGAAAAGGCGAACCACAAGCTGCACGTGGATGAGAAGATCATCCAGGCCGGGCGGTTTGACAACAGGACTACCCATGAGGAGAGAGAGGCGCTTCTCAGAAATATTTTTGAAGAGAATGTGGAGGGAGATGCCGCATGCGTTGTTTCAACTGACCAGGAACTGAACAAAATACTTGCAAGAAGTGAGGCAGAAATGGTTGAGTTTAAGAAAATAGACGAGTCAAACATTCTTGGTCCGTTTGATCTGTACTCTGGGCCTGCCCCACAGCTAATTGCAAGCGAAAAAGAAGCAGCAGAGGAGGAGTACACAGGAAAGAGAAAGACTTCAATGCGCTCTTCAAAGGCCTACAAGAGAAGCAGCATAGTCCCTACGTGCACTAACATTCTTAACAGTTTGGTCAAAAGTACTGTAAATGGAAGAAAACGGATTGAGCTGTTCTTGGAGTTGCCAGACCCAGATATATACCCAGACTACTACCAAATAATACAGTACCCAATATCTGTCTCTGAAATTCGGGAGAACATAGAGTCGTATGAATCAATGGATGAGTTTGAAGCAGATGTAAAAAGAATGTTTAAGAATGCAATGATTTATAACGCAGAGAACAGCATGGTCTATCAAGATGCAGAGTACCTTCTACACGTCTTTGAGACCCTTGTCGATGAACCATAAGCAATAAAAATCAAATTATACAGATGCCTATGTGTTTAAATGAATAATTTGTCCAATACTGCCCCTGCATACCCCATGCTTTTTATATTTACCGCCATTATACATTTGTCATAAGAAATAAATAATTTTTTGGCGCCTTGGTACGATATGTGCACACAAAGCAGTAATAATCCCAGCTCATTTGATGGTAAACCGCCAGCCACTGGAATCTCTTTTTATGATATAAAGGAGCGGGGCGGTTCTTCTTATTTCTTTAAGAAATCTCCCCCTAAATTAGAAATTGACTATGATTTGCAATTTAAAATGTTTAAGATGTGCATTTCAGAAGATAATATACAGAATGTATGTAGTAGAATAAACCAGCTTTATTTAGAAAAAAATAGTATGAATAATATGAAGAAAGAATTTCCTATAAAAAAAGAGTTTTGCTTGGTTTCTGTGTCTGTTGAGGAGATGCAGGTGTTTTTTGCAATTGTGCATCTTATTAGTTTACATGTACTTCCAAATATTTCTGATTATTGGTCAGATGATCCGTCCATCTGCAATCCAACCATAAAGCAAAACATGGCATACAATCGATTTCTGGATATTTTCATGTGCGTACAGCGCATTAATCACCCAACAACTGAAATCGCTCTTGATGCTACTACAGATAAGGATCTAGATACATTTGAAATAATAAATACTCTTTCTAGGAATACATATGCAACAAATCAAAATAGATTCAATCGGCGAAGTACGTCCTCCTATCCATATAATACTTCTATTTCAGCCATAAATAATCTGAAATTCCGGGATCCAGTTTCAGCAGAACAGGTCTTTGATACTATGCATACCGGCCCCGGCACATTGCATGAGCCATCAGATGGTTTAATCGTGTCTGCGGGTGATGTTCAGTTCTCAGCAGATATAGGCAGTGATGAAAGTGATTCAAACTAGTTCAGTGTGTCGTTTTACTGCTTCTGTGTTTAATCTAACTTCATTTCTGGTTTGAATTAAAATAAAATATGTACTCATTATTTAAATTAAATCATTATGTGAAGGGTTTATAAATATAAAATTTATAATTATTTTGAATGAAATTTGGTGCAATGCAATACAAACCTGAAATGCATACAGATTAGTTATTACAAAAGCCAGTCAAATACTCAAATATGCCCTGGTTTTTATAGATCTAGAAACTACATGATTTTATGTTCTATCAATAATTATACAATTTTATACCGCTTTTCTGTTTATTTTTCTTATATAGATTATTAAATGGGTTTATATACACTTTAGAGTCATTTCTGAACTTATTTTGTATTCTAGCCGATCCTGTCTATATTTTAGTTATTGCAGTATTTATGTGGTAAAATATATTTTTGTATTTTTCATATTATGAGCTTACCACCGTCAATTAGCAAAAAGCTAAGAGCATGTCTAGGATGCTCACTAATTATGACGCAGGCACAGTTTAAAGAAGAAGGATGTGGCAACTGTGTGGCACTAGGCATGAAAAACAGCACGGACAATGTTTTAGACTGCACAACAGATAGATTCACAGGAATGATTGGGATGCATAATGCAAAGTCGTCTTGGGTTGCCAAATGGCAGCATATGGACTCATTTATACCAGGGCTATATGCAATGACTATGGAGGGAGAATTACCAGAAAGTAAAATACTTGCATTAGAAAGGGCCGGACGTACATATCACCCAAGAAACAAATCCTTTATTGTATAGATATTATTATAAGAGCAGTACTTTAGATAATATTTAACACCGTGCACTATTTTATTTAGTACATTGTACAGTAGACAGCGACAATATTTTAATGAAAACGCGAATAGCCTGAAAGAACCAGAAATTAATGGATAAGAATTAATTTCAGGCGTATTTTGAGGTTTAAAAGTATTAACAGGCTGTCACACGATGATTGCTCATCTAGCATACTTAGAATCCAGTATTAACAGAATAAAAATGCATTTACATGTAAGTATAGACCAAATTACATAAAATTTTTATTAAACAAACTGCCACAGTTTAACAAAATACCGCGAAAGTGGTTAGATTAAGTATAAATCCATTTGCCTGAGTAAACACAGACAATGTAAGTTATTAGTAGTTAATCTTATTGGCCAATTGCAGGAGCTTCACCTGCACCACCAGAGCCTGCTGCACCTGCACCACCGTCACCACCAGAGCCTGCTGCATCAGCACTGCTGGCATTGCCTCCTGCCTCGCTTTCTGCTGGAGGTGCCGCGTCTTCTGCTGGAGGTGCCTCGCTTTCTGCTGGAGATGCCTCGCTTTCTGCTGGAGATGCCTCGCTTTCTGCTGGAGATGCCTCGTCTTCTGCTGGAGGTGCCTCATCATCTTTTGGAGGTGCCTCATCATCTTTTGGAGGTGCCTCGTTTTCTGCTGGAGGTGCCTCATCATCTTTTGGAGATGCCTCGTCTTCTGCTGGAGGTGCCTCATCATCTTTTGGAGGTGCCTCGTCTTCTGCTGGAGGTGCCTCATCATCTTTTGGCTTTTCTTTATCCTCAGGATCCTTCTCGAGTTCTTCTGGTTTTTCTTGGTTTTGGCCTTCTTCGCCGCCATCTTGACCTCCTTGATCTCCTTGACCATCTTGACCACCTTGATCTCCTTGGCCGCCTTCACCACCTTGACCTCCTTGATCTCCTTGGCCGCCTTCGCCTCCTTGACCACCTTGATCTCCTTGGCCGCCTTGACCGCCTTGATCTCCTTTGCCACTGCCTTGTTGGCCACCTTGACCACCGCCTTGTTGAGGATTACCTCCGCCACTTCCGCCACCGCTTCCTCCTTGTTGGCCGCCCTGACCACCTTGGCCTCCGCCTTGTTGAGAGCCCTCGCTTCCCATTATAATTCCTATAACTTGAGAACTACCGGGTTTTTTAAACCATTTATATATTTTATATATAACAAAGAGAATAATACCTATAACAAGTATAAAAAGAATAATCTTAATTATAGTTTTCAATATACCAGGTATTTCCATGCATTTTCACAAGAATGCCCATTATATAGATCAAAGAAATTATATACCAATTATAATCAAGCAAATATACAAATCAATATTCAGGAGAAATTCCGCATGCCAACTATCTCTATAAAATGATTTTATAGGGCCATCACCGGATCCAATAATATTTTAAAATCCCAACAGATATATGAAGAGCCAATAAATAAAAGACATTTTCCTATAGGCCACAAACCACAGCACATTTTACATGATATCTGTTATAATAAAAATAAATATAGAATGTTTTTAGTGTATACATATATCCAGAATTTAATTATAATTGTCTACTACTCGTAGAATGCATAGTTATACATTACTTGTTGTCATGCGTAGATATAAATAAACAATAATAGTAAATAATTCCTGATATGCTGAAATCCATATGCTTCCATATGCACTTCTGTTGGTTTCTTAAATGGGCCAATAAACTCTCATGTAGAACAGGAAGTACAGCGCACTGTGCATGTTAAAGATACCTTGATAGCCAATGAATTTTACTTAGTTATTCTTTCTTGAGAAGAGTGCTTATGCTGTTTCTAATCATTTTTAATTTTCGGGTTATGTGTTTATCAATCACAAGAAATTTGCCAAATTTCTTAGTTTCTAAATTTATTTTTTTTTACTTACACAGACACGGTGCATAAAATAGGATTTTCACTAAAAAAGAGCTCTAACAAGAAATTTCCATAATTTAGAACTACTTTAGCTGTATATTAATAGTGATTTATTAATTGATGGATATTAATTTAAATGCGGGTAAATTTCATGGTAAGAAGGAGGGAGACTTGATGTACTACTGCTAAATGCCCCTGATGAATTTTCTGAGAAAATATCACTATACGCAGGGGGCGCCATTTGTGCAGTTGTGGTTTCATTCTCCAATAAAGGTGCGCTTGGCACAGCATTGCCATGTACATTTCTTGGTATATCATTTACTGTGTGATTATGTGAATTGTCAGATGTATATCCGTGTGGGTTAATTGAAGAGTTTCTTGGTATATTGCTTTGTGTACTATTATGTGGATTGCTTGAAGCATCAAATAATGCAACTTTTGGTATATCTCTTTGCGCCGCAGTGGATTGGTTTGAATAATCATCTTGTGTTTGATCATGCGGGTTTTCCGCATTAGATTTGGATTTTATATTAATCTTTATAGCGGGGATTCGTTTAAACCTCTTGCCAGGTCTTGGAGTTAACCACCGAACACCAAATATACTTATTAATACACATAAGAAAAGTGCAAATGCTATTTTCTTCTTTGATACTGTTTTTTTCTTTGCTAATTCTCTGCTCATTAGAAATTTTTTGTCATTTACAACAAAAATAGCTTTAAAGTCACCCCTAAATCCAGCAAAAAATACCAACTACAATGATCATCCAATAAATCTATATTTGTATAGTTTTATATTACACTATGAAATACTTAAATAATATAATCGATCTACATCAGATATTTTATGAAACCCAACCAGATATACACTAAAATTGTCTTAATGAATAAGAGAAATAAAAGATTCTGCATATAACTAGACTTGCACTTAACTAAAAAGAGAGTTTCTTATTACCACTAATTACTCTAAATTATAAATTATAAAATTAGGAATTTTCTATTGTTTATGTAGTTTTAAGCCATGACAGTCTTTTATATTTTAATATCCTTTTCTGATTTTATATATTTATAGTTTAATTTATATAAATCCGAAACTATTTAATATTTTTTTTACTACTGAAATTATAAATATGGAAAATAACCAGATCAGATCAGAGCTTACTAATAAAGAAATAAGTAGAAACTTTGAAAATATTATAGAAAAGGTGGTTGATATGTACAGCCAGTTTGGTGAAGATGGAATTATTGCAGCATTGGAAACAATCTATTCCAAAGGAACTATTGCAATATTTACTGATGATAAAATTAGTAAAACAGAAGAACTTAAATCCATTATAAGAGAAAAATTAATTCAGTCTAACTTAAAACATTTACTAAACAACTCTAGTGACAAAAAGCCTACACAAGAAAAAAAACCAGATGAGGACATGACAGCTGCCTTAGAGGAGAAATTAAAAACTCTTAAAAATGAATTAAGTGAAGAAAATACAGTTGATACTGAGTTAATGAAGGATATTAATACAATATACAGCATATTTAAAAAAGAAAAAAAGGACTGGAATGAGTATATAACTAACTATGCACATATAATTCTTAGATCAATGAAGAAAGATAGTCTAATGGGAGGATTACAGAAAATAATTGCATGCTGTAGTGGATCTACTAAGAACGCCAAACAGGAGGATATTCTTATTAGTAACTATTCATTAGATAATCTCTATGTACAATCCAAGGACAAAACATATTTAATTGATGCTGGATTAGACTATTTAAACAGCAACACTGCTGAGTTGGTTAAAATGGCGAGTAGTTTTATTGATAGCACAGATATATTTGTGAATGAAAAGATTGACAAGAAGTACTCTACTCTAGTAAACAGCCCTTCTCTGAACATAGTAAAGTCTATGTGTAATAACAAAGCCTCCATTGAACTATGCCAGAAGGTAGTAATTGATCTGGCCAATTTAATAGAAAAATACTACATAAAACTTTACACAGAGCAGAGTAAAGACGCATTGGCAGGTCTTAATGATATGATCTCCTCTGCGGTATATAAAGATGAAAATTCAGTATTCTTTAAACTATTTAATAAGTTGAACATAGTATGCCCAAGAATCAACCACAATCTTTATATAGATCAATTAAACAAGCAAATCTCTAAGTATAAATCTGATATAAAGAACTGTGAGAACACCATTTCAGAATTAAAAAATAAAATGGCTCCCCAGCCCGAAGCATCTTCTGATTCAACATCTAAATCAGAAGACTCATCTGATGACAATCAGGAATTAATTATGAAGCAGCTTTTAGACGAGATTCAAGGATACCAAGCAAATATTGAAAATATTGAAAATTCTGAGTTTATCTTTTCAGAGTATAAAAACGAAGTGAACCAAGAATACCAAAATATTTTGAATGACCTTAACAAACTTACGCCAACTCAGATACAATATGTAAGAGAGAAAATATGTGGACTACTAAATCCTATCATGCCAATACGCCCTAAGACTGAAACTTTCATTAGTAAAATTCAGAATTACATAAAGCAGTGTAAGAGCATATATAAAAAAGTATCGCCTGTAATAGCACCAATATTAGCAGTAATTCTATTTATAGTGGGAGCTACATATGTAACCTTAAATTGGTCTGATGTATATGATGCAGCATCTATATAATACTAATAATTATTACAATGGCATATCCATTGCTTATATAATATTTAAGTATATTTTAACACATTCTAATATTAGTAGACAGAGTATATGACTATCTTCTGTTTATTAGAAAGAATTTCGAAATATAATAAAAATTTAATATAATCAGAAATTTCTATTAAAATATTCTTAAGAGTATTAATCAGTCTATCCTACATAATATATTCGACGAGTATACTAGCTGTGTATGCATTGTACGTGCTTATTAATGAACAAATATATTTTGTTGTTGATTTTAGATTATATCTCTTAATTGGTCTTTATACAGCTTCTTATGCATTTTCAGATTGAACTGCCTTATAATCCATTTTATCTTCTTATTTCTTTTGTCTATTTATACA